TATTTCTGAACTACACAACCGGTACAGACAGGTTTGAATATTACTCAAAGCAACTGAAACAGAGTACTATAGCCAGCAAAAATGTTGAGCAAATGCCTTAAACGCAGTGTTTGAGCGGATGTTAATCACTAGTTTAGTGTCTTGTGATATGATATAATCCTTGGAAAATGACAAGAAAAGAAGAAGAAGAAAGATAAAATCCTTGATGATAGACACCAACGCAGCTGAAACAGAGTAATACAACCAGCAAAAATGTCGGACATATGGCTTATGATACTCAGTGTGTTAATCACTAGTTTAGTGTCTTGTGATATGCAACCTGCAATTGATCCCCCCAAAAAAGCAGTATTCAGATTCTGAGAAATATTTTTCGACTTTAATTTGTAAACTTAAGTAGCAAATGTAAGACAATCTCCATGAAAAGAAGTTTGAGTACTTACAGAAGTTGACGTCTTTAACAGCTCTCTGATAGCCATTGTTGCATAACAAGACGATGGAAGAGTGAGAGCCATTTTGAGCGCCAACTGTGTCTGCTCAGAAACTGGGTTTCCAGTGTCTTTCAAATCACTTTCACAGGATTCGGGTGGCCTGCTATCGGATTTCATCGATTCAATTTCTTCAGCAGATCCAACCTTATCCCTCGTCTTTTCCAGGGTTATCCTGTCCAGATCCGTCTCTGCCAATGGTTTATTACTGTCAGTGTAAGTCAGTAATTCCCTGCAGCAATCAACAACAAAATTAGCCTATGCTGCCATATAATCTTTTATCTCAAAACTGGAGGAAGTTTTACTATATACACAGCGTACCACTCAAAGTCGATTGGTTTCTGGAAAACACGTCTATAACCACCAGTCATGCTAGTTATTGAGAACTCCCTGAAACAATACTTGTTATTAGTAGTATGAAGTAGATGCTCGTGGTGATGCACAGTGACACAAGCATAAGGATCTACAAGAAAAAGAGGAAATGGGAAATTACTTTACACCGTGAATACTCTCAGTTAGGCTGATACCGTCCTGAGCAATGTAAGCAGAAATTTACAGATTCCATCAGCAGAGATGTAAAATTTTAGAAAGTATTACAGTGAGAATAAGTGAGTTTCATTTTTCTAGAACACACCTTCTTTGCCAAATTATGATAGATTTCTGCGATGTCATTAGACGGGTAAATCACTCTTGAACTGTTGAAGCAAAGAGAAAGGTGTTTTGGTTTCAAGAAGTACAATGTTTAATATACTTATAATGGAAAAATTCTGTGAGAAACTTACCCAGGTAGAGGAAGGACGATGTCACTAGTCGAGTAAGTTCCAGCTTCCATATCCTCTATATCTACAACCTGAAGAACACAAAAGAAAGCAGCACAACATGAATAATGCTAGTACGGACAAAACCCAATGAAAATGTAAATGCATTAAAGCATATATTTCAATACGGAAGAAGACAATGCATATATATCTGAAGGCAATTTCACACAAGATGACGGCGGCAAAATTATTCAACTACGGCCTAATAAGAAGTTCGAAAAAAGAAACTAACCTTAACAAGGTCACTCCTTTCTCCTGAAAGATCAACAACAGCAGTATCATCCAATTGGTCGCAATCCAATGCCTCTTCGTTGTTTTCCTTGTGCTCAGAGGTCAAACTGCCGACAATCCTCTTTGCATCATCTACCTTTGTACTTACCAAGTCCCCCAACACAACTTGGTTGGTCCCTGCCACACCACAAAAAACAAGTGGGTGAAAGTTAAAACCTACACTGACAAGCATTCAGAACCGTCACGAGTTATTAAGAAAGAAAATTGATATACCGTATTTTTGGACACGCAGACTTGCTGCATTGTTCCATAAGTAGCTTTGATAACTATGTACATACCTGCATAATAAGGATCGTGTATACAGTAAGCTATGAAAACTTGATCTGTGTCACTAGCTTTGCATTTCATATCCCAGTCGCAAGAGGCAACTGTTCCAGAAGGAATTAAAGCTATATTAAAGAACCGACGTCTTACATCATTCTCAAAGTTCTGGGTATGCCTTTCAGAGCCTGCAGGTAGTTCCCAGGACATTTCTTCAGACACTGCAGCTGTTTTAAAACGCCCAAGATTTAAACTGATTATTATGGAACCCATTACTAGAAGAAACCGAAACATGAACAGTTGAATACTTACTATGGCTCTTTCAGCAACAAGGTATCGCGGTAGTTGCCTTAGAGTCCCGTCAATATCGCCAGTTTCTTTGTAATATTCCCGGGCCTCATTTACTACATTCTTTTGTGGAAAACAGCTCAAAGTCAAGATAAACAAGGCATTGCTGCCCTCCTATATACTAGTAGAGCCACATATATGGTCTTAATAGGTATTAGCAATTGTAGCTGAGACTAAGTCATGTTAAAGGATATCACTTTCTCTTGGATCAAGAATCATGTCTACCGCTTCTTTCCACTCTCCTTTCAGTACTGCAGCTCCAACATGGTGGGTTGGAACTGAGCCACTTCCAAAACGCTATCATACAAGTACAAAACTTATAATAAAAATTATTCATATTTAAGTTTTTTTTCCGAGAAGCAATTGCTATAATACAAAAGTGCAAGTCGAATTACAACTCAACAGAGAATAATACCTGCAAGCCAAAGTAGTTGATGAAGCCATCTTTCCCCAAGGATTCTGCAGACTTTTTTATAGTTTCTTCAGAATCCGCAACCACTCCTCTGAAAAATATGGGAATTAATACATAGAGTATAAGGACATTCCATGCGCCAGAAGATCATTTTTCACCAAAATAAGATCAACATGTTTCTTGAATAAGAGAATTTGGATGTTATAGATGGATCATTGAAGTTTCATCTTAAAAATTTCCAGTAACAATCTCACCTCAATGTGATGGTAAATCTGTTTCCCATGAGCTGCCCAAGGAGAAGGCCCTCCTTGACATGGCTGGAAAGCGCCAGCAATCATTCATCATTACTATTAAGGCAAAAAAAAGAAGACAAAATGCAATGCAAGCATTCAAGAATACGTTGGCTTACCAGAAGTCACCAACTTTGATCCCAAACAATCTCTTGTTAAGTGCAGCCAATTTGCTAGCTTGCTGTTTGAACACAGTTACCTAGAAGCCCACACAATCTCCTATTATGTATTGTGACAATATAACTCATCTTACCAAGAAAATAGGTACAGCTAACTTACACGCTGACTTGAAACTGATCGCTTATCTTTTGTTCCAGAGAATCCGAAGGACTTTGGCTGAAAATTTGAAGAAGCAAATTCAAGACATTATTAAGGAAAGTACAATCGTAAAGATAAACAATTATATAAAAACGGAGAAAATGTGACACACCTGAACGCCTAGCATCTTTCCGATCAATCCCAAGGCCTCTTGTGTATCTTTGTTCTCCTTGTAAAGATGGAACCTATAAAATCAAGTGACACATATGTAGCGGTTCAAATGTAATGATCAAATCAAATACACAAAAAAATCTATAACAGATATAAGATGTTTTCTAATTATTACTTGACAAACTTGCCAAGATGCTCTGGCCAATGTTCTGAGCCTCTGCTATCAAAAGGCTTATCGCCTCTTTCCTTCCGCTTTTTCGATCTTTTACCTCTGCTGTTATGGTCTGCCGAATTCACCCGCACGCGGATGCATTTTGATGTAGGATCAGGACCATCTACAGTGTCGGTCACTAGGAACTTGAAATTCTCTTTAACAAAGTTGTGGATAGCCTGGATAGTAGTATAATAAAAGAAAACGTCTAGAGATACTGTCGATAAATGTATATTTGATTATGCAATCAATCCTGTACCGTTCTCTTAGACTTGTCAGAACTTGGATCAAAAACAACTGGTGAGATCTCATCATCAGTTACGGAGGTGACTTGATTAATCAAAGTTTCCAAACGCTCTGCATCAGTGACACTGGAAATTGATCTAAACGACTCAATTGCAGAGGCATAGCTTTGGGGTACATCATCTGAACTTTTCGTTTTCTCTTCCTCCTTCTCATCCTGAATAGATGAACAACAAACAACATCGCATTTTCTTAAACAAACAAAGACATGAAATCGAAACAAAGCGTAGCCTCATCCACGAGGTGCAACGGAATGAGGTGAGCATGAATCATTTAAAGACAAACCATCTCAGGAGAGACGTCCAAGGATGTCAAATGAACAACATTGCCATCCATATCCACTTCATTAACGATAAAGTCTGCGTATCTACAAAATACAAGTACAAACAATTCTTTCAATATTTATCCAATTAATCTATGATCATTACCCCCAAAAAATAGCATGCAGTGCGTGCATCCGTTCACAACAGAACAGATCACAAAAATACCAAAGAATTTAAAAATTTTCACAAAAGTTGTATCTTTTGGATCCATTTGTTAATCACGAAAGTAGATTTAAGAACTAACCCCATTAAAAATCATTCTTTAACCAAAATTAGGCTCTATCAAAGAGTTGCCAAGCTCAGAGAAATGATAGGATCACTAAGCTCTATCAACTCCATTTACTTCTCACAAGCTTTAAAAATCTTAATCTAATTATATTGCTTTTAAGTTTGTGTCTATACGAGCAGGATTAACAAAATTTACTGATCGTATGACCTTTGTTTGAGAATTCCGCGGAAGCCCGGGAGCTGGGAGATGAAACAGGAGATGCCCACGTCAGATTCATCTACGGTTTTCTTACTCTCAAGGGGGTTAGCAGTCGTCGCCATTGTCGTTGTCCAGTGTAAGCTCAAGCTCGAGTAGGGTTTTAGCAGAGACGACAAACAAGACGATACAGTTTTATTTAATTTCATTGCCTTCATCCGGGAAGACGAAGACAATTGCAAGCGAATGCTTTTCTAAAACGCACCGTTTCATTCTAGATTGACTTTAGCCGGTTATTGAGCTTTTAAATCCGACCGAATCGAATGTTTCCTTGATCTGATCTGTTGATGTTAACCAGATCGGTAAGAATATTAAACCGAACCGGATCAATTCATTGTCTTCTTTGTAGAAAAGCGACTTTCCTGATCGACCTTCCCACTAACAGATCCACAAAATTTTAAAGGTACAGAGCAAATCGGTGTGCCTAGAGCGAGAGAGATGGTGACGAAAACGGAGGAGACGGAGTTGAACCAACTCGAGAATCAAGTTGAGAATGGAGGAGGAGGGGATTGGGAGTATCTCTGCCTCGTTCGTAAGCTCAAGGTTCGCCGATCAGAGATTGTCTTCAAGCACGGTCTCTCGATCTTGAACGATCCGGGAAAGCGATCCGCTCTTGGTCCAGAAGGTATGTTAATTCTGAGCTCCTTGATTTTTTGTTTTTATATAGTCTCATTGAGGACTTAGTGTGTTTGTTGGTTTCCTGATTACTGAAAATCATGAATTTTCGTGTTAACGAATTTCTTTGTAGTTCATTCGAATGGAATTGTCAATTCCTCGACTTTGTTGTATTGGTTGTTCCAATAGTTCTTTTCGTTGCATCATGGATTCGGGTTTTCTTAATTTCGGTTGAAGTTGAAATATTTGGATTTGATTTAATGGTTTTTATGCTTCTGCTTCCATTTCCTAGTGATACTTTATTTGCTTTTTATCTGCTCAATCTGTATTTGTATAATATCTTCTATTCTTAGATTAATTTCTTCACTGTTTCATCTCTACTTGTGAAACTGAACACTTTTTAGCTGATAAATGGTCTGAACTAAGCAGAGACTTTTGTTTCGGAAGAACCCGTTTCGATTGGATTGGTTTTGTTTTGTACATGTCATATGACTCTTATCTTTCCCAATCTGGTTCGATTTTTATTTGTTGTCTTAGCTAATTAGTGTTTAACTTTACATTAATTGTGGAAATGCAATATAAGAGCTGCTTGCACATTATCTTTTGTTTTAGAAACCTAAAGAGCTTCGTCTTCCCTTTTTGTGTGTGCAGAATGGACCCTATATGAGCAGGTAGCAATTGCAGCTATGGACTGTCAATCCCTTGGTGTTGCACAGGTGAGTTGCCTTGACGCTTTCCACTGGTACCTTGAGAAAGATCCTATTTTAATATCACGCTTTGTTGATAACTTACATCAGTTATTTAGGTTTGTATGTGTCTGCTTTCTTTTCCAGAATTTTCTTGCATTACGCTATCTTGTAAATATCATGAATGCATTGTGATGTGAGTTGTTTTTCGAAAATAAAGGATTGAAAAGTATATAATTTAATGCATTGTAAATGTATGCGAGTTGTAATCGTTTTTGCCTTCCAAATTATTCTTCTCTTATCCGCACTTTATCAAGCCTGCTGAAGACAATTTGGGTATCTCACAAAAAGGCAAACTTTGTATTTTTGTAGAATTGCATCAAAGCTCTGCAGAAGAAATTTCCAGAGAGCAAACGCGTTGGTAAGTCTATATCAAAATTGACAAACAGAGCAATTCTTTACTCTTGGTGGACTTCATAATTTACTCACAATTTTTGCCTACTTTAACATTATTGGGTCTTCTGGGTGTTCATATAGTCTCAGATGTTTTCTAGTTATACTTATAGTCTGGTTCTGCCTTAGTTTACCTTGATCTCAATCTAAACTGCATCTTGGTAATATATTTCAGGTAAGCTGGAGGCATTGTTGCTAGAAGCAAAGGGAATGTGGGAAGAGGCTGAAAAAGCATATACGAGCCTTTTGGAGGAAAATCCACTCGATCAAGTAAGCTTCCACATCGTTGCTTCATGAACCTACCGACAAGCTGCTTCCAAATGTTAAAAAGTTGTAATTAAAACTCGATGTCTAGGTAATACACAAGAGAAAGGTGGCTATGGCCAAGGCACAGGGCAAAGCTTCCTTAGCCATTGAACATCTTAACAAATATCTTGAAGTGTGAGTACATACTAAACCAAGCTGGATTGATAGAAGTATATCAGAAGAAACATACCTCTGCTGATCACTTTTTTCTTTATGTAGATTCATGGCTGATCATGATGCCTGGAGAGAACTTGCAGAAATTTATGTTTCCTTGCAAATGTGCGCCTCTCTATCCTTAGTCCTCGACTCTTTTGAAAAACCTTTTTGGAATCTCCTTAAGCAAAAATGGAATGAAATGATCTTCTTTTGTTCTTCAGTTGAAAAGAGATCAATTCACTAAGCAACTAAACAATAGTTTTTCATTTTTGGGGTTTCTCTCTCTTTCAACCCAATGTAATTTATAATCTGTAACAGGTACAAACAAGCAGCTTTCTGCTACGAGGAGCTTATATTAACTCAGCCTACTCTTCCATTGTACCACCTAGCATATGCCGATGTAAGTCTATCTTCTTTTTCCTTGATTGAAAAAAGAGGTCCTATTGTTCATTGTCTATACATTTATGGCAATCAGAGCATCTGCAATGGTACTCTATTTCTGCCTCTAAACTCTATTTTTAGAGTAAAATCATCTGCATTGGTACTCTATATCTCAGTAGAGTAAAATACTGTTCATTTCTCTATTTATAGAGTAGAATTTTTTTATTTACAAAACAATCTTTAAACTTTTATATCTTTTTATTTGACACTTAAACAATAAGATACCACCTAATATTATACTTAATTAACATATATTAATAATAATTAGTTATATAATCATTTAAAAGATTAAAATAAAACAACAAAATATAATAAATAAAAAAATTTAAAATATAATAATGTTAAATTATTGTTAAAAGTAAAATAAATAGAAGTTTTTTAAAACATTTAAAAGTAAAAGGACTTGTAAGCAAATAATAATAAGATTTACAGTCAAATATAGAGGCAACCATTGCAGTAAATCTCTTTTCTATTTATAAAGAACTCAATTTTTAGAGTAAAATATAGAGGCAACCATTGCATATGCTCTCACCAAGAAGTCTGTTTAAGACATGTATTGATCATGCATCTAAAACTGGAGGTTAGTAGTCATTCATATGTGTAAATCATGAAGTAGCTATAGAAGAGCGAACTGTTATATGGACCTTTGAGCACTATTAAGAGTCTCAGACAGAAAATGTCAAATGAAAAACCCGGAATCCAAAACTTTGAAAGTTTTTGAAACTCTAAATTACCGTTTTGGTCATGTATGATTCTGGTGTTGTGTTATTAACTCAAATATTCATAATCCCCAAAATCAGGTTCTCTACACAATAGGTGGACTTGAAAACCTCATATCAGCAAGAAAGTACTATGCAGCAACCATAGACTTAACAGGTGGTAAAAGCACAAGAGCCCTTCTCGGAATATGCTTGGTAAGATCTGCTTTATTCCTCCCACCGGTTTAATCCCTCTTCGGTTTGCAAGTAGCATAAATTGAACTGATTTCATCTTTTCTGAAACCAGTGTGGGTCAGCAATCGCACAGCTCTCAAGAGGCAGGAACAAAGAGGACAAGGACATGGCTGCACCGGAGCTTCAGTCTCTGGCTGCAACTGCATTGGAGAAAGAGTACAAGCAAAAAGCTCCGGCAAAACTCAGCCTCCTCTCTTCTGCGTTAAGAAGCTTGAAACTCTCTTAAAATTTCAGAGGCCACAAGAGGAAAACCCCCAATTCACATTTTTTTTGGTTTATGCTTTTTATTGTTAGACTTCTGTTCACTCGTTTCTTTTTTTATATATTGAACCCACTGATACGTTTACCAACGGTATTTTAATCAAGATAAATCAAACATTATTCAATCCGAACAAAAACAAAAATCGTTGCAAATAATGTGAAACTTTAGTTAAACATGTATTATAGTCTAGAAATTAAATAATAACTATATTTATCCAGTAAATTATCGAAAATACAACTCAAGTTATATTTATTTCTAAATCACTGTATCAAGCTTTTTCTTTTTTCATACATATATTTTCTGTTTTGTAGCCAAAGTTTAGAAAAGTTTTCTTAGCTCTCCCTAGCTCAGAACATATTCATGTATAGAGAGAACGAGTGACAGAACACAACCTAAGTGGGCCATCTTATATGCAAGTAAAGATATCTTTGGGTTTAGAATAATATGTTTTATTTGAAGCCCAAATGTTTGTCTCATCGGGTCAAACTCAAAACCCTAGAAATGGGTTTATATTCAAGAAGCAAGCGCCGTAGCAATAGGTTATATCTTCTTTTGATTCTTCTCTGTCCATCGTCGTCCTTTTATCACCAGCCATGGCCGTCGGGTATCTTTCCTCGGATTTTTTCTCGCTTCTAATTTTTTGATTTGTAGCTTGAAGTACTCATTTACTGATCTACGAATTTTTCCTGTACTTGCGTTGTAGGAAAAACAAGAGAATCTCTAAGGGTAGGAAGGGAGGGAAGAAGAAGGCGTAAGTATTATCAATCTTAATCGTAATTTTTATTTTCACATTCAATTTGTATGTGTTAGTAGACTCCGATGTTTAATTAAGATCATTTGAATCTTCTAATTGATGGTTGTTTCTGCAGTGTTGATCCTTTCTCCAAGAAGGACTGGTATGATGTTAAGGCTCCTTCAATCTTCAGCCAGAGAAATGTCGGAAAGACGCTTGTTTCCAGAACTCAGGGAACCAAAGTAATTTTTCTGTCTCTTTTTGACTGTTAACTTTCTCTTACAAGCTCGTTAGTTCCCTTTTACTGGTCTGATTGTGCTGGGGTAGATTCGTTGTAGTGCCTGCTCGAAATTGATTGATTGACTGAGCTTATTGTAGATTTGATCAAACTAGTGAAATCACAAATGGTTCATGATTGATTGTTGCAGATGTGTATCTTAAGGTCATATTTTTGAAATCATAGATTTGAGAGTTTGACGTTGTACTGTATGTTATGCTCGCTTTGTTATTGATGATCGTTCGTTTTACATAATCTAACCTTGTTATGTGTCTTTTCAAACATAACAGATTGCCTCAGAAGGCCTGAAACACAGAGTTTTTGAGGTTTCTCTTGCTGATCTTCAAAATGATGAGGACAACGCTTACAGGAAGATCCGTCTCAGAGCTGAAGATGTCCAGGGAAGAAATGTTTTGTGCCAATTCTGGGTAAGGAAGCATTGCTTCGCAACAGTAGCTCTTGTTTCTCCTTCTCCTTGTCGATGATCGAGTCCTCAGTCTTTGCTGTTTTCATCCGTAGGGCATGGACTTCACAACCGACAAGCTCAGGTCTTTGGTTAAAAAGTGGCAGACTTTGATCGAGGCTCATGTTGATGTTAAAACCACCGATAGCTACACACTGAGGCTATTCTGTATCGCCTTCACCAAGAGACGTGCTAACCAGGTCAAGAGAACTTGCTATGCTCAATCCAGCCAAATCCGTCAGGTATATCTACACATATCATGTTTATAGTTGTGCTATCTTTCATCTTTTATTTCTCCTGAAATTATATTGTCCTATAGTTGTATTGTCCTATAGTTGTAGATTCTTGGTTTTCTTTACTTGATTTCTGCCCAAAGTAAGGTTGAAATCTCTTTTATCTTTTTCATTCAACTATCTTTTTTTTGTGTGTTCATTCCTCAGATTCGCAGGAAGATGAGGGAAATCATGGTCAAGGAAGCTTCTTCTTGTGACCTGAAGGATCTTGTTGCCAAGTTCATTCCCGAAGCTATTGGCAGAGAGATTGAGAAGGCAACTCAGAACATATACCCACTTCAGAATGTATTCATCCGTAAAGTCAAGATCCTCAAGTCTCCCAAATTCGACCTTGGAAAGCTCATGGAGGTGAAGAGAAAATGCCCTAACAACGCATTATATTTTTTTGATTTTATATGATTACTTAAATTGAATTCTTGTGTTTTAATCCGTGTAGGTTCACGGAGATTACACAGCGGAGGATGTTGGTGTGAAGGTTGACAGGCCGGCCGATGAGACTGTCGTCGAGGAACCTACTGAAATCATCGGAGCTTAAGAGGAGGTTTTTGAAGAAATGTGGTTAAATTGAGAGATCGTTTTTTCTTCTAAACATTAGTTCTTTTAATGCTTTGTGTCGTTTCACACTCGTTTGGTTATTCTGTTTTTTTTGGTGTGGTGTATTGATGACTTTTCTCAGTATAAACTTGCAAGTTTTGGATAATTTAAGGAACTCCTTTTTTCTCGAAGTTTGATATTTATATTAAATTTAATTCTTTAATAAAAGTGGTCATTGATGCAAGAAGATAGCTGCTTTATATCGTGAATCTGATTTGAAGAGTTTTGTTTTGAAGAACGAATTAGGAACCACCGTAAAAGAACAAACTAGGAGCAGAAGAGAAGGGAGTCAAGTAATGAACACTAGAGCATCGCATTTGTAATGCGAAGGTCATCGGTTCGATTCCGATAGCCGGCTTACAAAAACTTTTTTCAGTGAAAAAAAAACAACACTACAAATTCAAACAAGAGCAGAGTAAACACAGACATACACATTCGTCCTACGCAAAAATCTTCCATATATCTTATCATATATATACCTACCAAACTAGACTTATTTACAAATAATCACCATGCTCTTTAGCTTCATCCTTGATTGTAACCGCATCAGATTCTACCACGCTAGGAAATTGGAATTGCTCTGATAATAGATGTAAACAAATCTTAGATAATAATTTTAAACTAGAATGAAAGGGCATTGATATTTGAAAGCTTACTATTTGTGTGATCAAGAATATTCATGCATCCTATGCATCTGCAGCTCGGGGAGCATCCAACGCCCATCTTGATAAAGTCATTGTAACATCCAATGTTTAAGAAGAATGAAAATACATTATTTAATAATAAAAAAAAAATAAGCGTGAACAAAGCTAGATAAGTAAAACCAAATTTACCAAATAGCATTCACAATATTTCTTCAAACAGCCTGATTTCTTGCAGTTGCATCCTCTCGTGTGTCTTGCTGAAGCAGGAGTCTTTCTGCTCTCTTCCTGCAAATGTATTATAAGCTTGAGATACAGAATAAAATCTCACTGCCTCTCTCGTTGCAACCATACTTAGGTTCATCAGCAAATAAAGACAAGTTCGTAGAGTCTATTTTTATTCTTTATGTATTTGAGCTCATTGTTGATCTCATTTTATGTCTTACCCCGAAATCTGTAGCAGAATCAGAAGTCGAGATCACTTTTGGAGCAAAAGCTAATGGGTTGCGATCTTCAATCATTCGACGAGTTTTCATAACTATGTCTTCATGAATTGGCCTATTGAAACAGTTTTGACACGAACAAGGTTCAATACAGTATACACCAGCAGCAAAACAATCGCAGTACCTGTAACAAATGATGCAGAAAAAATATCAGGTGATATGAAAGTAGTGACTGACAGGAAAACAGATGTTTTAGGCATTTAAAAATTGTGTGAGGAGAATGATGTTCAGAAAAGAACTTACAGCTTCAAGCATTTGGATTTCCTACATCTACAGCGCTTACAGCTGCCAAGTTCCTCAGACCATTCTCCTTCCAAAGAACTCGCAGGAGCCTTCTCCATGGTTTTGTTATCACAAGAAACCAAATCTCTATTAGTGGAAACAGGAGTTGAGCATTCATCTTCACCATGAGATAAAACACAGCCTTCTTTGGAAATTAGTTTAATTTGGTAACTTGAGACTGAGGGGTTCACGAGACTATTCAAGTGCAGGCCAATTGTTCGTGGTATGGGTAGAATCTCATCAGTATCTTGTTTGCTGGAGTCTAAACATTTATGAGGATTAGGAGCTCTGTTGAGAGATGTAAAATCAGGGGGAAGATCGTTTGAAGAATCACGCAAAGGTATTCTTTTGTAAGATCCTCCCACGCCAAAAGTCAAGCAGCGCCTGCGTACACTCCGTTGCTGCAAGAATAACTAATATTTATTAGCAAAGTTCTTTTCAAATCAATATATTAACTAGCAGATTAAAATAATTATGCTTGCAATAGCGAAACAAATGATCTAACTGACAAAAATCCACCTGAAGTGTAAGACTCAGACACTTACCTTGTGACTGGGTTGTATTCCTGCTTCTTTCTTGTCTTCAGCATTGGCAGTTGAATCAATAGCTGCAACGTTGGATGAACTGCTGAGTGGGCTGTCTGGAACTCCAACTGCAACTAGCACACTACTAGAACCTCCAGGCTCTACTACATTCCCTGAGTTATTACAGCAGATAGACAGCTGCTGAGGCGCAGAAGTAAAAGAATTAAATCTAGGATCCTTGGCCTGAAGAATTTCTTTCTCACTGTTCTGGATACCAGCAACATCAAACAATTTTAACCCTGCACAAGACCCAATCTCAGCTTCCAAATCTTCCGTTTGAATCACCCCATCTGAATCGGCATCAAGTTCATTAGGCTGTCTACATAACTCATCAGATTGCTTTCTCGATCCAAAACTACCTATTTCCTTTTCAGCATCCATTGTTGCTACTTCATCACAAGAAACCATTCGAATATCACATCCATCCTTTCCGTTGGTCAGTGAATTCGCCAACTCAATTGCTAAGCTAACCTGCTCCTTAAATGGCTTGGTTTCAGAAACATTTTCCAACTGCTCAGGTCTACACTTTAGCTGCTCCTCGCATAGACCGGATATCTTAACACCTTCCAGAACATCTGGTGAGCTTTTTACATTCTCACCAAGGAGGATTACTGGACTAGATAGATCTAAAGAACGATGCCTAAAGAAAGGTACATAACCACCCAAAAATACCATTTTCAGCATATAAAATTCCAACAACAAATCTTTCTCCTCTCAACAAGACAACTTAAAGGAAAAGAAAAAAAAAAACAGGTTACCTTTTGATGGAAAATCTGGAATCTCGGCAAGAGTTCATCTGCGGTGAACTAAATAGAGATGATGGAGATGCAAAATCCAATGAGTGCAAGATATTATCAGCGTGTTCTGCCTTTACTGGTTCTATGGGGGAAAGGCCATTAATATATTGAAACACTGGAGAATCCTGCAGATTAACGGATTATACTTAAAATCTAGCTAGTTGCAACTCGATTCAACAACACAGAAGTGTGAAAAAAATACATATAAAATGATCTAGTTATAGAAATTTGAAGAACGAGATATGGTGGCCCAAATTTTAAGTTTTTGCTAATCTAGTAAACATCGGAGAACGTAGAGGGAAGAAAACTCTGATCGACTCAAATAGTTTGAAAATTAAGCCAATCATAGACCTTAAAAAGCTAATTTCAACCCAAAAAATCAGACAAATTATGGAGACCAAACAGTAATGGGTCCGATGAACAAGAGCTAATTCAGGAAACATCTACATGTAAATTCACTCGGAAAACTTCATCCACTCTGAGAAAAGATAATTAAATCTAAATTAGGAACAGAACCAAAAATTAGGATCGAGAGAAAACCTCAAAGCTGCAGAACGAAACGGCGGAGACGCGGTTCTTCTCTGGTGTGTCCATCTCCGGAGAGATTTATTCTCACTGGGTCGTACTCAATATCGCCTCCCTGCAAAGCCGTAACTCCTCCAGACGCAATCGACTCACGAAGCCCTAAGAAGAAGAAGACGAAGATGAAGAAAGTCGATCGGTTACTGAAGAAAAAAGAAGGTGGAGATTTCAATGGAGGAGGAGCGGGAAAGCGGGAAAAAGAAATTAATAATGTGAAATGAAAAGCCGTGGTTTTGCTTTTCTCTAGAGAAAAATAAAATATATAAAGAAAAGATAGATCTATGGGCTTTTTATCTGAGATCTTCTTAAACCCTTATGGGCCTAATAAGAAACTAGATTATTGATTACTTTTCCTTCTTAGTTAGTAATCAAAACAATAAGGAACCAGAAAATTTGACCAAACCGGGTTCCGCTAACGTACGTCGGTACGTAGGGTGGGGTCAAGGTGGCATGGTCTAGGAAACTGATGCGACAGTAATGTCATGGCCTTATTATTACAGAACTAGACAGAAAGGCAAACATGTGATGATTCCACAAAGACCCAAAAGAAAAAATGTCGAAGCCATAGGAAGCATTATCAAGGACACATCTATGTCTCTCTTTCTCATTAACCAAAGCTTTTCAAGATTCCCCACAGACAAAAAGAGCCAAAAAGAGAGATGTGATCAAGCCAAACGGCAAGCAGTTTCAGAGTTTCTCTACAAAACTGTATGCAGTTTTTGGTCAGGGTCCCCCAACGCATCGAGATATCCAAATCTAAAAGTTTGAATTGACGTATAAAGACTAAACTAACTTGGCTTGCTCTAAAAGATCTTTCTCTGACTTGACAATCCAAGAGAACTTTGATGTTCTTACAAGCAAGAGTGCAAAGCTGTACACTTTTTTGGTGGACATACAATCATAAACTTATGCAAAGTCTCAAGTCACGGATTCATGTTATTTGCTCGGAAATCTCCGAATAGGAACAAGAACAGATTCAAGGAACAGTGTTTAATCGATGTTTGGACAAACCCAACAATCCAAAACATAATTCATAGAGTATCTTCGAAACTAGAATAGCAAGAGTTTTGTTTGAACCAAGTTAAAGACTCTGCCAAAACCATAATAAACAAGATGATGCCCAATAAAATCTGATATTTTTCAGCAGTCTTGGATTGCTAGAGAAGAGGCCATAACAAGGAAATAATTGAAATGTGGAAACTTTAAGAACCATGACCTACTGATTCACAATTCAGGAATCTTCAAGTACAAACCCATGTCTCCCAATATTCCTTGACAGAATACTCTTTATACCTGTAGAAACTGCGCACAGCTTGATAATGGCATCGGACTTAACAAAGTTCTATATACAATTTCTGAAAAGGTATGGCGAGAAACAAAACCAAAGGCATGATATATCTTTAGGTAGGATACTAACGCTTAATACATTGAATCAAGACAGCTCAAATGCAACAAGATTATCTTCATAATTCTCTAGAGACCATCTTTACGGGCACTATATAGGTAGAAGGATAATAATCTTTGAGGTAACCACTAGCTTCAGCTCAGGCAACTGTAATCTGATATCTCCATAAATGAGCAGCGAAATACCATAATAGAAGAAAGATCATAAGCCAAAGAAACTCGTATCTGGACATTATTCACCCAAAGAACAAAACAGAGTATCTTGGTTCCTTGATTTGGGACCAAAGGAATCGACTTTGAATAAGAGTCTTTACAAGCCTCGTGTAGAAACTTTGACATATGAAACTGATATATACGACGGTCAAGTCCTCGGAAATATAATTGAAACCCATCGATCATATGATAAATAAATGGACAAGAATCAACAGTTCCTTTTTAGCACTCAAGATAAAGAAAAGAACTCTCAAAACTTCTTCTTCTCTACTCGTTCTTCCAAGCGTACAGAATCAATGAAAAGCCAAAACTTTGAGGTTTCGAGCTAGTTGGGACCTGCGTGAAAGACCAGGTCTTTTCAACAGATTGACAAGTCCTGAACATAAATACTGCATTTCCTGGTGATGATGGCAGCCCGAAGAACCAACTGTGGACATCCCAGAGAACTTCCACAGAGATCCTGTTGACAATTATCGTATCATTCCCACGGAACTTCCAGTGAAGCCTCTTAACCTGCATCAAGGTCTTTCCATCAACCCGAACAACGAGGCAAGGATCACTGATACTGGTGTCACATTCGATCACAAGATCGTGGGTTTTGCCATCACCTGAAAACTGAGCTTTTGTTGCAAACGTTCTCTTACCAAAGACATGCTCTTTCTTGCCAATGAACACAGCACCCAGTGATGAAGAAGGTGCAGCGTTAGTCTTTCTGAAAGCTTCTTTCTTCATATCACCGAGAAGAAGAGCCATTTCTTTGTCCACAACAACGCCAACATAAAACCCTCCTAAAGGTTCAGGGCTGGATCCGAATTTTGCGGACGAGAGATCCCAGAAAACATCGATATTACAGGAATACGCCTCTAGATTCTTGGACCCTTTTCGTTTAGTGAAGAGCCACGGCTTAATCTCTACTTTACACAGACTTCGGTTGCAAGAATCATCAACTCCCACGGTTACACATTGACCCATCAGATTCTTAGTCCATGTGACTGTGATCAAGCAAGTCCTACCTCGGATGCGGCAACGGTAGATGCAAATGACCAAATTCTGGGCAATTTTTCCCACGTTCGAGGAAGACGAATCCGCAATCTGAACGCCATTTTCACCAGAGCAAGAAGGAAAGTCTCTCATTTCTTACAGAATTCCAATTTCAGCGTCTCTCTCTCTCCGGAATTTCAACAAACACCTTGTGGCCAATCTGCTAAGAAGATGCCGAGAACTTACTTCAAATACTGAGATAGATTAGTAACGGGAATCGTGAAATGAAAGTCAGAATTTACCTGGAAGGAATGAGTTTCATCAAAGAAAGAGAAACCCAATCTCAAAAACGCATCGAAGTCAGGAAAATATCAACAGATTTGATCTGGGTTTTCTCAAATGGATCCATCTTCTCCAAGGAAATTCATCGACCAAGGAGGAAAAGAAGTTGGAGAAAGCCTGAGACTCCGGGAGGGAGAGAGAAAATGCAAAAGGCAAATCGCCAAAGTTGAGGGGAATGTGTGCTATAGTAGTCAGTCAGTCAAATTAGACAGAAACAGACAAAAAGGAGACTTTGTTTCACTGTCGACTGATTTTTTACACGTTAAATAATTACCGTTTTGTTTATAGTGTGCTATTTTAAATTTTGTCTCGTTACTCTTTGATTAAAAGATTTTTCTCTTTTTATGAATGTCTATGAAAACTAGGATAGAGTTTAGAATGGTTTACGGTGTAAACGTGTGCCATTCCATGACTAGTTGTCATGCATTTAATGCCCACTACTGAGCCCATACTTTTCTACTTTCTTGGGCCTCTCTTAGGGTTTGACAGTCACACTAATTAAGTAGTTAGAGATTGATATTTTTTTTTTAATTAGTAATCACTAATCAGCTGAGAAATCGGAGGGAAGTTTGGTTGAAAAGTTGAAACAAACTCTAAGTCAGAGGTTGAACACTTCGAAGTACTAACCAGTTTGTTAAAATGATCATTACCAATTTGATCATATCTTATTTAGGATTGGTAATGTTAACTTCGGTTGTCAATTTATTATTATTGTTCTTTCGTTTCAAGTTTTTTTTTTTTTTTTGGGTTGGCATTACTATTGCGAAAGTCTTTGAATAGTTAAATATCAAGTAAGGTTTACATCTATTTTTCAGATTGAAATTTGGACCGACCTGTATTAAGGTAGGTCCCAGCTTAACATTATTTACTTGGGAAGTTGGGATATGATTCTCTTATCGTAGTTTCATTTTCGTTATTAATAATATTGCTGTTGATGTTATTTGTTATTTTATATTAATTATATAAAGTTAATAATCCGTCTCCCTACCTACAAAATAAATTGGTATGAAGGAGATATCTCAGAGAAAACAAAACAATTGTTATCAAGTAGATTATCCATTTTTGAAAATTGCTTTATCATATTTCAGATTGGGCCTCAGTTCCTTGTGAAAACACACACACACTAGACGTTTAAGTGGCTAACTCTAACCAATGCATATGTTCCTCGAGTTAAACCAGTTTTCGGATTTTTCTAAATGAAAAATGAGTTTTTGTTCAGTATTAAACCAGTAGATACTGAACAATTCAATTTGTTTTGTTCTAAATTTGGTTCAGTTCAATTTGCTTTGTTCTAAATGAAATAAGTTTGATTCAGTTTAATACTGGCATTTTCGGTTTAAGTAATAACCGGATAAGTTTTTTGATTATTTTAAACAAAAGGTTTATCCCACTGAACACAGTGACGCCACATCACAAGAAGTTTGTTCATCGCTCATATGACTCGCTTACTTCTTCGTTCTTCCTCTCTAATTTAAGGGAAAAAATATGTTTTTGTGAATAAGCAGACCGATAAATCATTTTCCTGCTCTTATCTCAGTTGATTGGCTATGGCTTCTTCAATCGTTTTTGCTGCAGCTCCGGCTACTGGGTTTCTCTCTGTTCCTCCATTGAAGGCTCGGAGATTTTATGTTAGTTCTTCACTCGACTCCGATGTTTCCGACATGAGTGTTAACGGTAATAGTGAAACAAAAATTTGAACCTTTACTGTCTCCTCTGTATTAGGTTGATTGCTTTGGATTCTGGGTATTTGAATTGGATACCTTTTTCTTGAGAAAATCGGAAACTTTGGTTGTTTTGATGGAAATTTTGAGAAATTTGTCATGTATCTGGCTTTAAGGGCGTAGCTTTATGCCACGAACAATCCCGCTTTTGAAGAATATGAGGTTTCAATTCTCACGAGGACTCCGTTGCTTTGGTTTAATCCCAATCTATTAAATTCATGAGAATTTCTTGGCATATAAATGAATTATGAACTCTGAAGGTTTAGATGGAAAGATGAAGCTCTTTTAGCTTCTCTGGGCAAATCATTAGTATTGGAAATGGAGAGCTAGGTCAATATTTTACAGTCAGTCCAAGATTCTCTTTTGTTTATGTGTTGATTCGTTCAGCATCAGTTAGTTCATCCATGGGAAGTAGTAGCGGTTGAGGAATCCAATGACATCTGAAAACTCACTGGAAGTCAAGTTTCGATTGAGTTTCCAGATTAGAAAAAAAACTGTCTTCTTTGTGCGGTGATGATTTGGAATATCATGATTTTTGGGTCTTTTTCTTACCGTTTAGATGTGCTGTTTATAAATGCAGCTCCAAAAGGGCTATTTCCTCCAGAGCCTGTTCCGTACAAGGGACCAAAGCTGAAAGTAGCTATTATAGGAGCTGGACTTGCAGGCATGTCAACTGCTGTAGAGCTTCTGGATCAGGGCCATGAGGTGTTTTAATCGTTGCCTTTAGTCTTTTTTTTTTTTTACCTTTGATTGGGTTACATAAACGTGTTAAAACGTTGTTTTTGTTTCAGGTGGATATATATGATTCAAGGACATTCATTGGTGGCAAAGTGGGTTCTTTTGTAGATAAACGCGGGAACCATATCGAAATGGGACTACATGTTTTCTTCGGATGCTACAATAATCTCTTCCGCTTGATGAAAAAGGTTTTTGTTTCACAAAACTTCCGCTTGAGTTTGCTTGATGATTGAAAATTTTTGACACTCATATATAGAGGTTTTTTTGCGATGTAGGTGGGAGCTGACAAAAACCTTCTTGTCAAAGACCACACTCATACATTTATAAACAAAGGCAGCGAAATTGGAGGTATGTCTCAGTTCATTATTCTCTTACTATGATCGCACATGTAATTTCACCATACTGAGATGTGCTTAATCTTTGTAGAGCTTGATTTTCGATTTCCTGTTGGAGCTCCAATTCACGGTATTCGCGCATTTTTAATCACAAATCAACTCAAGGTAAAAGTTACACTTCTCAATTCAAATTTGTTACTGTTGGACTTAGAAGATAAATATCTCTAGAGGCACCAAAATCTTTGAGCACTTTTCCTCAGTAGAAAAATCAGGCACCTTTTATGTTGAATGTCATAGCAAAAGATTAGTAAATTCTTACTTTTGTACCAATTTGGAGCTGACTATAGGCTTATTCTTGTTTTGGCCTAACAGCCCTTTGACAAACTGAGGAATTCACTGGCTCTTGCATTAAGCCCGGTCGTTAAAGCTCTTGTTGACCCCGATGGAGCAATGAGAGACATTCGCAATCTGGACAGTGTAAAGAATGATAGATAACCTCTGTTTGTTCTCATTTCTTACTTGGATTTTGTATTTCTCTAAAATTTCTGAGATACTTTTTGCAGATAAGCTTTTCGGATTGGTTCCTGTCGAAAGGTGGGACACGAGCAAGTATCCAGAGAATGTGGGATCCTGTTGCTTATGCACTCGGCTTCATAGATTGTGATAACATGAGTGCGCGATGCATGCTTACCATATTCTCATTATTCGCCACCAAAACAGAAGCTTCTCTGTTGCGTATGCTCAAGGGCTCGCCTGATGTTTACTTGAGTGGTCCTATCAAACAATATATCACAGATAGAGGTGGCAGGTGTGTATAAGTGTGTCTGTTATTATCTATAACAATGGATGCTAACATTCATCATCTTATCGGCTTATCGAGTATTTCTTTCGTGTCTTCAAAAACAGAATCCATCTAAGGTGGGGTTGCAGGGAGATACTTTATGATAAATCAGCAGATGGAGAAACTTATGTTACAGGACTAGCTGTTTCCAAGGTGAATTTTTGCTCCTGACATCGGATTTAACTGCCTGGAAAATTGTCTGAACACATTCTGAAATTTTGCTGCTTTCGGGTAGAGAAAAAGTTTGAAACATTGCTACAGAAAGTTTAAAACTTTTTTCTTTGATTTGCTTTCAGGCTACGAACAAGAAGATTGTGAAAGCTGATGTGTATGTTGCAGCATGTGATGTGCCGGGAATCAAAAGGTTACTTCCCCAAGAATGGCGGGAATCTCGGTTTTTCAACGATATATATGAACTCGAGGGAGTACCGGTTTGTACAGTACAGCTCAGATACAATGGTTGGGTCACTGAGCTTCAAGACATTGAACTTGCGAGGTTCGTTTCTCAAGAATCTTATGTTATGGGATGATGATGATTATGGATTGATTATATTTACCCGAGTCTTTGTTTTGTGTTGCGGAAAATTGTAGGCAGTTGAAACGAGCAGTTGGTTTAGATAACCTTCTCTACACTCCTGATGCTGATTTCTCGTGTTTTGCGGATCTTGCACTCGCTTCGCCTGCAGATTATTATATTGAAGGACAAGGCTCTCTGCTTCAGTAAGAAACAACGACCCTTTCTTTCTACAAAATATCTTGCAGGTCTCTCGGTTTCTTGAACATAAGCTCTGTTTATACAGGTGCGTTTTAACGCCAGGAGATCCATACATGCGATTAACGAACGATAAGATCATAGAGAAAGTAGCGATGCAGGTACAAGATCAGTGGTTAAATTCTCTAAACTTGAGATTTTTTTTTTTTCGCCAAATTGAATACTTAATGTTTCTCAAATCTTTGTTCAGGTCACCGAGTTGTTTCCATCGTCACGGAGTCTAGAAGTCACTTGGTCATCAGTTGTCAAAATTGCTCAGTCTCTGTACCGTGAAGCACCCGGCAAAGATCCATTCAGACCCGATCAGAAGACGCCCGTTAAGAATTTCTTCCTTGCTGGTTCATACACAAAGCAGGTAACTTTTTTTACGAACAACAATTTTTCACAAACAGTGGCAAAATGCAAAGCAAGAACTGCCTCTAGATTGCCGTCTGAGAATTTTTGTTCGTGAACATTTTTGCAGGATTACATAGATAGTATGGAGGGAGCGACATTGTCGGGGAGACAAGCTTCTTCATACATCTGTGACGCCGGTGAAGAACTCGCAGAGTTAAACAAGAAGCTTTCTTCATCTACAGATGGTGCCTCTGCAACTACGGTTTCTGATGAGCTAAGTCTCGTCTAGTGATGGAAAATGTTTGAAAGTTGATTCCCATGGTACAAGAAGAAGCATGTGTAGAAAACTTTTATAGTGTTCATAAGAGAAGGCATTTGTATAATCACAACAATCTTTTGAAATCAATGATTCTTACAACTGACATCGATTTCACAAAACAATCTTTACGATTTCAGAAGATTTTTTTAGTCGAAAAACGAGAGACACCAGTTATATTTATCATCCACATCTCACCCTTGCAGTTAATTTTATGACACAAAAGACCTTAAAATCGGAAAAGAAATGGGTTGTGGTACTTAAAATGAATAAATAAAAGTTTTAGGGTGCATTTTGTCGTTTCCAAATCCTTGGGGGATGGCTTCTAAAATGTTTTTAGTAGCTCGAAAATATGCGGCGGAGCCATGCCGGTGTTTGATAATTGCTAAGAAAATGGCGGGAGTGGCTTGCCAGATATCACTCAGCTCATCATCGACCCTGAGGGTGAGTGGTATCTGTTGATTTACGATTCCTTTGACTTTGTTTTTGTTGGTTTCAGTTTTTGGTTATTCGTTTTGCAGAGGGTTGGTCATCGGCCGAGATGCTTCTCTGGTTCGCCGGAGAAGAGAACGCCGGCTATTCTGAAATGGGCGGTTGGCGGAGTCACTGAATTGCTCCGGCTCGCTTCGTCACCTTCTTCTTCCATCCCTAAAAACAAGGATAGGTAATCTCGAAAGCTTCCGATCAAGGTTTCTTATTCCTCTTGTTCGTGTTTGTTCTCGTGAATGATCGATTGAAACTGGCCCATAGATCGAATTCAGAGGTTACAGATCGAGATGTTGATGATGTGATGGGAATTTTGACAACAGATTATGGGAATGCGTATTTCGTCACAGGTTATTTGACTCTCTCATCTTCATCACGTATTTAGATTTGGAAACTGCTTGTTACTTGGGTTTTCTAAAGATCATAATAACTATTAAGCTTTCCCATTCACAAACTAAGCTCAGACACAAAACTCATTCCTTTAAATGGTACCAGGAATCTTCACTTGTGCAGTTTACTCGGATGATTGCATCTTCGAGGACCCAACAATCAGCTTCCAGGGTGAGGAATTACATTATCCTTCTTAAGCAATTTCTGTTTGTTCTTCAGTGATCAGTGTGTATCTACTTGAACAATTGTAGAACAATTCTGATCTTCATGTGTTTGTGAAGCCTGGTAGATTGGTGGGATCAGATCAGCTTGTTCTTGTGTTTCAGATCCTAAGTGTTGATATGAGAATAAACTAGTCTCTTTTGGGTTTTGTATTTTGCAGGTACGGATTTGTATGAACGCAACTTGAGATTACTGGTTCCGTTCCTCGAAGATGCATCCATTGAACTGCAAAATATGGAGAAAGTAAGCCTTTTTTTAGATCCTAGTCTCATGTTGTAAAATGCTCTCAATGTTGTTGAAATCGATTTAACACATTACCAACATTACAGAGTGTGTCGTCCCAAATAAACTATATACGGGCGACATGGAAGCTAAGGTATTCTGATGGAACTTTTTTAACACTTATTTTGCGTCATCTTTAATGTTTACCTCTTCCACAATGATGTTTTCAGGACTTACCTGAAACTTCCATGGAGACCATTGATATCGATCAACGGAAGTACGGTCTATGAACTTGATGGAGATTTCAAAGTAAGAAAAGACTGAAACTTTGGCTCTTTCGATCATAATAATAAGATTGTGTCCATCTTTTTGTCTGAGACATTTGGTTTTTGTACAAGATTGTGAGGCATGTCGAGAGCTGGAATGTATCGGCGGTTGAAGCAATCAGGCAGATATTCACTGTCAACTCTTTTCCCTCTCGTGGCTGAGAGTCCTAACCACACTAAGATTCATGCATCCATCCATGCTCCATAGAATGTCTACTGTAAATTTTTAGTTTAAGTGTTTACCGGATTTGCCAAGTCAAAATTGGAAATCATAACAGCAGATAAATTGTCAAAATCAACTTTCTATTGTTGGTATATAGTAGAGCTATATATATAATATATATTTCTCTGATTTGTTCCAAGGTTCTTTTCTTGACCATTGAGTATATAACTTTCTCAGTTATTAGTAATGTGCAAGATTTTTAAACGACAATGAAATGAAAAGTTTGAGTTGAGTCGAGGCTTCTAGTAGTATTCAAAATATATTGGATATTTTCCAGTTTCACACATCACACTCGAGACTTGTTTAGATTTGACATGTGTATGTATTTTTTTTTTTTTTTTCATGTGAAAATATGCATTTTTTAGATTTTTAATGTTTACAGTGGAAGAGACAGCCCAAAAATGTACAAAACAAACTTAATTGGTAGAAACAATCAAACAAAGAAATCAAATAAAAAAATCCGTAACCAATTGATAAGAAAATAAATCGTAATTTTAATGGTTATTACTTATTAATCAATTCTATGCGTTTCTGTAATTATATCGATTAGTTGTACGTTATATCATTCATAAATTTATCGTCAATACTAATTATGTCCAAGCATATCCTATCAATTATAATCACCATTATTTTGTTTTTGTCAGCTAATCGTCAGTATTCAGAGATTAGACGGATAGTTGGATCCACATGCATAGTTAATTTAATATTCGTTTAAGTGACAAGGAGATATATTGTCAGTATCTTACAAAAAATAATTTTGTTTATAAAAGTAATTAATTGAGGTTAGGTGTTGTGAACTTTGTGATTGCTTTTGGGATTACCTACTAGTTATTTCCGTACGGGCAACCACGGAATCACCAGCCAAGTAGTCAAACAAGGTCCAACTTAATAATCAATTAATCGTTATTTATTAGTGAAATTTTAATTGCTCTTATTTTAAGTTAGATATTTAAGGATTATTCTCTTTATCATAAAGCAAATTATCTTTACTTTACTGTATAAATGTCGGTCAATCTCTTCCAATAATGAATTTATTTCATATGTGCATATTATCGAAGCATCATTGGTAGTTTAAAAATCGAATATGAAATATTCTGCATGAAACATAATGAAAAGCCTTTACCAAAAAAAAAAAACATAATGAAAAGTTGATCAACATGACGTTACCATCACGGTTTACTTAAAAAATTCATTCTCATGCTTTTCGTAGGTTGCTGAATCTGCTGATAAAAATATCGCTGTTTTCTTCTGCGGCCACCTTCAAGCTTTTTTTTTTACAGTATATTGAAAATATAATATCGTTCAAACCACACGAGTTCAGGAACTTTTATATTTTATAGTTGTAAAGTATAAATGATATTTGCAATTAAGCAGTAATTAACCTAGCTTGTTCAAAAAAAAATTGAGCAGTAACCTGTATAGATAAATAAATAAAGAGAAAATGAATACCAAGCAAACGAAACTTTATGATAAAGTTTAATGGTATATAGAGGAAAAGGCCAAATGGATAAGGTTTGGGGTTGGTCTGGTTCATTATCACAAACAAGTCCTATTTGCTTTTTTTCATTTAAAAGGCTATGATGATCGTGCATGTCTTTGTATTCACCCACATGCACATCACCACATGTGTGTTCCTCATCTAAAATTATTTTAGATGGCCCCCCGTCGATCTAATTTTATGGTTTATTAATTAAATACATACTAATTTTCTGTTTGGCCGTGTAATACAACGTAAATTTGTCTCGTTTCCTGCCGATTTAAACAAGGGTTAATGGTCGAAGGGATATATCGAAAAATAACGATCAGATATAATTTAGTTTTAAAAATAATCACGGGCATGAAAATTGCTCTGAATATATTACATTTGTATTCATGTATTGAGTGATATGTATGTTGTATTCATTGTTTTGACACGATTTATACTGATGATTTCTTCTAAATTTTTTAAAGATATTGACAATACCGATTATTTATAGGCATTCTAATATGTAAATGGTTATTAAAGACCATATAATACTACGTATACATGAACTAATAGTTGAATTGCATATGATTATTGTTAACTTTAATATATCTGATTTATATCTGAGTTGATGTATGGTCAAGATAGTGTGTGATCACGCAAGCAACTTGACACGTGGCCAAACTAGCCTTGGTTGCCTCCTTCGGAACATCCAGTCGACATGCTAATGTATTGTCTCGCTGTCTACAAATCCCATTTTAGGTTTTTATTTGAGTGTTTTTTTTTTCTTTTTTATTTCTAAAGCTTCTAATGGTAAACATTAGTTAGTTCGGTTATATAGCGCAAGCCGAAGTATAAAGGCTTTGTCATTAAGATGTAGTTGGCGTCGATTATATCATATTTGTAATCGGGCGTTTAATGTATTATGTATACATAAGTATCCAATACAGTTTGGTTTCACTTATTCACTATCTTCATAAAATCGAGTATGGGTTAAAACATCAGTAGTATGGATAAAACATAGTCTAGAGAAATGCGATGGAAATATTTATAAATTGAAATAACTAGTACAAATTTTGGATGTGAAATTATTAGTAACTTTTACATATGCATGTGACAAACTCTTTTATTTACTGACAAAAATAAGTTTTTTTTTTCTCCGTTAACTCAGTATTCACATTTCTTTATTTCAGTGTTAGAAATATTTCATGTGAAACAAGAGCATAAGAAAACATAATATCAAAAGTTATAAAACTCATAATATCTAGCCCGTATTTTTTTTATATCTAAATATGGTGGTTCATATATAATACATTACAGATATTAAAATAGAAGTCAGTTTGAGATTGACCAAAACTCTCAAATCTCACATCATCGATCTTCAAAACTTCATATGGAAGTCAGCGTAAACTTAAAATAGTACATACTAATATGAGTTGATTCATTTATTCCCATTGGTTGTGAATTAGTAATATATGAGACTTGACGCAAAGTAAGTTAGCAAAACAATATCGAATATTTCACTTAAATTAATACTATATGGTCAAACTTCGTAGTGCAATTGGTAGCTAGCAAATGGGATACCATTCGGAATGGTCCATTTCCCACCACTGAACGTAATCATACAACAATGATCATTTCAAAAATATTTAAATAACAATAGGTGAAATAATACCATTATTGACATATAAGCCATCTACATATCCAATACAATCGCAATCCACATAATGGAAACAAAAAACGTTTGGAACAGTCGATCTATAGCATTATTAACACTTTATATGAAAAATAACTCGTTTTGATTTTCGATTGCTCTAATTGAAGTTATTAGTAACATATTCTGTATAATGCTAAATAGTAACCTGTTAATATTTTAAAGAATTCAGTTGGCTCTATGGAGAGTTTTTTTTTTTTTTTAAGAATTCAGTTGGCTACTGCATGTAGACAATGTTATTCAGCCGATTAGTTTATTCAGCTACTTTTAAACTTTCATCAAAAAGTTAAAACTACCCTAATTAATTTATAAATTAGTTAGAAAAAAAATTAATTTTACCGTATAAACCGTTGCTACTACTGAGACTTATTACAACTGTTGACAAAAGGAACAAAAAAATAGATAAGAGACTTTTATGACCAAAAAAAATAAAAAAAATTCAACGGTTGATATTTGATATTTTGTTTTAGTTTTACCCCTTTTGGACCACCGTACCACAAGAAACGCGCACCGTCTTTGTCTTCTCTCACGAGGTGGTTGTATTTCTCTGTAATAACCCTCAACAAAAAAAAAAAAACTTCCATTGAACTATTGAAGAAAGCTTACCTTGTCTGTCTTCTAAGCTCAAATCACCTTCTCTCTCTCTCTTTATAGAGTATTTATTATAATGTAATAATGAGAGTAAATACAGATACTGTTCTTATCTACATGAGTTTCATATCTTCTCTGTTCAACTCATTATGTTAGAAGAACAAAGACGATTATGAAGAAATTGCTATAAGAAGAAACCCAAACTCACCCTTACAATAAAAAAGAGAGAAATTTATTGGTAGATCTAATTATAAACATTTTTCTTTTTCTTTTGGGAATTTTTTTTGTGCTGATTGGGAGAAAAAGATGAGCAATCTGAGTTATCTTGAACCAGATTACTCTGAGTTCGTTGAAGTTGATCCTACGGGAAGATATGGAAGAGTAAAGATTCCTCTCAATTAATCTCTCAAAATCAAATCTCAATTATTATTTTGTTTCATCTTTGTTGAGTTTATCGTTATTGCTATTGTTGTTGCAGTATAATGAAGTTCTGGGTAAAGGAGCTTCAAAGACTGTGTAATAATCAAATCTCTCACTCGAATTCACTTCTTCTCTTCTCTTTTCTGCTGGTGTTTCTGTTATTATTCTCTCAAAAAATTTCAACTTTTTTTTACTTTGGATCTGATGATGGATTTAACCCTAAGCTGGTGTTCTTTCTTCATAAAGTTTGAAACCTTTCGATTTCCCAGTCACAACCATTTGTGATCCTTTAAAAAAATCGATTTTTTTCTTTCGATTTTGGTGGGTTTTCTGTTTGTGTTCGGTTCATGATTTGAATCTAATCCTTGAAAAGAAGAAGACAAAAAAGTTGAGCTTTTTTTTTTTTGTTTTTCTGCTTATTCGAATCACTTCTAGTTCGGTAGATTAGTTTCCTGCAACCGAAAAATTGCTATTTTTGGATCTCTTTATTGCTTTGACCTAAACCCAATTCAGATTCTGCAAAACAAAGAGCTTGTTTGATCATACACACAATAAACGTTTTCTTCTGCTCTCTTTCTTTTGATATGTAGTTACAGAGCATTTGATGAGTATGAAGGGATAGAAGTAGCATGGAACCAAGTAAAGCTCTACGATTTCTTACAGAGCCCTGAGGATCTTGAGAGGCTTTACTGTGAGATTCATCTCCTAAAGACCCTAAAACACAAGAACATCATGAAATTCTACACCTCTTGGGTCGATACCGCCAATCGAAACATCAATTTTGTTACTGAAATGTTCACTTCTGGCACCTTAAGACAGTAAGATTCTCTTGACAAACAAGCTTGTTCTCGTTGATCACTGTACCTTTTTGGCTCTTACATGATTTCTTATAATGGATCCAATTCAGGTATAGACTCAGGCATAAGAGAGTGAACATAAGAGCGGTGAAGCATTGGTGTAGACAGATCTTGAGAGGCCTACATTATCTTCACAGCCACGACCCTCCTGTAATCCACAGGGATCTCAAATGTGACAACATTTTCGTTAATGGGAATCAAGGAGAGGTCAAGATTGGAGATCTTGGCCTCGCTGCCATTTTAAGAAAGTCCCACGCTGCTCACTGTGTCGGTATATACATAATCCAAATCAGATCCCTACATTCTTTTCTGCTGAGTTGTGTTTTTTGTTTCTGACTGTGAAAGTTTTCGGCTTTTGTTAGGGACGCCTGAGTTCATGGCTCCTGAAGTTTACGAAGAAGCGTATAACGAACTGGTCGATATATACTCTTTCGGTATGTGCATTTTGGAAATGGTTACGTTTGATTACCCGTACAGTGAATGTACTCACCCTGCTCAGATCTACAAGAAAGTTATGTCGGTGAGACTCTCCATATACTAAAAATACAAAAGATAAAAAAGGATTCGTCTCTTTTCTGTTTCAAAAGGCCGTGAATATTTGAGCTAAAAAAGTTCGGTTTCAGGGAAAGAAACCGGATGCGTTGTACAAGGTGAAAGACCCCGAGGTTAAATATTTCATAGAGAAATGCTTGGCCACAGTATCGCTTAGAGTCTCTGCTCGTGAGTTACTAGATGACCCTTTTCTTCGAATAGACGATGGTGAATTTGATTTGAGATCAGTTGATATGGATGATTCCGTCGGGCCGCTGGTTAGGCAGCCACATCATCTTGCTGACTACTACAATTACCCGTCGAATAGTAGCTCTCTGAATCGCCAGTACTCAAATGGTTATAACGGCCACCACGAGTATCCAAACGGGTGGGCGTATAATCCAGCAGAGACAGAGGAGACTCACGGAATCGAGCTCTTTGAGTGTCGAAACGAAAATGACCAAGAAGAAGACAAGAGCTCTGGTAATGTTGATATTAGCATCAAAGGCAAGAGAAGAGATGATGGTGGCTTATTCTTGCGTCTTAGGATCACTGACAAAGAAGGTAACAACAGTCATAAAGTTTCTGTTTTTTTTTTTTTCTTTCGTTCTAAAACTAGAATCTTTGGGTTTATAAGTACAAAAGACTTAAACTTTGGATCATTTTGCTCATGGAATATTTGTTGCAGGGCGTGTCCGGAACATTTACTTCCCATTTGACATCGAGACAGACACGGCACTGAGCGTAGCAACAGAGATGGTAGCGGAACTGGATATGGACGATCACGGAGTCACAAAAATCGCCAACATGATTGACGGTGAGATATCTTCTCTTGTGCCTGGTTGGAGACCTGGCCCTGAATTCGAAGAATCTCTTGCGGCTGCAGCAGCGGCACACGCGAACGCGAATATTTGCAGCAACTGCGTATCAAACCGCACTTCAATGGGGTCGGTGATGGATTTCCTGAGGACCAACCCTGGAGCAAATGTTGCACAATGTTGCAGAAACGGTTGCGGCGAGACTCATGGCCGGTTTGAAGAGATCACAATCAGAGAAACCGAGGTTCGTCTTAGAGAGATCTGGAAGCTGCAGCAGCAGCAGGAAAGCCGCGAGCTTAGCTCGATAGATTCGGGGCAAAACCACTCTGAAGAAGAAGAAGAAGAAGAAGAAGAAGAAGAAGAAGAGGAAGAAGAGGCATACGAGAACCCTGAAATCACGTTTTCTTGCGAGGCAAGTAACCCGATAAACCACCTATCGGGGTCTGGATCGTTCTCGTTTTTGCCGTCTATTTACTGCGATGAGCTAGCCGAGAAAACCGAAAATCAGGTCCAACAGGAGTTAAGATGGCTTAAAGCCAAATGTCAAGTTGAGGTCAGAGATATGCAAGATAAGCATTTAAAATCCCGGTGGCCGGAATCCGGAGAAGAGGCGGATATCTGTCGGAAAGACGGATTCTCGGAATCGGTAGATAAGGTGAAAGAGAAGACGTTTGGAGGAAGTTTGGTACCAAAATGTCTTAAGAGGACAACTTCACTTCTTGTTGATGCCATCGATTCTTGATTACTTCGTGTTTCCTTCATGTATACATATTGTTTGCTATTATGAGACTTTTACACGGTAACACACAACTACACTTCCACTTCAATTCTTTTGGGGTTATTCTCAAAATAATATGCCCTTAGACCCACTTCAGAATTTTCGTGAAAAAACTTGTAACTACGGTAAGATTTTTTAAATATTTTAATTCATATAACGCATCTTTTAAGTGATTAATTACGGCTAAATTTCACATATAGCTTTTTAGCCTTTAATGTAGATGTTATCAAATCACGCATATCAAACGAAACATGCCATATTCACTTTTCAGTAACAAAAAGAAGAAGCAAAAGTTGAGATATTCTTTAAACTTTTTTTTTGTTTTGAACCTTAATCAAATTCAAGGATCAACTTGTTAAAGATATTGTTATGATTTAAAATTAGCTTCGTATCATTATTATTATAGATATTAGATAGCATATATTGGGACATTGTATTTACAAGGTGCCATTAAATGCATGTGCGGGAGAAAATGTAGTAGATGGGTGCGAATTAATGACAAAAATTATGGAGGCGAAATTATTGAGAAATGAAGTAATTTTTCTAATCTTTGTTTCGCTAGGGAAATTTAAAATTCTATGTGGTTTTGCCTTCTAATTTAGTTGAAAAAAAAATTGAAGTTACCTTAGTAATTTTAAGGAAACTAATAAAAAAATATGTTTTCTACAGTTTTCGTAAGAAATTCGGTTGTTGTAAAGTGAAATTGAAGGGGAAAAAAAGAAGAACAAAAGGACAAAAAGTCAATAATGAGTGCAACCCCACAGCAGCACAAGCCCATGTTCTATTGCCGACCAGTCTACTAGAAATTTGGGTTCATCCACATGCATTGCTATTTTTTCACTTCATTTTAATCAAATTCTAATTACATATGTATATAACATTGTTGGTTTGTCGTTACTATATGATTGTTATATAAACGGTTGGAAAAAAAAATTTCTTCTAAAAAATGGTTGGATCTTTCAATAAGACTTTTATTTATTTTTGTCGATATCTACACTAGAAAACGATTCTCCAAGTAAACTGATCTACACCTGGTTTAAAATTTCAGTAGTGACAGAAAATATAGTAGTCTCAACTCGCAAGCTTTAGGACAAAAAAATATGATTAATACCCATTTTTGTAGATATGTATATGTATTTACAAATCACTCGCAAAAAAAATGAAAATAAAAATATCACACGCATCAATAGTTTTCAGTCACATGTGACTCTCATATGATAAGCCTATGTACTATGGTTTCTCTTCCACAATGAAATCTGAAGCTCATCAGATCATATCTTGGAGATCTATTATATAGGTAGATGATAAAATCTTCTATGAAATGTTAGGTGATCATTGTGGTCGTTGCGATTATTTTATAAGTATTTTGTGTAAATAGGTGGTTTCGTGTTTGATGTTTCTCATCATGTTCCATGCAATCACAAGATAACAAATAGCATCTTCGGATTAAGCTTAGTTCTATGTATAAACAAATACTTTTGTTCTTATAAGTTTACTCTTTTTTATTAATCCAAACTTTAAGAAAGTGACGCATCGTCCAATATGCCACATGCCTTTATAAATTTGATAAATGATAACCGCGATAATAATTCGATTTTTTTCTTCTATATAGTTTTTTAAACTTAAGATATTCAAAAATTTTGATTAGTCATATACATGTAGGATCATCGTACAACAACAACAAAAAAGATTAAACGACCCTAACCACAATTAAAGTTGAATGGAAACAATGATTTCTAAAACATGAAAATGGTGTATTATATACCCTGTTCAAGCTCAGCCTCCGAAGTCTATGGTTTAAGAAAATTCCATGGAAACAAGCGGAAAGAAGGATTCAGAAAAAAATGTAGGGACATATATATGAAGAATTGAATTAGGTTGACCCATCAAAAGAAGAAAATAATAATTGATCTTAAAAGAGTCTTAGAAAGTAAAATCTTAAATGGTCGTTTATTGATGACATGTGGTAATGAATATTGTACAGATCAACGTACTCTTTTCGTACCCAACTCCACTTCAGTGCCAACCATTCTTCTCATATCTTCCTCCACTTATTTTCTTGTCGGTCCTTGATCTTTTCCCTCAATATATATATTTTCTTATTGATTTACACATTTTGATAAATATTATATAAGTATCCATTATTATGGATATAATGCAAAGATGCTCTTCACCGGCAACTCAATAATCAAGTATATGGTGTTATTTTTGTCCTAATATATAAATATGGCACTATTTAATTTCTTATGTCGATCTTATATTAGTAATAGTCTAATCATCAACTACCACCTCCAAATAATCTTTTGAGGTGGGAAACCCAACTCATCTGAACATTCGTGTGTGTTTTGCTAATAAGACAGTAAACTTATTAATTTAGTTTCTCATCTTTAAGTAATTATTACTCTTCTTTCACAAATTGTTACTCCAGCACACAATTCTTATTACCGAGGAAAAAGTAATATGTACTGTTGAGGAAACAAGCAGAAATTATCCAACTAAACAAAAATAAAAATTGTATGCCCCGTTTATAATAAAAAGTCTCAAACGAGTTAATTAAACTTAATCCAATCCAACTAAACAAATATCAGACTATTATACGAATTGATTCAACTCTTATGAACTCCTCGGCATAAATAAATCAACTCAATTCCTAAAAGCTTTTGTATTATGTGCCGAAATTATTGGCTAAAATTTGAAAAAAACAATTTGGTACACTTCAAATAAGACAATAGACCAGGCTGAAAAACTTAAAGAAATAAAACAATTAAGCTATAAATACTTAGGCCCATTAAACTCCTCTTGTTTTCCATGTTTTGTTTATAGATCAACCCTGAACTTTAAAACGGATTTCGTTGTCTAGACAAAGATTTAGTAAGCCCAATAAAGTTAAGGCCCATAAAAAGCAGAAAAAGAAAACCCTAAGGAGTTTCGGTATATAAAAGCTACAGCTTTCTTTGCGCGTCTCTTTCTTTTACCCGAGCGGACCAACTCAAGCTTGCAGAGATCTTCGTTTGATCCCGTAGAAATCGCAACCATGGCGGAAAAGGCTGTCACCATCAGAACCCGAAAATTCATGACCAACAGACTTCTCTCCAGGAAGCAGTTCGTAAGTTTCATTTTTTTTTTTACTTTCTAACTCATCTCTATTTCTCTGAAATGCTAATCAGTGTCTTCTGCGTTCGCTTTTATCGGCTTAGATATAGTTTGTTCGTTTCGATCCGACGAGGGTTGTTTAATCTTATTGAAATTGACGTTTTAGGTCAGGTTTTCAGATTGTTGAACCTTATGCAGCGAGAGTGTTTGTCGACTTGTTCATTTGGGTTTAGTATTGATGCCAATTTGATATTTGAAAAAGGGGAACTGAGAAGAGAGTGATTTGATAGTTTCTCATTTCTGAATTCTGACTAACTGGTTTTTAGCTAAGACTTACATCTTATGCATAGCAACTCTAGTAATTCATTTAGTGTTGATTTCGCAGTATTCACTTAGTGGCAATAAAGATTTTGAATGAATTTACTAAGGCTATTGTGGGCTTGTGAATGTAGGTTATTGATGTTCTTCACCCTGGAAGAGCCAATGTTTCAAAGGTATGATCTTTATCGTCACTGTCTAGTTGCTCCATCCCTTTCGAGTTTCAATCATAGACTGAGAGTTTTGACGGTGGAGTTGCTTTTGATTTTACTTAAAAGGCTGAGCTGAAGGAGAAGCTAGCGAGGATGTACGAGGTCAAGGACCCGAATGCCATATTTGTTTTCAAATTTAGAACCCACTTTGGAGGTGGTAAATCTTCTGGGTTTGGTTTGATCTATGATACCGTCGAGAGCGCAAAGAAATTCGAACCCATGTACAGACTTATCAGGGTAAATGCTCTTTCCATTCTTGTTTCCATGATATAACAAACAATGACCCTCTCTGTCTTGAAATGTCTTATCTCCTCCTTTTCAGTCTAGCTTTAGTAAGTAACCAGCTATTACCCTTGATAATAATTAGAGTTTGTCTGTAAAAACTTTTAAGATATGTGACATGTTTCAATATAGAGTTTCATGCGTTGCACTTGGATTATCTTTATGGTTCTACTTAACAAATGGTCGCCTATGTGATTTGCAGAATGGACTTGACACCAAGATCGAGAGATCAAGGAAACAAATGAAGGAAAGGAAGAACCGCGCGAAGAAGATCCGTGGTGTTAAGAAGGTGAGACTGCTGTTACTAATGACTCTTTAAACATTTATTACTCACTTGGATTATATGTTTGATCATTTTTGTTTTAATGCCGCAGACAAAGGCTGGTGATCCCAGGAAGAAGTGAGATGTCAAGACAGGATCGCCATTTTCTCTTCTTGTTCTGCATAATCACCTTTTATGTTTTCTTTTTTGTTATTTGTCTGCTGTTAGATCTTTTCTCCAACTAGACATCTATGCTAAATCTTGAGCTTTTTTGCTTCCTTTGTTTCACTCAATATAAGCGTTAGAGAAACTGAATCAACGGTTTTGTTCAAATCTCTTATGTATGCTCAAGGATGCTCAAACAATCAGTGAAACAACAACAAAGTCGCATATTTCCAAAAGTTTGACTAAGACTACCGACCAGAGAGGATCACAAAGCATGATTACGCAGTGATCCTCTCCTATTTAAGAGGTTACATGTAATTTAAACCTATATAATTTGTTCTCTAGTATTCTAATCATATATATCTGGAAGATAGTGTTCCTTTCGTGTGATCTAATCTCTTATTGATCTAATGACAGTGTAGCCCATGGTACATATAATTAAATACATTAAGAAGAATCGTCTTGAAGATTTTGTTTGGCAAGTAATCACAACATAAGACGAATTGTCCATTTGGAAAAATGTAATGACGATTTACGAGAGAGTCGCGTTTACGAAACCAACTTTTGACTTAATGAAACATTTGGTTGGGACCCGAGAGACGTCAGGGCACAACTGACCGCAATAATAAGCAAGTGCGTGTAGGAGTGGGTGACCACTTGCCCTCGTCGTGAAACGTATGACTTACGAAATACCGGAACTACCCCTGGTTGGCTCGAAGAATCTCATGCCCCTACCACCCAAATCACACAACTGCGTACCAATCCTCGTGAACCCACTTCTTCTCTGCATCTGGATCTGGTTCTTTGGTCTTGACCTCTTCGGTAGCTCAAGGACCCAGACAAGACAATCTCTTCTTCTTTCGTTGAGATGACATCGGATCAACGCGACGCTGTTTTCTCTCTAGAATCGCCGGATCTGGAGGAAGGAGGCGTTGGAGACGGAGGAGAGTCTGATACCGACGAGGATTTGCGGGAAAACGATGACGTCGTTATGCCTGAGACGAACGAAGCCGAAGACGACGATCCCGAAGAGGAAGACCTCAATTCGCCGTCTACATCGTCGCTCGCCATGGTTTCCGCTGTCCCGACCACTGCGGTCGTTTCCGGGACGGCGACTACTTCCTCCTCTACAGGCGCCGTGACCGTTGCGCTTCCGGCTGGATCCGCCGTCCCTGTCTCCGTAATTCCGGCTGATTCCGATCCGAAATGGCACCGCATGACGGAGATCGTTCACCAGAGACCGGCGATCGATGACTCTAGACGCCTTTTCCAGAGGCTGTGGACGGACGAGGACGAGATCGAGCTCCTCCGTGGTTTCCTCGACTACATAACGACGCACAGAGGCAGCAGCTCGCATCCGCCTGACACGGCGCCGTTTTACGAGCAGATAAAGTCGAAGCTTCAGCTTGATTTCAACAAGAACCAGCTGGTGGAGAAGCTTCGACGACTGAAGAAGAAGTACCGGAATGTGATGAGCAAGATCAGCTCCGGTAAAGAGGTATTCTTTAAGAGCCCTCATGATCAATCCACTTTCGAGATTTCTAGGAAAATCTGGAACCAAACTGGGAAAATTATTGGCTTCGAAGACAACAATGTCATGGATTTCGATGAAACCAATAACAATCACCATGGAAATGGTAACTACTCAACCTTTAACAGCCCTAGCTCTAATCCTAATCTTGAGATCGATTCCGAAAATGGAGTCGAGAGGAAACTGACGATGAGTAGCAGTAGCGGATCGAGAAAACGATCGAGATCAAGAATAGGTAAGATTGAAGAAGACAACAAACCCATCAATCTCTCTGATGGGCAAATACCAAATGCAGCTATTAATGTTAACCTCAACGAAACCGCAGCTGCTGGTATTGGAGGAAACCTCGGTGGTTTAATCGAAGAGACTGTGAAAAACTGTGTCTCTCCTGTGATCAAGGAGATGATGAATGGGACGACAAGTATGATGATGGCTGCAATGGGAGGGTTTTCGGGCAGTGGTGGTGGTGGTGTTCATGGCTTTGGCTCGTTAAGCCCCATGTTTACACGGCCTCTCAGTTTCGGTTTTGGTGTAGAAGGAGGAGGAAACAAGGCATTGGCGGATGAGCGGTGGAGGAAACAACAGATTCTGGAGCTGGAAGTGTATTCAAGGAGGTTAGAGTTGGTTCAAGAACAGATTAGAGCGACATTGCACGAGTTAAAGACGATGCCGAGTGGCGGATGATGAAGCAAGAAGAAGAAGAATAAGACGATGATGACGACAAAGATAAAATAACCAGTTAGGTTGATATTTGATATCTCTGAGTCTGGGGTGTGTGGTGAGTATAGTATGAGATTTGAATCTTTTAAGTTATAAATTGCTTAAGGTATTTGTGATCTTTCTCTAGGGGTTTTCATCATTTTTTTTTCATTTAAATTATTTGTCAATAGAGATGAATCATAGTGGGGGGGGGGGGGGGGGTTTGTGTATAACCTTTGTATTAGATTATAGTTTTCTTGTAGGCTCATTTGCTCAACAACAAACAGTCTTCTAGCTATTTTTCTCTCATTAAGAAAAAGCAATATTTTAAATTGTATTTGCCAATCTTTGTCTAATAAAATATGTAAGAACATGTTTATTTCGCCTTTGGTTTGTTTCTTGATCTGATGCAGTTGTTGAAGTATATATTTATTGTATTTGACACTTTTATTTGATATTTTTTATGCATGCGTGATGCTTCCCTCTATATATTATCCTCACATGTCAAATATCTTATTTGCATATTATGTTGAAACCAAAAATAATCTTTCTTTGAATTAATTTTCTAATTTATCATCCGGCAGATTTAGTAAAATAAATCAACAAAAATCTCTCTTTATCATTCGTTCCAAAACATATATATGTTCTTTTTTGTCGGAAACACCATCAGAGACCAAAACGACCATATCCTTGTAAGATCCGGTGTCTTGAATCGATTTGCCCAATACTCTAACTCCCAATAAGAACTCATCTCCGTACAAAAGTGTGACGTAAGCTTCCTTAGTTGATTCGGATCCAAACGAACCCTTGAATTGGATTGACAAGAGGATCAACATAACCCAGAAACTCCCGAGTTTCACCATGGATTCACGGATCTATTTACTTTACTTGAAAATGAAAGCTCAGGCTTTTATACGAAACGTTGAATTTTTGATATTCGTTTCTTCCGACTTTGTTGTTGTTGTTTTGTTTTTGTTTCTTAACTTCTTTCGAAAATATGAAAAACCTTTTTTTCCAGGATTTAATGAAAAGTCTTGGGGGTAATGACGTGGATGACACAAAAAAAATGAAAATCTCAGTCAAAGTCAGAGAGCGTGAACACGCGCATGAAAAGACATATTTCATACCCACTCGCACCTGGTGCGCGTTGCGCGCGTTAGGCCTAATTCCTGGGTTATATAGTCCATCGATTTTGCCCATTTTTGGCCTAAATTTAAAAGTGAGCGAGTAGACTGCGTTTTACGTTATATGAGATTGTCGTTTTGGCGCTTATTTTGAGCAAATAGTAGACATGTTGCTAGCTGGGAAAATGGTCAAAACCTAGCTGAACTAAATTCTGTGGGCCAAAAAAAATATGAACTAAAATACAGGGCCAAAATCTATCTCAACTCATTAAAAATTTGAATTGTCTATCTGCACTCATATGTAAGTGCTAAAACCTACCTTGACCAGGAATCCGTTAGTCAACATTAACGGGGTGTTGAGGTGGACACCGAGTTAACAATGATGTGGCAATAAAAAGGAAAACGACGTCGTTTTAAGAACTTGTGGAGCAAAACAAACACACAAAACGACGTCGTTTTGAATTGGGGGGAAATTTAAAAATCCCCAAATTGATTTCAATCGAAATTAGGGTTTAGTTCTTCTCTTCTTCTCCGATAGAAAAGGGATTTGTTGATTGGATTGAGATTAGAAGAATTTTGGGGTTCAAAAAGCTTTGAAGAAGACTGCTGCAAAAGAATCGATCCATAATTTGGTCGATTGAAGTCTCGTCTTCAAAATGAGGTAAGCTGCGAATTTAAAAACCAATAAGTGCTTTAAAAACTTTGATTTTGAGACAGATAAGTATTGCGAGTCTGTTTATGGTCATATTAAACACTATTTATATCATTTGTAGTTTAGTTTTTGAGTTTTTTCATCATGATAGTTTTTGAACATAGTTAATCCACCAAGTGTTCGATATAATGTCTGAGAGAGTTTAACTCTTGGGTTTCAATGTTTTTTTTTCAGCTTCTACGATTCTGAAGTGAGCTTCAATGTATTTAGCGGCGGCCTTGTTTTGGAGAGTTGCTGAAAGCTTCACTGAGCATGAATACAGAGCCAACATAGAGAGGGTGAAGAACTATGATATACGCCTGTATGAAGCCATGATGGAGAAGAATCCTCAGAACTGCAGCCTCGCCTATTTCTCACCGGCAGCTTCTTGTGTGGACGTGCATAACAACATCTCTGAGTCCTTCAACAATGCTATTGATCCTGCAAGGTATATGCCAATGGTGGAGATGTTAGAGACAATAAGGAGAAGAACCATGATACGTATAGACCAGAGGATGAAAGAAGCATTGAACCATCAAGGAAGATTCACGGTTAGGGCAGTGGAGTGGATAGAGGATGAGCAGAAGAAACTCAGGTATTGTGTAATGGTTCCCGGAGCAAATGCAAGAGATGAGGTGCGTGAGTCTGGTGTAAGCTACAGTGTCAATATGAGACTCAGGACATGTGCTTGTAGGAGATGGGATATGAGTGGTCTTCCTTGCCGTCATGCCCTTCGTATCATCGCTGAGAGGAAGCTGAATCATGAAGATCATATATCCCATTGGTTTCTTAATTCTAGGCAGCAACAAATCTATGGTAACTCAATCAATCCTGTTAACGGTATGTTGTTTTGGGGAAGTTCAGGATCAAAGGTGCTGCCACCACCAAGTTTGGTTGAAGAAATTGAGAACAGAGTTGGAAGAAAGCCAAAGCCGAAGAGAAAGAAGGCAAGGCATGAGTCTCCATCAAAGAAGAAGGCATCTAGAGAAAAAAAAGTCATGCATTGTGGTCGTTGTGGTGAAGCTGGACACAATGCAACCAAATGTCAGAATATGGTAGGGGAAACCAGCAAAAAAGCAAGAAAAAGAACAAATGCAAGAAAGAAGAGGCAAGTAGAAGATGGAAATGAGGCCACCGAGACAGAACAAGATGGATATGAGTCAATGACTCTATCATTTGAAGATGGACCAATTCCAACTCAGCCAACTCAAGAATAGGTAAGTTTCATGATTTGTTAAATGGTATATGTTTTATCGACCTTGTAATAATCTTATCTACATTGTTTTCTTCTATTTTGGTGTTAGGAAAGATGGATGATGTAAGCTTTGTGGAGCACGAAGACAAGAGCATAAGATGCATCGGATTAAAAAGGTTCTCAAGACCTAGATCATGACTTCATTTTCTCTGTTTTTGTCATGGTTTGAACTTGATTTTGTTGGCTTTGATGATGTACTTTTGTTTGGATTTTAGATTCTTGTTTTGTGACTGCTTTTGTAAAGATTATGCTCAAACAATTGTCTCTCCTTTTAAGCTTTATATATCTCTTCTTCAAACTCATTCAGTTTCAAATCATTCAGATATAATAACCATACATAGATTACACACAAACATAGATTCTAGGCTTACATTCCAACAAGAAAACAAATGATAAAGCATATGGAACATCAGTTGCTTAAAACAGAGACACATAAACTAACCACATCACAAAACCAAATCCCACAAGGTTCTTCAAGCTACGGAGCTGCATTTTGAGATCTCCCACTTCTTTTGCAACCACAGCCTCACACAAACGCGTCTCCATGGTCAATGTATCAATCACGGACTCACAAACATTGAAGCTTTTCTGCAATGTCGTTGAACTCTCTTCAATATTGTCCACTTTGTCAATCAAGTCCTCAAGCTCTTCAACCATACATGTATCAGTCCATTTGAATGTATGATACCAATTATCCTGTTACATATACAAACATAAATCAATCGACATTAAAAGCTTTTTCCAAAACTGATTCACTGCTCAAACCCGAAAATGAATTCACTTACTCCTTCCTTTCTCTGTGGACACGCATGAAACAGCCTTCCAGGGTTTTTAGCAGTACCAGACGTCTTCATTACAATAGCTTCGCCGCACCTACATCTCTTAGGAAACCCTCGTCCTTGAAATTCTATTACACTTCTTCTAATCTCAATCCAATCAACAAATCCCTTTTCTATCGGAGAAGAAGAGAAGAACTAAACCCTAATTTCGATTGAAATCGATTTGGGGATTTTTAAATTTTCCCCCAATTCAAAACGACGCTGTTTTGTGTGTTTGTTTTGTTCCACGAGTTCTTAAAACGACGTCGTTTTCCTTTTTATTGCCACATCATTGTTGACTCGGTGTCTACCTCAGCACCCCGTTAATGTTGACTAACGGATTCCTGGTCAAGGTAGGTTTTAGCACTTACATATGAGTGCAGATAGACAAGTCAAATTTTTAATGAGTTTAGATAGGTTTTGGCCCCGTATTTTAGTTCATATTTTTTTTGGCCCACAGAATTTAGTTCAGCTAGGTTTTGGCTATTTTCCCGTTGCTAGCTCTATATTATTAACATCATTTTATATCGTTTGCGTTTTGTTTGTTATGAGTTGTCGTTTTGACTTTTTTTTAAAAAAAAATTTATTCTCTGTGTTTGACCTGTTTTTATTTCAAGATGGGTTGTTTCCGTTTTGCTCTACGCCTACAAAAACACTTGTTTCTGATGAAGAAAATATTCACGTATCAACCGAAACAGCCATGGACACGATTTCCAAGCTGAAGCTGGAGGATGATGATTTGAACCGAAAGAATTTTTATAAACTGAACTGAACCGTATTTTATATAAATTGCTCCAAAGACATATTTGTATGTTCTTTTGGTTGAATATGATCTTCCGCTTGAAAGGATTTGTTTATGGTATGATTAAAGATGCAGAAGACAAGGGATTGATTACTCCCGGAAAGATAGAAACAGTTGAATCATACAATCCATTTTTATTAGAATCAAATATTGGTGAGTTTACCTTCAGAGCACACTGATTGAGCCAACTTATGGTAACACCGGGATTGGTTTGGCCTTCGTCGGGGCAGCTAGAGGTTAAAAAGTTGTTCTAACAATGCATGCATCAGTGAGTCTTGAGAGAAGAATCATTCTTTTAGCATTAGTTGCAGAGGTTCACCTCACAGATCCACTGCAGCTTATGAATCTTGTTCTCTAGTCTTAATATAAAATCCACTGAATTTTTTTTGCTGTTTAATCTCTTTCCTGATCGTCAAGAGATAGCTCACGGAAGTGCTCATACCTCAGAGAGAGTGTGGTATATATTATAACTGGAAACTGGTTAAGACCAATTCCATTATCAAAGTCAACTACTCTCAATTCTTTTGGTAGTTAGGACAAAACTGATTACAGCGGTATAGTTTAAGTCTTTAAGACCAACAATTGGTAATATTCTGAATTAATCAAAGACCAACAATTGGTAATATATTGAATTAATCAAAGACCAACTCTCAAATATAACAACTACAAAAAAAAAATTGAGTGTAAATGACTTAATAATGGAATTGGTCTTAGAAGCGAATAATTTTCTTACGTGATAGAATCGAATCTAATAACTGGAAACTGGTTGATATCAATTCTACTATTAAGTCAACTACTCTAAATTATTTCTGTAGGTAGGATAAAAATGTATTAGTTTAAGACTAGTTATTTTCAATTAATCAAAGACTAACTTCTTATTATTTTTATTGTTAATATTATGTGTTAAATATATAATTAGAGACTTTAAACATGTGCCAAAAATCTAATTAGAAATTTATTAAATTCAGATCAAAATCTGATTGATTAATTTAACACTTGTTGCAAATTAGCAACCTTAAATCATTCTATTTTACATGATTTTTTTTTTCTTGTGTGCATCAGAATATTTTTTTTTTGATAATTTTTTTTGAATTACAAATGCGTGTACGTAAGAATTTCGATGTCATTTTCTACCAAGAACGATAAGAAGGAAAAATAATCTAGATTCAAGAAGGCTGAAACTTGCTAAGAAAAGTAATTTCGTATATCGCACGAGTTTTTAGTGTTGTGTACTTGATAATGACTGTCTTTTTTTTTTGGGTTAAAGTAATGACTGTCTTTTGTTAAAGGCAAGTCCTTTTTGCAGCTTGATCCTTGTCTTTTCGTCTTCTTCTCCGATTGCATCTCGTACTGGGTAGAACATTATCCACTCTTCTTCTGTTTTCCCTCCTTAATTTGCCAACTTGAATAATTTCGCCTCTTCTGGTTCGATTTCAGCTCAAGAACACGACTGCTTTGCATCATTAACTGATTTTTCTTTTGTTAAATCTTGAACTTAGTTTGATACACTTGTGTTTTCAGCTGTTCAAATCCGTTTGTTCTCTGATTTATTATCATACTCTTGGTTTCACTCCACCGGTTCGGATCTGAAGCAGTTTCAAAGCTGACACTGTCTTATTGCTTTCGCAAGTTGTATACATTGTACTTGCAGATCGTGTCTTAAATCTTTGGACTTTCTTTTGTGATCTTCAGTACCCAAATTGGTGAAATTAATCTTGCAGGAATTTCAAAGACCCCTTAGCATGGAGTGCTCGATCAAGGATGACGTGACTCAAGTAAATCCAAATCTTTCAACTTTATTTCTAATCAATCGCTTCATTTGGAATGAACAAATTATGTGTTTATCTGTTCGAGTTATATACTTAGTTCCACGAGATTTCTTCTGTGTGTTTTTGCATTTTTTGACAGTTGATAGGTAACACCCCAATGGTGTATCTGAACAACATAGTAGATGGTTGTGTTGCTCGTATTGCGGCTAAGCTTGAGATGATGGAGCCTTGCTCTAGTGTCAAGGAGCGGTAAATACAACTTAACAACAATCTCTCTCTTTATTTGTTTGCTCCATGAAAGATTTGCTCTTTTTTTTTTTTTTTTGTATCCTGAGAAAGCTGTTGGTTTTCTTTGGTTGAATATGATCTTCCGCTTGAAAGGATTGCTTATGGTATGATTAAAGATGCAGAAGACAAGGGGTTGATTACTCCCGGAAAGGTAGAAACAGTTGAATCATACAATCCATTTTATTAGAATCAAACTGTAACTTTATAAATATTGGTGATTATACCTTCAGAGCACACTGATTGAGCCAACTTCTGGTAACACCGGGATTGGTTTGGCGTTTGTTGGGGCAGCTAGAGGTTACAAAGTAGTGCTCACAATGCCTGACACAATGAGCCTTGAGAGAAGAATCATTCTTTTAGCATTAGGTGCAGAGATTCACCTCACAGACGTGAAAAAAGGTGTTAAAGGATTACTCGACAAAGCTGAAGAGATATTAAGCAAAACTCCAGATGGTATCATACTACATCAATTCATAAATCCTGCAAACCCTCAAGTATATATGGACTCTCCTTTTCACATTCTGTTGCCTTTCATCTCTTTCTATCTTCTCTTTTTGTTTAATATAAGCTCGTTTTTCATGCAGACTCATTATCGAACCACGGGTCCAGAGATATGGAGAGACTCTGCAGGGGAAGTAGATATATTGGTTGCCGGTGTTGGGACTGGTGGAACCATCTCCGGTTCAGGGAACTTCCTCAAGGAGAAGAAGAAAGACTTCAAGGTACAGAGTTATATTTGAACTCCAATCATCATATCTCAAGAAACAATGGTTATATAATACTCTGGCCTCTTCGAGCACTTGTTTTATCAACAGGTTTACGGGGTGGAACCTTCAGAGAGTGCGGTTCTCAGTGGAGGCGAACCGGGTGAGTTAGTTTCTCTCTTGCAATTTAAGGTTTTAACTCTTGATCTTGAGTCTAGCATATAATATAATAGCTAAGTAGAACAATCATTCATTTGCGGAGTGTTTTCTTGCTGCTAAATCACTTTCTTGTTACTAGGTCCACATTTGATCCAAGGTATTGGGTCTGGCATCATCCCAGACAATCTGGATTTCAGCGTTCTTGATGAAGTTATTCAAGTAATGTAGCCTGCCGTATTTTTTTTGTCTTCGTATGACATGTCATGAGAAATCAAACTGAGATCTTTGTAACGGTATTTTTCAGGTGACAAGCGAGGAGGCAATTGAAACAGCTAGACTTCTTGCTCTCAAAGAAGGATTACTGGTACAATCTTCTCCGGTTCATTCGGTTTAACAATTTTGTGTTGGTTTAAACCAGAAAAACCAACGTTTCTTATCGTCTGGCAGGTGGGAATATCTTCCGGAGCTGCTGCAGCCGCGGCAATCAAGGTGGCGAAGCGGCCAGAAAACGCCGGGAAACTCATTGTTGTAAGTGAAAACAGAGTAATAACTTTTCCGAGTATGAAGCTTTTTGCCTTAACCGGTCTCACTAACCAAAAATCAGACCGGATTCTAAAGAAAAATTATCGGTTGTTTTCTTGTTTACAGGTTGTTTTCCCTAGCGGTGGGGAACGTTACTTATCGACTGAATTGTTCGACTCGGTGAGACGTGAAGCAGAGAATTTGACATTTGAATGAAGCTTATACACTACCTGACTTGGTTCGGTTTGGTAAAATATATATTACCAAAATATTACCACAATCTTTGGTTTGACATTTACACTACCTCTAATCCTCTAAGCCTATAAGCTGGGGCGTTTCTTTTTTTTTTTTTTCCGTTTCAATTTGGGTTGATCGATATACTGTATCTATATGTTTTATTAAGGAAAAATTCGGTTCAGTTTAAATTTTATTTAAATGAAACCTTTTATCACACATTAATTTACTCCAAAAAGAAGAAAATATATAAAGCTTCTGTGTGAATTGATATGTGTAAAAAAAAAAACCGGTTATTGCTCAATCAAATTTAGTTTTCAAGTTCGAAGACATTAATTATTATAATGGCCACATAGAATCTCAACCCATATTACTACTAGACAATTTGGATTGTGGAAGAGGAATAAGGAGATGATCAGAGGACAAGAGGCTAAAAACAAACACATCATAAATTTTACCTTTGAGATAAGTGTACTTCCTGAGCAGACCCTCCCTTTGAAATCCAACCTTGTCGAGAACTCTTTGGGATGCTTTGTTTTGAGTTTGAACAAAGGCTTGAAGCCTCAAAAGGTGAGGCAAGTCACTGAACACTTGCGATACTGCGATTGACACTGCTCTTGTTGCTATTCCCTTTCCCCAATACTCATGAGATAATCCATACCCAATATGCGCTTTGAATCTTCCAAAAAAAAAAATTGTCTCGTTATATATATGTTTTTCCTTATATAGGGTAATTTAATATCTGAGACAAAATTGTAGAAAAACAACCTCATATTACAAGATTGTATTAAAAAAATAGAACTGAAAAAAATCATAAGCAGGTCAACCATCTAAATACAAGATTTACACATCACTAAAATGACAAAGCTCAATTCATTTGGACCAAAAATAAAATGCAACACTCATATTAATTTTTTTTTTGAGAATTATAGACTAATAATCCAACGGCTATAAACGCGATACCTATCAAGGCCGGTCTCAGGGAAGATTGAGATGAATCCGATCGAACGGTCATCGATGCAGATGGAACGCCGCCAAGGATGTGGCAAACATACGTCTCGGATAAAGGCCAAAGCTTGCTCTTCTGTTGTAAAATCCGGCCAACGGAGATTTCCGGTCACTCGATCATCGCCGGCCCATCTCAAGAAATCGTGAGCGTCCATAAGATCAAACGGCCGGAGAGTGACTCTTGAGAGATCAATCTCCATGTTCTTTTTTTCTTCTGTTTTGGTAGGTGAAACTTTTTGACTTCCAAGGACTACTATACTTGGGTGATTATCATTTCTTTTGTCCAATATTGTTGTTGTTGTTGTTTTTTTTTACAATAGTTGATTATATCATACTTTACACGTAATTCTTATCTTTCAGCTCACTCATTCATATGATGATAGTAATAAACTATGCGCGAGATAATTCTTATAATCACATAGTCACAACAAAATCACTTGGAGCCAAGATTTTAAAACGAATAGACGGTTGCAAATTTGAGATGATTAGTTTTATTCTTTAAATCATAAGATGGACGGATTAAAAGTCTGGCCTTAATATTATTTTGGATAAGAGAAATTAGCAATCATAGTGGCAAAGACATTGCTTAGGAACCAAAGGAGGAGTGTACAAATCACAGATTCCATTTCCTTTGTGCTCAGCCATACACTTTTCTCTGCAATTGTCTTCTCCTTCACATGCCCACCCATCAAAACACTTATTTGCTTCTCCTACCATTTTCTTGTTTTCTATCATAATCAAAACAAAACAGACACTTTTTTAATACCTTTTTAAAGTTATATATATATATATATATATATTCATATTCTCGGTTTAACCCAAGAATACAACAAAAATTTGACGTTCAATTTTGGCAGAAAAAATTACCAAACAAATAATACAGTAAAACCTCTATAAATTAATAATGTTGGGACAATGATATTTTATTAATTTATCGTGTTATTAATTTATTTATAAATTAAGAATTATTAATTTATAAAGAAAAATTGCTTTCCGCATATAATTTTCTAAAAATTTATTTGAAATAATATTATATTTTAAAATTTTAATAATATATATTATGATTAAAAATCATAACTATCACAATAAAATAGTTTTTTACCATATTGGATTGTCCATATAAAAATATACATGTTCATAAGTTTTAAAATTTATAAAACAATTATGGCTACTATCAGTATTGATGATAAAATTGAAAATAACACTATAATACATTTAAAAATATTTACATGTAAAAAAATCAATTATCACATCAAAAAATCATCATAAATTTTGAATGTATATAGTAAAACAGCAATAAGAACTACTGATATAATAATAAAAAAGATGAGAACCAATGAGAATTCAACTTTAACTAAAAACAAACACATTAGCCATATTTAAAATATTATATTTACATATATTTGCATAAATTTATATAATTATTAATTTATGTTTTTGTTGGGACCATGTATTTACATAAGGGTTTCAAAAAAATTATTATCTTATTATTTTATCGAATTTGATGGATTTTTACATTGGTCCGACTTGGGACTATCAAAATTTATTAATTTATAGTAATTATTAATTTATCGAGTATTACTGTAATTATTTACCGGAAAAAGAGATGAGGAAAACGACAATTAGTACTAACAGAAAAGAAGAGAAAGACATCTTCATATTTGTTTACTGATTTCTAGTTTGCAATTTTGAGATTAAAATTCTAGTTGTAGGCAAATATATAATTCCTATATTTTAGTAAAAAAAAGTATTCCTATTAGGAATAAATATAGTCATAGAAAATAATCAAATGGATCAAATATACGTATATTCTTATATCAATGGGTTACCTGTTTGTGTATTTTCTACCCTAATTCTTGATACCAAATAGAATAAATTTCTTTTGTCTAGAAACATTTAAAAACACTAATGAAGTAATGTAGACGGATAATCTGAACAATTTGGATTTTCTCTCGTAATACTTCACAATTCGTTTCTTATTCTGTAAAACTACCGTATATTGATTAATTGGATTGACAAAGTAATTAATTTGTCCAATAATCAAAACGCAGCGTTTAAGGATTAACAAGGTTTCGGATTCCGATACGGTGAAGACGATCGGGATTTTCTACAACTGAGAAACCCTGAAAACCTAATTGTTCAGGAATTAAAGGCAGCAATTTTAAGGGAAATGTGGTCTTCGAGAACTCTCAATTACATATGCAGGCTACGACCTGAACCATTTTCTTCTTCATCGTCTCGTGCATATTCGCTCTACATCTCCGGCTCTCGCTGCACCGGTGGCCCTCCAATTCCGTCGCAGCACCGATCCATCACCTCCACGGCGACGCTTCATGGATGGATGGATACGATCAAAGGTGTCTTTACAGGGAAAAAGGATACTCCTTTGGAAGAATCTAATCTACCCGTTGAAGATTTCACTCTTCTCCGTAAGTCTCACATCTTGTCTATAGATGGAACTCTGTTTGTCTGCTCGACTTATCTGAGAAGTGGGACTTTGATGCTGGATGAATTGATTCTACTCATTAAGATCTCTTCTCTATGGACACAAATTGGGTTTAGGATTCGCCGATGAATTGAAGACTGCTAAAAGGTTAGGGAAATTCAAGCAGTACATTGTGGGCCGAAGCAGCGAGGCCACCTTTGCAGACGCGTTTGAGAAACAAGAAGCCATTATAAGATATCTTGGAGCTCGTGATGCTACTGGAGAGGTTGGTTTCTTTCTTAGCATATATATGCTACAAACTAGAGTCTAGCTATGACTTGTTACTAGTTTGCAACACCCTTGATAAAAAGACGCAGTTTGCTGGTATGTTAGTCAATTTCTTGACTGTGGCACTAGGTTTCTTTGTGTGTAGAATCTCCAAGCGAGTCAAAAGCAAGATGCGGCAAAACATTGTAATTGCACTATAACGGACGTGGAGAATACGCTGGCCAAGTTTACTTGGGCCAGGCAAGCTCACAAGAAGATGAAAGAGTTGAAAGATGGAGGCAAACCGTTACCAAAGAATCTGGGAGAGGTATTCCTCTGACTTCATATACTCATTTGCTTTTCAGACTTCAAACATTGCTTAGAGCTATTGAGATTGTGTATGGACACTCTCTCTTCTTCGTTACTGTAAAACTCGTTTCTTCATCAAGTCTCTGCTCTACCTCTATCCTCGAAACGCACTCTATGTTTGTACAATAAACTGATCCTCGGCTCAAAAACAGGGCCTCTATTATTATAACAAGTACTGATTTGTAAGTTGGTTAAATTGCATGATTGGTTGGATTTGATGTTCAAAACGGGAGTTTTGCACTATGTCGGTTGTTAAGACATTCGGTTACATTCAGACAGATGATTGCCGGTTGGTTTATTTTTTACCTTTATGGGACACCCATTTAGCTGATAACGAACTGTTTATTTTTGAAACTGAATATGTTATCTTGGTTCTATTGAAGCTGCAAAAAATGATGGGGACAACACCGATGGATCTGGCAAGATCGAACTTAGCCAAAAGTGGGCAGATCAGCCGCAATGCACTTTGTCCCTGTGGTTCCAAAAAGAGATATAAAAGGTGAACAACTTTGAAGAGCTTTCCCTTTTTTTTGTTGGCTCAATACACAAAACTTTGAAGAGTTTTTTCCTTTTGTTGTCGCGTTGATTTATAAATTGCTTTTGTTCATTGTAGATGTTGCGGAAAGGATTGAAGAAGCAGAAGTTGAACGTTAACACCAAGAGATCGACTTTGATCGATCATTTGTTGGAGTTCCTTTTGTGGTTTAGCTACAAACTGGGGAGCTTTCTTTTGGCTCTTTATTGTCTTCATTTGCTCTTTTTATAGATTGCTTCTAGAAAACAGATAGAGAGAAAGATGAATTTTTGATGAGACGTTAAAAGTTTTTTTTTTTTTTACTTCGGCAACTACAAGTCCTGTGTTACATACAATTCGCACCTGACACATACCAGTCAAAGAATTGGCCACCAAAAATTTTATAAGATTTTGTCACCATATTTTTCCAGCTAGAATATAAGCGAGTAAAACTGAATAAAAATGCTTGACCGGAAACATAAGAAAATATAGGGGTCATTTCGATGAAAGCAAATCCAAGAGCTACAAATTACAAAAATACGTACATCAGTCCACGGTCAAAAGCAATATTACCGTAAGATTCTTACGTCATTCTAATTCCACAATCCAACGGTTACCTGTTAATTGATCTAACGGTCAGCCAAAATCCATAGGTTATATATAGACCATATTTTCCTCCTTTTTTTTTAAAAAAAAAAGTCCATCAACAGCGAGTAAAGTTGCGTTTTACTTTATATCAGGCTGCCGTTTTGCATCTTCTTCTTCCTCCTTTTGCAAAGCATTCCGATTCTTTCTTCCGTTCGCCATGGAACAGGAGTCGTCACCACCACGAGATACGCCGGAACAGACTCCATTGCCGTCGGGAACCGGAGTTCCTGAACATAGGTTAGCTTCTTTCTTCGATTTTCACCATTCTTTACCGTAACAAGATTGTAAATTTCTTCATTCTTTATTTTTGATGGGACTAAACTTAGGGCTAAAAGTTGTAGAAGCACGGCGATAGATATGGATTTCATGAGTCAGGTTCGAGAGAATGCTTCATCGGTTCTTGAGTTCTCACGTCAATGGGAGGAATATGATGAGGAAATGAGGTTAGCCGAGGAAACCCTGAGGAAACGAGCTGTGGAGCTGCAGAAGAAGGAAGAGCGCCTGAGGATGGTTGAAGAGAGAGAGAGGAAGCTTGAGGAGTCCATAACCGAGCGGTTAAGTGTATTAGAGGAGAAAGAAAAAGAAGCAAATAAGATGAGACTCGTTTTGGAAGAAATGGGTTCTGGACATAAAGCAAAAGAGAAATTGCTTCAGGATTCTATGATGAAGAAACACGAAGAGCTAATGAGAGAGCTTCAAGTGAGGAAACAGGAACTTGAAGCGAGGGAGAATGAGCTGGAGAAGAAGGAAGAAAAGTTTCAACTGAAGCAGAAATCAGAAGCCAGAGGGATTGAAGAGAAGAGCAAGCTGCTTAAGCTAAAAGAGAAGGTGCTTGAAGAAAGAGAGAAAGTGCTGGAACGGAAGCAGAAAGAGTGTGAAGAACAACCAACAACACAAGCAGCAGAGACTAGCAAGAGATCCAGGCATGAATCTGAGCCTTTAACTGTGGCAGACAAGGGTAGAGATGCCGATTCTCATCTTCAGATTGGAAAAAAGCAAAAACCTGTCAGAGACGACGATGGAAGCAGGAAGAAGGAAACAGAGGTCTATGAAGTTTTCTGCGTTGAGGAGGATCCTGAGCAATACAGTTGTCCTGATCCAGACTTTAGCGATTTCAACAACAGAATGAGCTCTTTGGCCGTGGATCAAGTATGGGCTCTATATGATCCTTTAGATCATATGCCTCGATACTATGCTCAGATCAAGAGAGTGTTGAAACCTCAGCTGAGCGTGGAGGTGACATTGGCTCGAATCAGAAAATGAAGAGGAAACTCCCATTGCGTGTGGAGGATTCAGATATGGAGATTCAGAGATCCAAAGCCTGTTGACGCTTTCTCATGAGATGCATCCCATCAGAAAAGGCAAAAAGGTCACCACCATAAACCCGAGAAAAGGGGAGACTTGGGCCCTTTTCAGAGACTGGACAGAGAGTTGGAGCAGTCACAGTGAGCAGCACAAGCCTCCTTACAGTTACGACTTTGTTGAAGTCGAGACTGATTTCGACAGTGATCAAGGTGTTGGAGTGTCTTATCTAAGGAAGGTGGAGGGATTTACATCAGTGTATAATAAACTTGCTGAGCAACAAGGACTCGTCTTCAGTAGGATATCATCTGATCAAATGCTTAGATTTTCACACAGAGTTCCATCTTTTAAATTGACTGGAGATGAGAAAGAAAGAGTCCCAGCTGGCTCTTTTGAGCTAGACCCTGCCGCTGTTCCTCGAGATTGTCTTAAAGCTGCTAAGGTTAAAGAAGAAATGAATTGATCTTGGTTCGAGTTAACTCGTAACTGTAATAAATCTGATGATGTTGTTGTTATCTGTTTAAGTATTTATGTACGTAGAACTTAGAAGATGAAAGTATTTATGTACGTAGAAGATGAAAGCGCCTTTGTATTGATCAAACAACAGGTACACTACAATGTATCATGATTTGATCATGTTTGATTGATCTCTTTGCCAAAACAGCTGTTTTTAGTATTTTCCCTAATTCCATTTTGAACCCTCTCTTTTCTCCGTATTTGCAAATCAACCCCTATAATTCTGATCTGTACATTTTTTGAGCACCAAATATTTAAGAAGAAGAAGAAGAAGGACGACTTTCCACGATCGGAGGATTCTCTTCTCAGATACGAAAATGGCTGTACAGTGGCTTCTGGTGTATCACGGGATGGTGACATTAACGGTGGTCATCTCCTTCCTCTGCGGTCAATGGCCAATCTTCAAAGGCACACCTTTTCAATGGATTCACTACTTCCTCACTTTCGGAGCCTACGATTACTTACTGTACTCTTCCTCGCACCTGACTCATTACTACTCTCCAATCGCTCTCCGTTTGACCTTGTTTCAATCTCTGATCGTTCTCTGTGGTGGGTTGCAGGAGATTTGTTGGAGTGGTGTTTGGTTCCAAGGGCACGGACGTTATTCTCTCTGTTGAACATCTCTGTTGCGAGCGTCCTAATCCAATACTGCAAGTGAGTTCCTTTTCGTTTTGTTTTTGATCTGTTTAGGCAGCAGAAGAATCCGTAGCTAGAGAAGCGTTGTGGTCTAATCCAGTTTTAGTTTTGAGTCTGCCCTTTAGCTTTACATACATCTTGTAAGAGGATCTTGAGTGGTTTACAAGTGGGATTGAAATATAATAGGAATGCTTACCTGTGATTGACACCACATTCCGAGTGGCTACTCTCAATTGATGAATATAGTCTGTGTTTGATTTTAGTTCTTCTAAATCTTTATTCTTTTACTCCATTTTGTAGATCATATACATTGCAATGATCGGATCAATATACTTTTTGACTGCAAAATCTTCCTTCATCTATATACCTGGATATTATATTGGCGATGTTCACAAGTAAGACATGCTTCTTCTACTTTTTTCAATATTTTCAAGTCCTGAGAATAAATAAAGGGAATCCAGTTTATCCTCTCAAATCATTGTACAATATTTCCTTCTTTTGTAGGTACACGAGCTTTCTGGCCGTTATAATGGGTGTCATACTTTTCTTATTAACAAGCTTTTCTGATCCAGGTACCGTGAATGCTGCGAATGTTTCACACTACATTTCTGCTTACCCTTACGATGATATCATTTACTCTGAGAAAGAATGTTCTACATGTAAAATCCCAAAGTGAGTGCATCGACATCGCTTGGTAAACTAACTTATTTGATTTATGTTAAAAAGTTTTACTCTTTTTTGTTTTTGTTTGTTCCTCATTGAGGCCTGCAAGATCCAAGCATTGCAGCATATGCAACCGCTGTGTAGCCCGGTTTGACCATCATTGTGGGTGGATGGTTCGTACTTAGCTTTATTCCTTCTTTGATATTCTCTACATCTCATATCGACATACTTGTTGAAGTGAGCTTTGAGCTTTCCTTAACCGGTTTCAGAATAACTGTATTGGAGAAAGGAACACCAGATATTTCGTAGCTTTCCTCTTTTGGTGAGCTCATCATCGAATTTCACTTGGAAGATTCAATGCAGTGTTGTGTCCTCTTTCTTTTCATATGTTAAAAAATGTTCTTTAGTGATTTGTAGGCATTTCCTTCTTTGCTTGTACGGAACAATAGCCATTGGGTTTATTCTGGCCGGGCGAGTAAAAGAACTTCGTGTTTTACATATTTTAACAGGTACACTACAAAACACACCCTTGTTCTGTTAACATTCCTAAATTTTGAGTTTCAATATTGTTGTTATCCTTTTGGATTCCTAATCTGGTCTCTCTTTCCTTAATTCTGCAGTTTATTACGGTGTAGAGAATTCTTTTCGCAGCTTAGCTCCCCGAGTTTTACAGGCGAGTATACCTAACTAACTATCTAACGACTTTTAATCTCTTTAGTCGCTCATATGTGTTCAAAAGATCTAATAATACATATATCAACAAATGTGCTCATATGTCTTTGAAACAGTGGCTAGTTGGTACATACAACACCCAAATACTCCTAATGGTGTTTCTCGCCATTGTTTCTCTCCTCCTTGCTGGCTTCTTCGCTTACCACTCAAAACTCTGCTTTACTAACACAACTACTAATGAGGTTTTTGTAATAAAAACCTTTTTTTTTTTGTTTATCGCCTTATGCAACTCCTCCTGCTAAACAACATTTTTGCTGGGTTTGTTTGTGTTTTTTAAATAGACATTTAAGTGGAGAGAGTACATAAGCTTGAGGAAGAAGCTTAATGAAGCAAAAGCGAGCTCTGCGGCTCTCAAGACGGGAGTGCCAAGTGAACCAAAGAAGCCATCAGCGAAACGGAAATGCTTGGGGCTTTGTGGAAGATCCGAGTCAGAGGCTAAAGCCGAAGAAGCTATACCGAAACGGAATTTGTATGATAGAGGAAGTTTCCAGAACGTTTCTGAGATTGTTTTCCCTTTATCGTCAAGACCGTCTACTTCTTGCAAATCAAAACGTAAATGTGAATAATTAAGTCTTTGTATGTGTAGTTAGCTTAACTACTTCCAAGCTTTTGGTTGCTTTAGTGACTAGTTCATGTTCTTTGATTCTTAATGCTACTTAAGAGTTTTACTTGTTATACATGATTAGAGATCTTATAAAAGAAAATTCAAAAATTGATCAGCTAGAGAATATTCGATTTTTTAAAACTAATATATTTTTATTCATGTATTCCAACCACAGCCACTATCAAAGCTCGATAAGCAAGTTTATTTATCTACGGATTTGAGCGTTAAGAGTTGCGGGTATGGACACAGGAGCAGTTTCTTGTAAGTTGTCAAACGCTACAATCTATAAACGCTGCGTTTACATTCAATTTGCGATTAATTAGAGTACTAGATTCTTCTCCGCTGCACAGAAGAGAAGAAAATAAGAGCAACAAAGTTTGCAAACAATGTTTTTTGGCAGTCAAAAGGCATCGCCACATAACATAATAAACTCTGGTAATTTTCACGGGAATCACCAAACTTAAGCGACCATTTAGATTATAGTAATAAGCTTCGCTTCTGGCAATTACGCATATCTGCAAATAATCTCTGATCCAAGAAGTAGAATGCAATGCAAACTTACGACTCAGATTGTGGAACTGTGCTCAGTCTAAGACCATGGTGCGACCTGGAATTGCCCTCGGGTCAAGCTCCCAGTATCCTTCTTCACCTAGCCGTGTTCTTCTCTTCGTGTGTTTTTTAGCCGGAATCTGATGAGAAAACCGATTACTCATTTCCGCCTTCGGGATGTCTATAGAACCTGCATTGGACCCTTGGTTGCTCTGAATCATGTACGGTGAACTAGAGCCCTTAGCAGCCAGAGCCACCGCCTTTGCAATCTCCTTGCCATCACAGTAATCCCTCACCACTTCTACAATGTCATGTTCTTCTTTGGTGCTATCGCAGTTCTTATATAGAGCCCATATCTCACCTTTCCTTGGGAATACTTTGACTATGTTTTTCTTAGTGTCAACAGGATTGACCTGATGTGAGAAGCTGGTGCGAGGAATGATCTTGGCTTTTTTGGTTATCAACTTGAAATCCCCACAGGAAACAGGGCGAGTCAGGGTTTCTGCAGATGGCGGATAGAGTTCCATATGAGTTACGTATAACTTGAATACAGGCTTGGTGTTGATTTTCTTGATCTTCACATACTCTGTAGGCATTCCCTTGTCATTGCTATAAATAGCCCAAATCTGATGAACTCTAAATTTGTCTTCAGATCTCTGGTTCTCGAAGTCAAATGCATTTCTTCGCGGTGTTTTGCAACTTGATGACACAGGAGTTATCTCAGGGGAGTCATTCGTACAACCATCCAACTGAGTTGGCAAATCATTCTGCTTGGACAGAGACGGTAATTCGCAATTGCGACCTTGTTTCGTAGAGCTTTCTCCTTCCTGAATATCTGCTGGTTGGCGAATGCCATTGGGAGGTTTTCTGATTCCCAAAGAACCCTTATCAGTTTTCTTTGGAGTATTGCCTTGTTTAGCACTTTTCTTCTCATCTCTTTGTTGGCTTGGAACTGTCAGAAGACGAGGAGATTTTCGCAGTTTGAAAACATCTGCGGACTCACCATTCTTTCTGGACTCGTTTGGTGTCTTCTTTTCATCAACTTGACAAGAAGCAAAACCACGGCTTCTGCTGGTTCTGCCTTTGACTTCCCCAAGATTACTGCACCCACCATTATCATCATCATCATCATCATCAAATTTCCGACGTTTCCTTGGAGATGGAGCTGTCTCTGCAACAGTCTCAGGCTTCACTTCTACCTTGGGAGCTTCGGGATAAGGGCCACCAACTTTACCTTTCAAGGTCTCACTATCCATCCCCATATCAACTGCATCAACCTGAGATATATCTTTTGGTAATGCAGCAATGTCCAGTTCATACGAGACAGCTGGAACACATTCTTTCTCCTTTCCGGTCATTTTGACTGCTGGAACTCTGTGAGAAAAGCTAAGCATCTCGTTCGGAGCAAATTGGATCTGGCAAATTTCATCCTGCGGCTCCCAGTGAAATCGGGAAACAAATCCTTTAAGTTTTCCCAGATAAGCCACTCCGACCCCAACATCCTCTTTATAATCATTCACAATTTCCACAAAGTCATACTTATATGGTAATTCATGCTTTTCTGGACTAGAGTTCCATTCTTCATTCCAATCTCGGAAAACAGCCCAAATTTCTCCTTTCCTTGGATGTATGTTAACCATCCTGTTGCAAACCGAGTGAAACATCTGACCTGAAAAGATTGAGCGGTCCTCAACGTCTTCTGATTCCCCATTTTTGAACATTCCACAAGCAACTGGAATACTTTCATCATTCTTTTTCCGAACAGGCACAAGATAGGTAATCCGCAGCTTGAAGTCGGCATCCAGCACTTTCTTTACCCGAGCATATTTCCGGGGCATACCATCTCTAGGATCACAGATAGACCATACTTGATTGACAGCAAAGTTTTCAGTTTTCCGTTCAGCTTCAAACACATTGAACTCTGGAGCAGGTATATCCACGGTCTTAGGATTTTCGTTACTTTTGAATCCATTTTCAACTTTATCAATCTTGTTCGACAAAGCTTCATCGGCTCCAGTACCATCACAGCCTTCACTCTCTTTGTTTTTGGCTGACAACACGTCTTCATTTCCAGATTTCGCAATTTCCTTGGCTTTTCGTTTATAAGCATGCGAAGAAGCAGGAGAAACACCAGAATCAACAAGTTCAGGTGACTTATTAACCTCAGCCGTTTGCTTCGTATTAGAGCCAGACTCAAATTCACAACCTGGTTTTGTCTTTTTTGTTGGAGGGCTTACAAAATCACAACAGCTTTTCCCCTCTGCATAAGAAACCTGCGGCTTTTTCCTCGACGACTTCCTATTCGTGGCCCCAACAACATCAGAGTCATCAAACTCAAAACTCTTATAGGATTCCTCAACAGCTTTTCTCCTTTTTTTGGCTGCCTGATTCTTCTTTGAAGCTGATATATCAGGCATTGACTTTGCTGCACTAGTCTCTGCTTCGTCTACTTCAGGCTGCGGCTTCAGTACATCAGGTTTAGGTATTTCAGCAGAATTATTTGTAACTGCCTCACCTTTCTGGGGTTTTTCTCCTACAGCGTCATTCTTTGTACAGTCCTCATCTTTCTTGGGTTTCCTATCACCAGAACCTCTTTTCTGATTTGCTTGATTCTTCTTGTTGAGTTTCCCTCCGACAGTCTCATTTTTATCCATCTCAGCTGATGAACTTTCTGATTCTGCTCCTGTAGAAGCATTCTGCCGAGATGGCACCCCTCGATCTTGAAATTGTCTTACACCAGCGGCTGATCTACTAGGTGGCACCCCATCACACCCGATGTTGCAGGCGACGTAAGAGTTCTGGCAAGTGGAACAGTGCATAATTTTGTTCATGTGAAGTTTCAAGTGTTTATACCTCTGGCCACAGTTTCTGCAACACGTCCAGAACGTGTGTCCACTTGCAAAATTCTCTGCAGGATTGTTTGCAGCTGAACAGTGGCGACCAGAGTTTGCATTCGACTGCCTAGCAAGCAGTAAATGGGATCTGTATCTGATATCATACTGAGACCGTTTTATCTGGTCAGAAAGAATTCTGTTTGCTTCCCCAACCAACTTAAAAGCAGCCTCTGCACCAGCAAGCTTGTTCTTGTCTGGATGGAGAAGCAGCGCGAGCTTTCTGTATTGCTTTTTGATTGTGAGGGCATCAGCAGAAAACTGAACCTGAAGGATACCATACCAATTGTCAAGCCCTTTGATTTTCTTACTTGCAGAAGAGTGCACATCACATATGGCTGTCATCTTCAGTATGTTTTCGAGTTCGGGGAAGAGTATTTGAGCCTTCGTAACAAGTTTCTGGGCTCCAATAAAATCACCAGCACTCATCTTTTTTTCTGCTAGGTTTTTCGCCCTCGCAGCCTCTTCTTTGTTGCAATCCATTGCAGCGATAAACTTCTTCAGATCAAAACTCCCCAATCAGCAAAGGATAGCCAGGGAAACAATAAGTCACAGTCCCTGCAAACACAATATTCATTGCACTTACATCGTTGTAAACCTATCGGTCCCTAATCCAATACTCTAAAACTCAGTGTAAGAAAAACTATACTTAATGCTTACCATTTCGGTTTCAGAGACAAGAAATGTGAGATCTGTGAACAATGCAAGCATCCTTCATCACATAAAAGAATTTCAATAGGCTTGAAAATCTGGACAGGGAGGATATAAGCCTGCACACCCAAAAACAAGAAAGAACATAGATGAGATTCATAAACAAAGTGCCAGTTAAAAGCACTACAATCGGAATCAACCATAATACCGATGAGGAAATGCAATTAAGTAGGAGCTAAACACTAAGAGAAACGAAATCGTACGGGCATTATCGGAAACACAAAATCAATGGAGAAACGCAGGAAACCAGACTCTTATGGATCTAAAACAAGGCCAAATGTGAATGCATGTGTAAGTTCCGATCAAAACGAGGCAATCAACGAAAAGGAAAAAAAAAAGAAAGAAAAACTATGCGAAGAGGGAGAAGCTAAACCCTAGAAAAATGGGAAAACCCCCCAGAATCCGTAAACATACCCAGAAGCTCGAAGTGCGCGAGGAGAAGAAACGAAATTTAGTTCGAGGAACCACAAGAAGAGAAAATCAGAACCCTTAATTTGAATGGAGTCGGGGCAAAAGCGATGAACGGAGAGGGAAATGAAAAATTAAAAGGAGGGAAAATTATTTTATTTTTTTTCTTCTAATGTTTCCAAGGAATCCCTAGCTCGACCTTGGAAATTTGAAAAGCTTTTACTGCAAAAATGATAGAAATGAAATTATATTCTAAGAAAAATATTTTCTATTTTCACACATTTATGCGACTATTAACCAGCCACCCTAAAACCCTCTCTAAAGTGATTATATTTGTGTTAATTATTTTATACAATTTAATACGGTTATACAATTTTGTTTTTTATAGTTCTTATTTCCAAGCTGTAATTTACTATGAAGATAATAAACCTTAGCATGTTTTTTTTTACTATATAGATATTTTCCACGAAGTTTCGAACATTTAAAAAATAAATAAAAATTTGAATCACCCATTCTATCTATATACTAAGCTTCTTTGACAATGTGAGAATTTGCAGTCTTATCTGTGGGTTTAAGAAAATGGTTAGTCTTAAAGCTTAAGTTTATCAAACACAAGAATATGATATGATGATACGATTAGAGTGGCAAGCCCTATCACTTTTCCATCAAGCTTACCAATTACCATAGACATCGCAAACAGCAATTACGTAATTAGTCTTTACTTCAAAAAAGAAATGTTTTTGGTCCAGAAAACAAGCTTGAACAAGTCTCTACACAAAAGAGTTTTAAGCCTACCATAACCTAGGAGAAACCTAGACTAAGACCTACCATAACCATGAGCACGAGCTATATACGCGCCTACTTTGATTCCTACTAGCTAGCCTTAAGGCATGTAGAGCAACATTAGGATCTACTTCAAGTATGGTTTGACCTCAGGTTTAGGAACCCGAAGACTCGCACTTGAAAGTTGAGCAGAAGCCAGATTAGGAGAATTAGCTTGTTGATTTGATGCAGAGGTGTGATGCCTCGTATAGCAATGAACTAGAGGGGGGGGGGGTTGAGTTTTCTCTTTGAATTAGGAGCTTGGCGATGAGGTCCCCTGGGAGATTAATTTCGAGTTTATAATCTGCCACAAGTTCAAGTACAGCTCTCAATCTTCCAGCATCATTGTCTTTAGCCTAAAAGAAGAACCAAGAATAGATTAATTATCTCTGAATCAGCAACTAATAAAACATGATCAGGCTAGTGAACAAATGTGTTAAACCTGGGAGGAAGATTCAGCTGGTCTCCTTTCCAAAGCAGACCGTGTTAAATCCATGATCTCTTTCGTTAAGAGATGTGATGCTGGGAAGTCTTTATCAAGCTTAAAAGGACATATAAGCTGGACTGCGGGAATATACTGGCGTTTCGTGATGAGATATTCAACAATCGCTGCAAAAGATTAAAGAGTTAAACCCTTACAGTTCACAAGTCTTTTGTGTATGAAAATTTTTTTTTAGAAGAATGTGATGTTGTAGGTCTGATGGGGACAAAACTAACCTGTGATGTCAAACTTTAGAGAGTTAAAGAGTGTTGGAGCATGTTCGTATTGAGCAATGGACGAAGCAAGTAGAGCAGATTCTTCTTGATTGATCAATTTCTCTAATCCATATGCCACGATGAACAGAAGAAAGGCCAAGGCCTCGAGAGATGATTTTGGACCTTGGATCGTTATCTTCCTTTTCCAAAGAGTTGCCACTTGTGTGGCCTTGGTCTGCAGTTCAGGCTCGTCTTCTCTCTGAATTTTTGCGAGCTCCTCAAAAAGAAGTACCCAATTCTCCACCAATGAGTCAGGTAAGTCCACTTCTTCTCTAATTTCTCCCTGCACTAGTTCCAGAATAAATTCTGCTGGATTAAGTGAACCTGCAAGAACACTAGAGACTTCATGGCGCTCAAGAATAGTTGAGTTTCCATGATGCATGAGAGCATCTTCAGTAACCACTTCAGTTTCTGTTGCATTTTGTTGGCTGGTATCATTGATAGGCGCTGAAGCTGGTTGCGGCTCATGCTTAACAAACAAAGTGCTCATTTGTCTCAACTGTTTTTTTAACTCAAGTTCTCTTTGAATTTTCCTCATTGCCTCCACCTGACATCTTCTTGAACTCAGTTCCGTTGTACAATCTTGGATCGATTTCCTAAGCTGAACGAGTTTGCTTTCATAGGAATTGATCTGATTCTTAAGCTGATCTAGTTCCTTTTCTCTATCTTCAACCTCTCCCCTAAACCTTTGAGACTTTACATTCAAAACCCTTGTTTCAGTCTCTCCTGATTCCATTTCAGATGAACTTCTGCAATTAGCCTCCAAAATCTCCTTATGTCGCTTCTCTTCAGCATGAAGCTTTTCAGCAAGTTCCTGTATCAACAGAGTCAATGAATCACGTTGCTTATGCAGGACACCGAGTTCACTTGTTTGTTCCTCGATCAGTTTTTGAACTTCTCCCAACTCTTTTGATTTTAACTCAAGCTGTTCATCAGAGATGTTTATCAGTTTATTTAACGCTAGGATCCTATTTTCTTTACCCTCAAGGTCAAAATTGGAGCGCTTGCTTGATTCTATAACACATTCCAATTCCTTCTCTTTAGAAAGTAGCTCTCGTGACTTCATCTCGAGCTCTCTGTGCTGAGACTCTAGTTGCTTCTCCACCACCACCAGCTTATTTTTAGATTCTTCAGTCTTGTTAAGAATCAGTACCAAAGTTTGCTTCTTGCCATCTGTCTCCACTTTTATTTTTCTCTTTAGCTGAACGAGTTTCTTTTCCTCTGACTCTATCTGATTCTTAAGGAGATCTAGTTCCTTTTCTTTACCTTCAGTCTCCTGCCTAAGCCTGTCAGATCTTAGATTCAAATCACTTGCTTCAGTCTCTGCTGCTTTCACCTCTTTAGCCTTTTCTTCCATTTCAGAGGAGCTTCTGCTAATCGCCTCCAAAATCTCTTTATGTATCTTCTCTTTAGTGACAATCTCTTCAGAAAGTTCCTGGATAAACTGCTTGAAATGATCACGCTGATTATGCATGACAAGAAGCTCACTGGTTTGTTGCTCAATCAGCTTTTGGGTGTCCCCCAGTTCTTTGGATTTCGAGTCAATCTCTTGAACACAAAGTGTTATACAGTTGTTTAATGATTGTACCTTGTTTTCTTTCAGCTCAAGGTCAGAATTGGAAAGCTTGATTGATTCTCTCACAAGTTCCAACTCTCTCTCTTTAAATTCTAGCTCCGATGACTGAATCTCATGCAGTCTTCGTTGAGACTCTAGTTGCTCGTCGACCATCACAAGGTGCTTCCCAGCTTGTTTGATCTGGTCAAGAATGAGTGCCAAATCGGTTTTCTTTCTGTCTGTCTCCTCTTCCATTTCTTTCTTGCGAATTTGAACCTTACCAACCTCACTGCAAAGCTTCCGAACTTCAGCCAGATATTGTGCCAAGAGTTTTTTCTTAGAATCGATCTCTCTCTGAATCCTTGTTGATGTGTCCAGCATCGCCGTTAATTCATTTCTCTTTGCTCTCAGTTCTTCCGAGCATTCTTCCACCAATTTCTTTAAGTTACCAGCATCAGATTTTTCTTTCTCGAAATTTCTAACACTTTTATCAAGATCTGAGCTCAAACTTTGCAGCTCCTCCTCCTTTTGCCCTAGCTCCCTAGACCTCTTGTTAATATTGGCTTTAACCATCATATTACGTTTGTGTGCAACCTTCAACTGATGGGTGCAGTTTATTATATCAGACGCACCAGATTTAAATTTCTCCATAGATTTTCGAAGATTCTGTCTCTCCAACACAATGAGTTCTTCATAAGTAGTTTTCTCCATTGAAGTAAGAAATCTCACCAGTGAATAACCCACACACGTCTCGAAGAACAAGTCTATCTGAAATTTCAACTTTGAAAATATGCAAATCTGATTCAAAAGGAAAAAAAGAAGAGATTTTACAGCAGTAACACTAGAGTACTCAGGAAAACAAATCAAGGGTAATATTCAGGAAACGAAAACCTTAGATCTAAGCGATAGAAATCTCCAGATGTGCGCACATTGATACAAAATCGACCACAGAGATGAAATAAGAAAGCTTTTTTTTTAGTTCAGAGAGGGCGGACAGAGGAAAATCAAGGCAAATGTGAAAAAACCCTAGTTCTCTAAGTAATAACAATCATTTCATCTAACAAGATGAGCAGAAGCTCAAAACGAAGTAAGAATTAGAAACAGCTCACCAAAGAGACGATCAGAAGAACAATAAAAGAAGCCCTTTTTGCAGTTTTTCTTCTACGGGAGGAGGAAGAAGACGAAGATAAAATGGAGGGAGATTGACTACAGAAGAAAAAGAGAAAAAAAATAGTTTCTTTAATGACCGTCGGATTAAATGAAATAACAACCGTTGGATTTAAGCTGACGTTGGTTTCTCACTTTCTCTGACGGATCCTGCCTGATGTTGATCTTGTGGCCGTGCGATTGGAAAGTTTGGCTTCGTGGGCTAATTATCAAAATGAGATAAAGGCTTTATTGGGCTTTTTTCTGACCATTTTAACTTATTTTTAACTCATTTTTACTGTCAAACTGCAAACACTATAAATTATCTTACAAATGTATAAGAAGCATACAATATGTTCAATATTAAGAAACGAAACGAGAAAAAAAAATTAAATCAAATGTAGAACCAAAGAGAGCCAAAGATCTCATCAGCGAAACCCGAAGATCCATCCTATCAGCCAGATTAGAGGTTAGAGCCGGGACTGAATCTGAAGTTGAGGACTCGGGCTAATGCAGAATCAAGCCTTGACCCGAATCACGAAAGAGCCTGTGAGCACATAAGAAGAATAGTCACCGAACCGCAGCAACTTATAAGGACAGGTAATACAGCTTTTGAAGGATGTTCGGGGTGAGTTTTTTGGACCCACTTAACGTGACCAAACTCAAGTCATTCAACAAAGGCCAAAGTTAAGATATTTTGGGTACGAAACAAAGAATCAGTTTGCTTGCAACCAGTAAATGCCAAAACAAGAAGAATCAGTTTTCTTATTACCGAATGTAAGTGAAGGAATAAGATTTTTCGAAAAGGATAAAGGAAGGTATGAACTCACAAGTGGGAAGGCTCGATATGTCTGCAGAGACAGCACAAGGTATCCCCAAGTTGGAGAGGACACCTCTTATGATTCCACAAGGGAAATACAGGTACATGCTCACCGCTTGTGCTGCTTTGCTTTCCCCTGGAGTAGACGGATCTTCTGTTTCCTTCTCAGATGAAGGGTCAATTGAGACACGAGATAGCCATCGGAATTTGTTGTCTTGCAATACAAAAGTACCCTGGAGAAATATATTTGTGAGACCAGAAGAGTTTTCCCTTTTTGTCCAGGCAATTCCCGTTTTTTTGTTTGAAAGGAAATCTTACCCGGTGATTTGTCTTCAGATTATCTATCTGCTTCTTGAAGACCTCAGACCAGAAGTCTTTGCAGATAAACTTGATTGCCTCTAGATGGTCGCTGAACCTTGGTCTTTCCATAGTGTATCTAGTGTGACACAAAAAGGCCAGAGTTAGGCACTATCATTAAGTAGGATGCAGTATCTTAAGTAGGCAAAACACTTTCAAAAGCAAAATCCACTAAATACTTCTGCGACATATTTCTAACGTAAAACATTGCAAAAATAAAAGAAAAATTTAGCCACTAAAACAGTGAGAAGCTACTAGAAGTGAATCCACCGTCTCAGTTTCTTGGTCAGTAAATCCTAACATTTCTCAGAGGCCAGTCATTGATAAACGAAAACCGTAAAATCTGTGACACTTGAACAAGTTGAAGTTCCAAATTACTTGACTTTCGAAAATTCCAAGGTCACAGAACACCAGAAATCGCAAGATCTTCATTTCAGTACCAAATTGATATAAAATCCCTAAAGTCTTCCACAGTTCAACAATTCCAAACTACCGGTGAAATGAAAAACTCAAATCAGCGCGATTTATCTTCCTCTCTATCACCTTCTAGCACATTCTCGGCCAATTATAGACCAGAAACGATTAATCGATAGCTAGAGAATCAATTCTAACACTAAAATCTCGCCATCATCCTCAGATCTAAAAAACCAATACTAACATCCCAAATACCTACTCCAGGAAGACCAGCGTAAGAATCTTAGCAAAAGATGAATCGTACCGAGAGAAGACGATGATCAAGTAAACAGGAACAAACCTCTCGGAGAGCTGGTGGCCGACCTGATAACCAATGGCCTCGATCCTCCGAGCGGCGAGTTCCGGCTTGTTAGCGTAGAATCGGCCGCTGTACATCGCCACCATCTCCATCAACATAGTGTCTACACAGCTCTCCGCCACTTCTCTCACCATCCTCTTTCTTCGTCTCTCTCGACGACACACGACCGTTTGGCCTTGTGCACGATACTCTCCGATCTACTACTAACTTGTGAGAATATATCACATGTGCGTCCTTGATACTTTCTGTTATTTCCGATCTGTGATTCTAAGTTTCGAAAGAGTCGTAGATAACCTCAATCTCTCTAGCTTGACACATTAACCGGTTTTGGTTCACTTTTTCTTCTCATATATCCGATTTAAACTCTCTACCTTCCGGTTTCGATTTCGAGTGTATAAATTTCTAATTACATCTCTAAACTGACCAACATCGAACCAATTCAAAAGCTAATTGCTTCAGTTCTTCACCAAATCCAACAATTAATAAAAACAAATTGGTCTTCTCATTTGCACAATAACACATTAGTTAACTTTAGAGGATAACAAATTGAAACAGTGAAAAGAATGCAGTATGACAAATACACAATATAATATTTGTATATATAAAAATACTTGAAAAATCACAAGTCGAATCAGTTTAGGTGTGTTGTGTGTAAAGAGTGAAAAGTCTGAGAAAGAGAAGAGAGGCAAGAGTCAGAAGGAAAGTTCAAGATGAGAAGAAGGGTTGGAGTCATGGTCAAGCCCTTTTCTTGATTTTTGCCAAAGCTGTGACTCTATGTTCAGCTTCCTCAGCTCCAATAATCCTCTTTCAACTGCATTTTTCATATATATGCATGAGATTATTTTTCTTGCAATGATAGTGAGAGTGAGTAAGAAGAGAGTACCATCAACAGCGTCTTGTGAGGTGGCTGATCGAGTGGCTTGGTTTATCCAATACTGGAGACGCTCATCCGCGAGATCAGATTCGATGTCATGGTTCTTTGCTCTTCTCCAAAAGTATGAAAGCCATGCCTGTGTGTTTGTGTGCGCAAACTCACAATGAGATGCTCACATGACAACTCCACATAAAAAAAAAACATAGACAGAAAATTGATTTGTTTCTTCTTTTTTTACCTGTTTAAAACTTACATCTTCAACTTCCTCGTCGCTTAACTCTGCAAAGGGAAAACAGCAATTTCCTTAACTTAGTGAAAAACAGAAATGCAGAAAGAGCATGATTGAGAGCCAAATCTCAGGGTTTTAATCATATTATGATTAGGGTCTGATCACATCAGTGCTAAGCGTATAACTAATGATTTTCCTTTTGGAAATTACTGGCTTACCAAAGGCTTCAAATTGTCCATCCATTGGCAGTTTCACTTCGTCTATGAAGAATAGTTTGGAAAAGTAAATATGGATTAGTAAAATGTGAATAGTATTTGTTCACAAGGCAACATCAAATAGAGGCATATTCAAACTAAGCTTGGATCTTTGGTTACCACCTGAAACAAAAAATTTCGATGATGAGTTCCGTCTATTTTGAGCCATGACGTATGCAACTGCCTCCTGAACCTTTAGATAGAGCAAGAAAAGGAAGAGGAGAACTTAAATCTGCAACTTGAGACTTGAATAATGATCTAATAGCAAGCATTTGCTTCTAAGAAAAAGATAGTGTCGACAAGAAGAGTTGTTCTGTTTCACCTTTAGTGAAGCCAGTTCCCGCAAACCTTTCTCGACCCATATCATGCTTTCTACATTTCCTTCCCCAGAATTTTCTTGCATATTTTGCAATGATTTTTCTCTTTCATTAGTGTTGTTAGCTGCTTGGTGCAAAATACACAAGCGAGATCTTAATAATTTCCATAAGAATGTGGTTTAATCTATGCAGGATGAAGAAAAAATATTACATCGTGAAACCGCGTCCCTAGCTCTTTGGCCTGCAGACAGAACAATCTCTACAGGAAGAGGTGCAAATGATGACCAGTATTCGTACTTTGCTCCTGCAATCTCTGCTTGAATTCCTGCCATAACGTTGTTCTGTGTTCAGCTTCAACACTAGATCACAGGTAAGAATCTGTTTTGCGTAGTCAGATCTTATAAGTTAAAAATATTACGTGTAAGAGTAAGGTACTACCATATCTAACGCATAATCCCCAATAACGTGAAAGCCAGCACCTCTTCAAAACAACCTCTTCCTAAGATAAAAGTGCTTTACATGAGAAGATATCTTCTTAAGAAAAAACATGGATACGTTGAAGTATGAACCTTAAACAATAGCATACCATCTCCTCCTGAGTTAATATCAGTCTCTTGGTCATGGTCTTAAGAGAGCTAAGCTCTGATTCAACCTCATGAAGCTGCTCTAAACAAGATGCTGCTTCCTCTCTAGCAATCTAAATCCAATCCAAGATCTAAATCGTTGGTATCATTTCAGATAACAGTATGAGAAACAAAAGACCTAAACTTTGACTACCTCAGCTTCTGTATGAAGAGCTGAAACATCCTCCCTCCTTCCTCCATGATTTTGTGATGCGACTCTCAAAGCAGCCTAGAAAGAGATATTTTCAGACATAACGTGTGAGTCCATGTATGGAAGAAAATTCAATTAGCCAATAGCACACAAATTACAAATAGCACTGACCTCTCTCTGTTGCAGAGCCGCCTCTTTCCTGAAGCAAGAAACTAATTCACAGAATTAGAAATAATTTGTCATAGTGCAACCAAAAGCTTGAAAATAACTGAAGCTTGCCTGCTTAAAAGACGTGCGTCCATAGTAACACCTTCTCCAAGGATTTCAACCTAATAAAAAGCAGCTTTGAGTTTAGGGTGTGGTAAATCTCGAGGCAAAAACACAGAGCAATGAACCACCTGCTTACCTGTTTCTCAAGCTGCTTAGCTCTTGCATCTGCTTCTTCACACTTATCTTCTGCAAGTCGAAGCTGGGGATGCATAAATTAGGATGGGATGCAAATCATAATATTCCAATGGGAATCATAATATTATGCTATAATAAAACGTACTAGTAGTTATCTAACTTCACAGAGAATCTGCCATATTGATAGGCTCGTTCAAATAGAAGGGAGTTTCAAATTTGCCAGTGTAATTCATGCTTTCTTAATTGTATAACAAACCAAGAAAAAAAATTTATGCCATCGAATTCGAATGAAATCAAGTTTACTAATGCCTGCTAACACGAACTGTGAAAATTTACTGGCATCACCTTTTCTAGCAAGCTTTCATTTTCTTCTTGTAGCATATCAACCTGAAATGAAAACGAACAATCTTGAATAAAAATGTGTGAAAAGTTACAAAGAATTCGAAATAAAAAATTAGGCACGAGCTAGAGATGAATCATCAGAAACTCAGAAATAACTGGAGAAAAACGAGTTCCAAATTTGCAAATATTTGAGTGAATTAGTTCTGAAGAAGTCAAACCTCATCTTGCAGAGCTGAAGTAGAACGTTGACTGCCTAACTCTCTTAAGTTGCCCGAGCTTCCCATATCTAAGGAAAACCTGCTAATGGACAGAAAACCACTGAAACTCAGAGACCACACTGAAAAATAATGAACGAGTAGTTCTCTAAGATACACCAAAAGATAAAAAATTAGGATAAGCTTATATCCTTTTAGTTACCTTTTATCTTTTCGAAGATTGGTTGGCGTGTCGGATTGAAAAGCAGGAGTCACTGGTTTGAGAGATATAGGCACGGAAGATGGCATTAAAGGCACAGTTCTTATTGGACGACCACTGAAAGATGAACGTGCTGATGGAGGTTGATCCATAGCACTTAGAGACTGAGATGATTTGCTAAAACGAGCGGATGGAGATTGCTCCATCTGAGATTGCTGACCCGTCAATGTTGAAAGACCTGAAGATTCTGTGGAATCCTCACATAATGAGGACCTGCTACCTGAAGTTGCAATTCCGGTCTGAGGTTGTTCCTTAGTACGAATCGACTAGTACAGAATCAAACAAAGTCTCAGAAGACATAAAAGCAACAAAACATATGCTTTGATTCAAACACTTTGAGCCGTAAAACATTGCTTCAGTAATGCTGATTAAAACAAGAATGCTTCTAAGAAAAAAAAAAAAAGCAATGCTGACACTATTACAAACCCTAAAACACCAATTAACTATGTCACAGTGATATGATGTATTAAATTATCAAACTGGTTCTTGATTGACGAGTTTCCAAAAAGATCTAGCAAAATCTCATTTCAGTAATTAACTGGTTCATGACCTTTTTATAGAAGAACATTATCAAAACCAAGTTTAAATGAAACAAGTTCCATTGTGAGAGAGCAGGAAAACCAGAATAGCCATACTATTAATTTACCAAAGGAGTGCGAGGTCTCATTGACCGTCCACCTGCAAGTCCTATGCTCGGCATGCCACTCGTATACGACTCATCATAATCAGCATCACTGTCTCCATTGCCTGGTGGCTGAGCTATTGCCTGTGGATGCCTCAATGGAGGGTTTTTCTTCTGTAGATACACAGATAAATGAAGTTTAACGAGCAAAAAAACTAGAAAGAACACATTCCAAAACAAAGTATTTCAGAAATTTCACTGCTAGCAACATGACTCATTTGTGTATAATAAAGTAAATTACCAGGGGAGAACGTGACCGTGTAGACCTTCCACCAGCAAGTCCGACACTTGGAATGCCACTTGTATAAACATATGGAGTCTCATCATCTTCGTTTTCCTCATCAGCTTGCTGATTAATTGCCATCACCGGACGCCCTTGTGGTTGGCTTTTGGTCTGCGATTTCCAAACACTTTTATAATAAACATTAAGCTGCATGAAGTTGAGATTCTAAGTTTCAAGTTCGATACCATAGAAGACTGTGGCCGCATCCTCCCACTTCCAAGCCCAATACTTGGTCTGCCAATTATATAATCCACTGAAACAACATCATCATCATCATCATCCTCATTCTTATTTTCTTCATTAGCTGGCTGAGTACGTCTCGGAGGTGCTATTTTGGTCTGCAACAAAAAAAAGGTTAATTCATATGAGAGTTGAAGCCAAGACACATTTGAACTTGAAAAAGCTCACCATCACAGGAGACTGAGGTCTTATTGGTCTTCCACCAGGAAGTCCAATACTTGGTCTGCTGCTCGATATATCAACAGAAAAATCATCGTCTTCATTGTCCTCATCAGCTAACTGTGGAGTTGTCATCTGTGGACGCCTTACTATAGGGTTCTTAATCTGCCGTTCAAAAGCAAAATTAACCATCATTTATAGCCTTTGAGCAACAGGTGGAAAGTGAGTGTGTTTTGTTAGTTTTAGATTACCACTGGAGCTGGAGAGCGAGAAGGATGAGATCTTCCGGCAGCGAGACCAATGCTCCCAGTGCCTGAAGCGTTGTAGTCAAAGGAAAGGTCTTCGTCACTGTCTTCGTCGTCACCTGTTTGGTTTGACATGACAGCCGCAAGTCTCTGAGCGGCTGCTTTGGTCTGAGCTTTCTTGGCATTATTCGATGATGGCCCTGCGTTTGATCCTGACCGTGTATGCCGATGCATCAAAGGAGACGTCATCATCGGCGATGATGGTGCTCCTGGTTCCGTACTCTTGTTCCTCACGTGAACTGGCCTCGTGTTTCTCATCCTCAACTACTACACACACACAAAAAAAACAAGGACTGATAATCATATCAATGGCGGCTGACTGATACGATCGAAAAAAACTTACCAGTTAAATTTTTATCCTAAAATCCCATCTCGAAATCGGAAATCACAGCAAGTGATATCCAGAAAATCAAATTCAGGGCAGGACTCTTCAAGAGCAACCGATTCCGCGAAGAAAAAACAGCGCATACGCGTGAATCAAACAGAAACCTGCGAAATTAGATTCAACGGGAATTTCCAAGAAATTTTCAGTCGAGAAATTCGAAGAGAAAATTCGTCATTTATGGCAGCGAAAATTTCGCTCATAACGATCCGGTCGTTTAGCCAGAAATGGCGGGAGGATTCAACTGTCGGATTAGAGAAGCGTTTCTCTCATTATTCGCAAAAAGAAAAATTATTTATACTCTGCCCCCATTATTGTAGTATATTTATCGATAGTACCTTTCATTAATTGCATTGATACTTTCCTCCCCAATTGTATTATATTATCAATAGTACCCAGTAACTTTTGTATAATTATAAATGTTTACCTGTATGGATTTGGTCGTTAGAGAGAGATACGATCATACGTATCATCGGTATCACAAACCACCAACAAATCTCGAATCGAGGTCCTTTTCTGGAATAGAGCTCTATCTGCTTTTCTGATTCGTACAATTGAGGCAAATGCGAGTTCTCGGCGAGATCGCGGAGTCACCTTTCTTGATTTCCCGGCTAAGCCCTAATTCGACTGCCGCCGGATATGGAGGCGGCGCCGGAGGGTTTATCGGCGGATGGGTCGGGAAGTGCCATGGGTTTCTGCATAACTCGGTTCTGGTTTTAGCATCTATCCTATTCGTCGCTTACTTAGCGTACGAGGCGAAGAAGAGCTTGTCGAAGCTGTCGAACCGGAGATCTTACATTATGATCGCCTATTACGGTTTTCTTTGGCTTGTTAGCTTGCTCAATCTTGCTTGGTGTTGCCTTCAGGTTTGTTTGAATCTCTCGTTCTAACTTGGATTCATTTCTCACGTACACCAACATTCTAGCTATGTTGCGTATCCAATATCAGAACTTAGATTGAAGAAACAAATCTTTTTAGACTGTTTTTAGACTCAGTAAAAGGTATAAATTTTTCAATACTGTAACTTGGTTGTTCTTCTGCACTGATCACTAGAAAGGAAGCTTATGAATTTTGTGTTAGCTGTAATTGTTGATTTATTTGGTCATAGATGCTGCCTTAGAGGACATGTTTTACTTTTTTTCCTTTTTTTCTCAATTTAGGATCACTCTGTTTTCGAATTCCGTTTTAAGTTTACTTTTCCTGTGTTTAGGCATGGGAATGCACTCCTGGGAAAGAAGTAGTTTGGAATCTATTAACTTTGTTCACAACATCTGGAATGTTGTTTCTGGAAGTAAGCTTGGTGGCCTTTCTCTTCCAAGGAAACTATGCAAGCGGCGCTGAAGCATTAACACGAACTTTCCTCATCTCCGGGCTTGTTATTGGTCTTGATTTGCTTCTCAAGGTACCATCGTATTCATAAATTTTAGATTTTAATTACTCGTATACTGTCTGAAAAATAGATAGAAACAACTTCATTGAGATATATTGACGTTGATTAATGCGTGATCTTAGTTCTGAAAAACTTACAGAGCATGTCTCCACTACGATAAACATACGCAAACTTGTACTGTCAGGTTACTTTAATCCGTCAGGGATTTCGCTCTTCATTTCAGGCAATTTATCTCTTTGGATTTGGAGTACCATTGTTTATCGACAACAATGAACACATACAAAAGTTCAAATGGGGCTTATGGGTAATCCACAAGCTCTTGCTTGCAGGCATTTATGGGATGATATTCTTCATGTACAACTCTAAGTGGAGAGAAAGATTACCAGGTAAATACATCAACCATTCTCATCCATGGTTTCATTCCATAAGCCAATAGTTGTTCACTGGCTTCTATTACTCACCCCATTTTTACTTTTTTTTCATTCTTTATTTTCACAGCAAGACCTGCGTTCTACAAGTACATAACTGTCATGCTCGCCTTAAATGGGCTTTCCCTATTTGCATGTGCTCTTACGGCAAATGGCGCTCATTTTGGATTATGGTAAACCCTTATCATAAGTAAGGTCGTTTGGTCAGATTTCTCTTGTTGCTTAATGCTAGAAAATAACAAATGAAAATGCTTGTAGGTTATATGGGATCACGAGTGTTTGTTACCACGCCTTCTATCTCCCTCTTTTGTATGTTACTTTTCTTGCAGACTTTTTCCAGGTAAATCCCTCATCTCAACATCTCTCTCTCTCTCTCTCGCTATATATAACACACCAAAAACAACTATCATCCATCATTCATCACCATATATCACCATCACCTTCTTCATCCCTATAGCATCACTAAAACACCCCCTAGGCATGGTATAGTTGGATGATGATCGCTAAAATTCACTTGGGTTTGCTGCAGGAGGAAGATCTGAATTTGGAGAATGTCTACTATTCAGAGATGAAAGACGCTGGATTCTTCGACGCCGATTGGGAATAATAAGACGCCTGAATAGTCTTCTCAATTCTGTAGATACAAGGTGAATAGGATTGCTTATAAACCAAGTTATTGTTGTCACTTTCTTTTAGGGCCTACTCTTGACTTTTGTGTTAATACCAAAGACTCCCTGTACATTATGATGATATAACATACTTTTCTCTCTGTCTCGTATGCATTTGCCTGATTCCCATTCGGCATTTCGATCTAAGAAATAAAAAGAATAATCATTCATATGTAAATGGTATTCATTCCATTTTATTTTGAAGTTGGGGAACCAAAAGTTTCAAGTGACAAATAGAAATCCGTGAATACAGATACTACTAAACCAGACAGACTCGCTTGACACAATAAAGAAAATGCCAGAAATATGAAACACAACAAACTTAAAGCGCTGCTAATTTTTTTTTTTTAATACGAAATTACTTCTTCTCTTTCATGAGCTCTTCAATGAGTTCAGCAGCTTGCTCAACTGTTGCAATCTTCTGTGCTCTCTCTTCCGCCATCTGGATACCGAACTCTTCTTCTAAACCCATCACTATCTCAACCTGCAGACACTCAGATAAATCACTATCTAAACTCTAGAAATATCTTAATGGCATCTTAGTGTTAAAAATTATAGAAAAGGCGATTGATGAATACCGTGTCGAGAGAATCTGCTCCAAGATCGGTAAATTTGGTCTCTGCAACAACTTTCTGATCGTCTTTCAGAGATAGTTGCTTCTTTACTATCTCAGACACTTTCTTTACGGTCTCTTGCTTGGCCTGTAAACCAAATATAAAAACCAGTCTTGTATTTTAAAAACTTTGAAACACACAGTCAAAAAAGGCTCTTTGATTTAAGAGCAACATACCGCACAAGAAACTGAGAGACGAGTGGGGATTGAACGTCGCAGGTTGAAGGAAAGATTAGTCCTTCCATGGCTGGAAATCAAAGCAGGCTTTTGGAAACTAATACTCGTTCTTGCCTGTTGTGCAGCAATACAAACAAAAAAAAAATCATTGAAATCACCAGAGGATCTTATCCCAGACTTTGTTCTGTAATTTTCATAATTAAGCCAAAATGACAACCATAAAGATCATATTCATTCCAATAAACAATTTGCGATTCAAATGAGGACAGATCGAAAACTACAGCCTCGCATGACACAATTTTCTGAAATAAACAACAGATTATAAATCCAATTATAATATGATCACAGAAATCACGAAAATTCAAATTAAAGCTTGTCTCAGGAGAAAGGAGAAATAATCAGAAACAAAAAGAAAACTTGAGATTCGTAAATCCTGATTAGCCTATGTTCACCACATGATCATCATGCGTCAAGAGTTTTGCACGGTTACAAACAGCAAATGTCAGAATCGGAGACAAAATGATCTAAAATCGGACGATCAAAGCGATCTTGTGTAAAGAGGAGAATACGATGTGAATACCAGAGAAGTAGCTTGCATGGAGACCGAAGCGCTGAAAGTGGTCGCCATTGTCGCTATTCACGAGAGATCTGCTCGAGAGAGATGGAGAGAGAGATGGCGGAGTGTACAAAGAGCGTGATGTCCCGAGGTAGCTCGTTGCATTTATAAGCTTGGTTGCACTCTAAAAACGACGTCGTCATTGTAATTACATGGGCGGGCCTCCTTCTCAGGATCAAAAATATTGAGCCCATCGATATTCACGCACGTGCGACTCTATTAGTGGATCAAAGTGTACCATGACAAACCGGTCTTAACCATAGCAGACCAGTGTAATTCAATAGTCAAAACTAGTTTCCGCCACAACTACCCAAAATTTATTAGAAAGGTATTCTAGTCTATTGGCTGAAATTGAACCAAACAGTAACCATAACTTACCAATCAGATCTTAATAGAAAGAGACAAGTCCAGATTCTAACCAACAGGCAACAACAATAACAAACTTATGAGCCAGAGAAGAAAGCATACACAAAAATTGTAGTTTCGTTACAACTAATCAAAGACTTATATACGTAAAATCCCACACGTCTCTCAAATTGTAAGAAGCTTCTTCTTTTATCCACGAATTTAAATTATACTAGTAATACAAATTTATAAATTTACACAAAAGTTATAAATTTGAACCACCAAATATACCTTTACATAACCAGTAAAGAGGGAAGAAGAAGAAGAAGAAGTTTATTGGTTTTCGGAGAAGTTTCTATAAGCTTTCTCGCAAGGTTTTACTGAGATCAGGGGAGCTTCTCTCGGTGGGAGAACCAGGGACAAAGGGAACGAAACCGCGACCACCAAACACAGGACGCATGAAGGCATCATCAAACTGTCTCCAGTAGTGGTGGACAGTGCGTGTGGGTCGCAAGAGGAAACCGCGAAGGCTATCTGGTCGTGGCACGTCCTGGTGAGTTCCAGAGAACTCGACGAATGAATCATCATGCTGTTCACCATCGAGGAGCGGAATGTGGATTGATTTCGGAGTGTTATCGTCGGATAACATACTGGTGGTCGCTTTTTGATGTGGCAGTAGGTATCTAATGAGCGGTTTGGTCAGCATACCGAACACCTGAAACCCCCAGAAACAAAAAGCTTATTGTCAAATACTCCATCTGTTTCATAATAAGTGTCATTCTAACACATTTCACACAGATTAAGAAATTAATAAAATATACAAATATACCCTAATTAATATTTTTTTATAACATTTAATTACAAAGACTATTATCTTGTAAACCTTATTATCTGGATAAAACAGGAAATAAGAGTAAAAAGTTACATTGAAAATGCAGAAATACACTCTTTTTGAAACAAAAAATGAAATCTAAAACGACACTTATTATGAAACGGAGGGAGTATTCGTTTTTAGAGTTTGTTTTTGTTTTCTGGATATTAGGATTTGGCTCAGTTTATCTGGATGAAACTCCAATAAGGGAAAATGCATATAGTATTCCAAATTTGACAAGGAAATATATCTTACCACGGTGCTAAAAAGACAAACGGTTATAGTACTGGTAATCATGATTGCATTCCCGCGCAATTCAGTGTGCCCTGATCTTGTAAACTGCATTAGAGAAGACAGAGAGAACTTAATAAGTTAAGAGATCTGTCAGATATTCACCAATCACCATGTGGCTGTGTGCTATTCATTAAGCTATCAATTTACCTGATTGTAGGCAAGAGCCATAGATACAGCACCCCTCATTAGACCAGCCCACCAAATCACAACCTATAGACCAAGGCAAAGAATATAGATAAATAAGCAGAAATATTAAATCCAATTGACAAAAAGTAGTTCGTTAGTACTTGCTGCTTGATATCGATTTTCTCGCTCTGGTTTTTCTTGGATAAGTTTGATAAGAAGGATAGAGGAAACACAAAAGCTGCTCTTCCAAGCATAACTAGACCCATCAGAATTGAGCTTACTGCAACCGATGTCCCCGGGCTGATCAAAACCAAAGACATGGTAACATTCAGAGAACAAATGTATAGCCAGGGAACAAGGAAAGATGAAAAGAGATAAGAAGAGAGCTCTGTTTTACTGAGTAACCGTACCTGTCACTAACGAATCTCCACTTCTCGATGTCCAATGCATCCATTCCGACGTAAAGGAAAATGAAAGTCTCGGCTAGAAACGACAAAGTTGCAAAGGCATGCCTGTATTATCGTAAATGCATAGAGAGTAAGTATTGGGGATGGAAAACGTTTGACATCAAGTTTGTCTTGAATCAAAAGATGGAGAAACTGGAGGTTGTATTACTTAGTAGTTATTCTTGAGCTCTCGGTTACGTTATGCCAGGTGTAATGGGACATCACAATCCCACAGAAAAATACAGTGAGAATACCACTCAAGGCGAATAGCTGCCACCCAAACAAAATAACATCAATAAACGGATTCTTCAGATGAAACTGAATAAACGGATTCTTCAGATGAGACTGAATGTTTCCATGCCTAAATACTAACCTCAGCAAGCATGTATGAAAGATATGCCATAAGCATCATGAGGGCAACCTCTCGATCGGTCGAGTGCCTGAGACATCCAGTTTAGATCACATCACATATACAGGCTTATAGAAAGTCACATATGAAGCCAAAGTCAATTACATACCTTCCAAAATAAAGCTTCTTGATGACATAAGCACTTATCAGACCAGTCTGCAAGATGAATAACAGAAACAAAAAAAAAATATTATGTCAATGGTGTTAACAGAAGAGCCTGTAAGTAGTGGCCAAAAAAAAAGAGCGATAGAGAAATTAAACTGGACTTACTGCTACACCGAGCAAGGTGCTCAAGAAAAACAGATACAAAAAGTTTCCAAGAAAAAGAAAAGCTGCTTCATGGTTAAGGTGGGTGAGGTCAAAGCTCTGAATCGCATTGAAGAGCACAACTGATGTGGCATCATTCACAACGCCCTCTCCAAATACAAGACTGTAAAGCAAAGGTGTCTCATCTTGATTGAGAACCTGTATCACCAGAGGAACAAGACTTTATATTTATTATAGTTAGATTCTGGGCCTGTTGGTACTTCGGCTGCTTAGAGAAACACATTACCTGCAGTGTGCAAACAGAGTCGGTTGCAGCAAATATGGCGCCGATTGCTGAGAAACAAACACAAAATAAATTCTTGTAGAACAAAAATATATAAAGCAAAGCAACAGGAAACAAAGGAAAAATAGTTGATGCTTTACCAAGAAAATCGCCCAAGTCAAAGGTCCCAATGTCCAATTTCTTAACGAACTGAATTACACCTGTTACAAACACCACACGCATATCAATATTTCAACGTTACTAATCCGAAATTAGCTTTCAACAGATTCAATTAAAAGGAGTGAGAAGTAAGGTACCTAGAGATATTATAGTGCAAGAAATTAGAGTCCCAATGGCGCCAAAAAGCATAATAGTCACAAAATTGCGGAAAAATTGCTTCTTTTTAACTTGAAACCTAAAGACAACGACAGTAAAAATTACGAGTCAGAGAAAGATCTGGAAAACAGTATCAACAAAAAAGAAGCTGAACCTTATCTGCATTTACGACAAAGACTTAGCAGGACCACCTATATTTACAGGTAGATAAATCAAACTAAAATTGACCCAGAAACATTATACACTCGTCCTATCCTGCAGTCACAATCACAAGTACTTCCAAAGCTGATATATGAAAGCTTATTAATAGAATCAGCAATAATGCATATCATTTAACTAATTTAATGTAACATATTATAAAATTAATGTAACGTTTTTCAGTAAGATCTCTGATAATAAACAGATAATTTTTCACTCTATTGTGCATTTTCACTTTACCACCCACCCAAACCCATTACTACAGCAAAAGATCTATCAAATGGAGAACTCAGACAAAAATATGCAACTTCTCAAATTTGCTATCTTCATAAACAGGAAGCAAAATGATGAGACTGTATATAGAAACTTACCCTGCATTGAATATTATGGGTGGCAAAAGATATATAAAGAAAAGATCTTCACTGAAGACTAGGAGATGTGAGTTCTTCCCTCTAGTAATTAACAAAATGACCACACCAGTGCAAAGCCCCTGCAACCAAATTGCTAAAATGTCAAAAAAGATGAAACATTGATATGACTAAATCCAGAATGTAAAAGCTTATCCGTGAGCCCCCGTGCGGTAACATCTTTAGCTATCATTTTACCCCACAAAGAGGACGGCTTGAAGTGAACTTACAATCAATAAAGCTGTGATGGATTCGTTCATCCATCGATTCTCCTCCAAAAGATGCCCAATCACAATACAAGCACAGAGAAGGGCAACGAAGAGATTCAACGAAACAACAGAGGCGTGATCAGAGGTGGACACCGACAACATTTTAGAAGTTAAAGAGCTGAAATGAGAAGCCAGCATTGTCATCTTCTTGAACCACTTTTTTTCCCTTTTTCGATTAAGTTTTGTAAGACAGCAATGATCTAAAACTGCGAATTAAAGATCTCTCATCTCTCCGGACCCTCCATTCCAACAGGTCCTGTATCACACCAAACAAAATCTCAGAATCAAAAAAGGAAACAAATATATTTCCTTAAATAAATGCTTTATTAGAAACCGTATAAGGATCTACAAGTGAAACCAAATCTGAAACTGTGAATGATTATATCATACACCCAATTCTCTAGACTTCACGTTTCTTTTGCTAATCAAGTTAGTTCGAACTTAATCACCACTAATGTTTTTCCTCCCGTTACCTAGCAACCAACCACAACCTGAACCAAAAAAAACTAAGAACAAAAAATATACAAAAAAAAAAGAGAGTGAATCTCCGAATTGCTAACCTGAAGCTCTTATGGGTGATCGTATAGCTCTATGAAACAAATCCGCTAAAAGGATTACACAGACGAAGATTAAATTCAGAAGCTCCGAAGCTAAACCCGCTTTTGGGAACGAGACGAATTCTATTACCCGAAGAGAAAGCGAAAGGATTCGATTCTCCCGGCAAACAAATTTCACGGCGGACTGAGAAATTAAACGGGAATGGAGAGAGACACGTGTACGGTCAAATGCGTGGGAGAGTCTAAGAGGATTCGTAACGTAACGTAACGCAAAGTAATTTCTTTGTTTTAAGGGAAGAAAGAAGGTAAATCGATTTGGCGGCTTTATAGTCGTTATTTAGATCACTCTAGATGTTGTTTTAGTTACTGTGGACCTCGTCGTAGACAAATAATCACCTGACAAAATACAATTGACAATTTATTTATTTATTAAGCTCCAGATTCAGCACTTGGCAGACAGGTTGATAAGTGATAACGATTATCTTATTTGGTGCCAAAAATGTTGTTGTTTTTTATTTTTCTTTTTGCGATTGCTCTTATAGTTCAAACATATACTATTTTTCATCTTCTCTGTATCTACTTTTTTTTGTTTTAGAAAAATTCTTCTTTATATCTACTTCTAATCGCTCTTTTTACTTTTTTTTTTAGTAGAAAATTAAATTTTATATCATTTTCGATTTTTTACAGAATACAAAGATACAACAAAGAAAGAGGAACAATCAAAACTACAAAAAATAACGAAAACGACAAGATTAAACAGAAACGCAAAAAAGAATGGATCCGGTTACTGAACATGAAAGTTAAATATCAAGCAAATCAAGAGGAGAAAACACCAATCACGCTAAGAAAAGCAAATCTTTTTACCTTCTGTTGAGTCTATACAAATATTTATCTACGATATCTGTTTATCACCAAAATTATTTACAAACGTTTCAGTTTTCTTTGTTTTATGACATCCATATGTGTTCGTTTTTATTTGTCGCCTATTGGCTATTAGCCTATCACAGAAAATATCTGTAAGACTCATATAAGACCGAAAGGCTCTCCACGTTACAGAAAATATCTGTAGAAAGCTGACAAAATGTTACTAAAAGTAATCCGATTTTTTAATCTGAGTCAATAGAAGAATACAATCTATAATCTATACAATCTATAACCCATGACATATACATACATACATATGATTATGAATAGTTAATCATAATCATATAAGAAGAAAAAGAAAAATCGTTAGAATAGTAGATTTAAATCTGATGCGGGGCATGCACCTAGAAGGTGACAAAGTTCATGGGTCTGTGTTCAACAGAGATCTCATGAATTTATAGCTTTACTTTATTAGCAATGCGTTGAGTTGTCACCACCTTTTATTTTTCCTTTTTTCTGTTCTTTTAGAGACTTCTTTGTGTTTTTAGATATTTTTCATTTTGAAGAACGCAGTGGTCTTTTTATTTTGGAAACAGGGTATGATTTTCAATATTGACCCACGAGTAAGAATATGTAAGAATCTAAATTGCAAAGAACCATGTGGCATGTTTCATTACAAAGATTAAGCATCAAAGAATAATTAAAATTTAATTGTATTTTGTTACTATTCTGTTGGTCGACATAATTTTTTACAATTATTAATATTGTTTTAAGAGGTATACATACATTTAAGGATTCATTTTTTTCCTGTAAGACAAATTACATTCATTTTCAAACTAAATGTATAAAGAAACCATGATTCGATCTACGCAAGGATAGATAATATACAAATAACGGTTTTTAATAAAATAGAATCAGGCATATAAGACCGAAACCGAAAGGCTCTCCACGTTAACAGAAAATATCTGTAGAAAGCGGACAAAATGTTATTAAAAGTAATCAGATTTGTTTCAAATCGTTGTCCTAAATACAAAACCTTTGTTTATGACAACATGGAAGCTTTGGGGAGAGGTTCATCGCCCGTGTGTATATTGTGAACTTATCTCTTTCTACCTATGAATTTAACAAGTAATGTAATTAAGGTGTGGACATAAACAGTCACCTGCTTCTCTAATATTATTATTAATTTATTATTACCTCTCATATAACTCTGTTTTATGTTTTGTACAACTTTCCACTAACTCCTATGGCTTCAACTCACAAAACACTCGCCAACCCAATTGTTTCTCCTTCATTTGGTTTACTTTCTGAAGCGCTTGCGGGTAGGCGCAATCTTGCTGAAGCCAAAAGGAAGTTATTAAAGGAGCGAAATTTTTAATTATAAATGTCATAATTAACCTGGCTTACCAGTGACATTGGTGATAACATTAACATTCTTTTGAGCAGCAAGTGCTCTTAAGTTATTTCCAGCACCTAACATCAACAAGCTCCTCATAAGCTGCTTCTGTTCTTTGAGACTAGGAGTTTTCACCGCAGCTTCTTCAAAAGCATGCAAGTCATTGGGACTGAGACAAGGGAGTGACAGCAAAACCTGATAACAATCGAATAAAACGATCAAAACCATGGCAAATGAAGTGACGTTTAACTCTAATTCGAAAACCCGACAATCTAGTTTTCACATTCCATCCAGGATTTTGACATTAATCGAGGCAACAAAGAATCAACCATGAGTGCTTCTGATTAAAACTCACCTGGCGAGGAGATGGGTCTCTGTCACAGAGATAGATAAAGATTTCACGGCATAGATTAACTAAATCAGGGCTGTTAATGGCATTGGACTCCATTCCTAAGCCGCGGATGACTGCAGAGAACAAATCTTTTGAAACAAACTCTCGGAGCTCCACGTTATTTGTTAGTATTGCTAGAAGAACAACAACACCACAAAAGCTACAGAATTTGGTGGTCGCTTCTCCATCTGTCCATGTAAAGACTTCTAAACATATCTGCAGTGCTGGTAGAGCCACACTTTTGTGATTCAGGAGGAAACTGCAACCATTTTTTTTTTTTTTTTTTGTTATTACCTGAGTAGGTTTTTATCCGAAAGATATAGAGGGTAGTATACTTACCCCACCATAGAGTTGGACTTGAAGGCATGCAACTTTGTGAGAGTAGACATGTCCACACGACCAACGTGGCCTGAATGTTCCAAAACAGGAATTCCTGTGTTCAATCCAGGAGAAGCCATTGTTGAAAATAGGGTCGCAATCTCGCGAGTGAAATCTCTTAACAATTTTTCTTCCATCACTTCGAGTTTCATGTCTGATCCACTTTGTACGCCAAAGGAGTCTGGAATCTTTGCTCTGCCCTCGTGCAGAAGACCGGGCCAAGAGGAGCTGAGAGCTTGATGACAGTGATTAAACAATGGTTGCAGGAGCACTCCGAGCCATGACTCCCACATATGCGCCGGACAAGATTTGACTATATAAACTATAAAGGAATGAATAAACAGACGCATGTGCCTGAATTCCATCGATTGCAAATTCTCCATGAGTGCCATCGCAACATAGTTAGCATCTAAGCATACAAAGAATGTCTCTCCGATGGTTGTTGATAGACCCAACACGTTGTATCTACGTGTGTAACCAAACATTGATGAGTTTACATAAATGAGAGGAAAATCAAATTCTCTATGCAAGCTTGATCAAAGGAGGATACTACAAACTTACCCACTATCTCGGATACCTTTCAGCCAATTTTGTATATCCTCGGCTTGTCCTTCTTTACTTCCATCGAAAGACCCATCAGCATAAACCGATGCGCTTTTTGACAGTTTAGGAATTGCTTCTCCAAGTAGACTGTGTCGCTCAACATCAGTCATTGTCATTGCAGCCCTCAGTTCTGGGGGTAATGTTTGACATACAGAGGGAGACCAAAGGGAATGAAGAACACGGAGTAACTGTAGAATTAAAAAAAAAAAAATGAACGTTGCCATATTATTCTTGCAAAAACAAATATTATAAAGTTTCGAAAAAAAAAATATTATAACATTGTCTATATGCATCCAAAACGGCACTAAGGAGCTTAATTACGAATTAAACTAAGAATGTCCAAATTTTTAGGGGCATACTTTTAAGAGGGGTGGCAACATCCAAGAAAGATGATGAGCCATAGGATGTGAAGCTGGAGTTGTCACAGAGGTCGTGTTCAAATTGCTTTTTCTGTATCCACTTCTCTTGAGTGCCTTCTCAAAGAATGTAACAGTGTGGAATATAGACCACATGGAGGATGTGTTGGAGCATAAACGAACAAGACCCATTGGGTCTGATAAATAATTGTTCTGCCACTCTGGTTGAATCCACTGTAGACTCAATGGTTCCAATAACCAAGAAAGAACTTCTTGCTGCTGCTGAGCTCTGCGCCAAGTTTATGGTATGTTTATGAACATGAAAAATCTGAAGTTGGATAAATACAACAAATTAAAATTCATGGTGAACCAAAAATTACCCTGCCGAGGAAGCCATAACAAGAAATGCTTCACCCAGAATGTTATGCTCCCCACGAAGTAATGTTCCTTCTTTTGCCAAATAACCCATTGTATCAGCAATACCCTGTGCAAAATTATGACAGTTGACATGACTTTTTGGTGCTAAAAATTACCCAAAGAGGCTACTGAGGAAACGCAAATGAAAAATTTTGCCACAAAGATACAGATAAAGTAAATTCCAGAGAGAAGGTACGTATAATGCCAAAAATCATGATACCCAAGCTTCACAAGAGTACGTTTAATAGTTTCTAGCTAATCAAAAAAGTTCTAACAAGAAAGGAAAGAACCCAATGAAATGATGATGCATACAAATCAATAGCGGGTGTCATGTTGCTTTAATTTTAACAAGATACAGTAACCAGACACCTCTGACTAAAACTCTAGAACCAAATCAGAGAATTATGTCTTCGTGTGGTTTCCAATAAGAAAAATAGTGATGTGGTATACTGCACGAGCTTATCAGATTCTGAAAACAATTTTTCAGCGTTTACTTATTTGAGTTCATAAAGGAAATTAGTGACAGATCAAAGCTACCTTCATGTGAGGCAGAACACTTTTTTCTGCAGCTTTAGCAATTCTTATGAAAGATGTACAAATCTGCAATCTTGCAGCTCTAGATGTACTAGTAGCTGGATCCTGCCAAAGAACAAGGTATCAGATAACTCATCTACACCTTGAGTTGTGCACTGTCAAAATGTTGATCAGGTCTTATATGTATGCATGAGCGCATGTATATGTAATACATACAGTAATAATAAAAAATAAACCTTCACTACGTGTGGAAGAGAGGTGAGAAGCTCAAATAATTTATTGATGACATTTCCAACTGCATCTGGAAAATACTTGAGAAAGGAACCCATTGCATCCAGATAATGTACGAGCACTTTTATAAGTTCTGGTTCATTCCATTTCAAAGAGAGAAGCTGCTGAAGCAAGCCTGGGCCATCAACAACACAGAAATGAGTTTTGAACAAGCGTAGACATAGTAAACAAAAACTAGAGGATGTGAAATATGCCTCCATATACCCTCAAATATTCCACGCAATGCATAATGAACTTCAGAACTTCCGCCAGCTAACTCATTTGATCCATCAAAAATCGTTGCCACAATACAATCAAGTGCTAATTGCTGGCTTTCCATAATTGCTACATCCTGAAAATGTTTTGTATCATGAGCTCAACGAAGCCTCGATATTGCAGATATCTAACGGTGCATTTTTCACTGGAACTCAACAGCAGAAAATAAGTGTTAGTGACAAAACCTGACGAGGTTCTGGAGAAGCCAACAGATTCTTAATGAGTGTAATAACCCTTTCGGATATTTTGGTACTGGACATGAGTGGCTTGTGAGAAGCAGTAAGCTTGATCAATTCTAACTGCAGGAAAGAAGGAAGTTTCTCGTTTAGTATTTGCCTAGAAAGTAGGACCCTATGCATTCGGTTCAGGAACATACAAGCTTGGATCGGTACTGGCCAAAGTTTCCCTTTCCTTCAAATTCATCACTCCAGAGTTCGAGGGGCCCAAGCGAAAGAGCAATTCCAGGAGGAACTTTTTCTTTCTTGAGCATCCGCTGGAAGGATACATCCAGTAGAGCGCCAGAGATATCATCATTAATAAGACATAAAGTCTTTTTCTTTTCACTATCAACCTGGCTTGAACTATCCACACCACCAGCCGATAATCCCTCACCACTTGGATAAGCGGCAGCCTTGGTCTTTGGAAGTAAATCCCGCATCAATGACTAAAACCCAAAGGAAAAGATACTGAATTAGCAACAAATATTTATGTCTGTGAGATTGTCCTGCGAAGTAGGTTGGATTAGAAAAGAGAACATACCAGCCAAAAGAGAAGTGCCTCGAAGTGAAGGCCCAACTTGAAGTGTTCGAAAAAGCCAAGCATCTATACAAAAATTAAACGATTAAGGCAACATATTAACAACATTATTTGTGGAACCAAATTATCAATGCTAACATGAATAGAGCCATTTTTAACCAAATATTTGGCGAAGATCCCAATCAAAACATACCAGGAAGCATACAACATCTAGTAATCAATTTCTCAGATGATCAGGTCAAAAAAATAAAAAGTCGACAGTTCAAAACGCGAACTTCTCCTCTATCAGAATGCCACTCCAGCATAGACAACGCTTTTCTTTTCCATAAATTAATAGCTTCAGCCTCTTCATAGAAAACATCCATTTAGGTAACAAAATATGAACAAATTAACGATACGAGATCAGTACCTGCTGAAGGTAGACAGCCATAACACCACCATCAGAAGAGATACATTGCAAGTTCGTTGAGCCTAAAGACGCCATACTCTCACACAGGCATTCAGCAAAATCATAATCATTTTCATCAATAACCCTATAAGTTGAGGAGGATCTAAATAATAATTCTCTGGAGACATTCGTCAGGATCTGAAACAAATTGCTAATTGCCGAATCAAACTCTGCAGTAGAAGCATCACTGGGTCTCTTTCTGCAGACGAGAAAAAGCTATATAAATTCAAAGATGTCTACGTGTGCTCATTACGTAAGTACATCAAATCAAACAGTACAATTGCATACCTTGAGCAGACGAGTTTGAAAACCTCACAAGCATGAAGACGGAAGTCAGGAGAAGAAAGTAAGAAGCTGCACCTATTATGAGTTTGAGAGCACGTCATCAGTAAGAAACAATGCACGGCTAATATCAATATAACAAAATCTCTGCAAGGGTGTCAATCAAACCATACCCACTAAGAATTCCATATCTGGCCAGATCTGGAACAGGAGCCCACTCAGCATATGCGAGGATGGCATTCAGACAAGCTATAACCACATCCGCATGCTGTTTTGCCAATTCAACGTGCTGCATACCAACTTCACTCATTGCAGCTCCAAAGTGTCTCTCAAGAAGCTACATTTTAATTTATTTAGAAAACTACCACTGCAACGAATAACTTTAAGGAAAAATTGGGGGGCATACATTATACAATAACGGCAAAATCTCAGGCAAAGATTGAGTAAGTCCCCGCAACAATAGCCTACGCCTGTCCCCTGAAGAAAAGTCCAATACAGAAATTAGAAATGAGGATGGAGTTCAGATGGTTAAAAGATTAAGAACCCAAGAGGTACTTCCTCCATCATGTCTAAGCTAAACCATACAGACGAAATCAGTGTTCACTAGATTAAACTGCCATTTTTGAACTGAAAAGTTTAAGGTATACAGAATCACAAAACTAACAAATATTAGCATGTGTTCTATCCATAACCTGATTAAATTTAGCTTAACCCAGACTTCAAGATTAAGAAAAGCTTCCCCCCAGCCAACATATTAATGTGAGAATTTTTATTTATAATTCTCTTGAATACCTTCCAAGTCCTCATTGTGAACTGTAATGTCTTCAGGAAGCCATCTCAGCGTCATCAAGACCAATTCAGCCTATTGTTTAAGAAAAGAAAAAAGACGGGAACAATTTCATTGCCTGCCTCAATAAAATAAATCATCGAAGTAAATAAATGAAGAGCATCCTACTTACTTGTAAGGGGCCCTGTGCAGACAAGGAAGCTAATAAAGTAAATATCTCTTGCCAAAGATTAGGTCCTTCTCTTCTAACTATCTGCAACAAGATAAAGTTATAAATCTGAGAAAAGTGAACGGAAGCAAATAACAATGATGACAGCAAGTGAAAACTCAAATCAATTAGAACTCCTACCTCAGCTACAAGGGCAGCTGACTGACTCTTAAGAGGCCAATTCTCACATGCATTAGCAATCTCTGACATTAGTTCAATAGAAACATTAACAACGTCCCTGCGCTCCGGAGGACTTAATTCGTCCCACCGTAGTCTAACCAAATGCTGTAAAAGAAAGATAGCTTCATCATAAGGTTTCAATGCTCTTACTAATAAACTAAAATGTGAAAATCATGTATAGCGCACAACATACTTCTCTGAGATATTGCATAGAGTCGAATTTTATATTCCATTATTGACTTGCCATTCTACAAGTGTCTCAAGTTTTTCTGATTTTATAATATGAAACTTTATAAATGACCTCCCTAACTGTTTGGAACTATAGGAACAGGATCTGTGCCGCAAAGCAACTTAACTCTTGATGGTAAAACCAACATGTGTTCTTCCCGTACTTTAGCTTAAGCATCTTCTCTAGCCTAGTTGCTCAACCGCAGCAGCATTAAACGGAAAATACAGGAACAACTACAAATATCTTTGCACAAACCTGTAACATCTTAAAAGCATGCAGACGAATTTCTGAAGACCACTCTTTTTTCACAAGAAGAAAGGAAGTATTTGCCAGAACCCTGACATCTCCTGATTTTATCTGCAAGTGTTTTCGAAGAAATGACAAATTACTCAAACAAAGTAAATCGAAAAGTGTTCATAACATGATGATCACAAGTGTTAACGTTGACAAAACATTAGTGATTTTTAACTAAAAACTCTATCCCCCAAAAATCGAAAAAAACTGATGTGAGATTAGGAGAAAAAACCACAGTTTTAGACCAGCTTAACAATCTGATTGGATATGAAGGAAAATTCCAAAGGGCGAACCATTTACAGCTCAAATCGAGCTCGTTCTAATTCCACCATTCTCAATCAATCAATCCACTTGAAAGTACCACTCGCAATATATCAGCGTTAGACTAGGAAATTAATCATCTAGGAACGAGCTCGGAATTTTTTTACATTATTTGTTTCTCCTATAGACCTCTGACTAATGCCTAAACCCACCAGCTAGCACCATATACACAACCATGCAGCATAAAAACGCAAAACGATCACCGAGAAAAAGTTATAGAGAAGAAGTAAGAAATTCGGAATGAATATTACAGATTCCAGAAATTCGACCGCCGATTTACGAGTGTCAGGCGTGGAGCTATAATCGAGGCCAGCGAGAATCGCTCGGGCCACATTACTCGCCGTGGAGCTACTATCGGCCATTACTTCCGGCGAAAACGGCTTTTCCTAAACCAAAATTCCTTGTATAATACAAACGCAAAGATAGATTCTGCTCTTCCTCGTCTTGCAGAATCAGCAAAATGAGAGAGAGAGGAGTCTGATCTGCCTTCGCTTCTGGGGGTTTACGAAAACTACGGTTCGTGTTAAATGCATTTTGTTTACCATCATAATTATTTTATTCCTTTTAAGAAAACATTCTACGTCAATTCTTACGGTGACATAGAATTACTAAAAAAATTATTAAAATGTGTGTCTTTGAAAAGAAAAAATAAACAGACATAAAACATGTAATATATATTATTGACTTTAATTCAGTTGATACTTTGACAACTTTTTTTTTAGTAATACAACTTTAATGCAAAGCGAAATTAAAAGAAATTATATGAAGATTCCTTTCTTCATCGGTTCATCCTACCAAGGATTTGGAGTTTTCTTTTTGTAATATACATATAAAATAAACAAACAAAAAAAGCAAAAAATGAAAACTTTACACTGAATATCATAGAATGTGATTTCCCTCATTTCAATGTTTTGTCAATTCTCTTGTACAATACACAGATCAACCAAAATAAGAAACATATATAACCCACCAAAAAAAAAACAAGCGGCACTTTTTTTTCCATTCTCAAAGTATCTATCAAAAAGGAACATGTTGAAACTTGCAAGATGGATGAATAATATAATCTCAAACAAGGATTCTTTTTCCTTTAACCTTAGCAGCCATTCGTCTCTCCTTGTTAATATCATTCCTCCTCCGTGCGGTTGAGTCAGAGGCTCCAATGGGAGCCAAAGGGCCGGACCAAGTCTGAAATGGCTCCTTTGAGTATGCATACGTGAATGAGTTTGAGCTGTACGGTATCTCCGATGGTTCCAGTCGCCGTGAAGATCCCACCGGAAAACCGAGGCCGTCTTGATGCGGTGGAGGAAACTTCTCGCTCTTGCTCTTCGCATTCGCATGCGTGATCAAACGCATCCTCTGTTTTTTTTAGAAAAATAAAAACGGAACAGATTCAGACATGAACTGTGAGAAGTAAACCAAGAATGTTTTGCAGAAAGATTTTGGTTCAAGGTTTTTTACATCGATGTTAGACTGAATCTCGGCGTTGGCTTCAGGAGCCGGCATTGCTCTTGGAGCTCGTTCTCGGGGTCTGATTCTTCTTCCGCTCTCTCCATGAGCCTTACGAGCTTCTCTTTGTCTGTGCAAATGAATACATTATCTCAAGCCACCGAAACCAAACTGACATTTTAACTTTCATTTGAAACCAAAGGATCTATATGAATAATGAAGAATGATACAAGCCATAAAGGTAAAGAAAACGGAAAACCTTTACCTCCGATACTCTTCGTCTCGTTTCCTGGCATCAATCTCTTTGGTTGGAGGATATTTCGGGAGATCAGAAGGTTCACATGGAAATGGCTCCGTCGTCAAGAACTGTAAAGCCATGAAAGTTTGAACCATGATTGAGTCACAAGCCTAAAGGTTCAAAATTTTCAAGCTTTTCTTCTATCTTAATACTACTTTTGATCATCCATTCTAATCGAAATACAATTAGCATTTGAACAAAGATATTCAAATTTTTCCAGATTTTAGCATATAAAACCAAAACTTACATCACTCATCAACGCATCTGTAGCTGTCTTGCGCTGAGAAGGATCAATCGCTAGAAGAGTATCGAGAAGAGAAAGTGCCTCAGGAGAGAAAGCTTTGTAAACATCTCTTACTTTTCTATCAAACTTTGGTAACGGATTGGGTGGCTTCACATGAGAAGGGAGCCTAATCTTTCTCCAATACTCTTCAGAAGGCGATCCGCATAGCTTATATATCCTATGCAACTGATTCACCTGCCCAACCAAGTGAACAACATTCCCGGTTCACATTTTTAAACCAAACTTTTCTCAAAACCTGAAAATAAACTTTGAGGACTAACCTCGTTAGAACCTGGCATGATCGGTCTACCAGCTAATAACTCGGCTAAAATGCAACCGGCGCTCCATAGATCAACGCCTACACCATACTCAACAACACCATGAAGAAGCTCAGGTGCTCTGTACCATAAAGTAACAACCCGGGTCGTCATTAGTTGCCTTCTACTCGCATCAAAAAACGTTGCAAGCCCGAAATCTCCTATTCTAAGAACTCCGTCATCGTCTATAAGAAGGTTTGATCCTTTAATATCACGGTGAAGAACTCCTCGCTTATGGCAATGCTCGAGCCCCGAGAGTAGCTGCTTCATATAGCATTTTACCTGAAACATAGACAGTGTCAACACGGTTAGGCATCTTGATCTACCTATCTACGATTTTGTGTGTTTGTGAATCTATTTCACTAATGCCTGACCTGTTGCTCGGTGAATGTTATGTCCGGGCTTGCAGCGAGACCAGCTAGATCGTGATGCATATAACGGAAAACCAAGTATAAACTATTCGACATCCTCGAAGTAACCAAACCTTCTAATTTGATGACATTTGGATGATCCAATCTCCTCAGAATCAGAATCTCTCTAGCCATAAATTTCAAGCTCTCGCGTTCCATAATCTCGCACCTCACTTTCTTCAATGCCACTATGTTTCCAGTCAACGAATCTTTCGCCTTGTACACATTACTATACGTTCCTGATCCGATCTAAACACACAAAAACAACAAAGCTTGAATTCCCCAAACTCATTGCAAAAGAACAAAAACAAGAAAAAACAGATTTTTCTCTAACCTTCTCAATCTTCTCAAAAGAATCAGCTTTTCGAGGAAGCCACCCGCTTAGAGCTTCCCCGCAAACTTCAGAGAGCCACGGTGGCCATCCGGCTGCAACCTGCTCACCGAGCAAGTTCTTTGGCGGGTTGCTCCGTCTCGGGTCAGGCTTATTAGACCTTTTTCTTTCGCCTTTCGGTTTTCTCTCTTTGGCCTCTGTCACAGCAAAACCATTCTCTTCCTTGTGATTCACAACAGCTTCATCATTCCTAACCTCCGCACCAGTAGAAGCAGAAGCAAAACCAGAGGCAACAACAACACTAGCGCTCTCTGTGGTTTCGGTTTTCGTCACGGACACATTGTTTACTTCCTTTCGATTAGACTCGATCCTTGAGCTAAATTCGTCTCTAGACCCAGAAACTGATCCTGATGATCCGGGTCGACCCAATACACAACCCATCTCATCAAACTAAACTTCATTGGCTCAACATGTTACTAAAAGAGATCTCTGTGACGCAATCAAATCCCTTTTGAATCGACTTAAACTGCAACACACACAAAATTGGGAAATTTAATGAAAATCCCTCGACTAAATAAGGTAACAAAGAAGCTGATAATTCCAACTCGAAACCCAGTAATTGTTTTCACATCGGAGATGAGATTTGACTAAAAACAACTCAGGAAAATTTGAAAATAATAAAAAAGTTACTTACTTTATAATGATCAAAGAGGAGCGAAATTCGCGACCCAGATGGTCAAATCTCAAAATTGAAGAGACAAAAACAGCTGCAGAAAAACCTAAACAGGAAAATTAAAACCCTAGTTTTAAGACAGGGACGATGTCAGGCTAAGTCAAAGGAAGGCAAAGATCTGGAAACTTGTTTAGATACAAAGCTGACTCAAACTCAGGAGAAAGAGACAACAAAATTCAACAAGAATATGAATGGAAATGGATGGAGGAATTTCAAAATTTTCATAAACGAGAGCCAAAAAGAAAAAGTGAAATGGAGTCCATAAGTTTTAAAAATCAAACCTTTAAAGCAAACAAAAAAAATAAAGAAAGAAAGAAAAATCAATTAGGGCTTTGGAAAAGGCAAGGTGATACATACACAATTACACAAACAGGTATAGAGTGGTAGACCAAATAGTATACTTACCTCCATTAATTAAGAAAGAAAGAGACCAACTTCGGTAAAAATATGAAGGAGAAGGATTGGTTGAACTGCTTCGAAATATGCTTTTTATATACTCCAAAAACTCTTTTTTTTTTATTGTTTGGGTTTTGAATCAGACAAGAAAAAGGAATAAATAGAAACAGACGAAGATTTGTTGGCTGTTTGTATTACATGTAATTGTTTTTGGACGCAACAGGTCAAAAGGCTCAAAGTTACTACTCTTGAAGTCCCCACCAACCTAAAACCCTTTGATACATTAGTATTCCTTTGTGCTCTCTCTCTCTTTTTAACTTTGTATATTGTATTGTAGAGCATAAAGTTTCTGTATAATTATTATTTTTCTTTTTAAAATTATGAATATTTTTTTTCTTTTTGTAAACGCATTTTCTTAAGAAAACATTGCTGTCCTAAAAGCATTTATTAATAGTATTATTAGAAAAATGAGGTCTGGTCACTAATAAGTAATAACACATAATTTCGGTTATGAAACAGCTATAGAGGAAAACTCGAACATTTTATTCAAGATAAAGATTTAAGGTCCAATGGTGCTAATGAAGTGTTTTTTTTCGATGACCAATGATCATGTATATGAAAACATGATGTTTTGTTGGTCAAACAATATTACTTTAACATAGGAAATTAATATTTGGTATACATCCACCTAATTTTGGAATGTATCACTACTATAATAATAATACCACGACTTCTTATATATTAATATAGGAATTTGAGAAAACAGATAAAATCAGAATTATGATGTATAATGAGAGTTTCCTTCATCTCTCCAATCAAAGAAGCTCCATTATCAAGACTCAATTGTAAACCAATTAAGGAACAAAGGCTAAGGAACTAGTGATTACTTCTGTCCTTTAAAAGAAATCATTTTTCTCTTTCTTTTTCTTAAACGTAAGATTTATTCATTCCAAGCATTGTAGATTACCAAGTTATAATATTTATTATGTACTCTTATAGACGATATACTAAAATTAATGAGTTCTCTACTAGACTACTACATCAACTTGTGTTATTTAAATCGTGCCAGTCAATATACCAAAAAACATGCATAATAAAGAAAAATACAAGATCATAAAAAGATATTCCGCCTACAAATCGCTAATATTTTAATTGGTGAATCTACAGACACGTTTTGTAGTTTGATTTTTATCTATTTTTTAATCAGACCACAATATTTTTACTTCGAAAATATGAAATAGTTAATCGAATTCGCCAATATAATGTACAAAATTCCTATATTAATATATAAGAAGTTAATATTTAGATTTGAATTGAAAGACAGTTTCAAAATTTAAATCTAAAACAAGTCTCAGGTGAAAGTAGTTTAAAATACGACTTCATCATTCAAAGTGATGATTTCAAAATTAAAAAAAAAAAAAAAACACTAAATCTTACACTCAATAAATTTATCAAAACCTTTTTTCTCTTCCTCAATCCTTTATTTTTTTTTTCTTATCTTTTTTATCTTTCTTCTTGGCCGGTGTTTCAGATGTTTCTTCTTCCTCATGCTTTCTCTTCTTCTTCTTCTTCTTCTTCTCCTCCTTTGCAACCTCTACGGCTTCAGTTTCTGTCTCAGCTTTCTTCCTCTTCTTCTTCTTCTTCGATTCCTCCTCTTTTTCGGGTTCATCTTCTACTTCCACCTCCTTATTCTTCCTCTTTTCTTTCTTCTTCGATTTCTTCGATGGCTCTACACTGTCTTCAGCCACAGATTTAGACGACGTTTGGCCAAGAAGAGAATCTGCAGCAGAGTTGTACGTCTGGAGCACATAACAAACAACAATTACGATTCCTTGTTAAACCCAAGAAAAAGCCAAGAAAACAGATAAAATACAATTGCAACAGCTTAAATGCAAATCCCAATTCAGAATAAAAGATGAAACCAACAAAGAGAGAATAATCTTGACCTTAGCAGGAGTGAAAAGACCACCAGATCCCTTCTTTTTATCCTTGTCATAAACTTCAATCTTAGGTTTCCCTTTAGCTGAACCAGATAGACGACCTAAATCTTTTCCTTCGAGATTTCTCAGCCTCGCTTCAAGCTGTGAGATAACAAAGTACGAGAAAGAACATCACAAGAATGTTCAGAGCGCAGGACCAGCAAGAAGAAATCAAAATATTTTTACCTTAGCTCGGTTTTCAATTCCCATTGTGTTATCTTCGCCATCACCAAGAGCATCACACCTAATAGCAAGAACGGCTTTAGCAGCTAATGACCGCGAGATCTTTCCCTTGTGCTTCGGTGCTGCTTGACCAACCACGGATGCATGGTAGATCAAACCGTACTTGGGTGTGGCATGCTTTGTCTTGAGTGCTCTAAACAGAGCTTTTTCGGCTCCGAGAATCTGAACTGTGCTCCCAGGTTGCTTGGCGAGGTTCAATAAACTACCACCATGAGAAATTAGACGAGCACCGACAAGCTCACCAACCAAAGCAGTTAGATTAGGAGCAACCGTGTTCATTCTGCTCTTCAGGTAATCGTAAAGCTGGGCTCTGTACTCAGCAAGAGAAAGAACCTGGTCACAGAGTTCACGGATGTGCAGTAGGTCAAGGTCGCTGACTTCTGTTCCCATAGATATCACAGCAGCTTCCTTCAATTCCGCCTCAACTTCATCCGCTAATATCTGCAACCCCAACCAGAGACAGGAGTTTAGACAGGGTGTGTTCAGTTAACAGAGTTCATTTCAGATAGTTCACCATATAAAAGTTACCTCAGAGAAGTCTAACTTTGCAGCATTAATTCGGTTTCCCATCAATTTCACTGATTTGGCATATAATATATTGTCCTGTATGATCTTAGCGAGCTCGGGAAAATGCCATCCATACCATTCTCTAACCCTCATTGCATATGTGTTCAATTCTTTGTCCAGATCATCCAGCAAACCGATAGCTTGGATAATCATGGTATCCACCTAAACAAAACTTTAGGTTAGGAAATTGCAACAAAAGTAAAGACAAAGATAAATTTAGATAAGGAAAATCAGATGCTAGTTTTAAATAAAAGTTAGAGAACGCTTAAATCCAAACACAAGTCACACATGACACAAAATCCATAACTCCAATATAACTTGAAGATACCTTGTCAGAACTGAACTTCAGCTTATATCTAGCTAGGCTGTGAGACAAACCCAAGCTCATTGGAGCCAAGTCTTGATCACCTAAACCAGATATGAGTTCTGTAAATTGACTTCTAACCCCACGTAAAAGCTCCATAACAGCATTGTTGTGAACACAATCGATTTTCTGTACGAATTAATAAATAAAAAATTAAGAAAACACACAGGAACAGAGAGAAAAAAAAGTCAATAGTAATGGAAACTCAAACAAAATACAAACCAGCTTCTCCTTGATCACATTCCCAAGCTTTGAATCAGCTACAGCAAGAGTTTCACCTTCACAGTTAGCTTTCAAAAATTTGCGCAGACCTTTGCTCGGAGCTCCCTCCAACAATTTAGCGACTGCTTCTAGAGCTTCGGATGTGTTGTCAAATTTGTCAAAAGCTTTTAGCTTAACCATCTGGAACACCGGAAAAGGAGATAAGAAACTCTAACACTGAAACTAATTTTAGATTTCCTAAACCCGACATTAGGCATTTAGTATTGAAGCACATATAGAAAAAATAAAAAATAAAAAATAAAACCACCTTTCGTGCTGAGTCAGGAGATGCGAACTCTTTACCCAAATCCTCAACATTAGACAGCCTTCCTTCATCTAGGACTTTAAACAGGGCAAAACCCCCTGGTGTCTCGAATAGTACAAGCATCTTATCACTCAAGTCACTAACTGAATAGAAAAAAAATTAAGAGAACCCTTTAAAATTACAAAGTAGAGTTGCATATTAGAATCAAACTAATGAACTAATTCTATAATTATCATCAAAAGTTTGACGTTTTCAGATCAGAATCAAGCAAGAAACGGCATTCCCGAAAAACCTTTTGGCTCTTGATTGATGAGCTACCATACTTTTGAAGAAAATACACGTAAAAGAAGAGTGAGAGGATTTATTACCTGACTTGCTCAAAGCTGCTGCGTGAAAGTAGGAAGAAGAAGGAGACAGACAATCACTTAGGGTTTAACGAAGGTATTATAGCAATCAAAGACGAGTTTATAAAGGCCATCTTTTAGAACGCTGCGTTTAAAAAGGGGTCATCTCTGTAATTTTTGAAACTTAGGGTTTAGAGTTAAGACCCAACGGCCGTTTAGGGTTTTCAGGGCCGTAAGAGGGTGATTTATCACGGCCCATTAAGAACGTCTTTTGGTCTTGTCTTTCTTCTGTTTTAGTTTCCTTCTGCGATTGTTTCTCTCTGTGTCATAATAATACAGTCTTCCTTGAGAAATAGAGCTCGAAGCTTCCAGGTACGGTTTCAACTTTTCACGTGCTCGGTAGAGAGCTATTTCATAAATTCAGTGAAATTGGATTTTACCTCTTACTTTTCTAGAACATTAGCTGATTCTTTTTGTGTATAACTTATATGAGTCGCGGATTAGGTTCTCTAGATACTGAAAATCGTGATTTTTCATGTCGTTTGGGGTTTAATATTTAGGATTGGGGTTTGAGGAAGCTGCGCTAGTGTAGGAACACGACTGGTTTTTTTTTTGTATTCAGTGTTTAAGTCGATAGCCTAATTTTGCAGGAAAAGTAATGGCAAGTGAAGATGATTCGATCGAACAAAGATCTGCTGCCCGTAAAGAGGCGCTTAGAGCTCTAAAGGCAGCTCAGGAGCTGTCCGAGAGCAAGGAAGACGGACAAGATGATGCAGTCGAAGAAGAGTGAGTATGCTTTGTTCTTTTATCTAGATGATAAACCTTTGTTAATCAAGCATACCAAACAGTGTTTTTCCTTTAAATGGCATTCTAATGTGGTGATTGGCTTCATTGCTCGATTCTTTGTTCGTTTGTCAAATGCTTATCACTTATGATTTCTCTTGAATTTGACAGTGGTCCAGCCATGAAATTTAGAAATTATGTTCCCCAAGATAAAGAGCTTCAGGATGGTAAAGTTGCGCCACCAGAGCTTCCCAAATTCGAAGATCCAATTGCTGCACTTGCACCTGCAGTGGAGAAGAAAGAGGTGTGTGTGGCTGCTTTTCTCTTTCTTTCTTTTTTTCAAACAAAATCCTCTGTTTGTTTTACTGTTGTGCCTCGTAGCTTACACCTGAATTAATCATTATAGGACCCATTTGTCAACATTGCTCCGAAGAAGCCAAACTGGGACCTCCGAAGAGATGTCCAGAAGAAGCTTGATAAGCTCGAAAGGCGGACTCAAGCTGCAATGTCTAAACTCACGCGTAAGTGGCTACTTCTTCTACATTCATCCAGAAAGCTTAGTTCATGCGAAAATGGCTCATGCGTAATGAGTATGTGAATATGTGAATTCGTGGAAAATTGTGATCTGTTGAAGATGACCGATGCCAAATTATGCAAGTGCAAGATATCGTGATCTTTTAGTGTTAGGAACTTAGGATGTATTTGTATTGGTCCCTAGATATAATTATAATAACTGTTTTTATGGGACGAACATTTATCATCATCTTAATGCAGAGGAGAAACGTGAGATGGCCGAAGCTGATGGAGACGCCTTGGAAAGTTAAAACATGATGACATCTTAAAAGCCACACAACATCACATTATATTCTACTCAATTTTGTATAACTCACTGTTGAAGCTTTCTGTTCAAAAGAGAGTAGACCATTAGGGCTCCGTTTGTTTCAATCCTACTGCCATTTGGCATAAACAAGGTAGGATACTGAGATCATATTTCGTGGTAGAACTTGGTTCGGTCTGATATTGTCTCAGATTTGGTCTAATTTGGTTTGGAAGAAATCATACCAAAGTCAATTCGGTTTGACCATAAATGGCTCTGCTTATTTGGGTTTGGTTTGATTTAGCTGGTTCAGTTTTGGTTGATGTTATTGTTACCTTTAAAAGCTTCCCGAACTAAAACCAAATATCAATTTCTGGCTAGTGCGGTTTAGTTTATGCCCAACTGAACCTTAGAGAATTTGCCTGAAGCTTATGAAAAGGATCTTCATAAAAATTCAACTGAGCGCTTTTTCATCAGTATGTTTGATATTTAGATACAACACTTGTTTATTAGAAGGAAACAATCAAAATCAGAGAGATAGTAAGTTTTCTTTTTCCCAACGCTCAAATCTAATGTACAAAGAAACTCACTAGTAAAGTTTTCGATACCATCTCACCTAATATCTTGGACCTTTATCGACAGCTCTGCGATCATGCCCACTTCTCATGAAACCGAGATTCGACCAAGAGAATTATTCTCCAGCATGAAGCTGAGTAAACTAAACCAAGATTTATGCTTTCGGAATAAACAAGCAATATGGAAAAGCTACAGACTTCCATGTGCTTAATGCACCAGCAGATTTCAATTTGGGGACTCTCGAAACTTGTCCAGTGGCAATCTGTAGGTCAATAAAAGGATATGGTGATATTCATATTCAACATAAATTATGTTCCTATCATTGTGTCAAATATAGAAAATCAGCAATCTACAAAGGCTTCGGTATCAGAATTTGTGAAAGTCTCACTTGACACATCTACCAAGGCTTTTTTAAGCTCAATTATCTCTCTATTTTCTTTTCTGATGAAAGTACCTAAAATGAAATCACCTTCCCAAGTTGAAAAAAACATCCATTAAATGGAGCTTGAGAGACTGGTGCTCCACATATTTTATCTTAACAAACACAATGCATTTTCATGAGTTTTTTTCACCCCTTTTTTTTGAATAATTTACCTCAAAATTTATCTAGCTATAGCCACCCTGTAGTTGAGAATTAGATCCTCGGGTTTCTTCCATATATATGCCCGTACAGTTGCCAAACTCATCTCTGGTGATAAGACCTGAAAGAATCACCAGAAAAGCAAACTCGTTCAGCGTCATACTGCAAAACGATAAATGAGACTAGCGAACTAATTTTTAGAATATACAACTCTCAGCAATCACAAATTGAACACTGTCAGGTTCCTTAAGCTGACTTGCCTGGTTATTGCATAAGATCTCAATTGAAGGTCTGAGTTTCTGCCAAGGCTTTGATCCAGACTGTAGCAATCCATTTCCTGCAAACAGTTGCTGTGGTCCTCCTGATACACTTGCTCCATCGATAGCTAGACTATCCAAAGGATTGTCAAGGACCATCTTCTCCACAACGTAATTGGTAACCTACATAGACATGTGAACAAAATAAAGCCATTGAACAAATGAAAACGCAAGCAAAACTATAGGACGGATAAGTGCACCTTGTGAACTCTTAAGATCCGGGGTGCACTAAGTTTCCCTAGTGTGACCACCTGCACATTTGAACCTTCACATGGATGCAGGAAGAAGCTTAATCTGAAAATTTGAAGACCTTCCAAAGTAAGATATTTATGCAAAACGGTATATGCTTTATCTATTTATAAAAATTGTAAAAACATTTGTGAGGGTTTGCCTAAAAGTCCAAACTATTTTTTTGACTAGAGAACAAGGTAGTGTCATATACTTTGTATTTTCTCTAGGTGGAAGGCGATTGTTTAAGACAGCATCCAAGCACCACAACGGGAAGTCTTTCTCATCTTCAGTTCCAGTAAACTCGGTTATCTTCTTCCTCCATGGGCCTCCTTGAGAACCCTCAGTAATGATTGAAGGAGGAGAGACAGAGGGAAACTCAAATGGAGGATAAACCGGATCATTTGCAGTACTACTGTCTTCGCTCTTGGATGCAGCCGGATTCTTTTTGGTATCTTTTACGGATAGAATATCTCCAGAGGCAAGAGCTTGGGGTTTTGGTTTGTGCTTCTTCTTTGCCAGCCAATGACCCAGCAGGCCTTTCAGTGTTTCACGAGCTAGATTAATCTACATATCACACAATCCAATGACGACTAGGTTAGAGCAAACACAAGTCTAAGATATTCAACCATGATAACCAGATTCAAATAGGACCTTCATGCAACGAATTCATTAATGATATTGATATGTAACAGCAAGATAAAAAAGGTCGTTCTCGATTAGCTTCAGCATAATTAAAAATCCAGGCATTTAATCTACCTTATCATCTTCAGGTCGCCCGGAGACTTTTAGGTCTGCTGAATACATCTCAGCAGAGAAGCATTGTGGTGTCTCTAAATGTAAGGATAAGCATCCAAGTCGTGTATCCACAGTAAACCATGATGGGATGCTTACCTGAAAATGCAGAGATGAACAATATATCATAAAGGTAAACAAATTTACTAGTCTCACTAGATAAAAAGAATCATAACCTTAGTAAAAGAATCAAGAGGCTTACCATCTCAAACAGTTCTTCTTTCTTCTCTTCAAACGAAATCTGCAAACATAGATACAGAGGCAATCATTTGACTTAGTGCTTTTTCAGTTGCATAATGCAGATGAATGTTCATGATAAATAAGAAATAACTCAAAAAAAAAAAAAAGAGTCACATAGAGACCTTCCCATAGTCCTCTACCACAATACCCCTAGTTATATCCCACAGTTTCACTGAGCCAGCTGCGTCCTGCAAAAGAAAATAAACATATATCATCGACCCTTCTACAAATCTATCAATGGTGGTCTTACTAGAGCATTCAGAGTTCTATTTCACCTTGGTTAAGATTTGCCTTTTGTTATTCAAAATCTCGTGTTGCACAATTGGGTGAGTTCCTGGAACAACTATTGACGGCTCCTTGTAGGCAGGGGGCTGCAGACAAGGCAAAATTTAGCCAAAGATTTTAAAAATGATTAAACAGAAGCATTTACAGGAACAAAGTATTGTTCTTACTGGATTTAATCCTTCCAAGGACACCCTCGCCCTATTAAAAGACAAATTCCCAGCCAAGAAAGAGCCACCTCGTTGGAAGACCTTTTGAGGACTCTGTACTTCGGCGGGCCATCTCTCAACAGAGGAGTCTGTTGTTGCAACCCATATACTATCATCTTGCAACGCTAATTGCTGAATCGGATGTTCCTTAGTGCACAGCAAAACACTCTCTCTTGTTCCCAAGTCTGTCAAGTATAACTGACAGAAACATAACACACAAATGACACTGAAAAAAAAGAAAATTTTACATTGGAGGGGAAACAGAGAAAGAGGCAAGCTTGCTGTGTACTCACACATTGGTCTCTTCCACCGCTGTAAACATGACTAAATGATGGACTGCATGCAAGCGCCCAAACAGAATCTGTATGCACTGCATAGGTATGAAGACATCGCTGCTGACCTAAATCCCAGAGTCTAAAAATGAATTCAGAACCAGTTAGAAGAACTGAAATGATTACAGAATCATATTATGAACTAATTAGTAAAAGATACAAACCTTATCATAGAATCAGAGGACCCAGACAAGCAAAACCTACAGTGTAAAGGTGAGAAACACAAGGATAATCTGTAAGTCCAAGAAGAAAATAGGCACCAAAAGGACCCAATATAAACCACTGCTGGCGTGGACTATAAAAAGAAAGCATACCTTCCAGTTGAGTCCAGAAGCAGCACTCTGACATTATCTGTATGCCCCCTCAGCTTCATACTTTTTGAACCAGTTCTAGGGTCCCAGACACGTAAAACCTGCAATAAACATAAAGAACTGAGTACTATTCAGAAAACATAAACCCAAATATTGTCTGCGTTCTCAGCAACCTGGATTGTATGAATACCTTTTCTGTTCCACCAGAGACGAGCATCGTCCCGGTATCATTCATCGCCAAAGCATAGACGGACTCCTTATGGCCTTTTGCAACTGTTGGTGTGTACCCATGGGATGGTGATGACTGCACAGAGATATTGTTGCTCGAACCAACAGTTCTTAAACTTGTAACGGGTTGAGAGTTCCCAAGACCATTTGAACCACCATTTGACGAACTATCTTCCATTGTATCATTAGGTTTCGTAACTGGTGACAACGCAGCTTCAATATCCCATATAAAAACCTCTCCGCCAAGGCCACCAGATGCAACGACATTGCTCTAACAGTTGTGAAATCAATATAGGATCAGACTGTGACAATGAGAAGGCAATATCTTCTATAGAACTCGCACCACAACGCGAGGAAAATATTTTCAGGTGCAACTATAAAAAACAAAACCATGGAGGAATGACAAATTACATTTTTTGCCGCAACTGCCAAACAAGTAACATAGTCAGAGTGCTGACGGAGAGTCCTTGTACAGACTCCATCTGATAAGCCGTCCCATGTCTAGAGTGTTAGAGGAAAATAAAACCGCAGTTAGAAACCAATAGGGTGGTACAAAAAAAGAGAGTAAAGTTTGGATATATACTGCTAGCAACTGTAACAAAGTCACAAACCTTGACCGTAGTGTCTGAAGAACAAGAAACAAGAGTGCTTTCACCAGCCAAAGCAGCGTCATTCACCTGACCAGTCAAATAAGGGGGGTTCAAAATTATCAAATGTACAACAGCACAAGATTCACCTCAGGAAACACAGGATCCAAACTACTAATAATCTCTATACAGTTAACTTTTTAGTGAGAATTAAATACCATACCCAATCAACATGAGATTCAAAAGTAGCTGAGCAAAAGGTAGCATCCTCGTCAAATGCCCATCTCTTGAGTGTACCATCACGACTTCCAGTGAAGAGGTAACTTTGATCACTAGAAACAGACGACTTCAACACATCCAAGCAATTTATGCCAGCACAATGCTGCAGCGTGCACATTACATAAAAAGAACATCATCAGGAATAAGTTGAGAAGGAGATGTCTATAACTTCAAACCATTTCAAGTATTAGAATATGAAGTAACCATAAAAAGGAAAAATCAAAGAAGGGGTAAGAAATCACAACCCCCAAATCATATTGGTGTGTAAAAAAACCTGACCTTTGTGTCGTTGGCATCATTTAACACATACGTAAGCTTTTTCTCTTTGCGAGTGCGGACAGAACCGCCATTACTCCCGGCACTTCCAACCCGGTGCATTTCAAATTATCCTGAAAGGAGAAACAGAAAAAGCAAAACCAGCAAGTGAGTAACTAAGCAACCTCGTCTTCAAAAACAGGCTAGTTATCATCGGCTCTGTTCCAATATCCAAAACGAAACAAGGCAAGCCAGAATATTGGTAAGACAAAGCTGGTAGAGTGATTGGTCTAAAACTAGAAGGAACCAAAAACCTACGGGACATTTCTAGAAATCCTCAACTCTGAGTAAGAGCTGATCCAGAAGACAGCAGCTAAACTGTATGACAGATTACAAAACCATCGCTTTTACGACTACCTACTCTCGATCCATAGACAGTACTAAATTTTTTATCAATTTCACACTCCTATCGAATTTCTACGATTAATTCCAACTACTTCCTATATTTCTAACAAGAGAAACCCACAAAAATTGAACAAGAAACGAGAGTAAAATATCTTAAGATGAGGTAGGATTAAGTCGTAAACGAAATCATCTACATACCTTTATCTGAACTTCCGATGTAATCGATGATGATTAACTACGAGATTCAGCAACCCCAACACACTTTTCAAAACGAACACACAAAATTAAAACCCTAGAATCGGTCTTTCGCGCGGGAAGGAATCGAGATTTGGGAACCAGATTGATCTAGAAACTCAAAAATTTGCACAAATTAGGAAATATGAGAAAACTCAACAGAGTCAAGAAGGAAAAACACAAGAGCAGCCTTTTTCCAAGGCGTGATGGCGTTTGGAGAATTGGAGGAAGAAGAAAGGAAAAAAAAAAAAAGTTTTTTTCTAATAAGAAAGGAGAAAAAAAAGTGTACGAAATTACGAACACAAACTCTTTTCAAGGCTCGACTTGGTAAAATCAGCCCATAGAATCTTAAAATATTATCGAGGATAAGATTACATAAAATCCTCTTATTAATTATGCTATTATCGAGAATCTTACATAAGATGTTTTTTTTAAAAGGTGTTATTACTATTTTTCTATTGGTTAAATGACTTACTTGTGGATCAATATATAGACCGGCAATTACAACATTTTGTAATACTTTTTGAAAATATGTTTTTTTTTATGTAATAAACTCATCAACTAAAAAAATAAATCTTGTACAGTTTACAGCAGCATCACTAATTACTAATTACGATCTCAATCAAAACTTAATATCGACATAACTAATTTTGGTATATAACTAATCACACAGACTCATTTCCCACTAGTTTCCTAAACGAGAGAGATCTTTCTCTCTGTCTTCAGCAATGGCGTTCCTCTCTTCTTCTTCTTCATCGTCTCCGGCGATGCAGAAAGGGATTTTCGTGAGCGTGCCGGTACTTGTACTCTCCGTTTCGTTTGCCGCTGCTGTCTTCTTTCTCCTCTCGTCTTCTCTCTCGTCATGCTCATGTCCTTCCTCTATATCGTCCCCGAACGACGCCGGTGTAGCTTCCGGCGGTGATGTTAGATTGGAGGAGAGGATATCTCCGACGCGAAAGGATATAGAGTGGGTTAGAGATCTGATTAGATCCAACGGTTTGCATATGCAGAAGAATGAGCTCCGGAAAGGGATCAATCCTCGCACTAGGGATCAACAACTTATAGATCTGAAACAGTAATCATCCTCTCGCAATCTCTTTTCTTCTCTTTCTTTTTCTCTTGTTTTGAGCTACAAGCGTTGCAGATTCCAGCTGCTTTACTGTTGGAAACTTGAGTGGTTAGTAATGGCTTGAGATTCTATTTGATGTTAGCTTAGTTAGTTAAGTTTGGTTATTGCTAAACAAGTTAAGGCTAGATACCAAATCCATCTGAGAATCTCGGAACACGAAGATGGAATTGAAATATTTGTATGCTAATTCATTAGCTCTATGGCCTCTTTAAGTGATAGGAAAGTGAAATTGTTTTCATTTGTTGACTCCATATCTGTGAGGTCATGATCTAAAGTTCCTATATTGGAATCGAAGATCAAAATTCTATTAATATGTGAGGCCTTTGATGAGATCTTATCATGTTCTGCTCATTTCTTGATTCTCCCATTCCATTGTTCTGTTTCTAGAATCTAAAGATTCGAGCTTTATCTGTGTTGGTCATTACTTTTCTGATTTCACTGTGTTGGAAACTCAGGTACAAGGGTATATCCCATTATGAAGGAGAAGAAGCAAACAACCACACAGCTCTTCCATGCCCTGGTGAGTTACTGGTTGAGCAGCATCACAGCAATTATGGTGAACCTTGGGCAGGTGGGCGCGATGTATTCGAGTATTTGGCTGAATCAGCAAGTCTTAAACCAAACTCTCGTGTCCTAGAAATCGGATGTGGCACATTACGTGTGGGTTTACATTTCATCCGGTATCTCAATCCCAAACATTTTCACTGCCTTGAAAGGGACGAGCTTTCTCTAATGGCTGCTTTAAGGTACGAGCTTCCATCTCAAGGTCTTCTACATAAACGACCTCTTATACTCAGAGGTGAAGATATGGACTTCAGCAAGTTTGGTTCAGATATAACGTACGATCTGATCTACGCAAGTGCAGTCTTTCTCCACATGCCTGATAAACTCGTGTGGACTGGACTCGAAAGGCTAGTGAAAAAGTTAAAGCCTTATGATGGGAGAATCTTTGTGTCGCATAACGTAAAGTTTTGTTCGCGGTTAGGAGGAGACGAGTGTGCAAAGAAGCTAGCAAGTTTAGGACTTGAATATCTTGGAAAACAAACACATGATAGCCTGCTGTTTAATCACTACGAGATCTGGTTCGGGTTTAGACGGTTTAAAACATAAAAGCTTGTTGCTGTGCTTTTTCTAAGTTTATATCAATTATCTACACAGCGTTGCTCTCCATTTTCTGAAGATTGGATCAGGACTTTAAGGAGGATCAGAGATTGTTTTGGTGAACAAAAGGATAGAATATATGTGAAGTACAAAGATGGCTCTGTATCAGATGACTACTACTTTAGTTTTTGTGTTTGTGTTCAGAAAGAGGGATGCATGTATTGTTGTATTGTTTACATGCCTAATGTGTTATAAGAGAGGGGGCAAAGATTAATTTACTTGTAACCGAAGACAAATTCTTTTTCACATTTTTAAAAGTTGTTACCATTTGTTTGTTTGCCATTAATTAGACATAAATTTCAACAAGGTTACAAAATACATGTATCCCACCTGATAATTTAACATTTGTAAGACAAAGACAGGTCCAAATGATCAGAGTTCCATTTTCTGCGACAAGAAGCCATCATTTAAGACATTAACTCGAACATGTTAGAAGACGAACTAAGAACAGCAGACTCCCTAAAACACTAATTTCAGTCTAAGATAATAAAGGGGTCATCTTGTAGTGCAAGCTCAAGACCTTCACCACAGTCATTGCTTTGTCTTTCTGTTTCCTCTGCTTCCTCGTAGATAGAGTGATCAACGACAGCAGCAGGGTCTAGCTCAAAAGAACCAGCAGGAACTCCCTCTTTCTCCTCTCCACTCAGCCTAAATGAGGGCACTCTGTGAGAGAATCTATACATTTCCTCAAGGTTGATCACGCGTTGACAGACTCCATTGTGCTCAGCTTGTTCAAAGACGGATGTAAAACCTTTAACCTTCCCTAGATAGGCCACTCCTACGCCTCGATGATCTTCGAAATCGAACAGTACTTCCACAAAATCGTATCTATAAGGAGGCTTGTGCTGTTCGGGGTTATTGTTCCAGCTTTGGCTCCAGTCTCTGAAAAGAGCCCACGTTTCACCTTGTCTCGGATTCACAGCGATGAAGTTCTTGCCATGTATGATGGGCTGCATCTCATGAGAAAACGTCGAGTGGCTTAAGGTTTCTGTAGCCCCATATGTGAACCTCCCACAAGCAACAGGAACAGAGTCCTCATCTTTAGGTTCAAGCCATGTCACTTGAAGACTCGACCGAGACTTATTAATTTTCTTGATCCGACCATACAACCTAGGCATTTCATCTATAGGATCATAGAGAGCCCATACTTTACCAACCACGAAAGAGCTCATTGTCTTGCTGTAATCATGAAACTCGGAATCAGAACACATTATTGGCTCAGGATCTTCATCATCAATATCATTTATGGAGACAAATTCTATAATATCTCTTTCATGTGCTTCGCTTATTTGTACAGGAGGAGATGCAGAAGCTGAATCTATTCCCATGTCTTCATCACCATGCATGTGTTCCCTAAGCGATTTATGCCTTTTAAAGGGACGGATATGAGAATCAGCTTCACGAACCTTTTGTGCCAACAATTTTCCCCTGGACCGCTTCCAAGTCTCGGCTTGTATTGTTCGTTGTTCTAGTTCCATCAGCTTAAAATCAAGCTCGTCTTCCCTTTTTTCAAGTTTCTTCTCCTTTACATGGAGAAACTCGCTCTTCCATTCCAACTCCTCAGCTTTTGCTTTCTTTTCCGCTTCAAAGATCTCTTCTTTCTTCTCTAGTTCAGACGCCTTCTCTTTAATGGCTTCATCGAGTAAGCTAAGCTCCTTCTCCCTCAATTTGAGTTGCTTAAGAGATTCTCTGACCAGCTCAGCTTCTTTGCTCCATCTCTCATTCGATTCTTTTTGCTTCAGATCAAACTCATGTAGTACTGTCCTCTCTAACTCACATGACTTGTCATCGTTCAACTTAGAAAGCCGCTCAACCTCTTTTCTCCTCTCTTCAAGCTTGTTCGTTACTTCTTCACTCGCCTTCTCACAAACCAATCTCACGACAGATGATACCAGATACTGTTTCATATCAATTTCTTGTTCTTTCTTCTCTAACCTTAAAAGCATGGACTTTTCAAGCAAACCAATCTTCCTCTCCCTCTCTTCAACCTCCTCTTCCTTCTTCTTCAACTCTAAAGTCCGTTCCATTACAGATCTCTCCTTAAGCTCTAATTCCATGGCTCGTTCTTTTAGCAGACCTTCCAGGGAAGTACACCGTTCGTCGATTTCTTCCCACATAAGCGAAAAGGACTCGAGGACTGATGAAGCTGTTTTGTGAATCTGATCTAAGTCACTTTCTCCAAGATTATTTTCATCAAATCCCATAAAATCACCATCCATTACCCTCAAATCAGAACCGAGAACCCTAAGTTTAGACAGAAATCAAAAGCAAGGAACAAATCAGAAAACAATCGGCCACAAACCAACGAACAAAGAGATTCATGTGAATAAAAATAAACAAACAACTTCAACGGGAGCTTCCAAAGAAATAATATCTCAGAAGACAAAAAGCAGAAACCTTTCTCGAAAATGATCTTCCTTTCCTGCCGGTGCCGGATCCTTCTCCGACGTGTCTCCTCCTGAAGATAGCAAAGATTCCGTTCCCATCGTGATTTTACCTGCTTCAGCAGCTGTAAGTCTGGTAACTTCTTCGAGAGAAGAAACAGGACTGATAAAGGTTTGAACCTTTTTTTTCCGGTAGTCTGAAATTTTTATGAAAAGAAGAGTGATGATTTTTACTGGAAATGGAGGGAGGCACATGAAAGTGTGCTTACTATTTTGGGAGTCATACGTACGGTCTTTTGTTTTACAACCGTTAGATTGAATTGTTTTATCCGTTGGATTAGCTTACGTCATATCATCTTTTGACCAAAGGCTGCTGACTTTGTAACCGTTAGATTTCGTCATCTATTAAAGGGCTTAAAATAGGTGTCTGTTGAATAAGCCCATGGACTTTTAGTGAAAGAAATACTTCTTTTGTCGACGGCCCAATTGGATTACGATAAACAAAAGAATATTAAAAATAAGTTGGAAATCTACAAAATAATACTATTGTGGTACTAAGATAAAATCTCCATCAAAATATTAGTTTTGATTTGAAGTATTTATATATATATATATATACTAGGAATGATGTGACAGATTAGTCAAGCTATCACTCTTGTTTTTGTTAAGTATTAATTATATGATATTGTGGGATTAGTCCTATGTTTACCGATAGATTCACGTTTTTTAATTACTAAGAAGCAGGGAAACAACTCTTTATGTACGAGGACATCGGAGAGAATAGAATAATATGAATGATGATGTTGATCCATAGATAATCGTCTGTAATTAATAAGTGTTACATCCATTATCCATCTACTTGTTATGTACTTGATCTATAAAAACAAAAGTTAATTATGAAATAAGTTGTTGTGATAAATGAATAAAACAAATTGAGGGGGGAAGAACGATGGGAAAGAGATGAAAGGTTTAGAGGAAGTTGACAAAGAATAATAAAGAAGAAAGGGACAGGTGAGGTGATAAAAATTGAAACCCCCAATAATACGACAAACGGAAATAATTAAAAATAGAGAGGAATCATATAAAAATAGGAAACAAGCTGTTCTCCATAATACTTCCAATTCTCTCATTCATATTTTTGCTATAAACCTTTAGTATTTTACAAGCCACCCGCCTCTTGCTATTTTTTGTTACCTTTATCTAATTTGGAACTTCAAAATACTAAGGGAATGAATATAAAAACAATAAATGTTTTTTTAACGGTAAGAAATAACAGAATAAAAAACCTAAAAACGATCAAAGTTAGGGGATATTGTTTACGGTATTGCTATTTTTTTTTTTTGTGGCATTCTCTGAGTAACATATATATTTGATGTAACAATGGTGACAAACAAAAAATGTATTTATTTAATCTAAGTTAACAACAATATGAGTGTTGTTTTTGCTAATAATCTACGGATTTTAGGAATCTAACATAGATTGTATTATAGCAAAAACTCATAACTGAATTTAGAATACTACTAGTATGTAAAACAAAATTTGTACGCACTGATATTTTGTATCTTTATAGATATGTTGAGGGGCTCACTTTTTAGTTTTGAATGGTAGTATCCGCGACCTTTGAAGCTTCTATAGAGATTTCTGGAATATAGATAGTGCCATATAGAAAAAACACTAAATACGATGGAAGGTAAATATATGTCGTCTTCGTCCATTCATTTTGGTGTTGAAAGTAACAATACTGCATATTGTTTCCCATCACAATTCACTACGTAATATATTTTATTACAATAACTGTATATGTTCTTATTCAACTTAATTTATAAATTTTATGCTTTAGAAGTTTTTTTTGTGTAAGTATTTAAATTCGATAGACAATTTTAAGTAGTTAAATTAAGAGAATTAATGAAGATATCTGATCATTTAGAGCACAACTAAACTTTTCAGATAAAATTTAACGAGCCAGATTCAACACTCACTACATAATTTAACAGATCTCCTATCTTAGGTAGAGAGAGCAACTGCACATCGCTAAAAATAGTCGTATGGTTAGGTTTTCACTTTTCACTTTTCCGGCAGTTGCTAGACATAACTTTTAAATTATCAGCCTGGTTTAGTCGGCAGAATTATTTAGCTAGTTTTTTTTGTCGTTCTTTGGTAAGCGTTATCAACAATGACATAATACAAATTATACAGAGTTTTGAATGCCTTTTTTACCCAAACTAGAAATTAACCTGCTTAATATATACACGGAATTATAATATCTTAAATAATATTTTAATAATTAATTTCAAATTCTAGTTCATAAATTTTATTTGTATATATAAATATGTCTATAGTTATATCACGCAAAAATTTTACATTCATCAAATAGAAATTTAATTTATTGTTGACTGATGAATTTTATCATATTTTTAAATAATAATAATAAATAGTATAAATAAATCAAAATAAACTGTTTATTAATAACTGAGTTTTGTAGTCTGTTCGCAAACTATAAAAATTAAATTTATCTTCTTTAAATAGTATAATTTTTGTAAAACTTAGGTTTGATATATAAAAAATAAAAATACAAAAAAAAATTATAATATTTAGTAGATTGAATATATACCACATAAAAAATTACTATTTAGAATCGCAAGATTTATTTTTGGATATTAAAAAATTAGAATCATAATCTTTTCATAATTCGTCTATTTAACTTATTTGTATTTTATTAGAATATAACTTAAAAAAACAATTTTAATATATATTCTTTAATGATTCACACTCAAAAAAAAAAAATTGTGTCAAATTTTTGATAAAAATAATTTTTGTCTATAATCAAGTAACATAGCAAATTATACTTATAAAATATTTCACCATTTTTCAATATCATAATTTTAATCTTGATTTTTTACATTATTCATAATAAATAATATAAGAAATTGTCATATTTTTAAATTTAGAAATGTAAATATACTCAAATATATGAGAAACAAAAACTTTCCATATTGTTTTAAATAGATTTGAAAGACAATTATATCATTTCCTATTTTAATTATTTTTGTTATTTGTAATGGCATTTCATGTAATAACTTACATATTTAAGTTTATTTTAAAAAATATCTATTTAAATAATAATATAGAGATAAATATAATTAATTGATACGTACCATGAGTTAAAAGTTGTGAAAGGTATTTTTAATTTTTTATACTATTTTCCAAACGAATATAAACAAAAAGCATAATACTCTGATGACATATGAAATGAAGAACATACTAAATTTATTCAATATTTATATTTATTTTTTTCCTTTTCTCAGATTTTTCTAGAAATATTCTCTCTTTTGTGTTTGAGACACTTGAAAGAAATATCGTGTTTAGGGAAAATAAAATCTAAATTAAAAGACTTTAAAAAGAAATAAAGTTACAAACTTTTTTGTTTATTTCTTTGAGGCCCACTCAACACTAAACAGTCATCAGACTCTCCCTACTCTACCATCGACGCGTCCGGTTCACACGCGCACGTTATACACGTAGCTCTACCGATACTAAAATACGCAGATATTACTCATCCTCCACCTCTTGGCGGAATATATATCTTTTAAGCCTTTTGTTTATGCCAGTTTTTAATCTATTTGAGGAGTTTTAAAAGCTGAGAATTCCATTCCCAGAAATAAACTTCACTAATCAAGACACGAGTTTTCGCTTCTCCACTGGAAATTCTCCTCCTTTTGCTTTTCTGAATTCGATCTGCGTTTTCGTGTCTCTGTCTTGTTTTGATTAGTGATAACAAAAGGTGCTTTTTCTTCTATGGCTGCGAGCGATGAAGTCAATCTTATTGAGAGCAGGGTAAGTTTATAGCTTCTGGCTTTAATTTTTTTTTTCTTTTTTGATGTTTGCGATTTTGGATGAAAATAATCCGTAATTTTGACATGGGTCTTTTTCGATTTCCGGTTTAGTTAGGTTCTTGATGTTCTTACGGCTTTGCTTTTGTGTTTGAGCTTATATAGAATAGTTTTCTTATGGTGTTTGATTGGGTTGCATCAGTTTTGAAAAAGATTTTTAAAAAATTGAAAGCTTTAGGAACTTCAAATCGGTTTAGGTGATGAAACGTGTCCTTTGTTTGATGAGTCTCTGTGCTTCTTTTGGCTTTTCTGTCTTCTCCGTTTCGATTTTGAATCACTTTCGCATACGGCTTGAATTTAAACCGGCAGGTTAAATAAGATTTTGTGTATTTCGTGATCGAATTTCAGAACTCAAATCAGCTGATTCTCTGTTTAGATTAACTTATTGTACAATGTTAAAACTCAAAAAAAGTTGTAAATTTCGTTCTGTCTTTTGATAAAGACTCATCCTTTGATGCTTTAATCGAATCCAAAGGAAGCTCTTTTATTTGTAGTTTCTATATGATCAACTTAAGCCCTTTCATTGATTTCTCTTGTTAATGCGTTTATGTAATCTCCTGTTGATGTTTTCTGATTGAGATCTGATTTTTTTTTTCTTTCATTTTGTTATCCGCAAATTTGTGTTTTTTGATGCAGACAGTGGTTCCTCTCAATACATGGGTTCTAATCTCCAACTTCAAATTAGCCTACAATCTCCTGCGTCGACCCGATGGAACCTTTAACCGACACTTAGCCGAGTTTCTAGACCGTAAAGTCACTGCAAATGCCAATCCAGTCGATGGGGTTTTCTCATTCGATGTCTTAATCGATAGAAGGATCAATCTTCTAAGCAGAGTCTATAGACCAGCTTGTGCAGATCAAGAGCAACCTCCTAGTGTTTTAGATCTCGAGAAGCCAGTTGATGGCGAGATTGTCCCTGTTATATTGTTCTTCCATGGAGGTAGCTTTGCTCATTCCTCTGCAAACAGTGCGATTTACGACACTCTTTGCCGCAGGCTCGTTGGTATATGCAACTGTGTTGTTGTCTCTGTGAATTATCGGCGTGCACCCGAGAATCCTTACCCTTGTGCTTATGATGATGGTTGGATTGCTCTTAATTGGGTTAACTCAAGATCTTGGCTTAGATCCAAGAAAGACTCAAAGGTTCATATTTTCTTGGCGGGAGATAGCTCGGGAGGTAATATCGCGCATAACGTGGCTTTAAAAGCGGTTGAATCGGGAATCGATGTATTAGGAAACATTCTGCTTAATCCTATGTTTGGAGGGAATGAGAGGACGGAATCTGAGAAACGTTTGGATGGTAAATACTTTGTGACGGTCAGAGATCGCGATTGGTATTGGAAAGCGTTTTTACCCGAAGGGGAAGATAGAGAGCATCCTGCTTGTAATCCCTTTAGCTCGAGAGGGAAAAGCTTAGAAGGATTGTCTTTTCCAAAGAGTCTAGTGGTTGTAGCTGGTTTGGATTTGATTCAAGATTGGCAATTGGCTTACGCGGAAGGTCTCAAGAAAGCGGGTCAAGAGGTTAAGCTTCTGCACTTGGAGAAAGCTACTGTTGGCTTTTACCTCTTGCCTAATAATAATCATTTCCATACTGTTATGGACGAGATTTCTGCGTTTGTAAACGCTGAAAGTTGCAGTTAGTTAATCACGGTATTGAAAAAAAAAGGAAGAGGTTATTTCAACAGAGCCAAGAAATCTTTCAACTAACAAACAGGCGAATGTATTGCCTGTGGATTCTCTCGGTGAGTTGATGTTTTTTGTGTTTAGTTTTCCAAGTGTGTGGCGTTTTGCGGCAGCGTTTGTGACTGTTCAAACGCTGGATTCTGAAAGGCTAAAGCCAGTAGAAGAGAAGGAACAAAGCAGTAGTAATTTTTTTTTTCTCTGTAATGTTTGGTTTGTAGCTTTTAGCCTTGACTTGACTAATAGCTGGTTTTTTCAGCATGGGATTGATATAATTAATAAATCATATATAAATATACACTAGAAGGCTGTATGTATGTTTATACAGATTGTAGTAATCGAGTTATCTTGTATTGTATTTTTTGCTCCTCTTTTTTTTATTGTACTCCTATTCTCTATACAAAATATGGAATGCATTTGTATTACCACAACGAAAAAGCTAGTCTAGATCTTTAGTATTCTGTGGTTCAAAAAGCTGAAGGGTTTTTGTTTCGACATGTAAGGAATCTTTGTACAATGATGAGAAACAGCTAAAGCTTATTGAAACAAGGAAAACGAAATAAATTAGGTGGTTAAAAAAGAACAAAAAAAGTGGAGTCCACCTTTAATTAAGACACATTATGGAATTGACCAAGAGTATGCTAAACTCTTTCCACAAAAGAGAAATTTGTGAAGAATGTGGCCATACTTGCCATTTAGACTTAAAATTCATAATTTACATTCTCCGATGCAGCAAAAAAAAAAAAAAAAAACAAAGATACTTATACATAATATAATGTTGTTTGATATCAAGAAGCTAAAGCAACCTCTCGAATGCGATCAAGATCTCTCAAGTACTTAGTAGAGTTATATTCTATACCATCTAGTGATTCTTCAGAATACGTTCGTTTCATCATCTTTCTCTGGACTTCTCTTGGAGTCGTAGCGACACCTTCTTGGCCTAGTAATAATTCCACAACCTGAATACATTTTAAGAGAGAAAAATAACCAATCAAGCCGGGTTCAAAACGACGTTCAGACCGGAATTAACCGTTAGCTAATAACACAATAGGCAACTAGAGTACCTAATTGTAGCTTATAGAGAAATTTCAGAATAGGAGAAAAATGTCTCAAAACTATGTATGGATTTCAGAACCGGGACCAAATTTTGTTCCACAAGAATTTAAAATTTGGTTCTTTACCACTTTAGAACCGAAACCGGATGGGTTTATGTTGTACCTGGCTCATCCGGGGTCGTAGGAGAGAAGACTGCTCGATGCATAAAGAAGCCGTGGTAGTTAACCGGCTAAGCTCTTCTCGGCTATACTCATCTCCAAGCGATGGATCCACCAATTGTCTTAGCTCTTTCTTCTCTAGCAGAGGCTTGGCCTGTGGCCATATAAGTAAATACAAGATACATTATTTGTACCAGACCGGTAAAAAGAACGTCCAATAGACTGTGAACCGGTCCGGTTTAGCCTTAAAGTGTCAAACCGGTCTGTATACTCACCCATAAAACAAGGCTCTGCTGTGACTCGTCAAGAGCACGATGGCCGGTTATGAGCTCCAGTAGAAGAACTCCAAAGGCGAAGACATCGGTTTTCTCATCGACAATTCCGTGCATGAAATACTCCGGCGCAAAGTACCTGATCAATACGTCGTCGTACCAAACTCGCTAGTAAAATCATCATATACAATAGAATCCTTTAGAAAAATATTCATTGATTTGAAAAAAAAAAAAAAAAATCAGTACCCGAATGTGCCCTCGAATTTGGAAACGTTATGGTGAGTCAATTGCTTAGGAAGCCACTTGGCTAGTCCGAAATCGCAAATCTGAGGTTGAAAATCCTCAGTGAGGAGAATGTTATCGGCTTTGATATCTCGATGAATGATTCTTCTTTGACAACTCTCGTGAAGATACAAGAGTCCATCTGCTGTTCCTAACGCCACTTTGTAACGTCTGCTCCAAGTCAGCTTATCTTTTGATGGTCCTGCGTAAAATCAAACCGATGATTAATTGGAACCGGTATGTCTTAAACCGGAGATTTAAAAAAAAAAAATCATTTATAAGTTTAAAGGATAGAGAGACAAATAAAAACCATGGAGGAGAGAGCCAAGGCTTCCAAGAGGAGATAACCGGAAAACAAGATGCATTCCACCTTCAATGCAACAACCGATGAATTTCGCGGTGTTTGGATGATCAACATGAGCTATAATCCCTAGTTCCGACAGAAACTCTGTTGTTTGCTCGTCCGGTGTGCCTCTGGTGAGACGTTTCACGGCGATTAGCTTTCCTTCCGGTAACATTCCTTGGTATACCTCTGCGTAACCGCCTCTTCCGATTATGTTTTCTGTAAATAACGTTTAGTAGCGTTTTTTTGTTGTTGTAATCGCAGTAACCAAACAATCCCTTAATTAAGCAGGTTTTTTATGAAGATGATTCAAAACTCGTTACCGGGGTTGAAATTGTCAGTGGCGATTTCGAGGTCGGAGATTGAGAAGCTGTGTAGAGATGATTGGAAATCGTAGATGTCGTGAAGGTTCAAACCAACGATGTGGGGATCTGCGTTTTTGTTGCGTTTCTTGGAGATCGCTGGAGCACCGCCTAAAGGAGGGAAAGAAGAGAGGCGTTTCATGGACCTACGTTTCCACAGCTTGAAGAACTTTCCCCAATTCGAAGATTCTCTGTGATTCTTGCAACGTGCTTCTGTGTCTGTGTTTTCGATAGCTTCTCTAGTTGGAGGAGGATCGTCAGAGGAAGACGAGGAGGAAGAGATTGAGCATCGGTTTAGACAGGCTTCTAGGGCTCCTCTCGGTGATTTAGGATCTTGCTTCTCTTTCTCTACCTCTAGGAATCTTAAATCTGAGAGCACAAAGGGGAGGGAAAGGACAAGTGTGAAAACGTTGGGAAGAAACTGGGTTTCTTGGTGTACAAGCAATCATCAAGAAAACAGAGGGAGAAAACAGAGGAAACAGAGGAGTTAGGTGTTACCGTGCGCTGAAGCAGAATTCATGAGCAAAGCGTTTGTTCTTTTGTGTTTTTTCGAATGAATCATGTCGTGTGGATCCTCTTCAGTAACATAACTTGAATATTTAGAGTTGTACCTGCCTCGAAAAATTCATCTATTAAAAGAACAAACACACACAAAAAAAAAAAGTCTTTTTATAAATTTTGTGGTGGAAGTGAGAACAAAAATAGATGAAAACTGAAGAACTATTTATTATTCTGCATAATGTAATTTCAACGAAAATCATGAAAGAATAGCAGGATATAAGTTAAAATTTCTAACTTTCTGACATCTATTTCGTGTCTACAGACAGAACTTAATCAGATACGAGAAAAACAATTAAAACGTAGAGGAATAAGTGCTTTGAGTAGATAATTACATTGGAAGAGCAGAACACAAGGGAGAAGCTTCGTTGCTTTTGTCTACCGCCATGAAAGAGTTATATTTTCTCGGAAACTTTTAAGGTTTTTCTCACAATTCTAAGAGAACCAAAGACAAAAGGATCATAGAAAACAAATAAAAGGAGGAAGTTTTGAAGTTGGTGTTCGTCTCGAGACACCCGAAAGAAAAGGTTTTGTCTTTGTGTTTAAAATTTGATTACTAATTTAATTGTTTTCCGTTGACCAATGATATCATCTATTAGTTTTTTTGTTAAGCTATTAATTAGACTCTTATATGACTACATCCTAAATTTGGCAATACTTTTGAACTTCTCCCTTTGGATTTAGTGGACACTTCTCTTAGCTTCATATATTGCAGAAGGGATCCGAAGAAGTCGCTTCTTTTGTCGTCTCTTTATCCAAAGTCATCCTAATAAAAGATGTGAGTTTTTTTTGTTTTTCCATGGGATTTATATAAGAATTCGTTATAAAGTCTTCAAAGGTTAAAGTCAGATTTGAGTAACTCCCTAAGTTAATTTCCAATTTTTAATAATTAATCGTTTCTATTCTTGTAAAAAACTTTAAGAGTGATAATTAGCTTTCGTTTTTTTAAATACAAAAAATAATAATCACAGATTACTCATTCCTTTATTTCCTTCTTTCTTTGTGTGTGTGTCGGTGTGACAACTTTCTTGTGAAAACCTAATAAGAATCGTTTCCGTGTATATGATGCAGAAAGTCTGCCTTAAAACCTGCATTGCTTCTATTGCTTTGCAACCAAATAATTGTTTTGTTTTTGTCGGAAATATAACGAGGATTTTTGATTTGATGTATGGATGTTGATGGATTTTGATGTTATAGCATTGTTTCAGGAATTGACAAAAGAAAAGTACTATTTCAAGACAGTTTGTTACTTTTTGAATGGTTGAAACAGTCACCAAAACAATCATTTGGAAGTGATTGCTCAATCCATCAATGTTGTGTAAGAGAAGGGGAAATCGATCATTTATGAAAATTTTGGTAGGCACTGTTCTGTTCTATCATGTGGCCAAGTGCAAATCCAAATAAAATTATATTGTCATTTAAATCCTTCTTGTATTTTTTTATACAGCAGTCCTTCTAGTTTTTTATTATTTATGGTTGTTTAAAACAATTTACAATTAGAACGTAAACAAAGAAAAATATCATATGTGTATTTCATTTCATGTAACTCATTTTATGGGCTTTTAAAAGGCAGTCTATGTGCCATCAACCATCAAAACTCATGTCCATGATTCTTAGAGAGCCCTATGGCCCCTGTCTATTGTATATAGGATCTGTTTTTATCCAAAAACTCATTGTGTGAATATACAGTCATAGATAGAACAGTGACTTAGGGTGTGCGAGAAATACTCAAGGCGTTGCAATATAGGGCGATATAGCGAGGCGGGGTTTAGACAGGGTGAGACATTGAAACACCACAAAGGAAATAACCAATGAAACAGTTTTCTATACGACGATTTTAAAATTGCATCGAGGTGTTGGAAGACAAGCTCTATTAATGCTGAAGATTTGGCAGTACATGATATGGACTGGGACAAGATCCGAATTACTTCAGATTTGCTTTAACTGATTCGAGCAATCAACACAAAGAATTCTTAGAAAGGAATCTATGGATTTTTTTTTTTTTTTTTGTGTGGCTAATATAATGTATGGAATCTTTCATGACATTCTCAAATCTCTTGTTTGTCTTAGAAACTTCTTTCATCTTTGTATAGAGGAACATCATTTCGATGTCTGGCTCATTTTCGAAAGCACCTTTATGTAGACAATATAGTTTTCTCTCTTTGTACCGGATTCTCCTTGTGCACCGGTTTAATTTGAAAATAAATATAATTTTTGCGAGCAAGTAAAAAATGATCTACTAAATCTAATGATTTATAACCACCAATGGGAAGACGTGCGTCGTTGAAGTTGCTTAGCTATATTAGATAATAAAAAAAATATCGAATAGATTGCCAAATTGGTTGTTATAATGCTTAGCAATAAGTATATGGATCAGAGCAAGCCACATCCGAGCATCTCTTAGTCTTTTAAAAAATTATTAATACGAATTAGAAGCTCAAAATGATTTAATATTCGGATATGACGTTTGTTTCTTCAAATAATCGCCCTTATTTACATGTGTTTTCTAAGTCTAATAACACAAGCCAACTAGTCATGCCAAAGAAAATGGACGTTAGAAGGAAGACTAGGGTTGGCACGTGGCCACATGACACACGCACGTCTTATATACATCAATAAAAAAAGACAAAATTGTTGAGGGAAATAAGAAGAGCAAAGTCTTGATTTTTTCCAAGTGTACTCCCAATACCATTCAGAGGTGTTATGAAATACCATAGTTTATAAAGTCTTCAAATTCTTTTTATTTCTTACACATTTGGTTGATTAGTCTTTACATGCTGATTTTTTATATTAACAATATAAAATGTACAGGGACGATACTAAAATGCCTAGTCTCATCATATAAATCAATAGTAATAGTAATAACCATAATCTAACTATTAAGATAGTAACTAATATCAATATTTTTTTATAAAAAATACCACATATGTTTTTAGGAACACATCCTAAATTTTTAGAAAAGGTTCCCAAATATTTTGTGTGACTTTTAGAAATAAAATGAAAACAAAATATAGTATTTTTTAATGGTTTTCTCGCCTATGTAAATTCATAATTTTTTAAAAAGGGAGTCATTATTTTCTCATTTTTTTTCCAATATCAAGATATCAACCAAATTAAGAATTTTATACTGAGCATGAATCCTAACAAAACAGAACTTCGTTAAATAGAATGATAGATGGCTCCAAATTTAATTACGATTTTCAGAATATTTCTATTTCAGAGATTTCTGTCAAGGGATTCTATAATCAGAAATAATAACTAATAAGAATAATAGTAGAGATCTGAGCACGAAAAATTCTACAATCTCATTTCAGAAACTTCCCATAAAAGTGCACTAAATATATAATCATTCTCGTGTTTAAAGTTTGAATATATACTACAGTAAAGAAAGAAGTCAAAGCATCTAACGTGTAAACAAATCTATATAAAGAGAAAGCATAATGCTCAGATTATCTCAATCTCTCTTGTTCTGTTTTTTTCTTGTACTTGAGCTTTGTAGCCTTTTTTCAGTACTAGTGTTTGAGACTTTGGTTAAGAAAATGGAGGGAGAGAATATTACGATCGAGAAAGGATTGTTACTGGTAAAAAGAGAAGAAACATCTGCAAACACAACTCCACTTCTTGTCTTCACCACTTTCATCATTGTCGCTGCCTCCTTTACCTTTGGCGTTGCAGTATGTTCCCATCTCTTTCTTCCTTTTTTTTTAACGAAAGTGTGTTCCCATCCCTCATCCCTCATCCCTCTCAGCATCTGAAGAATTTTTTCGAGAAATCTTATAATTGTGGTGACATACAATTAGAAAAACACAAAAATGTATATTCTTGTGGACTTTTGCATTTCAATAGACAATACTTTTGAAAACTTTCAGCATATAACGAATTGGTTGGTTTTAAAAGAATTTGGATCCATAGCGATTGGAAATTACCATAAGTGACAATTCTAGTAGACATACTTAATTTTGAAACTTTATACGTTTACTATCAATTTTGGTTGTGTTTTTTCGTAGTCCTTCGATTTAGAGTCTTCAGACATCAAAATCAAAATTTCTACATATTGGAGAATTGGAAGAAATTTTTTTTGACAGGTCATACCGCTAGCCACGATCTTTCCATAAAATAAAATTGTTTATTTACTTTATATGTTTTGTGAAGTATTTCAAATGATCTATTCTAGAATTCCAGAATGGGTTTTGCAAACAAAATATATCAAGTGCATGTGTTTGGTTTATATACAACAACATTCATGTAATTAAGTGATTTATATCGGAATCAGTTAGGTTATACCGCCGGTACAATGTCCTCTATTATGGAAGATCTTGATCTTTCTATCGCACAAGTAAGTCTCTATCTATTACACTATATTTATTTATATATGTTCATAACTATCTTCTTTCAGAGTATTATAAATATAAGTTTAATTAGTTGTTGGAATATATTTCACAGTTTTCCGTATTTGGTTCGCTATTGACTTTCGGAGGAATGATCGGTGCAATATTTAGCGCCAAAAGTGCTGATGCATTTGGTCGTAAAATGGTTAGATATTCATTGATTTTTTAATTTCACCCCCATACTTTTAATATTTCTGTTAACTTAATCGTATACCTCTAAATTAAACACTTTTTTTTTTCTAAATGATTTCTTAGACTTTATGGCTCGCGGAGGTATTCTGCATAAGTGGATGGCTTGTAATTTCACTAGCCGAGGTTTCTTCACAAGTCACAAGCCATCTAATTCTATTTTTACTTTATAAGCTTGCGCTCTAATCTTGATTAATTTATCTTCCAATAGAATATAATTTGGCTAGACTTCGGGCGATTCTTTGTGGGAATTGGTGTTGGTCTCATTAGCTACGTGGTAATTAAGTTAAATTTTCTGGCTTAATTTGAAAAGATGAAATTACCATCTCTAAACTTGTAATAATCCTAGTTTGTTAATATTTCATTGGGTTATATAGATTCCAGTATATATCGCAGAAATAACTCCCAAAAATGTGCGAGGCACTTTTACATTTAGCAACCAGGTAATGTATACATATAAATAGTCTATAATCAAACTTCAAATGTATAGACTATATATATATATATTGATGTACGTTTAGCTAATAATTTTAAAATTAATATTTTGAAGCTGTTGCAAAACTGTGGGCTCGCAACCGCATATTACCTTGGAAATTCCATGTCATGGAGAACGATAGCCCTAATTGGTGATTCTCTCCCAATACTATTCTTTTATTAATCTCATAATTTTCACTTACGTATATTACTTATTGATGATTAAGTTTCATTTCTTCTATAAAATTATAACCAGACTTCAACTTCTTCAGGCATTATTCCGTGCATGATACAGTTCTTTGGATTGTTTTTCATCCCCGAATCTCCAAGATGGTTGGTGAGTCATATCATATGAACCATATTATACATTTCCCTTATTATATTATCTGAAATTTTTTATTTAAGAAAAGGACAAGCAAAAAAGAAAGGAAACCATTGTGATTTTTTAGGCAAAAGAAGGCCGCGACAAAGAATGTGAAGCTGTTCTTCAGAAATTAAGAGGAAAAGAAGCTGATGTTATAAGGGAAAGTCGTGAAATTATGGTATACATACGTAATAAACTATAAAATCATTTTGAAAATTAGATATGAAATAATTCTATATAATTATTACGCAGAAAACTGGATCTCATTTTAGGAAGATACGTACCGATTATTTTATATTTTTCTTCATGGAAAATTACTCATATATTTATATGGATTTTGTAGATTTCTGTTGATGCCACCGCGAATATCAGCATGCGCAGTCTTTTCAAAAAGAAATATTCTCGGCAACTTACAGTAAGAAAAGGGATTTCTTTCATTAGCAAAAAAAAAAAAAATATTATTAAAGTGATTGGTTCCAAATGCATATAACTAATTGATTTTCGTTTTTTGGTTAATTAATTATATTTAGATCGGTATAGGTTTGATGCTTCTGCAGCAGTTATCTGGAAGTGCAGGAATATCGTATTACGCAGGCAGCATATTTGAACTTGCCGGTAAAATTTTATATATCTATTTTATGTATTTTTATGATTATTACGTAACTCGATTTCATTTGTTATAAATGATAAAATAATTAGTACTTTTAATTCTTAAGGATTCCCTTCTCGGATTGGAATGACGGTTTTGTCTATGGTCGTGGTACGTTTTGTTCGTAGCTATTTACACTTTGACCCCTATATATTTTGGTCCTTACGATGATTGCATCATTTTAAATTATGAAATTGTAACCCTATTGCCTTCAATGACACGATAGGTACCAAAAGCTATATTGGGTCTGATACTTGTGGATCGATGGGGAAGACGACCGCTTCTGATGGTTAGATTTTTTTTTTTTTTAAACGTACTTTAGTTTGTTAATAGATTAATTAGTTTAATAAAATTATTTTCCTAGACCAAAAATATATACAAATTGCAGGCATCGGCATTTGGGATATCTTTAAGTTGTATCACTCTTGCATTATCGTTTGGATTGAAAGGTGTCCCTGGGATTGTAAAGTTCACTCCCACTATGGCATTTATAGGAATATTGGTAAGTGATGTCGAATTTATTAATTTGAATAACTAAAGGAAAACCAAAAAACCAATACTTATCTTCTCTTGTCGACGACCAAAAAAATAAAATCTCTTCTTGTCTTCCTTTTGGTTTCCTTTTTCAGTTAAAGTAGTACAGCTGAATTATCTGAATTGTTTTAATTATAAACTTATTCAGAGGCAATTAAGTGGACGTAAGTTATAATCGTAAAAAAAAATCCTAGTTTTACATACTGTTTTCTTGTTGTTTTTTCAGTGTGGTAGATTATATGTATATTTCAAAATGTGATAAATTAAATATAATAAAATTCATGATCCAAACAGACATTCAATATGATGTTCGCAGCTGGACTAGGAGCGCTACCATGGGTTATAATGTCTGAGGTACATGCACACTTAAGCAAACTTTTTAGTATCTTTAAACTGTTAAATTTTTATACATTGCCATATTGATTATTTTGTAATTGATAGTATCTCTTTTTCATGTTTAGATATTTCCGATGGACATGAAAGTAGTAGCTGGGAGTTTAGTAACTATAACGAATTGGTTTACTGGTTGGATCGTCAGCTACTGCTTTAATTTTATGATTATTTGGAGCCAAACCGGTACGTTAATACTACTATATAAACTGCACCTAATTAGTTCTTTTTTCTGTAAGAATCTTATCAACCAATATTAGAGATTCGTTACAAAACCAAATTTTGAATGTATATTCACACACCTATATTGCCTCCGTTTCACAAAAAGTGTTATTTTGACATTTTTCATATTTATTAAGAAAATTATTAAAAATACTACTTTGTCATTCAATAATGCATTAAATAACTTTTTTCTTTAATTAATACATTAAATCAATGAGGTTAAAACTGAAATATTATTTAAAATTTTGCAGTGAAAATATAAAATAACACTTTTTGTAAAACAAAAATAAAACCTTAAAACGACACTCTTTGTAAAACGGAGGAAATATAATTTATTTTCTCTCATTTAATTTGAACATTCGATGTAAGTTTAGATGGAACTATATTTTCGAGTTGCTTAGATATATTTTGAGTTCTTATATAATTTATGAAATTAAAGATTCTCATTTTGGTTTTGTAACTTTTAATTGCAGGGACTTTCAGTATATTCGCCATGATAAGTGGATTAACAATTGTTTTCTCGTGGTGTCTGGTGCCTGAGACTCGAGGATTAACCTTGGAAGAAATCCAACTTCCACGTGCTAACACTTTAAGTTGATCTTAAATATCCTATACTTTTTTTTCGTAAGTTTAAATATTCAATACAAACAAAGGAACAATATATAGCGATTATTTTCCAAATTCATTATTATAAATTCTATGTAGGATCATACTGTCTATCAGAAAACGGATCATCCCGTCTTCATAACGAATGGTCGACTCTTATCCTTTGTAATATTGGTTCTCTTTTCTATTTCTTCCACATATATCATTTTCATTCTGCCAGTTTTATATTTTTTATAATGTCATTTCCATTCTGCTAGTTTTCAATTCTGGGAGCATAGAATTATATGACGCTAAGCCATCATTATAGACCGAAAAATGTAATACTCCTCCTACTACATGCTTGGAATATTGCAACCTTCTAGCTATAAAACATCTTAGGTGAGTAGCTATATGTGCAACCCCCATGCTATAATTTAATTGTAAACCTGCTAGGGTTGTCATAGTGGAACAGACTGGGATTTAGATTAGAGCCCATGGGTGAAAACCAGCTTAGATTGAGGGTTAACAAGGATCTATACCAATCAGATTATATATCATTATATACAAAGAAATATTGATAAATACAAACTAAGTGTAGTCTAATAGTTTCTGTGGGGTTTTTAGTCTTCTAGATTAGCCAGGTAATAATAATAAATAAATAAAGTTGCTAATTTTGGGTGTGAGACCGACCGAATCTGATTGAATTTTGCAAATTCTATGCCTGCTCATGATCATGCCGACAGTTGTGCCAATAATCTTTATTTTCTTGGTCAATTGCTTGCTAGGAAAACTTTTGGCTTGAGGTCAATTGCTTAAATCGGGAAAATTCGAGCCGAACCAAACGAAATCTTTTAACCTAAAATAGGAAACATAATACAATGACTGATGTGATGTTTAGGTGAAGTTGAAAGCCGGCACGTTTTTCGTGGGCACAACGCAAGATCTTTATACATATGCCTTTCTTTTTGAGTCCTGGTTCAATGAATGTTAGCTTTCTCTTGGCACATCACTCGAGAAGGCCTATATACAACTAATTCTGTCATTTAATGCAATACGTAATGTTTCTCTACTATCGTGTCTCTGTTTGTGGACTCCTACATTTTTAATAAATGTCTTTCAGTCCACGTCATACTTTATCTCAGAGCTGATTCGTTACTCTTAAATGTCATTCAAAAATTGTTTGATTGATCAAGCATAACATTAATAGCATATCATTACGCATTTTTTTCGGAAAAATAATGTTTTTTAATAAACCATTCATCAAGAAGTTTGCGAATAACTTTTGTAGACTTTTGTTAAAAAAAAAAAAAACTTTTGTAGACTTATACTCCGTTACTTCGAAAGGGATTACCGAAAAGTCAAATGCATATTTTTGTTGTCCCTTCGAAAGGGATTACCAAAATGATTTTTGTTGTCCCGATTTAGATTGGCAATGATTTTTATCTTGAGTGATTAATAAAACTTATTTCATTTTGTTGTCCCTATGATTTTCTGGGCCTTTCAATCTTTTTACTCCAACTCCTCTAACTAAAAGAGACTTTTGCTCATTTTGTGACGCACCGATCCCCAATGGGAAGACGTGTCTAGTGAAGTTACTTCCCAAAAAGAACAAACTATAATACTAGATCAATATATTGTCAATATGATTAATGGTTTCTCTAGACTAGACGTTATGGATAAGAGTGAATAACCTCAGGAAGACAATATACTAATATTTTTGACCGACCAAGCAAATATAATATCATACCAATATTATACTTTTTAAATTTCGGATTTAACGGTTGAACGTTACAAGCAAACAACAACCACATCATTGAAATTGTTGAAAAATATTATATAATCTGTTATAGTATATCATAGCACTCATCTATCATAAAGTATATTTATAGCTTTTGAATGACTGTATTGTCTACGAAATACATATTAAACCGCCTATTACATAGTATATATATACCTTTTTTCATAGTATAGTATAGTATAGTATATATATATATATACATATATTGAAAACGTATGTTAGAAATCTTTCACAATAGAAATTGAAAGAAATTTGAGTAGTATATAAGAAATTTGGAAAAACCCCTGATTACCAATAAATTTTGAATTGAAAATCCATATACCTTAACACAAAATACAACTGGACATATTCTAATTGTAAGACATCTATACACATTTGTCTTACAACTAGGATACGACTTTGTTTAGCAAAGGATAAAAAAAAAGAGAGAGGGTATAATATCACTATCAAGAATATGCTAATGATAATTACAAAATAAATCTATCATTTGCATAGCCGCTTGGATCATTAAATATTTTTTTAACAAACAATTATAATATAAATGTGTGCTTAATTTAGGTTGTCCCCGTAAGCGAAGCTTGTAATTCTTCCAGTGACTGTCCTTTGGTTTCCGGCACGAGAAACCAAATAAAAGTCAATGATGCTCCTCCGACAACCCCAAATATGTAAAATGTTCCTATTTAAGTTTTATAAATAACAAACAATAAGTAAATGACATAACTGAAATTAAAAAAATGTAACTAAAAAGTTAGGATACCTAACGCTAATAAGACAAAAACAAAATCATTTTTCGATGAAAGGTTAGGTGACTCTTTATTATGTACGTTTCGTTAGATTTTGTTTTCAAAAGGTTAGGTGACTGATCTTATTGTTTTTAGTCATCCGTTATTCAAATTAATTGAGAAATACTAGTAGAGAAAATAAGGACCTTGTGCGCTCCATTCGAACATAAAGTTGAAAGCGTAACTAACGAACCACCCACTGGTCCATGAGGTTAACGCCACTATTGTCCCTGCTGAAACTTTAATATTTATTGGAAAAATCTGCACAAAACAGAAACATAATAAACTCTTTTTTTTCACTCGCAAATGTTCATTATTTACTTTAACAAAAATATATAACTTATTTCATTTTAAAGTTTTGAAGTTATTTACCTCAGACATAATGACCCAGGGTAGCCCTCCTACACCGATGGCAAAACATCCAAAGTAGACCTAATAAAAATGTAGGTTTAGATATATTATCAGTTTATCACGAATTAATTCCGATAAAGTATAGATGTGAATTAAATGAAGAATGATCTTACCAGTATGAATATGAAGACCAACACTGGAGTCAGTTCAGGAAGAATATTCATTCCCTGATCATCCCCATATTTAAAAAGAAAGATTAGCTAAAAAATGTAATAATATTGATTATCACATTTTACTCCAATGTACAAATAATAATTGTAAGAGTAACCTGTAACGTAAAGCAACCCCCAATAGCCAAGGATCCGATTGACATTCCAGCAGCTGAAGCCTACAATAATTTTTACAATTTTATTTATATATATATATATATTTTGGAAATAGTATATTATTTTCTCTGTTTCAAAATTACTAATATATGAAGAAAGAATGTCTCAAATTTAAGATATTTTATTATTATTTATTTATATATTTTGTTTTATCATGTGTTTAATAGTGTTTAGGTAGAATATAAACTATTTATTTTTAGAAAAAATTAGTTTAATTTTATCAATCTATACGTAAAAAGCTACACATCAATTATTTTGAAATAGAGAAAATATTAAATTGCTTATTGAAATGAATATTTATCTAACCAATAGGAGTGGCCGTCTTCCCCATTTGTCCACAAAAATTACAGCCATCAAGGCTTTTGGGATCTACAAAAATTAGAAAATAAAACATTAAAAGTAAACTCAATATAGATTGAGGAAATTAGATAAATAGAATTGATTATAAGGTACGCACAACGAACACACCAAATATCATTGATCCGAGTGTCTCTGAAAAGCCTGCATAAAATATGTAATTTATGTATATTATTAATTAATCAGTATTACTAAGAAGTAAGAAGTAAGCATCTATACGAAGGTACAAAAATAAACAGTAATGAGAGTTTTGATATTCTAACCAGCTTTTCTAAATATGGCATTCGAATAATATGTGATTCCAGCAGCTCCAGATAATTGTTGTATCAACATTAAACCAATTCCAACCTGTAAATAACAAAAAAAAAATTCATTACTTTCATCAACTGTAAAATCAATACATAATTAGCTTTTTCACTCTGTGTTTCTCTTATTTATATATGTTACCGTACCACAAGAGTTCGTCTATACTTTTTCTGAAACATGTCACAGAAATTCGACTTTGAATCTTCTTCGAGCATTTTTGTCATAACCTGAAAATAAACATAGCAAGCATATTAGTATGATTTTTCTTAAGTATAGTAATATTTAATAGCTAATTTTTGTAGAAATACCTGAATTTCAGCTGCTTCGCCTGAAACATCAGCATCTCTTCCTCTAAGTTGATGCAACGAATTTTCAACTTCTTTACCTGAGCCGATTTTAGCCTAAAAAGACAAAAACAATTCTATAAATTTAGATAATCGAAGAAACTCCCTTTGAATATTTTGGTCATATTTTAAAGTTGACATGCAATATATATATATATATATATATACATACAACATATATAAGAAAATACCAACCAGCCATCTTGGAGATTCCGGTATAAAGTATATTCCGACCACTTGAACGAGACATGGAACAGCACCTGAACCGGAAAATGAATAACATATTATAAATTTATACGGTCTTTATGTAATAGTGAAATAAACAAAAATTAAGATGCTGAGATCAAATATTTCGTTACCTATAATAGCCAGAACTCGCCAATTAATTATAGTCCCAAAAAAATAAATAATGGACATTCCACAGTTTTGAAAAAGCTATAAAATAAAAAACAAAGATTAATTGGTTACAATAAAAAGGTAAAATATAAATATTTATTATTCGGAGTAGGCTTTTCTCCTTATTGAAACCAGCAAAAAATGAAATGTGATTACCTGGTTTGAAGAAGTAAATGCACCACGAACATGTTTTGGAGTGATTTCCGCAATATAGACAGGGACCTTGTTTGGATATTAAATAAAAAAAATACTCTTGTTGAGAAATTTGAACTAAATCAATAAAATTCAGTAGTAAAGTTGAAATTAATATGAATAACTTCTTAATTACCACGTAGCTAATCAAGCCAACTCCTATGCCCAAGGAAATTCTTCCTGCGTCCAGCCACAAGACATCCTTTTTGTTTCCGCATAGTTCAAATCTTTACTTAAGATATTTTGAAGACCAAATTCTTATAGAAATATAATTGAGTTTTATTTGTTTGCTTTCGGATTTATACCTTTGCGAAAGCAATGGAGAGCCAACCAAAAATGCAGAACAAATCGCAGGCCCACAACGTCTTTAATCATTGATCATCAAGAAAAGGAATTATAAAATTAGTCTCTAGAGCTACGAAAAACACTTTGAAGAAAGAGTTTCAAGAACAGTGTTATAAATTAACAATTACATATATATGATTTGAAAAAGGGTAAAAGAGTGATTACGCGTCTTCTGCCGATGGTGACTGCCAGTTGACCGCTGCAAAAGGCCCCCAATGCAGCTCCCAAATTCAGGAAGGACCCAAACGCCGAAAACTGGATAATAATTAAAAGTACCGAATTACCCTCAAGGTTTTTAGAGAGTTTGGAAGTTTTTTTTTTGCTATATAGTGGTAGCACGTCTTGTATTTTAGTTTTATCTAGTTTTGTATGTATCTTTTATTTCCAGGACCAGGAATATTATTTGAAAGTTATGGTTTCTAGTATATCGATCAAACCAACAAGTTTTTCATTTTGTCCATTAATCTGATAAGCTCAATTAGTCAGAATGGGTTTTAACCAATGAATCTTCTCTCTAACTATATTTAACATAACTGTTCCATTTTAATTGATTGCGTCAAGCACACCCTAGTTCACTATTAGAATGATAAAGCCCATATGGTCTTATCCGTTAATACAAGCAATAATTAATTTGATCATTTCTATCTTTTAGCTAAGTAAGCTCGTGTCTTCTTTTGATTAGTTACTATCCGTATATTAGTATTTGATTTGTGGAATAACAAATGATATTACAAATATACATGAAAATACAGCTATTTATTTCGACTTCTAATAATAATCATTTTTAATAGAATACTACTATAAGTTGCGTATCTCATATGCATCAGTGTCTTCTTCTCCACATATTTCGTAGCATTGATTTTTTCTGTACTTGTAGACTTTCGACCACAATAATTCACTTTTTTTTTTTTCACAAGGACATTTTATAGTTTGCTATTATTTTTATATGTAACTGCATATAATTATCAATTTGATTTTTTTTTTTTCAATACCTAACTGTTTTGTGGGTTGGGGTCTGATAATTTACTAATCACGCAAGAAAATTCACAAGTAATAATGAATTTAATTAAGCTTTTGTGCCTGATCAATCGGGTATTTGATCGAAGTCAATGCTTTTAGAAAAAAGAAGAAGATAAGATACATACCTCTGCAAGAGAAAGGTCTAACTCTTTCCTGATCGCAGTCTCAGAGCCTGAAGTATAACCACTCTACAAAATCCAAGTAATTACTAATCAATAATTATGTCACTTTGATTACTAACTGAGAAGAAATTTATAGGAAAATGATCCCCCCCCCCCTCAAACAAGTAATTAAGGTTAAAGTGGGAAAGAAAGAAACTAACAGCACAGCCAAAGCTGAAGGAGCTACAAACAGTGACAAAAGTGCTGAGGATAACACACGCGGTGATACGACGATCATCTCTGTCGTTTTGATGCCTTTGGCGAATAAGTCCTTCCTCCATGCTTCTATCTTCCTCCACCACCATTCTTACGATTTCTTTTGTCTTCTCTCTTAATTTCTTTAATCTCCAGAGATTTTCTTATCTCTGTTTTACTCTCTTTTCTGAATTCTCCCCACAAAGGTTGATATAAACAGAGAGAGGATGAGAGAGGGAGAGCGTTTTTACTTGTGGGGTTCAAGTGCTTCTTGATTTGCACAAGTGGGCTTGTTATAAAACACGTTCTCGAATTTTTTTTTTCTTTCTTTCTGACATCATATTTGTTTTATATAGAAATATCGCTACGTTTGTCCCTTTTTATTAAGAAAAATAACGACAAGTCGAATGCATCGAAGTGAATTTAGCTCACTATCTGTGCTGAATACAATTTTTTACGTTTTTCTGTTCTTTTCTTTTACGTTTTTGTAATACTTAAATAATATAAAATATTAAGTTGATAAATTTGAATCGTAAGATATTAATATTAGCATAGAAACATTACCACAAATAAATTTATCCATAACTACATAGATATTCTTTTCTCCTAATATAATTAACTAAACTAAGAAATAAATCGAAAAGTTTAAGGAACTTTCTCAAATTTATTTTGATATTTATTCATAAATTTGTTTCCCTAATATAATAAAATACAGCTATTTGTTTCGTCGAATATTTTGATTTGCTTTTCGAAAATATTAATTTCTTAGGTAGAACTCTTGAAAGATTTATAAAACATTATTGTCTCCAGATCTTATTGTAAAAAAATTGATGTATTTCTGTAAACAAAAAAATAATAGTAACAGGCGATGGTAATTTTCAAAATTAAAATAATGTTTCTTAATTTCTATAATTTCAGACAGAGATAAGTTTAACGACAAACTTTTCATCGAAAGACATATTTTTCCCACAAGATTAAGCAGAGTTTTTGTTTGGCTAGCTAACGTTCTCATTTTATCATAATTAAGGGTAAACCCTACCTAATCATCTTTTAATTTGCAAATTGCAATACTAGGTAAAAAAAAATTTTTGTGCCTAAAGAAAGTTTTAAAACAAATAATTGGTTTATGAGAGTCATGCATATGTGTTTTCAAGTCATCGGTACGGTCGATCTAACGATTACGATGGTCGTAAGCAAAAACTGTAGACGTGCATGGTTTTTACTTATTAGTTATTATTGTTCAATATCATAATTAACTAAATGACCACGAACTTAAAAATATTATGTAAATAACTACTAAAAAATCTCGTAAAACCATTTCAACGAAGTGCTAAATCAATGTTTCATATAACTCTTATGACTTAAAAATATTATCTTGAAATCAACATGATTATGATGTATTGATATATATCATTTATTTTGCGTCTTCATATGGTACTATCATCCTAAAAAAATCGTTGACACGAATGATTGGTGAAGATGGTGTAGAGTTAACCATCAAAGCATGGTGGACAATTGAGACATATACGAGACCCCACGGGACACGTTACGTTTCCAGATCATTAGCTCTCACCCATCTCTCATTAATTATTTAATTACTTCCTTTTTTCATTCTCATCAGTAGCTAAATTATTTGTCCACGTGATATGATAACAAATTGTGCTTTTTTATAATTTTCATCAAGTGATGTATATTAAATTTGTATTATTGCATAATACTGACGAGGTTGTCCAATTGTGGACTACCCATACGCCATACCCATCCCTTGTAAGCATTGGTTCATTTTGCGGTTCTTTCAGCAGTAGCGCGCGGTCCGGTTTAGTAAACATTATTGCTCTGTTTGGTATCCATATCAACAAAAAAAGTTCGAGGACCACTTCTTGTATATGGAAACAAGATCTTTTATGTTATTGTTGTATATACAAAGGTTACTTTTTGACTTCCGATAAGAAGAATAGATAAAATTATAAAAATAAGCGTATGATTGTTCAAAGTTATACTATCTTCTAATTCTTTTTGTTAAATTGTCTGCTTCAATATTGTCTACCTGATTCAAAAATACATAGTTTTAAACTCTCAACAATAATGAGGGGAAAAAAAAAACTCTGAACAATAATATTAGATCGCAGGTGGTAAACATTAAATTAAACATGTTTATTCCTCCTCTCTTTAGCTTTTGTTGTCTTCAAAAACTATAGTTTGAGTGTAAGCTTACTACTATCTCTCTCTAACTTTTTTCCCAAACTTTTTGATCTACAAAGTCAAAGCCATATATTACTTTCCTTACATTTTCATTAATGTTATGTAAGAAAGCTCAATAATACTACTAGAAACAAATTAATATTTATTAAAATAACCGAAATCTAGGCTTGTTTATCAGATACATTTTTATTTTTTTCTCAAATAGAAAGAATATGTCTGAAAGGAATCAAGAGTGAAAAGGACAGAAACCTATATATCGAATTCCATGATCTAAAGACTTGCGGGTTAGCAAACTTTAGTGTTTTTTTTTCCCTTTTTCTTGTTATAGGATGTTGATTTATTTCAAACGCACATTTATATTTTGGCATATCTTTATGGAACAAGACATGTTAGATATTAAGTAGGAATCACATTTCATTGGACGTAATAGTGACGTGTTACATATCTAATGATCTTTCTTACAAATGTACTTTACCAATCATTCATAGAAAATATCCCTCTTTTTCTGAAATGTTTTTTTTTATTAAAAAGAGTTTGAGAGAATATATCGTCTGCCTCTAATTGTTATTAGTAGTGAAGACTTTTTTTTGGGTCGAATTAGTAGTGAAGACTTTATTACAAATCGTATCCCAAATTGGATAGTTGGATCAGTGTTTAAAACAAAATATTTCATAATTTTAGTCCAAATGTATAGTTGATTTTTGGAATTAAAAAAAAAAAAAACTTCAAAACTAAACATATTCAATGTGTAATAATTTTTTTTTAAAAATTGATGAGTAGTTGTTAGTTGTCAACATTATACGAATAATGACAGAAAACCAAAATCATTTGCTGTGGTCAGTAAATTAGTAATATCTATTGTAAATGTTTGGAATAGCGAACCGTTGTTGAACGTGAGTAAGATCCACGCTACTGGGAACATTATAATCATTCGATCAAAATTAAAGTGTTTCGAGTCAACTTTATTTTTCTTATAAAAAGGATGTTAATGTAACACCAAATGGAATAAGTAATGAGCTTAAGGAACCTATGAAAATTCTTGATGAATTTTTGGTTGACAAAAAAAAGAAAGAAAGGATTTTAGACTTCTTCGCTGACGGTTGTGTAATAATTTGAGATTACGTTAGACAGGCCTAAAAATAGAAAACGCCCAACGATATTTTTTCGAAGCCCAACGGGCTTTCAAAAACTTATTTTTGGGCTCGTCCCCGAGTACAAATCTTTTACCGGAATACAAATCTTGGAACTACATACTGTGACCTCGAAAAATAAAGAATCCACACGGTTTTTCTAAGACAACAAGTTTCTGCCGTTTCCACTAATATGATTTATTATTGACAAATCAATTAACTTGTACATGCACTGCAAACACCGACAAAAAAAGAAAACATATATACAATATGCTGCAAATAATAAAATAGCAATTGGGTTTAGTAGCTACTTTTACCCTTTTAATAATAAAAAGGGAAAGAAGAAGAGAGATGGTGGTAAGCCACGTTGGAACTTTCCAGATTGACCTTTAATCTTTAATTAGTTTGATAATTAATTATAAACATATATACATATGATTGGATCTCTCTGTTGGAATGGAGAAGGCGTGGATAATAATTTATTAGTGACTGCTTAAACATTATCATATGTTTGTTTGGTAATTGGTATTGGAATTGTTCGTTGTTATAGACAAAAAGCTTTTCTATATTAGGAAAAAACAAAAAGAATATATAGAGTTTAATGATTTATCACATATTTTAAATTCTCTGATACAACAAGCCCATTATTTGATGACCCAAAAAAACAAAAATAGAATATATAGAGTAATACTGTATTAGTAGTAGTTGTGAATACGTGCAGTTTTACTCAATTACGCTGAGAAAATTGAAACTTGTTTTGTGGTGCTAAGCTTGAGCAAGAAGGTAATGCAAACCAAGTCTTCGAAGAAAGAAAAAATTGGGTAGACGAAGAACCATTCGACGTGAAATTTGGATACTCACATTTCTATTTGATCCGAGTTTCAGTACCAATTTTGTTAGATTCCGGGAAAATTCTGGGGAAAAAAAAGCCCTAGAAAGTTTTTCTCCGTTTCATTATCCATGAGTCAGGAAAACAAACTGCTTCCGAGGCGGATCATCCTTGTACGGCACGGCGAATCGGAAGGGAATCTCGACACGGCGGCATATACGACGACGCCGGATCACAAGATCCAGTTAACGGATTCCGGTCTGCTTCAGGCGCAGGAAGCCGGAGCCCGTCTCCACGCGTTGATCTCCTCCAATCCGTCTTCGCCGGAGTGGCGCGTGTACTTCTACGTTTCCCCGTACGATCGGACGCGATCTACGCTCCGGGAGATTGGACGGTCGTTCTCGCGTCGCCGCGTGATTGGTGTTCGCGAAGAATGTCGAATTAGGGAACAGGATTTTGGGAATTTCCAGGTTAAAGAGCGAATGAGAGCGACGAAAAAGGTCAGGGAGAGGTTTGGCCGCTTTTTCTACCGGTTCCCGGAGGGAGAATCCGCCGCCGACGTCTTCGATCGCGTCTCCAGTATGTTCCGTTTCCCTGCTTGCTCCAAATTTTCTACTTTTACTCACACTCTTGATTTGATGCATAGTTGAGTAAATTTTTTGGTTAAGTAGCAGAACAATGACAAACAAACCAAATGCATCTGTTTTGATTGATGATCTCTGATCTCATAGTCTATTGATGCTTGATTCCAGGTTCTACTCACAGCTTGAGATTAATACTTTAATGTGATAAAGTCTCTAATGATTCTATCAAAACATCGTTAATTCGTTGATCCTGCAAATTGCTGAAACTCATTTTGCATTTTACTCGCTGTAGTCTTGAAAAAAAAGAGTCACTTTTCATCAGTGAGAAGAAAGTCAGCATTGGAATATTTCCTTTTCATCAATCTCTATTGAATTGAAGTTTCATGAAAATGGAAGCCTAACAAAGATCAAGCTCGTCCTGGCATATAATTGTTACATTTCTGTCTTTCTGTCGTCTCCTCTTGGCTTTGTGAATGAACAGAAAGAAGTTCAAAGACTCATGATTTGGGCCTCTGCTTTGCTGCATTACAGGTTTTCTCGAGTCTCTATGGAGAGACATCGACATGAACAGACTACACATCAACCCGTCTCATGAGCTAAACTTTGTGATTGTCTCACACGGTTTAACATCGCGTGTCTTTCTGATGAAATGGTTCAAGTGGACTGTGGAACAGTTTGAGGCACTAAACAATCCTGGGAATAGCGAGATCAGAGTTATGGAACTAGGACAAGGCGGTGATTACAGCTTGGCGATTCATCACTCAGAGGAAGAGTTAGAGAAATGGGGATTGTCACCAGAGATGATTGCAGATCAGAAATGGCGTGTTCACGCACATAAAGGCGAATGGAAAGAAGATTGTAAGTGGTATTTTGGTGACTTTTTCGATCATTTGGCTGATTCCGATAAAGAATGCGAGCATGAGGCCATTAAAGAAGAAGAAGAGGAAAAAAACGTAAACCTGCTAACGAATTCAGAAGATAACAACGAGGAGGAGTTATGCAATGGAAAATGCTGCAGATAATTTTACAGAACAAAAGTATACATGAGAGGGAAGAAAACATTTAAAAAGAAAATTTAATTTTGAAAATTTGTACCATTTACTGATGAAGCTTTCTGGTTTCTTAGTTTGTAGCTTTTTGGTTTGTGGAAAAGTGTTGTAGAAACCTGTGTGTGATCCACAGATACACATCGTGCTTATAACACAGAAACATTACAGGGAATTTAAAGATCCTTTCATTGTGTCAAATTTGTGAAGGAAAGTTGAAGAATGCTCTGTTTTACGACTGAAACATTAAAAAGTCTCTGGAGGGAAATAATCAGTTAACATATAACTAACATGCTTAAATAATTAGATATTTATGTATCTATGTAGAACATTAACGTGTAAATTCTCTCACTACTCCTTCAACAATGTTTGTAGAGGCATTTCTAAAGATTCCAAGACGATGACGTCTCAGAATATTTACCGGAGAGAATGTGCAGTGAAACAAACCGATTTGCAGCTTCGGTGTAGTGAACTCCATCCCAATTAACATATTTGGAACTATCATTACAAGCTTTGGCTGTTATTATGGTACCGTTTGATGATTTCACGGTCGAACCGCAGTTAACCTGATTATTGTAGTTCAATGGTGGTCCTCCGGTTCCACAACATACCATTATCGAATGATCAAAACCTATTATTTATCATACCCCAAAAAAAAAAGGTTTTCAGTCACAGCCTCACAGCTACAAGTAAAGGTTAGGTTTAACAGCTTTCGGTTCAGTTTGGTTTGAAAAAAAAATCGACTTTTTTTCTGTGGAAATAAATAAAAAAAGTACCGACCGGTTTGCAAAAAGAAGGGTTATATTCTGTACCCATTGGAATTTGATTTGGTTTGGTTAAAATGGCACCACTAGGTAGTAGCTGCACTGCACATCTAAAACAAAATATTTTCTAATCAGAAGAATGAACTTGTTATTAATACGTACCGTAATTGGAATGATTGAGGATGAGGTCGGATTTGATCGAGTAGATATCTACGTATGTGAAACGGGAATCAGGATATTGTTGAGGGAGTTTCCTGAAAAGAGCATGAAGCTGCAAATTGAAGAGCTTAGCAGCTTGGTTATGGTCACTGACACAACCAAACTCATCAAGTTTTGATTTGTCTCTCCCAAATATTGACACAACCTGAGCTAAACACCCAAGTGGCCCTGTGTTGTGTATCCAAAAGTTTCTTGCCCCTTCTGCATATAATCTCTATACAGAAAAAAAATTTCAGAAAATGAGAATGTAATAAGAATGATAATAATCAAAAATATATGATTTTTTTTGTTACGTATAGTTAAGTGTACTTGTCTTTTTTGAGTTCAAAAATATACTATTTTTTGGGTCAACTGGTTCAAAAGTCTTTTGATAAACCAAACATATCCGGGTTACTTTCTCCATACGTTTTGGAAATCCAACTATTTAACATTTCGTAGCTTATCTCTTCATTTAATATACCGTCAGCTCAAATTTGTATTCGAGTAGTCAGCTATAGCAATGACAAACTATCTAAAAGTCACAGTATTTATAAACCAATTTTAATTGTCAACTATAGTTGAGACTCAAGACTCGTTGTGTAAATACCGACCTTTATCCCATCTTGAAAAATATCTAAGATTGTAGGAATGAGACCAAGAACTTGATCTAGTGTCTTGTTGTAAAATGCTCCGGCAAGATCATTTTGTCCGATATCAAACATATACAATCCATTTTTGAAATAATATTCGGACGGTAAGTATCTTTCGAGCCCTTCATCTGAACAAAAAAAAAAAGCAAACGAAAACCAGAAAACAAATACATTGGTCCATCACGTTCAATAAGTCTATTGGATATATATTAATTATTATTTAGTTACCTTGTTGTATCAATTGAAGGACTTTGGATTTAAAGGTGACGAATTGAGAGACTTGAACACCAAAACCAAAGGGGCTAATGGATGCAGCATTTGCCTTCTGAATTGTTGACCCACCCGCCGCAAAATTGCAGCCTCTCCGGTAGCTTTGTGTGCTTACCGAATCCAAATAAGGCCTCAAATAAGGCCGACCAATTGCTTCCACTACAAAAATTTCCTTTTTTAGAAACTTCTAATTACCACTACAACAAAACCTCTCATCTTTGATCTTTAAAAAAAATTTATGCTTATAAGTTTCTTTTGGGCCATCACAGAGCGGTCAAGTTTATATAATAGTTGATAAAGAAAGAGTGATTCTTCTTTTTCTTCTAATAGTGGATCTTTCAGTATATCAAATTTGCCAATTTTTATGAATATAAACTATTAACATCAATCTATCACTGAATTGAAAAGTAACACAATAGATAAAGATTTTTTTTTTAAAAATTACTATTTCATAAAAACTAGCCTGGAAATAACAGGGGTATCTATTTTCTATAGAGCAACGTGAGTTGTATGCTATTATTTCAGATGACATACTCACACAATAGAATTTTATCTGGACAAATAGACAACAAATGTCATAACTGGTTTAAGAATCCTAAAACTAGTTTTATTTTTCGGTTAAACGGAGGTGCCGCGGGTGTTGGTTCATAAGAATCCATATAGCCACAATGCGAATTACATGAGCATAAAATCCGCACTACAAAAATCAATTAAATCATCTTGCAAAGATTAATTTACAAATAATAAAAAATATTGCAAATTCTAAGATCATGCAACGATTTCAGTAAAAAAAAAAAAGAAAAAAAAATTGTATTCAGGAAACCATGACAATTTTGCCGTGGTGCAATTTGTAAAACTATGTAAAATTATAAATCGTTGATCATACTTAAAAAAAAAATGGAGTTAGAAAAGAATAATTACTCAGGAAATCGACGATGAGACGTCCATTACAGAATCTTCCGGTAGATGGAGGTTTAAAGAAGTAGGTTTGTCCATAGGAAGGTTGGAGATGGAATCCAAGACCAGAGCTGAGTTCTCCGGTGTCAGAGTTAGAGTCTCCGAAGTTGAAAACCGCCGGAAAATTGGGAGAAATCGGAAAAGAACCAGCGAGAGGAGGCAGAGTATGACACATGACTACTAATAGTAACAACGTAACAGGAGTGTGAAAAAAGGTTTCCATTGCTTAATGTATATTTTATGCCTTCTCATTCATACATATTACATATATATACAAGTATCCACATCACATACATCTGTATGTATATGTAATATACACGTACGTGTGTACTGTGTATAGTTTAATGAATGTAGAATGGAGTTTGCTTAGAAATATAGAAAGAAACAAAATGATTGTGGTGTGTTCCTCTCGTGACACTTTTTTTTCTTGGTTTTATGTAATTCATCACATAAATCTCACTAACATGTGTGATTAGACTTAGAGACGACTTTGTTTTGGTTTCATGATATCTCAAGATAAGATTTGGGAAGTAATTGTCCAAGAAAACTATTGATGAGTATAATCAATGGCTTTTTTTTTTGCATATTATGTAATCATATTGTATATGGGTCAATGTTCTGAAATTTCTGCGTATTATGTAATCATAAATGTCAATACAAAGGTGTATATAATTTATATGGTAAATAGCTAGGGAATTTATTAGGTTGATTTTTGACGTAGTTAGAAAATTTGGTTCATATTTTTCTATATGTAATGATTTTTTCTCTGGAGATAAATTCATAATGCGCATAATGAATCTGCAAGAATATGATGACTTGGATCTAAAGGTTTATGGTTGCGCTACATTTTACATTCGAATTTAGAACTATTTGTAGTATTTCATTTTTTTTTAATCATCGAAATGATTTCATTTCGTACCATCATGCGAGCGTAACGTGAAAGACTAAAAAAGTATGGATATTGGGTTTACAATGGGCCATAATATATTTAAGCCCAATAAGCCCAAATATCCTTCTTCTCCATAGGTTTTGAAAACTCCGACGATAGATTGGGACACGGCGGAGCAACGTCGTCGGGTCTTCATATCCTCTCTCTGGATAATTGTTAGTTACTACCAGCAAGAGTCACGAAAGAGGGCGTGAAGGTGATGCTTGAGCGATCGAAGAAGGACGTTTTCGTTAGCACTTTTTCAATGGCTCAAGCAGAATCTTCAGGCTCTCTACCTCTGTTCCATCAGCGGATTGTAAAGCCCATCTGCCCACAAAAAACACACACAGAGGCAATTATATCTCTCAATTGGATAATAATATAATTGGAGTTTCTCACGTTATTTTCATCCAGGAGTTCCATTTTTAAAATGAAGTATTTTTTTACATGGGTTACATAAAGTCGGTATCTTTTTTTTCCCTTACTAACTTGCAAGTAGACAAAGAATTGATATGCGTGCAAGTTTTGCTGTCCAAATCCTTGTCCTTTTTCTCTTTACAACACATGACATTCACAACACTGAGAACACTTTACTAATTTACTTAAGAGGTGATAACAAAAGTGATCACATAGACCATAGTTAAGAGTTCCATTTGGTTTCACCATCTTTGTTAATGGCAGAACCGGAAGTGATTCACTCATGGTCTGCCCCAAGATCTCTCAGCACCAGCCTCATGTACTCCTTTGCACAGGTAATCACTCTCCTCTTCAGTGTTAGCTCAAAAGCTTACTTGCATCCAAAAATATTGAACTCGGGTTCTGATTTCTCGATTTGGGTCTTGAGAAAGTTGAGTTATACCTTGGTAGAAAACTTTTTTTTTTCTGTTTACTAGTTATTGAAATATCAATCTTTGTTCTATAGTTTTTCTCTTTGCAGTGGAACAAACAATTTTCCGTTAACTTGAAAAGAATAAAACAATTTGTTTTTTCTTGAAGTTTGACTGCAGAACAACTTTTCTCTGTATCTTTCTGAAATGTTGGAAACTTGAGATCCCTCGAACAATCTGTGGAAATGCTTTGGTTTTCTTTCGTAAATTGATTTTGTGTCCACTTTTTTTCAGAGAGATGACATTGAAGTTGTCGACGAGCCGTTGTATGCAGCATTTCTTAAAGCTACTGGTGTTGATCGGCCATACAGAGACGAGGTTCTCTCCAAGATGGTATGATTATAGGCTTTTAGGTCTTACTTGAGTCTTTCTTTGAAAAAAACAAGTTTAAAATGTCGTCTCGTATATTTGTTAGGCGAACAATGGAGATAAGGTTGTGAAAGATATCATTTACGGATCAGGATCGAAGAAGTACCGGTATTGTAAGGTGAAACTCTCCGAGTGTTTTTTGTTTTGTTTTGGAAGCTTCAAGAACCATTTTCAGACTTTCTTTGTCGTCTCATTCTCTAATAGATAGTGTGTTCTTTTGTTTCCTCTGAACAGCACATCTCGAAACAAAGGCTTCTCGGTTTGCCAAGTGAACTGATGAGTAAAGGAAAGCATTTCATATTGATACGAAATCCTCTTAACATACTGGTTAGCTTTTTCATCAAACTCTTTGTTCTCAGGTTGGTCCAATGTTCTGTTATAGGTCTCATCTTTAGCCAATATTTTCATCTAATGTTCTGCTCTGTTTTATCCTTTTTTGCAGCCTTCCTTTGAGAAAGTACTCCCTCCATCGTTTTACGAATTAGGCTTGGGGGAATTACTGTCGATATACAGTGATCTTTGTCAGATGGGAACACCACCAGCTGTCATCGATGCTGATGAGCTTCAGCGAGATCCCGAGGTTTTGTTTCTCTAATATGCAAAAAATTTAACAAATCATGTCACTTCTCTTGTGCATTAGTCCTTACATGTTGTGCCATTTATATATATACAGACCACACTACGCGGTCTATGCGATGATTTGGAGATTCCATTTCAAGCCTCTATGCTCAAGTAGGTCCTCTCCTTGCATTCTCTCTCGGTTTTATAAATGTCAAAAAAACTGTAATCTTTCTATGTTTTGTTGTGTGTTGCTTTAGATGGGAGGCTGGTCCTATACCAGAAGATGGAGTATGGGCACCATGGTGGTACAAGAGTGTGCACGAATCAACGGGTTTCTCATCTCCAAAGAAGTATCCTCGGGTAAAACTCTGGTTTGTTGTGGTTAATGATTGTGAATATCAATTTAAGATGTGTTTGGTATTGGCTTTTTCTCAGACATTTCCTCTGTCGCATTACGATTTGCTGGAGCAAAGTTTACCGCTTTACAACATTCTTAGGAGCCACTTGAAGCACAATTCCTCACTCTTGAGCAGTACCTTGCCTACTCCTAGTCTCCCAGTTCCTGAAAACGCAAAACTTCTTGCTTGGGTTGGTGACGATATTTTGCCTCGTGAGATGGCAAAGGTGTGATTGACTTGTGGAACGAAACTTAACGAGTCACTCATGTTTGTGATTTGCATTCTAAAACATTAAGTTCTATTTCTTCTTCTTTCTTCTTCAGGTTTCAGTTTTTGACTCGGTTGTACAAGGGGGTGACTCGGTATGGGAAGGACTTCGGATTTACAAGGGGAAGATATTCAAGCTTGAAGAACATCTAGATCGGTAAAAACAGTATAATCCATAAACTAAGAAGCAAGTAACAGAGTTTTCTAAGAAACCTTCTGTTGAAAATGTTGGATTAGGCTGTTTGATTCAGCAAAGGCTCTGGCTTTCGACAATGTTCCATCGCGTGAAGAGGTAAGCATCTGATGATCAAAAATCGAAGTTTTTGTCTTTTTTTTTTTCTGTTGAAACAACGTTACCATGATAGCTTTATCATGGCAAAACATACAGATAAAAGAAGCTATCTTCGGAACTCTCATAGCAAATGGTATGTTTGACAATACACATATCAGGTTGTCTCTAACTCGAGGGAAAAAGGTATTGCATTCATTTCAAGTTGCTTTTAAAAAAATGTGTTTACATTTTTGGTCATTTTAGTCTTTAAAAACTATACAACTTGTTTGTTTAAGGTAACTTCTGGAATGAGCCCTGCGTTTAATCGATATGGATGTACTCTTATTGGTAACCTTTCAGATTTATCCCAACAACCAAGACTGTAATAAAATCATGGCTTGTAATGGTTTCTTCTTAATGAACAATAAAAGTGAGTTAAAAAAAAAAAAAAAAGACTGTAATAAAATGGTTACTTTGGAGTTCGGTTTACATGTAAATTTTGATCGTTACTTTCAAATAATGCAGTGCTTGCGGAATGGAAGCCTCCAGTGTATGACAATGATGGTGGAATCGTTCTGGTGACTGCAACTACACGCCGCAATTCGCCCAATGTATGGATTTGGCTCAGCAATTTCTCTGCATCATATAACTTGAATTGCTGATTTCTCAAAATTCTTTCTGTTTTGTCAGAATTTGGATTCCAAGATTCATCACAACAACCTTCTTAATAACATACTAGCAAAGGTACTGTTTTTCAAAGCAAGAAAGTTCGAGAAATTGGCAGAGTTTTGTGAGAGTAAATTTTATTTGTAATGGGAAAAACCAGATTGAAAGTAACAATGCCAATGCCGCGGACGCCATTATGCTTGACAAAGATGGTTATGTATCTGAAACCAATGCAACCAACATTGTAAGTAAGCATTTAATGGTTCATCCGCAGGTCTTTTTGTCGAAAATCGTTAGATTAACACATTTCTTTCCTGTTATACAGTTTATGGTGAAGAAAGGCTGTGTTCTTACTCCTCACGCAGATTACTGTCTCCCTGGCATAACAAGAGCTACTGTAAGGAAAAAAAGTTCACATTCTTTTGTTGAGAAACATCTCTCAGTAATTGATATAAACCCTTTTGTTTTTAAATCTTTTTTCCTATATTCTTCCAAGGTCATGGAACTTGTGGTTAGAGAGAATTTCAGCTTAGAAGAACGAAGAATAAGTCTCTCGGAATTCCATACAGCTGATGAGGTTTTTCAGCGTACAAATCGAACTTGTGCCCTTCTCTTTCTCTAGCAAAATCAAAACAGGGTTTTTGTTTGTTTGTTCAGGTATGGACAACGGGAACTATGGGAGAACTAAGCCCGGTATGTACAGTTTTTAGTTAGTAGGCACCTGAATCTATGACATTCACTAAGTGGAAACAGTAATTTTTCATAAGACCTTTGTAGATAGTGATTTCCTCTAGGTAACTCATTGCTAAAGTTCGTGATGAAATGTTCAGGGGGTCTTACTTAACCATTAGAAAAGAACAGATTATTATTTAATCACAATCTATGCTCTTTTGTTACAGGTTGTGAAAATAGACGGACGTGTGATTGGTGATGGAAAAGTTGGACCGGTAACGAGAACACTGCAAAACGCTTACAAGAAACTGACAGAGGATTCAGGTGTGCCAATACCTACTTATCAAGAACCTTGAAATACCAACAAAAAAAAAAAGAGAAAGAGTGAGAGGGAAGTAATGAAAGTTACTAAAATATCTATCTGTGAGTATCAAACTTTTTTGGTTATGATTAAGTCATAGCTTAATAAATGCAAGATTAAATTAAAAAGCTTCGATCACATGACTCAATTGAGTTTTACCGTTTATTTAGGAGTTGAACACGAGGAAACTTAGCACTCAAAAATAAAAGTATTCAACTTTCACATGATTCAATTGGTTTTGAGGAAAAAAAAAAGCTTTCTTTCTTTTCACTTTTCAGGGGATATAAGATAGTAGTTGCTGCAAAGGAAGAAAAAACAAATCAAGATTGTAGACTTCCCGCAGTCATTTATTCGTACTTTTCGTCTCGGCAAAAACGGTGGGTAGTTAAGCTTTACTCGAATGTTTGTAAGAAGTGCGTGCTGTTTTTACTTCTAGAAGGTCACTGTTGGAGTCTTGGATAGACTCAGTCTAATACTATAAATTAAATTTAAATCGGATTCAGCGTTTCTTGTTTGACCCAACGTGAGACGTATGACCATAAATAAAGCCACCACGTATCAAACGTTTTACTTTTTTTTCACGTCGAAAACTCAATTTATCATTGAACTCTATTTAAGTCGATTCATATTAGTAAAAAATTAGAGGATAGCAAATTATTTAATTGCAAATTGCAACCATATATATTCATATATATATATCAAAAAGACGAAAAGAAAAAGTAGAGGTCGAGGTCCAGGGAAGCGAACAAGAGACCAAATTAACCACGCTTTACGTAATTATTGAATAACATATTTTAGATTCACGGTTGAAAATGCCCGAAACACGAAAACTATTGAGCATTCGTCTTGGAATGCCATTCCTATAAATCACGACACCAGTGTGACAGTGTCATGATATGAATCTATGGAATCATGAAACTTATAATTGAGTTTTAATGAATTTTAGAATATTGTTTATAATATAATTGTGTCTACTGTGTAGATATGCCATAGAACTCTGACTGGTAGACTTGCTTGATTATATAACTCACAACTCAAGAGGGGGTCCAACCAAGAAGTATTTGTTTTATTGATTTGTCATCTATAATGTTCGTAGCTTTTTTTGTTTTATAAAGGTTTCATGACCTAAAAACTAGTTGAAGGTATAATGGTATACCTTTTTTTGATAAACGAGTTACGAAAGGCCTTTACTTGTTAATGGCAACTTGGCAAGTAATGGCCTAAAAAATTTCGTTTTATTCTATTAGTTGCGGAACCCGATTCTGTAGGAGTTTTGTCTTCGCTTTTACTTGAGTGGCAAGTAGGCTTCAAGTTGTTTTTTTAATAGTTACGTGATAGTATCAGTTAGTAAAACCAGCTTTTTATAAGGGAACACCCAAAGTTATGAAAGCAATTCCTTAATTTGGCATATATATATATATATAAGAGATTCTAGGATCACAGTTGAAAGTTGAAAATTTAAACTCAAAACAAAAAGTCGTTTTTATTGAAAAATAAAAACAAAACAAAAAGTCCTTTCTTTGACTTCTAATGAAATGAAAACGATATATAAAGAAATTTAGCATAGTCTGTTACCAAAAAAAAAAATTTAGCATAGACGTCTTTGAACAAGAAAACACAAATACAAAAGCTGTCCGGAATTTAGATAAATTCCTCGTTATGCGATGTTTAAAATTTCAAAAACACAAATACATAACTCTTCTCGTTATGCGATGTTTTAAATTACTAGAGATGGGTTAAAATGTGATGTTACGCTTAAAATTTACAAAATCCCGAGAAATATGTAACTTATTTCGCCATGAGCCCTACCAATATACCATGACGGAAACAAAAGGAAAAATAACAAACTTGAGAAACCAAAAAAAAAAAAAAAAAAAAATTGAGTTGAAAAAAAGAAAGAAAAAAAAAAGGAAGGAAGATCATGTTCTTTGATTGGAGGAAGCTTCATATTGCCACGTGGAACTCTGGAATGACCCAACTGCTGACATCACTGTAACCCACCCAATCCCTTCTTCGCTCCTTCAAAACTCTCTTTTTTATGCTATCATAAACTCTCTTTCTCCTCCTCTAGTAGACAAAACACAAACAACTTTCAGAAACCATAAAGAAAAGAACAAAAAAAGTGGCAATTTTAAAAATCATGAGAAAATCTGATCATGTGAAGCCGCACACGGCTTTTTCCGGCGTTTTTCCGATTGTTTTCTTGCTTATCTTATCAGCGGCGGAGCTAGCGGCGGGTCAAGGACAGCCCGATCAGAGAACTGAAGTGTATAACTACGGCAGGTTAAGTCCAGCCATGGCCGTGATCGTCGTGATCTTGATCGCTGCTCTTTTCTTCATGGGCTTCTTCTCCATCTACTTCCGCCACTGCTCCGGCGTTCCCGACGCCGGCGTCTCTCCAGCCGGCGGAGCAAGATCCAGAGGAATCGTCAACGCGGCGGCGCGTGGACTCGACGCCTCGGTGGTGGAGACTTTCCCGACTTTCTTGTACTCTGATGTGAAGACGCAGAAGCTCGGGAAAGGAGAGTTGGAGTGCGCGATTTGTTTGAACGAATTCGAAGACGACGAAACGCTGCGTTTGCTTCCCAAATGCGATCACGTCTTTCACCCTCACTGCATCGGCGCCTGGCTCGAGGCTCACGTGACTTGCCCTGTTTGCAGAGCGAATCTCGCCGAGCAAGTAGCTGAAGGCGAATCGGTCGAACCGGGAAGAACCGAAACTGATCTTGAATTGCAGCAGGTGGTGGTTAATCCTGAACCGGTGGTTGCAGCTCCGGTACCGGAGCGATCGGAGACGGCAGAAATCGATTCGAGGAGATTACCTGGAGTGCCGGTGGATCTTAAACGAGTCAAGTTCTCGAGATCGCACACGACGGGGCATTCGGTGGTTCAACCGGGAGAGTGTACCGAACGCTTTACTCTCCGGTTACCGGAAGATGTGAGGAAGAGGATCATGGCGAATTGGAAACTAAACCGGTCGAATAGTCTTCTGGTTCTTCCTAGGGGAGGGAGTTCGAGGAGAGGTAAACCGATTGACCGGTCAAGGGCTCGGTCTGATCGATGGTTGTTCCGTAAGACACCGTCGTTTCTGTGGAGGAGTCGAGATGATGGTTCCATTAGGCTAGGTGCTACCGGTAGTGTTCGAGCCAACGCTGTACAGAATTCAACCGGCGATTCGGTACGATCAGACCGGTGGGCTTTTCTTAGAAACGCGTCGTTTCTTTGGAGGAACTCGTCGGTACGAGGAGGAGTCAATAAGGACGGCGAAGGAACTTCGGTTAAATCAACCGGTACTGGTGGCTCAACGAGCGGTTCGGTGAGATTACCGGTTTAGTTTACTTTTCCTTTTTAGCCGTAACTACTTTTTTCTTATCTTTTCCATTTTTGTTTTATTTGGGATTGTTAATAGAACACGCGATACATTTTCCTTAATTTTTTATTGTTAAACTTTGTATTCTTAAATCTCTGTAACGTAAATATAAATCAAAGTCAAATCCGAAAAAGAGATCTACTTTAAGAGAATAATGCATAAAAAAGAAGAAGGGAACAATATTCAAACAATGGACAGTGGTGAGGTGCGGTGCGGTGCGGTGCAGGTTGGTTTCTGGTTTTTTCAAATAAATAAAAAAGGTCTTATTCGTCGACAAAGAATATAGCTATCGATAAGATAAACATGCGAGTAGAATATAGTTTTTATGTTGCATACAACAGAATATAGCTCTCTTAATTTTCTTCTAACAAAAAAACATAATTCTTATGGTCTAATGGATACGACGAAATTTAAATATATATGGTATTACCGTATTAAGCATTTGCTTGGTTTAGTTATTATAACCAGAGCCGTGCTTAATGAGCAAAAAATAAGGCATTTGCCTTAGGCTCTTTTAATATTAAGCAAATTTTAAAGTTCCTAATTTTTGTATTTTTATTTAGTATATTGGTTGGTGTCTAAAAAAAGAAAATTAGTATATTGGTTAATATATATTTTTATGTTATTTTTTGTGGTTGAAAATTTATTATATATTAATAAAAAGTATTAGTACTTTATAATATCTTATAAAATAATATTTAAATTTGATTTACAACTTATATTTTTTTAAAAATAATTAGAGCAAAATGGAAAATTTTTCTTGTCATATACCTTAGGCCTCTAATACTCTAAGCACGACACTGATTATAACCAGAGTTTTACTTCGTAGTTTATACAGAAGACTAACAAAACAGTAAAACACCGACTACGGTTTGATGTACCAATATTCGTTTTTAAAACGTTATCAGATAAATCAGTTTTTTGTACGATTTAGAATTGCTGTCCTTTCCAGAAGAACAAATATACTATTACAAATAATTCCATGCAATTTTGTTATATATGAAAATTATTGACCGCCACTAGGTTTTCAGTCAGGTCACGGATCTCACCGCGTATGAATGGAATAATCATTAGTCAATTTTGATCCAGAAGGGCTTGATAAAAAAATAATATATATACTCCAGAAGGGCACAATTATCATCCAGAAGAGACTACATAGTTAAATGTATAATGATATGTTTCACATGTAATCTATGCGCAGCAGGTGCATATATTAGAACCCTTGAATAAACTGGGTTTGCTGCTTCGTTAGTTAATACATTATTTAGGTGTAAACTTGACATAGCAGTATGTCTAGATTATATAACGACAAACGAAAACAAAAATATTTGCACACCGTCACGACCGAAATTCTTTAAGAGTTAGTTTTAAAGGCTACAAGGACCAGACCAAATTCATGTCTTCTCGGACTTTCTACTTCTAATACGTGTTTTGCTTTCTTTCGATTTAATTCAAATATGGGTAGGTAATCCTGAAAGACAAAAATGTGTAAAGCCAGACAAAATGTCCACGAGAAACCAATCTATGGTAATGAAATTAAACGAGACTATGACGTCAGCACGGACGAGTTGTTGTCATTAACTTACACAAATGCAAAACATTTTATAACTTTTTTTGTTCCCGTGTTCATCGATAACTCTCCATGTTTTCTTTTTTTCTCATCAATCATTATAAGTTGCATCAATGACATATAATAAAATTACACGTAAAACATATATTTTTCGAGTAAGAAAAATATACTGGACTTATCTTAACCAAAAGCTTGTTGGCTCATTTTTACACCTATCTAATCAAAATCGTCTTATAGGCTCATATTTAAACACGCAAATGTTTGTGTACCTAGTAAACTCTTGTCAACATATGTTCTGTCAGTGAATGAGTTACAGCAACAAGTTTATGGTTCCACTAATTAGATTTAGTGGCGGTCTAGCTTTATTTTGGAAATCAGATGTTGACGTCGAGATTCTCTCATCTGTTCCGAATTTTATAGACATCAAAATTAAGTACAAAGTCATTCTTTTTTACCTTCGTCTATGGTCATCCGATGAGTCAACGACGTCAAGAGGTGTGGAACCAAATCTCGGATTTAGGTGCTAATAGGGATTCAGCTTGGATTCTCTAGAGCTTTCAACGAGATCCTTGAATCTTGATAATTCTAAAAAAAAAGGCCCAAGAAGATAAAAAACAAATAAATTACCATCTTCTGCGCTTTGGGCTTGTACAATTAAGGCCCAATAAAACCTATGTTCTTCCATGGGAAGTTGAGAACGTGAAAGAAAATAGCTCCGGCGATCCGATCACTCATGGCGAACGAAGACGACGACGGAGAGAAATCCAGAGGCATGCCCCAGCAGATTGCTAACAAACCCAAAACCCAGATCGTAATTGGTGTTCCTTCGTACCAGGAAGTCTTGGAAAGCTCACAGACGAAGTCCACGCCTCCATCTCTCTTCAAGCCTTCCCAGTCTTTCTCTCAGGCATTCGCTTTCGTCAAATCGTCCGACGTCTATTCTGCTCCTCCTCCTCCTCCTCCTCCGCCTTCTTCCGCCGCCTCTCCGTCGAAGCTGCCGGGCGCTTCTCAGGTGCCCAGTACAAGGTGTTAATGCTTGGTATTAGATGTCTATATCTGTTAGTTTTCCAGATTTTAGACCAATTAGTTCTGCAATTCCGAAACTCTCTACCGATTTTATCATTCTTATGTATGAAGATCAAATTAGAATCGATTTCTCTATGAAAAAAGTAATTTTGGGTATTGGATCAAAGTGTATGGAATGTTTATACTTCCTGAGAAGAATAAAAGTGTAGAAATTTAGCCTACGTAGCTTGTTCAAGTTTTAATGGAGATTGCTGTTTCGTACTTCATTTTCGTATACCATCAATCAGCTTTCAGTTTGTATGGCGTTGTTTAATGATTGCATTGTTTGTTGCATATCTAAATTTCCATGTGTTTTTTTTTTTTGTGGATGCTGCTTTTATCGCAGCCAAACGCTTCAAACCGATGTGGCTTCATCTTCTTCTTCTACTCCTGTAGCTACTGGCGACTCTTTGTCGTCGAACACAACTCAGTCTCGTAACGCAATCCTCGTTAGCAATAGACAGGTGAGGAGACTTAAACCTCCATGATTCAGTTTCCATGTTAATTGGAACTCATCTGAGTTTTATTTCCAAATGAACATTCTTGCAGAAAGGAAACCCGCTTCTTAAACATATCAGGAATGTTAAATGGGTTTTCTCAGAAATCATTCCGGACTACTTGCTTGGTCAAAGCACTTGCGCTTTGTATTTAAGGTGAAACTCTGCAACTATCATTTTCCATTTATGTGTAAAATCACAGAATGTTTTCATATTCTTAAGTCACGCTTGCTGATTCCCTGCAGCTTGCGGTATCATCTACTGCATCCGGATTATCTCTATTTCCGCATAAGGGAACTACAAAAGAACTTTAAGCTCCGTATTGTTCTTTGCCATGTCGACGTTGTAAGTTAAATCCTAGCTCTATGCTAAATGCTGAAGAGATATTCGAATAATTTTCTTAGACATTGCATATGCTGTTCTCATGATGTCGTTATGATTCTTGCTCAGGAAGATTCGGTGAAACCATTGCTTGAAGTCACGAAAACCGCTCTTCTCCATGATTGCACCCTATTGTGCGCCTGGAGGTATCTCATCTATCTACTCATTCGCAGCTCATGTGATAACACATTGTCAATCACTCTGCCTCTCGTTGTATACAACTTTCGTGTAAAAACTCTTGCAGCTTGACTGAATGTGCCCGTTATTTGGAAACGATCAAAGTCTATGAAAACAAACCCGCGGATCTCATCCAAGGCCAGATGGATACAGATTATCTCTCACGAGTATGGAAACTCTGCAACCTGCGCTTTTGATATTTGTGTTATTTTCAATTTTATAATATGTTTGACGGAGTAATTGTTGTTTGCAGCTTAACCATTCTCTTACAAGCATCCGACATGTGAACAAGAGCGATGTAGTCACACTTGGTTCTACATTCGGGGTTGAGCTTTAAAAAATAAAACTTTTCCAGTTATTGTGAATTTGATGTTTTCTATGATTCAACTAAAATTGGATACCTTCAAAAACATGTTTTATGCAGTCTCTTGCTCATATAATGGATGCATCCATGGAAGACTTAGCTCGCTGTCCCGGGATTGGCGAACGCAAGGTACATTTCTCTTCGCCTATAACCCAAAAAGATACATAGTTCGTGATATAGGAGCAGATTTTAATCTGAAAATCACTTTAAAAACCTCAGGTGAAGCGGTTGTACGATACATTCCACGAACCTTTCAAGCGTGCAACTTCAAGCTACCCGTCTGTTATAGAACCAATAATCCCGGAGACTGTAAATCAGAAGGATGTGAACTCAGAGGAACCTGTTGAAGCAGACGAGGATTTTGTGGAGGACTCGAGGAAACGCAAGAGGAAAGAACCCGAGAAAACCGTGAAGACCGCACTCTCAGCTGTTTTTGCTCGATACTCAGATAAACTCAGCAAGAAAAAGGAGAAACAAAAGGAGAAAGGTTCCACAACAGAGTCAGATGCTGAAACCCACCAAGATTAACACAAATTTTTGATCATATTCCTAAAATTGTAACCAAAGGTTTGAGTGTAAGGTAGAGTGGGATAGTTCCCGAATCTTTTGTATTAATTTCAAACTTTTGTTAATAACTTCTATTTAGCTTTTCTTGGTTTGTGCCATTTTCAGTAATTTATGGAAGAAAAAGAATCCAGAAAGGGAAGACCTAGATAGAAAGTGGAAATTGTTAGTCCGAGCGATGGTCTGAAAATTCGGTTTTAAAATGATTTTGAACTTTGATGATCTTCTTTAACATTTTAGATGTGATGTTATTTACTCATGAATAAAGTAGAAATACCAATCACTTACATGTGTGGTAATCATGGAAGATAAATTGTATTCGATAGTTCGCTTTTGAGAGTTGATTTAGTTCTGTTGATAAAACATTTTAGTATATAGATAAGAATTAGTTTTGTTCAAAATGGTTTAGTTCGGTTTGCTGCTTTGTATAGAGTGCGTGTTAAATATACAATTTGACCGTTTAGCAGCCTTTTGCAATTTTAGAATTGTTGTTTTGTTGACATGTTTCAAATGCTTTTGTCAATGTCTTGTCGAACATCGACACAAACACTTGAACTTTGTGCACCACTCTTCGAATTATTATCCATTGTTTTCTTTTCTTTTTGTACATAAAAAGGCTTTCGGTGTAAATTGCTTTAAATTGCAAATTTGCAATCGACAAAAAAAGTAAAGTTGCAAAAGACTAGTAAAAGAAAGAAAAAAAGTGCAGAGTATATTTGAGGTGTAAGTAAACCGGTCATGAGAGACATTGGGTGAACAGGTAAATAAATAACCTGAGAAAAAGTAAAAAGTCAAATTTTCCCCATTTTTCCTACAAAGAAACATCAACAAAATTTGTTCTGATCAGCCAAAAAGATTTGCCGGTCGATTCGGTTCAGTAATGTAGAAATCGAATCGAAATAATTTGGCAACTTTGATAGAACAAAAAAACAGCTTTTTATTAAACCAGCTCGTAATAAATATCTTAATGTGAATAGCATATTTATGTATATATATATATATATGAGATATTTGTATATATATATAAAGCAAATGAAGTTACTGAATACTGAGGATGTTGGAACATGAGGGGGACAAAAGTGAAAGTCTATGATGGAGAAAAAGAGAGATCAGTAATATTAAAAACATGAAACTCAGAAACTATATAAATAATTTTTCATTCAACAGTATATACATGAATGTGTGTAAATAATGTATGTGCAGTTTACGGAATCTGACTTCCTTCTTTTTCGGACGAAAGCAAATGTTTCAATCTGCTTCATGTCTTAGCAAACCCAATAAAGCATATTTCTCCTCACTTCTCTTTTTCTTTTCTTGATCCTTGGGATTTGATCTCGTTTCATTTTTTTTCGATTTCGCCCCAATACTCTTGTTTTCTCGTGGATTTCACCCAGCAAATACTTTCGAACCCCAATTGTTTTAAAAGCTTAAGGCCAAAACCGCATTTTGTGTCTTAAACACAGTTTGTTCCATCGTCCATATAATTTTTTTTCATTAATGATTTCATTTTAAAAGTAAAATTGAGAAAATTAAATGGAAGCAAGATAACCTTTTCCATCACCGAACTTTCATTCATTTATTTCTATTGCTAGTTGCCAACCGATTTTATGGCTTTTAGTTATTATTTTTTTGACTAAAGGTTTAGTGGCTTTTAAATCTGTTAGGTTGATAATATAGAATACACATCTTATAAAATTGTTAATGAATCATCTATGTAGTGGTTAAGTTCTCGTGAATTTTCTCAATAAAATATATAAAATTATGAAAACTAAAGCAAGATGAGAAACAAAAAAGAAATAAAACAACAAGAACCACTAAAATCGCAATCTTATCATCACCAAGAAGGGGTCATTTGAAAAATAGATATTTTACTGATTTGTCATTTATGTGTATGTAAGGGTAGGTGTCCTTGCAAGGAAGGGTATATATGTCTATTGCACATATATGTACATAGATATAAGTTCAAAAGTTGATTGCAATTGTACCTAACCAAACAATACAAAGCTCTCTCTTTAATAATATATAAAAGACACATTGATAGATACCATAGAGATGTCATAAGTTATGTACTTAAAAGTTTATGACCCAATTTTGGATATGAAGTCCAAAGACTCCAGCTGCGGAGATCCTTACAATACATCTTTGCTTATTGTGTACCTCTCCCACGCTTTCTTTTCTTTTACCATAGATGTTACAATGCTTAACCTTTTTATCAACTAATTATAATCGTTGTAATGTCCTACTAATTTTGATATGAGTAAACTCTTGGAGAAAAAAGTTTTTACGTTTAGTACCAAATCAAACATCACTGGACTGGATTTGTAGCTGAAGTACATCAAATCGGAGTGCTTACTCAACTATCTAGAACGACTTTTGGGAACTTTGACTTTATATCGAACTTCAAGATACGTTTATTAAGGGCGTTAATCCAACCATATTAATTCATCGAAAGTTATGTTAATTCCGAAGAGAAATAAGACATGGAATCCGAAAGCTACTGAAATTCATTCAGATTTATGTATGTGTTAGAAACGTGTAGACTTGCATCACCTTCGACATAAGGCCCCATGGTATAAATCAAAACTTTGTTTACTTCTTCGTTTTTTTCACATTTTGATTTCATTATTTATCAGAAATTCAGATTCATGAATCTATAAATATCGTTAGTCTTTGTCATTACAAATGATCGGTAATTTTTATGTGGTATCGTTTTCTCTATGTAACAGTATTCAATTAACAAAAACTGTTACCAATATATTATGGTTTTTTTTTTTAAATGAGACGAAAATTGTTAATACAGTACATGTGTTTCACGTCTGCAAATCAATAGTTTCATTTTAAAAAAAAATTATAAACAATAACTGTTTTTATATATAAATTGATGTATAATAGTTGAATTTCGAATTTACTTCTAAGCAAGTATCAAAAATTTCCGTATATTTCCCAAACTATATTTTACTATTTTCTGTATCTCTCTTGAGCTATATTTCTGGTTAGTCCAACTTTAATTATGACGGAAAGTATTAAGATAACTATATTTACGGTGTAAGTGTTGAGAAGTGTTTTGGTGATGGAGCTTGTGTAGTTGTATATTTGTTGCAGCTTTGCCTTCATTAATATGTCATCAGATGGATGAAACAGAAAAAGATAGTTTAAAAAAATGAAGTCAAAGGTGTTGACAAATTTTCTTTTTATAACTTGTTTAGAGATTTCGACTACTAACAAACTTCGTCTACATTCTCACACGTATCTTCTCATTCGTCATTTGGTCTTCAGAATCAAACCTAACACGTGATTCATTTCGTTCTTATGTTTGTTCTTTTTTGTTGGTCAGTATTCAAATCCACATTTTCATAAGTATAATATCATTATGCCTTATGTCTATATCCATTTTTTATTAGAAAAAGTATGTGTATCTGGTTAGGGTCGGCCCCGTCGGGTTAGTCTAATACTTCTCCAATGTAAAATTGAATATATTCGTAAATACTATATTTGACAATACGAAAGAGATAATTTTTTGGGTGTCAGTTGTCACAGGCTCAGTTAGAGCTCTAGTTGGTAATATTGTAGAATGACAGAATTATAAACTTATGCCATATAAAATGGATTAAAAAAAAAACTAAATGTTAAACCGTTAAGTGACATTTTCATCACAAATTATTACTGATTATGAATCGTGATTTTACACAGTTAAAATAATAATAATAATAAAAAAGAAACATACAAATTTATTTTGCTATTCTTCTACGACTAGTAGTCAAAATATTCAAAACCTGCAATTGATGTGGAAGCATTTGCTAGTACAATTTCAGATAAAAGCTGATGGCAAGAATCAAATTGCTGCAATATACTTTAAAGTTATTATGAAACTATTCTGATTTTTTTGGTTTTTTTTAAGTAATTACTTTTGATTTTCGTAATAAAAACTCTTCGATTATTTCACATAAAAGTCATAAAATTTTATTATTTGATAGTGAAGAAACTTAATACATATTTTCTTCTTATATTTGCTTTGGGTCAAGAAATTATTTTTGAGGCCATTTACTTTTAAATTTGCCTCTTAAATTGACATGCTTGTTTGTGGAGCATAGTTTAACGTTGTTTTCAACTGTTAGCATTTTTCTTATGATTTCGTGAAAGGTTGGAATTAATATTCTTTTTAACGGAGCGATAAACGAATTGATATATGGATGCTCTTGTTGTCAATATAGGTATATTGCAAATTTGGATTAAACCGAGATTTTCTTTTTGGATTTTATAACATATTTTATTTTTTACCAAGTGGTAAACTTGTTTTTTTTTTTTTCTTTTTATGAGTTTTATGTAAAAGTGATGAGTTCGACTGAAGATTTTTTTTTTTTTTTTTGTTAAAGAGTTCGACTGAAGATATTCCTTTACGAATGCAGTGGGTTCGAATTTTCCTGATTACCTGTTCCAGTGGTTACATTGCTATTATCTTCCGACACTATATACATATATATATATATGTATATTTGACTATAAAGATCCCCAAAACTTGGATATTCCTTCACAGCAATATTGGACTAGTAAAGTAGATATCTCAATTAAAATAAAAAGGATTACACTTTGTTAGAAGCCAAACCTATGAGGCTATGAGGATAGCACATACCATGAAGACGAACAGTACATTTATTTTTTCAAGATATATAGCAATCTCTTTAATAGTAATTGGAGAGAATGAAAATTTACTTCACTGGATTTGAATTTAGTAGATGAGGACTTAGGTTAGGTCCAGCCTCCAAAAAGCCGAAAAAGTTCATAAAAACAACAGTTTGATTTGGATACTCATTGGCATGTGCTTCAAAAATACCCCACATCTTATAATGGGTCCAAAAAATTTCGATTTTATTGATTAGTCAAATGTGTATAGTAGTGGTAGTAAAAGCAAATAAAAATTAAAAATAATTTTATGGAAAAGATAAACGAAAATAAAGCCTAGGCTTAGTGGTCTATCCTTAGACTATAAAAGAAGATCAAGTGTAGAAATATGGTAGGAACAGAATTATGATCCTATCAGTTTTACCATATTTTTTTTATAACATTAACAGTGGTACTAAATAATCTGCGTCAATTTTTTTTTCTTCTTCCTTTCGCAACTGCTACTGTTTTTTTTGTTTGTCATGTCAATAACACAAGCTGGGCTTTGTTTTATCTATTTAGACGGAGTCTTACATGCAAAAATTGATCACACGTTAATTTTGCTTAACATATTCTAAAGTTCTTTTTTAGCAGCAGAGTTCAAACGATCAGAAGAAAACCGACAATAAATTTAAAAGCGTGTAAATTAAATAATATGGTTGAAAACAATCACCAAACTGACAAAAAAAAATTAAGCTGACAACAATGTTCGTCACGAGGTTGGTTGTGGTTTAGTATACACATGACGAAAATACAACATTTAAAGTTTGATAATTTAGTATATAGAAACGAAAACAACAGAGAAAGATTACAATTTTTAAGAATTCTATTTTTATCTATTTTTTTCGTATAGCTTTCTTTTGTGTGTTTTAATTTGACTTCTTATTAGGTCCGAGAAAAATCATTGACTTGTGAGGTTGCGATGGACCGACCTGCGACGTACACGGTTCGATCTATAAGCTTATCGTGTAGGTCCGTAGAGTATGGAACTACTACAAGTCTACATCTAAACGCTCGTTATGTTCGAACTATGAATCATTTCTTCAACTAAAAAAAAAATAACATTGAATCATTGTAATTGTTTTTTTTTTGTTGTCGAGTATTTGCAAAAATTAGTCCTTTCCCAGATTTTTTTTTTCCGTGTGTTAATACTATCTTACCACGGATTCACGGACTTACACGTGTATATACGCTTACAGTGGCGATTATTATGATTTTTTAATTAAACAGAGTCAAAGTTAGGCGAAGTTTAAAGTGCACGATGTGAATTATATAGTATAACTCGCAATATATTATTAGTTCTGTACTTTTTTTTTACGACTCAATATGTTTTTCTTCTTCATTATTATGTACACCATTCTGGATTTAAAAAATGAGCTTTATTATGAATTACTCACTACTATCTCACTGAAATGGTGCACATGCGTCACATGCATTAGCAATTAAGTCAAGTTTTATTTCAGCTCAAAACCTCAAAATATTTCAACTAGATAATTAATAATAGTTCATTAATAATTATTTATTTCGGACTAATTGGTGGTTGAAAGCTGGCCCAAGAGAACTCTATCCACAGCAAAGAGTGGAAGCGACCTACCTGTCTTATGACCCATTAAAACTCATTATTGTTCCTTTTTTTTTGCTTTCCCTTACATATACATGTCGATGACAATAAGATTACTTTTATACATTTTATTTATGTATGAAATTATCAAACATCCTCAATAACTAAAAGTTGTCAAACCAAATTTTTAGTTTTAGTTTTCTAGTTTTTCGGGATGTGATAAATAAATTAAAATTGATGGTTTAAGGTTTTAATTTGTTTGACTCGGTTTCCTTTGTTAAAAATTAGCATTAAATAATTTTATTGTTTTTTTTTTCGTTTTCGAAATATTTTTTGGTTAAGTAATCGAGCTTAACCAAGTTACGTAGACAATCTAGCAGTTCATGATAAACAATTTTATATGAGGTATATTAGTATATACATAAGATCTAGATCGCATAATTTAGCATTATAGGAGTCTTATGTTAATGTCTTTAATTCAAAGTTGCATTGTTTGCGTAAGTGATGTTGTTAAACAAGTCCATTTTAGTGACAAAGACATTTTCTTGCTTGCGATTGGATCCTAAACCATCCCGTCAACGATCATTAAAATCATTGTTTTCAAATCATTATTACGATCCTGAAATTTTCATGTTAATATCAGTGTCATAGATGAATTATTGTAGCCTAGTTAGTTTGCAAGGAAAGGATAAATGATACGAACATTAACATGAAAAACTAAAGTCTAAAACTTGTTAATATTGATCAAAAGTTTAGAGAATTACTCAACAGGCACGCCTTTTTTTATTGATTTTTAAAACACCATTAATTTTTATAATACAGATACATTGACAAAATGTGAAAATAGCAATTAATAGTCGTCGATCTTTTATAACAAGTAGATCAAACCACTACATGATTAACAACATGACAAATCATAAATTATTGAGCCTATTAAAGTCGGGTTACATCTAAACCACACACTAGAGATACGAAATTACGAATAAACAGAAAAATACATTATAGAAAATGAATACAGCTAAGTATTTTAATTAAAGAACCTTAATTATTCGAATTGGGTGTTAATCAATCGTATTCCATAAGATGAATACAGCTAAGTACAAATTACAAAAGACGAAGCGAGGCTGTACTTAATTCTGCCAAAGTGAATGAAGCTGCCTTAAAGACCCTCAACTCTGTACCAAAAAAAAAAGTACAAAACTTTAAAATTTAAAATGTAAAAATCAAAGGAAAACAATATTAAAGTGTCAATTTTAAAACAGATATTTGCAAATCAAAATAGAAGATTTCCTTGCTTCCTGTGCCACCGCCCTCTCTCTCTCTTAGTTTTACAGACATAGAAATAAGAAACCCTGAAACAGAGATAAAACAAAGCACAAGTTTTGAGTGTGTTTTTAGTGTCTCTCTCTTTCTCTGTCCTTAAAACAACCGCCTTTATTACAGAAACACCCCTTCCTTCTTATAATCTCTTTACCATCTCTTCTCTTCACAGAGGAGAAACAAAGAGCTGAGACAGAAACTCTCTCTCTCTGTGCCCAAAATTCTGTTCTGTGAAAACCCACAAATCTAAGAGAAATTATGAATAAACAAGATGTGATGAAGCTTCAGGTATACGTCTCCTTCTCTTCTTCCTGTTTCTATCTATCTCTCTCTCTCTTCAAGCTTGTGTGTGTATAAATTAGTGTGCTAATTCTTTACTGGGATTTGAGTTTTGCAGACTTGTGTTCTGAAAGTAAACGTACACTGTGAAGGCTGTAAACATAAAGTGAAGAAACAGTTGCAGAAAATCGAAGGTCTGTTCTTGCTCTTTTCCCCTTCTTCATATATCTTCTCCCTTAGCTCATTTTTCTTTGGGGTGTTTGGTCATTTTAATTTTTAATTCGGTGAACTTGGTGCTAATTAAACACAGTTTTATTGTGAGGTTTATGAAGTGTTTTTTTTTTTTCTCATAAGACCATGGATCTATGAATATTGCAGTTTAAAAATAAATTATCAGCTCAAATGTATATATTGCAGTTCTAAAATTTATGAAGCGCGCGCGTGTGTGTTTTATCCTGTTGTGTGATACTTTCATAACCCAATAAAAAAGTTACTAATTTTCCGACTCTATGGAGTCCTACGTTTTGAGAATATCTGACATAAAGTTCATAATTTTAACCATGGAGTGCTGAGTTTTGAGCCTTACCAAATGGGTTTGTTAATAAACCTAAATGATGTTAATGTCTTGGGAAGAATCTGACATTGGAAATGTTGTCTTGTTATGATTTTCAGGCGTGTACTCTGTAAAAGCAGATGTAGAACAGGGGAAAGTCACAGTCACAGGAAACGTTGACCCAGCGATTTTGGTTAAGAAACTGAGCAAATCTGGCAAACACGCCGAGATCATAGGCGGTGGAGGAGGAGGAGGAGGCGGCGGGAAAGGGTTTCCTAATCTGAGTGGGCAATTTGCTAATCTCAACATGAATGGTAACAATAAGCCTAAAGGTGGAAAAGAGAGCAACCAAGTGAAGGGAAAAGCTAATGGTGGTGGCCAGAGTCATGGTCATGGTCATCCAATGCAACTAACTCCTCAGCAGATTCAACAGATGATGATGATGAAAGCTGCTGCTCAAGGTGGTGGTGGTGGTCATGGTGGGAAAGATATGAAGATGATGCCTCCTGTGGCATCAAAGGATCAGAAGAAGTCGGTTAAGTTTGCGGATGAAGACGATGAGGATTTCAGTGATGATGATTACGACGATGAGGACTTCAGTGAGGATGATTATGATGATGATGAGTTCGATGACGATGAGGATGAGGATGGTGAGATGGGAGGACATGGTCACATGCCTCCTAATAAGGTGATGATGATGCCTAACAAGATTCCTCCCATGGGTCATCATGGCGCTGGTGGGCCTAAGGGTCCTAATGAGATGATGATGATGATGAATGGGTTCAAGGCCGGTGGTGGCGGCGGAGGAGGAGGAGGAGCGGGGAAGAAAGGTGGTGGTGGTGGTGGGTTTGAGATTCCGGTGCAAATGAAGGGGATGGTTGAGGGTAAATTAGGAAAAGAGGGTAAAAAAGGAGGTAAAGGAGACAATGGTAAGAAAGAAGGAAAAGAGAAGAATAAAGGAGGTGGGGGCAAAGCCGGAAAAACAGATGCCAAAAGTGGTGGTGGCCTTCTAGGGTTTTTCAAAAAGGGTAAAAGCGGAAAAAAAGATGAGAAGAAGGGAGCTAGTAGTAAGAAAGAAGGCGGTGGGGGTGATAAGGTAAAATCCTCCGGTGGTGGTGGTGGAGGAGGAGGAGTTGTTCATCATTATGATAATGGGCCTAAAAAAGGAGGAGGTGGGTCCAAAGGAGGAGCCCATGGGACCCACGATATTGAAGAGCTTATGAAACACAGTAAAGGAGGAGGAGGTAACAAGGGCAATCATAATCATAGCGCCAAGGGAATTGGTGGGCCAATGAGTCAAGGTGGTCCCATGGGTATGATGGGTCAAGGTGGTCCAATGGGTATGATGGGTCAACCAGGTCCGATGGGTAGTATGATGGGTCCAATGGGCGGTTCATACCCGGCGGTTCAAGGCTTGCCGATGAGTGGAGGAGGAGGATTTTATCCGCCACCGCCGCAGGCAAATCATCCAATGAACCAACAACAACAGTATATGCAAATGATGATGAACCAGCAGCAACAACAACAACAGCAACAACAAGCGGCAGCTCATGGAGGCTATGGCGGTGGTGGTGACATGTACCATCCGATGATGTATGCTCGGCCTTATCCGGCAGTGAATTATGCTCATCCTCCCCCAATGCCACCTCCACACGCGGATTCTTATACGGATATGTTTAGCGATGAGAATCCAGGTGGTTGTAGTATCATGTGATCTTTCTTTGTAATGTTAATTAGAAAACCGAATATGAATGTTTGTCTTAGTCTTATGTTTTTTTTTTTTTTGGGCTGTCCTTTTTAACTGTGCCGAGGATTTGAAACAAAATGTGCTTTAATTTTGTTAGTGGAATGATGTTTATAATATCTCTTATGTCGTTATAAAGTAAGATATTTAGCTTTATTTTTCCTTTTGTGAAAAGAATGTTTGAGCAGCCTCTTAACAGTATTGTAGGTACAATAGCATTATCATTTTATGAGCCTATGATAATCAACTTGTATAGTGTGCCACTATTATTGTTAACACCATATTAAATTTGACCCGTAAAGGTACCAAATTCGTGATTATTTACGTGTTGATTATGATGTTTTGAAAATAATGGGGATACAAATCTTTGAAAATTAGCTGTTATTGTGGTCTATCAAATACAGTCTTCCAAATGAACTAAATGCGTTTAAATCGATATTTGGAATGTGGTAAAAAAACAATCAATATTTTGTTCAGCTAAATCGGGTCAAAGAGAAATGCCTTGGAACTAAATTAATTAAATCTCGTTAAATCAAGTCAACCATAATAATTCGATATATTATATGTAAACATTACCTTGTGTATATGCTGAAGTGGTGTCATTTTGTGACTAAAGAAGACTTCCATTTATCCACTATATAAACTGTTATATAGTTTATCAAGTATTTATTACAGTATGTAACAATTTCTGAAACGATGTATTCTTAAACCGGAATTCCGGTTTAGATAGTATCCCATCGAGGATTATACGTGTCTTGGCCAATCACATTACAGCGACGATCGCTAAACAGAGAATTAATCGATACTTAAACAAAATAAAACAAAACGCTCGTCTTCTTCTTCTTCTTCTTCTTCGTCATCTGCTCAGACAAAGAGACGGGATCGCGACGAGATCCCGGTGATCAAAAAGCAATAAAGAGTAATCGTAAAGGGAAAAGGGCTTGAAGATGCATTCATTTGGTTACAGAGCTAATGCTCTGCTCACGTTCGCCGTCACGGCACTCGCGTTCATCTGCGCAATCGCGTCTTTCTCTGACAAATTCAGCAACCAAAATCCCTCTGCTGAGATCCAGGTGACGAAACCTTTGCGTATTGTTTATATTTATTGATCGCTTCGTATGTGGTGGATCTGTTTATGAATGCTTCGTTTTGTGATGGATTAAGTTGTATAAAGCCTTCACATTTAGACAAAAAAAGTGGCTGGTGTAGTCATTGTCGTTTCTTTTCTTTTTTTGATTGGGGGAATTGTATATATCTGAAGTTGTAGATTCTATGGATTATGAAATCAAGGAAAATCTTGAATTTTAATTTTGGTTTTTGGTTGTACTGTGTTTGCAGATTCTTAACATCAATCGGTTTAAGAAGCAATCCCATGGAAATGATGAGGTAAAACTGCATGATTTCGCTCTTTCCCTGAAGGGTTTTTCTTCATCATAATAGTTAGGCTACTTTGAAGAATGTCCATTGCGAAGCTCTGGTTACTATTCAGAGAACCACAATGCATTGTATTTCGTATCGTGTCGAACTTTAGTTGTTTCAAGAATCCAGAAATTCAAGGAAGAATAACCATGAAGCCGTTCTTTAGAGGTGCTTTAAAGTTTTGGCTTTTTCATGTCACTTGATAGATAGATAGATAGTGTTGGTCATGATACAGGATAACGTTTTATTTATAGCCATCTTAGATTTCCATATCTAAATTTCGAGATTCTGGAAGTTCATATGGATCTCGAAGCTTTTAAAATTTGATTAACATATAACTCTTCTTAGATTATTGATTTATGGTTTCTGAGACCATTCATCCAGCTTACACGTATATGTAGCTTCTCTTTTCGGCAGTCCTCTATCTATTGCTTGTTGCTTATATTCTAATTACTGAGCATTTTACATGTCATGCAGGTCAGTTTGACATTGGACATAGCAGCAGACTTGCAATCTCTATTCACTTGGAACACCAAACAGGTTTAACATCTTAAAACACCAGCCATTGCAAAATGGCCTGCTCCTTGCTGGATAATTCTTTTATTGAAAAGCCTGACATTAAACGGATATTTTTTGTGTGCAGATCTTCGTTTTCGTAGCAGCGGAGTATGAAACCCCAAAGAATTCCCTGAATCAGGTATTATAGCCCACTTTGTTTCAATGTCAAGTCTCTGCTCTGAATTATAGTCTAGGAACAAGTTCTGGATTGACTACTTAATATCAGAACTCTTTCAATGAATTACCCAACGGATGTTGACATTTTCGTGTAGGTTTCTCTATGGGATGCGATAATACCTGTCAAGGAAAATGCCAAATTCCGGATTCAAATCTCCAACAAGTACCGTTTCATCGATCAGGTACAGTATACAAACCCACTAAGTGTTCTGCGTTTTTTCTACTTCTTCAGAAACGGAAACTGATAATCATTTGGGATCTTTCAGGGACATAATCTTCGCGGAAAAGAATTTAACTTGACATTACACTGGCATGTCATGCCTAAGACCGGCAAGATGTTTGCTGACAAGATAGTCATGTCTGGTTACAGTTTACCAGATGCATACAGATGATGAAGGTTGATGAGAATATCAAACATTGTCTAAAAGTTTTTGAATTTCATTTTCATGTAAGAGATTTATGAACCAGAAAACTAAATTAAAAGTACTATTGATCCCTTGGATTCTTCTAAATAGAAAAATAAAAGCAGGACCCTGAAAGGCTGAAAGTTTAGGACGTTGTTTCAACAGAACTATGACCTAAAACTTTAGCTATTCTTTTGCTGTTCATGGATTCTCTAACCAGCTTCACATCCATCCACCTCCCAGCTTTGGCATAGATATTAGATAGAAGAACGTAGATTCCGCTACCGAGTCCTTCTGATTCACTTACCACACATCTTATCCGATCAGCCAGGTCTAAATTCTCATGAATCTCACATCCGTTTAACAATGCACTCCATATATTAGCATTGGGTTGTACCGGCATATTCTTTACCAATCTCTCTGCTTCTTCAAAACAACCAGCACGGCTCAAGATATCAACCATACATCCATAGTGTTCAACTGTTGGCTCTATGCCGTAAAGATCTCTCATTTCCGCAAAGTATCTTTGTCCTTCCTCGACCAAACCTACTTGGCTGCACGCATATAATACCCCTATAAATGTGATTCCATCAGGTGTAGCATTACCTTCCTTTTGCATTCTCTTGAATATACTCAATGCTTCATTCCCGTGCCCGTGAGTGGCTAACCCGATGATCACAGTGGTCCAAGCTATTGTATCTTTCTTCTCCAGATCTTCAAACGCTTTTTTCGCGCCCTCTGCATCACCGGTTTTAGCATGCATATTCACAAGTGCACAAACTATGGCAGCATCCTTCAAAAACCCTGTTTTGGATACATAAGCATAAATCGATTGTCCCAATTGTGAACATCCTTGAATCATGGAAGCTCTGATGATACTCAAAAACGTTACTTTATCAGGAGGGATACCCAAAACAAGCATGTCTAAAAACATATGCATTGCTTCCTCTGCATCGCCGTTCTGACTATACCCTGTGATGATGGAATTCCAAGAAATCATGTTTCTCTTAGGCATTTCATCGAACAGATACCTTGCGGTTCTCAGATCTCCACATTTTCCATACATATCAATGAGACTTGTAGCCAATATCACATTAAAATCAGCTTTTGACTGAAAATACGGATCAAAGCCTAATTCTTGAAGAAGCCCATGAAACCATTTACCAGCCGCAATGTCTTTACATCTGCCACAAGCAACCAGAAGATCCACCATTATCGTCTCATTTGGCTTCACACCATTACTCTGCATCTCCCTAAACGCTTGAATCGCATCGTTAAACCGATTGTTATTCACAAACCCAGAAATCAGACTTCCCCAAGCAACAACGTTCAACTTTGGAATATCATCAAAAACCCTCAAACCACAATCCACCTCTCCACAACACATATACATATGAAGCAAGCAAGTAGAAACATACATATTCACTTCAAACCCGGTTTTCACGACAAATCCATGAACACAACTCCCGAACTGAACATTTCTTAACCCTGAACAAGCCTTGAGCACATAAGGAAACGTGAAATAATCCGGAGGATACCCTTCTCGAAGCATTTCATGGTAAAATATCAATGCTTTATCTGGGTTTGGACTGTTTGAGTAGCCTCTGATCATTGAGTTCCATATATACACGCTTGGGAAATCGATAGTTTCGAAAACTGATCTCGCGTAGCTGAGATTCATAGTCTCTGGACATGTTGTGCAGAAATCTATGAGACGGCTTAGAGGGGTGACGTTTTTGATAACTGATGATTTGATCATCAAACCATGGAGCTGATTCAGCTCCACCATTGATCTGCAATTCTCCAGTTGGAAGAGAATTGGTTTGTAGTGTTTCTTCATCTGTCTTCTCTCATATTGTTATCAAGAAATTCAAAGCCAATGTCTCCTTATTCTGGAAACTTATCAAACTTTATGTACCTTTATAATGAATCGGGTGAAGAAAATTTTATAGAGTGAATGGAAAAAACCGACTCGGGGTCACAATTTAAATAGTTACGGGCTTATTTTTCATTTTGAAATAGTTTTAGGTTAAATTTGCAATATCCCCAAAAGTATTTTATAAGGGGTGTGTTTGGTCACACGACGTCGTACAGGGACTACGCGGAGAGTACTGGAGCGACCTGAGGTATGGCGGCGAAGGAGATCGCCGACGGGAGCAGTCCCATCGACGAAGGATCCGATCCATGTCCTATTTGCCTTGGACCCATATTCCAAGAATCCTATCTTGATACCTGTTTCCGTACGCTTCTCTCTATCTCAGTTTTCTGTTAATTTATTTTTTGGATGATTCCTTGATTTCATCAAAGATTTGAAGTTTTCTTTTTCAAAGTTTCAATCTGGGTTTTTGGGATGATTCCTTGATCCAATTTAACGGATTTTTTAGTTGCCACATGTTTAAGGTTTAGGCAATAATTCTTGCAAGTTGATAATAAATGGATTAGAAACGTAATGTATTTACTTTGCTTTGATCTTGTGTTGCAGACAAGTTTTGTTTCAACTGCATCAAACGATGGATCAGAGTTGTTTCCAGCAAGGTCTCTAAGAAACTGTCCTCTGTAAAATGTCCTCTCTGTAAGGTCTGCTTCCTGAAAACGCTCTTTTCTGCACATAACACCTTCAAGCACTTGTTTACAGGAATTACCTTTAACAATATGCAGAGAGAGAATATCTCAATCATCCACAACTACGACGGGTATTCTTTTGACCGCCACTATGTTGACCGGAATATTACTGATGGGTATGTTTTTTCTTGGGTCGAATGTGTTTCTTTTGTGAATATATTTTGATATCAAGCTTCATCGTAATTTCATCTTCTTTGTGCAGTTTTGTCCTAACAAAAGAACAAAGATATAGGTTGCAATGTTACTACACCGAGTCAGGTTTTTCCCTTCTCTGGATTTTCTTAATGGTCTCTTGTAGCTTCTGATGATGGAACTGAAGAAGCTTCATTCATGTTATGTTTCCGCAAAAACTAAAAGATCAAAACAAGCTTGCGCATAATACTTTTAAACACTAGTTACAACAATCGGTGTATATGTTACCTGTTTGGAATAAAACTAATATAACACCCTTATCAGTTGAGTAAAATGTGTTATAACCAGTCCAAAATAGGAAGTTAAAGTTTTCCTCTTTGTCTTTTTGTGGCCTTAACCAGGTTTCTTGGCTGATGTATTTGACGTTCCACGGTTTTGGAAAATGAAAAAGTTACTCCAGCCAAATCGGTGGCGTGAAGCCTGGTTGAGAAGGGAGCTGCAAGCTCTAATGCAGGTACGCTTGCAAGTTGCAATCCTTTTCATGGATCTCTCTTTCTTTGTGCTGTTATCTTCTTGTCCAGTTGTTCACAGGTCCGTTTATTTTTTTTTGCTTTCATTTTTCTTCCTCTTCTGTAGGAGGAAGATGTTGACATTGTTCTGCATCATTTAGTCGGTGTGATGGATTCCTTCTCCACAAGGTAATACTCTTTAAGGCAACCGTGAAAACTTATAATTCGAGTTATCCTGATTGTCTTAACGTTTACTTGATCAAAGTCGAAGTTTTTGACACGTTTAAAGATGAATAGTGAAACGACCATTAATCTTATCTCTTTCAGAATCGCACAGAGACGAAAACAAGAAGCAAGAAGCGCAGAGACAAATCAAGAGCAATTCAAATCGGTTATCGCAGAGGCAGCTCATCCGTTCTTAATGGCGAGAACAGACCGGTTTGTGGATGAGGTAGAACTCTTCCTAGCATCAGGGCTGAACGTGGAGGCTTATGATGCAATATATAAGCAGCGGTTAGGCTGGAACAACCCAAGAGAGATCGGTGCAGCAAATGAGGCAAGAGAAGAAGAAGAAGAGAACAGAAGAACACGAGCGACTCCTTTCTTGTTCCTTTTTGATGAAGACTCAGACTGAGGCTATTACTAATCCCTTGTAGACTTGAGTATAGAAACACATAACTACATGAGTATAATGATATGTCTGTTTCGATTTTCTTTACTTGTGTATAAAGTTAAGTTCTTTTGCTTCGCAAAACTAAACAAACAACCAACTATACCATTTTATTCAGATATTTATTACATTATCCATCCTACAACATAAAACAGAACATTTCATCATATTACTTCATACAAACTATAGTATTTATTTGTACCAACTTCCTAAAGAAAGGCATATACATCCACACTATCCACACTAACAGAGATACCACCTTAGGCAAGCTCAAGCGTTCACGATAAGACCACCTGCACAAAATCGCGTTTGCGTTACAATAGCCCACGACATAGACTGATATATAACACCTAGACAGAAACAGAGGACTGTAATAGACTTAAAACCATAATCAGAACCGGTTAAATCCTTCATGTCAAAAATATACTGTAAGAAACCTAACCCAAACTGAAACTGAAATCGTATCATTATCAAACCAAACTATACGGTATTTTCTCTAATTTCGGTTTTATATCACACAAACCAACTAAAACCAAACCATAAAAACCGGAGCATACTCCTGAAATTAGACATACCGTTTGGATGGAGGATCTGGCCGGTGTAGTAAGAAGAGCAATGGTCACAAGCCAAGAAGACGTAGGAAGGAGCCACTTCCCCAGGCTGAGCCGCTCTTTTCATTGGCGTCTCCGACCCAAACTTCTTGATCGCTTCATCAGAGAACGAAGCGGTTACCAGAGGAGTCCACACCGGACCTGGAGCTACTCCGTTCACACGTATGTTCTTTGGTGCAAGCTGAAGAGCTAACGCACGTGTGAAGGAAACGATGGCTCCTTTAGTAGAAGCGTATTCTAGCAAATTGGAGTGTCCTGCGTAGGCAACAACCGACGTCGTATTGATAATACTGCTCCCTTCCTTCATGTGCTTCAACGCATACCTAGGTATTCATTATTAAGTCATTTACCACCATTTTATTTCAAAAGTATACAAAGAAGAGCTCACTTTAAACCGGAACAATTGGCTAAAATCCGAGTTTCAGGTATATATTTACTCACTTGGCCAAGAAAAACTGCGAGAAGATGTTGGTACGGAAAACCCTTTCGAGCCTGGCCTCATCGATGTCATCAATGGAAACCTCGTGCTGCTCAGCTGCACAGTTGACAAGCACATCGATGCGTCCAAAGGCGTTGACAACTTCCTCAACGACCCTCTTGCAATTCTCTTCGAACCCTAAATCAGTGGCGATCATGATCGGCTCTTTGGCTTCCCTTGTCTTAACCTCGTGAAGCAAACGCAGCGTCTCGTCTGCGTCTTTGTCCTCTCGACCTTTCACGTACGTGAAAGCCACGCTCGCTCCTTCAAGCGCGTAGCAGTGACACACTGCTTTGCCTATCCCTGAGTCTCCTCCTGTCACCAGCGCCACTATGCCCTGACGATAATTTTCAGAGATAACTTGTGTTACAAGTTTTGTAATTGTACGAATATTTGTAAAAAAAAAAAGTCAATTTCTGTTTCGTTTTTGCGTTTGTAAATTTGAAAATATTTTGACCGAAGCATAGATAATAATAGCCTTACTAAAATATGTTATCGTACCGTACAACGCAATTAAACAAGTTATGTAGCGCGTGAATTCAAAAACAGGAATTCTCACCTTTTATGGTGAAAGAAAGAGTATTACTTTTCCCAATTGCTCACTATATTGATTGCCTTTTACACAGTACTTTTGTATTATTAGTTTTATAGTTTTTTTCGATGTTTGACTTTTTCTTAAACAATAGATATTAAATCAAACGGAAAAAGAAAATAAAAAGAAATGATGGGAGCCTATACATGAAGTTTGTTGGAGGGTTTGTAGTCAGGGCAACATGATTGTGGAGTTGGATCCATGACATGTTCTTTCCCTGGTTGTGTCTCTTGCTTCTGCGGACGAAACCCACTCGCCATGTTTTTTTTTTTTTTTGTACTGAAAATATTCCGGCAAAGTGTTTTTGTGTGTTTGGTTTTAGCGACCGATAAAATTGCGAGCCAGGAGAGAAACATATAAGGCAAAAGAACGAGTCAAAGCAGTGAAGCATTTTTGAATGATGTGCCACGTTGCAACTCAATTTGGATGACATGGACAAGTTACTGCAACGGCGCAGCCACGGAGGAGTCCACGTGGTGGACATCAGCTTACTTGGGATAACCATTAATCAGTCCCCATTAAGATATATACAAACTTGCATGAAAGCATGTATACATGACACTATACACATATAGTTGGACAAAAATTTTAGCCAAAACATTCTGGATAATCAATCTTAGTTTTGGGTTTTTGACTTTTGATTAACATTTGAAAAAAGAAAAAACAAAGTGGATGGATTTAAGGAGGAGGATACATGTAAGGAAAAGAAAGAGGAATACTTTTTACAGATCACTATATTTTTCCTTTACATATTCAGCTTCTTGCACATACTTCTGTTGATATTTGATTTGATCTTAAAACAATAGAAATTGAATGGATAATTTATCAAATGAAAGAAAAAACTATATTTTTCTTTCTTTCTTTCTTTCCCTTGTTTCTATCGATAGATATCTCAACACTGTTTTGGCTTAGTCTTACTTTCTGATGTATATAGAGACTACTTCCCATTCACGTGTCCTCTACACTTGTTTTCATTGATGGGATTCCACGTTTCTTTTGCAGCGATTCAATTGCTCCTCATTCAGCTCTCAGAGTCTACCGATTCTTCTTACATTTATGGGAAAGATCAAGATTCTGACCGGATAGCTCCTTTCTCAAGTTTCAATTAAGAAATCTTCAAGTGTAGCAAGTGACTGTAATCGCTGACCCAGCGAAGCAATAGTTTTTTGGCACTCTGCAAATTTAGAGGCAGCCACTGCCAATTCCTTCTCCTGTAATTGCCACATTGTCACGAGGGAGATTTAAACGAGCTTTATTGCCTTATGCATCGTGTGTTCTAATACTGTATCTGTATATGTCCATGGATAAGTATTATGTAATATTGCACATAGAGGAGAAGAGAGTCTAACCTGCTTCAGCTTATAATCGTCATCAAAAGCTTTCACATGGTTAGGCTCAGGCTCTGCTTCTTGATAATGCTCAAGTTTGTGTTTTAGTTTTGAGATTTCGTCTTGCAGTTCTTCGCACTTTGAAATGTGTTTTGCTGATAAAGCACGTTCCTTTTCTGTAATTTCTTCTAAAGATTCGATTTTTGAGATTAAAGATTCCGCTTCTGCTTCGACATCTCTGAGTCTTGATTCAACTGCTTCTGTTTTCGCGTTTGCAGCTTTTAAACCATCCTCAGCCGCTTCTTTTGCATCCTTTGTTAGACGCAGCAGAGTTTGAAGCTCTGTTAACTTTCTCTCTGTTTCCTTTAGCCGACTTTGCGACGTCTCAAGATGCTTCTTTGTCCCATTTAAACATATGGTCAGCTCCAGCTTTTCTGCTCTTATGGTCTCTAGTTCTGACAGGTTCACTTGTGCTTTGTTTAGCTGTTTTTGCAGATCCTGAATTTGCTTTCTAGATTCTCCCAGCAACGACTCTAGTTCCTGGGTTTCTGCTCTTGTAGTCTCTACTTCTGACAGATTCACGTGTGCTTTGTTTAGCTGTCTTTGAAGATCCTGAATTTGCCTTCTCGATGCACCCAACGACAACTCTAGATCCTGGTTTTCTGGTTCCAGATTCTTTAGTTCGGATAACTTCCCTTCTGTCTCCATTAATCGACTCTGTAATGCCTCAATTTGCTCTCGTGATCCATTTAAAGCCATCTCCAATTGCAATTTCTCTACCTCTACCATCTCTACTTTTTCCTCCAGCTCAGAAATTCTGTGAAGTGAGGTTTCAAGTTCATGTTTTAGCTGGCTTGACTGTGCTTCAAGTTTCCCTAATCCCTTGTTACTCACTGAGTGTTTTCTTCCCGGTTCAGAATGCGGCGGCAGAGCAGCGAGCTTTTCCATCTCGAGAAAATCATCCATTAAACCGATTTCAACTGAAGGAGTAGCCATCGAAGTCTGCACAATACTCCTCTCAGAGGGACTCTGGACTTCATTATCACTAAAAGAGATCCTCCCGGAGAAGTCTGATTGGTTACCTAAAGAAGATTTGATCTCATTTGAGTTGACAGATTTCCGAACCATGGCTCTCAGTTTCCTGCATTCCGCTTCAAGTTTAGTCAACTTTTTAATCCCTTCCAACTGTTGTTTACTGGCAGATTCAGCAGCTTGAGTGCTCAAGTCCCTCTCAATAGTTCTTATCTTGACCTCTTCTGCTTTTGAAAGTAGTTCTAGCTTCAGAGCCGAGTTCTCTTTCTCTAAAGCCTCAAGTTTCGGGCAAAGGTCTTCGTGGACTGAAGCAGTAGCAACCTCTTCTTTTTCAGTTCCAAGTCTGGCTTGGAGCTCCTTGATCTGCGCTTCAAGTTCAGATTTTGTAGTTTCCCACTCTGCGCATTTCTTGTTTATAGCTTCTTCGATATTCTGATTCTGCTCTTCTCTTCCTTGCCAGAGTTGCCTCACACATTCCTTGAGCGCACTATCAAGATGACTATTTCGATCCTCAAGAGCCGAGACCTTGCTCACAGAAGCATCAAGCTGTTGCTTCAGAACCGCAGCTTCTTTCTCTGCTTTTTCCCAACCTAAATCAAGCCATGTAAAACATTCGTTTAGTAAGCAGAGAACTAAGAATCCGATTTCTTGCTATAAGAAAACACAAAATAACCTGTGACAGCTTCCTCTGCAACTTTAGCATGTTGTTTGGCAAGGTCTTCTTTTAAACTGACATCTAAAAGAGCTGCAGAGAGCCTCTCCGTTAGAATCTTGATATCCGCCGTTGCCTCTTCTTCTCTTGTTACAGGTTTAGATATTAATTCCGGTGATTGAGATCTCTGAGTTTCACACAACAAAGTGATACATTAGAGCCACAAACTAATACCCATTTGATAGAAAACCACAACAGAATCTATCAAGTTCTTCACAAAGAGTCTCTCACAGTGAATCCAACTTTCGATGGAATTAAAAAGATCAAACAAAGGCATTGCTACATAAACTAAAAACAAAAAGTTACCTGATCGTCTGAGAATCTTTCAGAATGAGAAGAAGCAGAGCCTGTACTTTCTGTCTCGCCGGGGCTTTTCTCAGATGACTTCCTCCGCCAAAGCCAGCTCCTCCGGTCCATTTCCACACCCACCAAACATTCAAACCCAACTCATCTGCAAAAAAAAAACGCAGCTTTAACCTCCAATTTAATCCCGACCTACAAAAAAAAAAAAACTAATTATAAAGTGGGGCAAATTTGTTGTTGATCTCACTTACAATTCACTCTCTGACAAAAATCAGACCCAACTAGAAAATCTATATCTCTGTCTCTCTCCAAATGTCTAAACTTTTTATTAAGAGAAAGCGTTGGGGGTGATTTCGATTGCTTGAGATGTAAAAGATGAACAAACTAAGAAACGTAACAAGGCACCTAACACAACATACCTCAAATCTCACGCCAAGCGATGATGAAATAATTGAAGGAAGAAGATTAGTGTGAATCTGGCTATCAAATTCAACGGCCATGTTCAGAAAAGACCAGATTAATTATTAACAGAAAAAAATAAGAGAGAAGGAAAAAAATTAAAAGTGGAAGTCTCGATGATTGAGACCCACATGATGATAATGTGGAAAGGAAAATTGTAAAACGCCAAGTAGCAAAAATACTTGTCATTTTTTTTTTGATTTTTTTTTTTGTTTTTAGAATTATCCGTGGAGAAATTCGCCATTACTATTACAGCCAAACACTGAAAAACAACAAACATTTTACACAACAAGGAAGAATATATAGGAGAAAGAGATTTATCGGATATAAAAAACTGTATATGAAAAAGAAAAGACAGAAAAATCGAAGATGATTCAAATATATAGAGGGGCGTTTTTTATTGGCGCAATGTAGAAGAAGAATATTTACAAGATTGTCAGAAATTCCAGTAACGAAGATATTTGTGAAGATCGCCGTATCCGTACAAATCTTGTAAGACCCTCTAGAATTGAAGTTTCTGGGTCCTTTCAACTCTATTCAATTTTCACCTTCATTTCTTCTAAAACAATAAAAAGTTAGCTTTATTTTCTTTCTTTTTTGGGGGCTCAAATTAGCTGTTAATTGATTGATTAAACATGTTTTTTTCGTGTCAGGGAGCAAATAGGTTTTTCCACTTGTTCTTTTCGATTGTTGTGACATAATAGAGAAAGTTTGAACATCACAGCAGCAATAAATCGATTTATTATTACACTAAGTGAATAAATGAATGGAATCCTCCTGGAGTTGAGTTTCCAAAACAGTACAAAAATTGGATAAATCTGAGGAGGGGAAACGTTTACGGATCTACAGATATTCAGAAAACATTACCTTTAGTTCTTATAAAGAAACAAGGTCTAAAACTTTTACGAATCATACGGTGACAGTGAAGAGATAGAGCTTCAGCACAACCGCAAGCCCGAGTTGCAAAAGAAAGATGCTGGCGATAATCAAGATCGATCTCTCTCCAGCAGAATTGATATGCGCTTTCAGGTTCAAAGCCACAAATGTTGCAGACATGAACCCGGCTACACCCGCGATAACCCATCTGAATATCTCCACTGGCACGACCGAGAGGCACTGCAGAGTCAGAAACAGGTAAAAATGTCAAAAGTCTAATCATATTCAGAATATGAGACACATTTTTTAAAAAAGGAGAAATTTTGGTACCAATGCAGGGATAAAGATGAACAGGGAATATCCGTAGAGACAGAAGAGTTGGACTAGGCCTGATGGTGCAGAGAAGTATTTGAGAACGACATATAGTGCGAGAGGAATAATCGTGACATAGCCGTAGAACACTCCTGCAGACCAAGTCACCAGATTAATGTCGTAGTTCCATTCTTGTTTCTTCCATTTGTGTGCTATGTATGTGACAAATGTGCCGATAGATGCTGCCACGAAAATCAAGGTTGTGCATATCCAGAATGGACCATACCTGCAAATACAACCAATTATCGAATTTTGAGGTACTTTGGCCAAGTTTGAGAAACCAAATCCCTCTTAGGCTTGAAAATGATAAGAAAGACACAGCTCTTACAAGTCAGGCTTATCGGCAGTCTTCTCTGTAAATGTTCCACGGAATGGGAAGAGAGATTCTTTGAGTCTCTCTACGACATCTGAAGTGTCGACATCAAAGAATGGCTTGTAAGCACCAACAGTGAATTTATGGAGCCAGCCACCAGACTGAGGTTCATCTGAACTCCCATTACCATGCCCAGAAAATGTATCTGCACCGAGTGACATACAAAATTATCCTAAATTCCTCAATCGACAAGATTAACATTTGGTAAAACCTTTTCTCATACAGAAAAAAAGCTCCAGACAATCCTACCGTCAGCATCACGAGGGGGATTACTACCACCAGAGATCTTCCCCTGAGTAGCAGATGGAGGAAAGGTTTGTAGATTTGATTCTGCAAAACAATGCATCCCTCAATCACAGGCTTAACATGAACATAACCATGTCAAATCAAAACTTCAAAAGGAAACATTTGCAGTTATAAGATTCCTCTTTCTCCGTAAAAAAGGATTTCCCGTATCTTCAATTCGCTAAACCCTCATCTGTTTAAACTAGAGATTCTTCCTTAAAATCTACACACGAATTGCACTGAAATCTCTTTCTACTTAGCTAAAAACAACATACTCTTGCGTACGAGAGAAAAAGGGCCTATAATTCCAAACCAAATAGTTCTTTCCTAAACGCTCTATTATCAAATTCACCTCAGAAACCGAGAAGATACAACAATGTTACCTGCGAATTTGACGGTGGTATGGCCTGGATCTGGAACAGACTACGATCGACACAAACAAAACACATCAGATCGGGAGAGTCATCGTATGTGCGCGCACAAACGTAGATTACTCGTGGAAACAATTGAGATCGAGAAAGTTTTAATAGAAGAACTTACAGGAACAGATCCAGAGACTTTCTGGCTGTCGATAGTCGTGTAGTTCCCGCCGGACATCATCTTGCTCTCCTCCTTCCCGATCTTCTCCGTCGGTCTCGTGGCTCTTTCTCTCTAAGGAACGAAATTGGCCTTCGAAAGTCCGGTCCAATGGGATTTGACGGGAACCACTAACCAGAGCGTAACCCTCTTTCTTGTTTAGAAGCTTCGTCCCTCTAGATTGTTTTTATATTCATCATTATTCAGTAGTATTTTTCCTTTTCAATATATTCAACGTTGACAAATAGATGTACGTAAAACATGTTAACAAATATGTACACAATTAACAAAAAATAAAATAAACTACAAATTTAATAAGAGTTACCCTTAATTTCACAATATTTATATGAAAATCCCAACTCGCTCTATGTGTTGGAAGTGCTTTTACATTGGATTTAGAGTCCAAATTTTTTAAATCTACCATATTCAAAGATCCAAAATTTTGTAACAGACGAAAAGTACATGTATTCATGGTTTTTTTTTTCCTACCACACCGAGTTTTCACCAATAATTGAGTCGGCACTGGTCATATAACAAACATCATAGACTACTGATATAAAGCTCACTAATCCATATCTTATTAAACGTTTTTATTACATCGTTTTATATATGATCAAAACAATCAAAACTTAGAACGTTGTTCTTGAAACGAGAACGACTACAATGCTTGTATTAAAACTACGTACTACAATGCTTGTATTAAATCACTTTCCAACTTTGCGTATAAACCTGTCACATATTCTTTATGTTGTTGAGTTTTCTTCTCTATATGGACTTAGATCTCATGTTATGCTCATTGTGTCCAATCGCAATAAAAACTAAAACCAAAAATATCATGTTGGCTCCAAGACGTCACACTTGAACATGGTTAATGCGATTAATGCTAGGTAGGGGGTTCAAAACATAATGCTTCAACAAACATTGTAGAGAAACGACATGGTGTTATCTACCTAGCAATTTATAATGGGTGAACACTGACCACCACCAGATGATCTAAGAGATTAACTTTCACCGCATTATTTTCCAGTACATTCAAATATCACAAGAGTAGCCTATTGCTATTAGCAAAAAGTTAAAAATGAAAAGAGTATAGAAATTCGATGTAGGAAAGTTTTCTAAGAAGAACAAGCAATTATAAGTAGTCAAACTCCACAATTATTTGATAAGAATGAAAAGTTAAGGTATTGAAATGACACACCACAATGAAATCTACACACATTTATTTATTTGAATAAAATAAAAGATGGATTTATTGTAGGTTGATTAGGTTAATTAGTTAATTTTGGATTTATATTAAGAAAATATTTTTGGCTATTTTTTGGTAATTAATTTCGAAATATTTTTGGAGGATGGACAACAAGATTAGTCACGGTTTCAGGAAAAATAATACCTATTATTAGTTTATATATTCATTTTTATTCTGATATGTCGTGCATTTTTTTGATAATTTATTTTGAAGTAGTTTAGTGATTAATCTAAATGATTTAAATTTGAGACTGAGATATTATTAATAGATGGTTAGCAAAATTACCCTTGAATATATTATTTATTTTTTTAAAAATACTAAATGGTAAATAAATAAAAAATGATATTTTGGATAACACATTATTTATTCATATAATTATTAGTATTGCGGCGTGTGTATTTTATTTTTTAATTAGTTTTGGAATTTTTTTTGGTATTTTTAGGATAGTTTAGTGATTAATTTAAATGGTTTACATTTAAGATTAAAATGTTGTTACATGAAAGTTAGCGAAATTACGCGCAAAATATTTTAAAATAATTATTTATTTTTTAAAAGGTATTACTCTAATCTTTTTTAGTTATGTTACAAATTTAGTAAAAATGATAAGTTTAGATAACATATTATTTATAAATATGATTATTAGCATTGCGGGATATTATATACCTTCTTTGATAATTAGTTTCAGGATTTTTCTTTGATAACTATTTTAAATTGGTTAAATGAAAAGTTGAAATATTTTGTTAAATGGTGGATAATGAGATTAGGCGCCAACTTTTTCAAAAAATAATCATTTATTTTTTTTAATCTTTTTTAATTATGTTACGAATTTAGTAAAAATGATAATTTTAAATAACATATTATTTATATATATATATGATTATTAGCATTGTAGGATATTATATACTTTCTTTCGTAATTAGTTTCAGAATTTTTTCTTTGATAATTATCTGGTTAAATGAAATGTTGAAATGTTTTGTTAAATGGCGGGTAATAAGATTACGCGCCAACTTTTTCAAAAAAATATTTATTCATACAAATATTATTAGCAATGTATTAATAAATAAAACTGTAAGATTATACAAAATACGAAGAGTACTTTTTATTATGATTGTATCATTTAATTATTTAGTTAAATAAATTCAAATCTAACAATATATCTATTGTGTTCTCCAGATTTGATCCCATTTTATGAGTTTATTGTAATTTATATGCTTAAATCATTTGTATAATAAATTTAATTAACAAAGAAAGGGTGTATCTATTTTATTCAAGAAAAGGGTATCCAAATTAATGCAGGTAATTTAAGCTTTGAACCCCAAAAAAGGTAAACACAAAACAGAACAAAGAAAACCAGTTGTATCCACGTCAAGAACTTCGATCTCGTCCGTCGATCCTTGCCCACAAACGCCAATATCACCGTTAAAAACATATCTACTCACTAAGAAGACACATGGCTAATTTACTGGGAATTAATCAGTAAATAAACAAGAGAGGAAATGAAATAAGAAGACGAAGAAGAAGAAGCTTCGTTCTCTTCTTTTGAATTTTCTCATCCTTCACAAGCTCTGTTACCATCCCGCTTTTATCTGCATTTTTATCTTCGAGGTTCTTTAGTTTTTACTGATTCTGAGACTCTTGAATTATTCTGAAAAGTATGAATCTGGTATGATCATCTAGTCTCTCTCTTTCTCTGTTTTAGCCTCTGTTTCAGCAATTCCATCTCATGAGATGTATATAAGTTCTTCTCCTTTTTAACTTACGAAACCTGAATATTGATTCTTGAGCCTCTTACATTTTATAAGTTATCCTTAGTAATTTGAGACTGGCCATTGTTCAGTCTCCTTCTCTGTTTCAGATCTTTCTCAAATGTCTTATATAATCAGTGTTTGTTTATTATGATTTTGTTTGTAAAATCAGATGATGAGGCTAGGTGTTGGAGAACCTCGTGGCTCATTAAAACCGATACGAATTGTTGTGGTTGGTGAAAAGGGAACTGGGAAATCAAGTTTGATCAAGGCTGCAGCAGATGGTTTTTTCCATTCAAAAGTCCCTCCTCTGTTACCTCATACCAATTTACCTTCTGAATTATCCTCTGACCCGATTCCAGCTACCATTGTCGACACTTCTTCAAGGTAAATGTTTCTTCTGATGCTATACATTGACATCAAATTTCTGATATTGTTCTTTAGATAGGGCAGAGGTAACTGAATTTTGAAAATGGCTTAATATTTGATGTCTCTAGACCGAAAGATAAGGGAAAGGTCATTAAGGAAGTTAAGGAAGCAGATGCAATTGTTTTAACATTTGCATTCGATAGACAGGAGACTGTTGACCGTTTGAGTGAATACTGGCTTCCTCTGTTTCGACAATTAGAGGTTTTAGTTTCTTCTTTCTTTCTTCGTCTCCATCAATCAATTTACGCTCATTCCCCTGAAATTTTGTTATCTTTCTTATTCAACTCTGTCTTGTGACTCTTTTAATATTGAACAGGTGAGAGTTCCTATCATAGTGGCAGGTTATAAAGTTGACGTCAATGGGGTTTATAATCAAATCAGCATTGAACAAATAACGACACCTATAATGCAACAATATCGAGAGATCGAGACATCTATCGAGTGGTCTGCTCAGGACCTAAATCAGGTCCCATGGCTTGTGCGTGAGATCAACTTATACTTTTAAGCATTTCAAGAACATTCACATCGTGTCAATTTTCTATTCTTGTGATGGAAAAATGACCATCCTGATCAATCAAAAGCTTGATCTGTAGGCTCGAGATGTTTTCAACCATGCGCAACAAGCGGTTATTCATCCTCTAGGACCAATATATGATCAAGAAACACATTCATTGAAGCCTCGCTGTGTCGCTGCCTTAAAACGTATATTTAGACTCTCTAGCCATAACAGGCATTTCATTCTCAATGACGCCGAGTTAAATGATATTCAGGTTTCCTCTTTTTTCCCCTCTTATGTATATGTCTCATCGTGAAGTATTTCTATACAACAGCTAAGTTGCAAATATAATAATGTATAGGTTCACTGCTTCGATAAACCATTGACGCATTCTCAATGTAAAGAAATAAGAAAATCTGTGCAAGTACGGTGTCCACAAGGAGCTACTGAAAAAGGACTCACCTTGGATGGCTTCTTGTTTCTAAGCACAGATCTTATCGAACAAGGAAGAATCAGAACATTATGGACTATACTTCGAAAATTCGGGTATAAAAACGACCTAAGACTCGCAGATTATATGATTCCTTATTCATCATTCAAACGTGAGGCTGACCAGGTAAAAAAATCTGCAGATATAAATGATTAGTTTTGGCTTCATTATTAGATGATAAAAATTTGTATTGAGTTGGTTATGTCAAACCGGGAAATTTAGTTCGGTTAGTCTCATGAGTAAACCGTATCTTCTGTATATAAAGCGCCTCCAATATAACAACAAACAGAGTAACGTTGAATAACAGAAATCACTTCTTTTTTTTTTTTTGGTCAATGTGCAGAGTGTTGAGCTGACAGATAAAGCTATTAGATTCTTATGGGAAGTCGTCTATGAGCTTATCGATAAATACGGTGTAAAGTCTTTATTTTGCTAGTTTATGTCTTAGGTATATATTACTTGTAAGAGTTATACATTTCTTAAACAAATCAGATCTGAATTCCTCAGGTTACTAACTTGGGACCTCATGAGATGGGATATCTATTCCAAACTTCACCTGAAAGGTAACATTTTTTCATTTTCAAAAGCGCGCCGATCAGTGACTATAAAATGTTTTCCTTTGATTTGCTTCTGTGTAATTCCATTGATTTGAATCACTAATGACAGTCCTTGGAACGAAGCTCCTTATAAGGATGCTGCAGAGATAACTAAGAATGGAGGATTATCATTTGAAGCTTTCCTCTCACTGGTATTCAAAACTTAAGTCTTTCAAACGGTTTTAAGAGGAACCCATTTCAAAAGTTTACATTTTTTTCCCTAAATCTTTGCAGTGGTCATTGATGACACTAATAGATCCAGCTAGGAGTCTTGAGTATTTGATTTACATAAGATACCCATATGATCCATCTTCAGCGATTCACGTTACTAGGAGGAGAGAGCTAGATCGCAAGGAGCAAAACTCCGAAAGAAAAGTTGTCCAGTGTTTTGTGTTTGGACCCAATAATGCAGGAAAATCTGCACTGCTCAATCGATTTATTGGAAGGTCTGTTCATTTTAAATCCATCTCAAGAGATTAGTTTTAGTGATTAGTTACAATATATATGTCATGATTATATGATCTTAGGTCATACGATGAAGAGAACAGAAATGGATCAGCTCATGAGGAACATTATGCTGTTAATATGGTAAGAGTGACTGCAAATACAAAGAAAACTCTGGTGATGAAGGAAATTCAATATCGAGAAGATGGATTCTTGTTATCAGATGAATCATTGGCTGCTTGTGATGTAGCAATCTTCGTTTACGATTCTTCTGATGAGTCTTCGTGGAAGAGAGCCATTGATTTGCTTGCTGAGGTTGCAGCCACAAGCAAAGACGCGGGTTTCGAGTTTCCTTGCCTAATGGTTGCAGCAAAAACTGATCTTGATTCATTCCCAATGGCTATTCAAGAGTCCACTAGAGTAATACTGATCTTTCTTTGATTATAATCATCAAAAGTTTGTAGTAATAAACTAAAATAATATGTCATGTACTGGTTTTTGCAGGTTGCACAAGATATAGGGATTGAAGCTCCAATACCAATCAGTTCCAAATTAAGAGATTTCGATAACTTATTTCTGAAGATCTTAACCTCGGCCGAGCATCCTCATTTGGGTATTCCAGCGATTAAGTCAAAGAAGAAAAGGAGTTTCAAGCTAATCAACAGATCTCTAATGGCGATTTCAAGTACGTTCAGTTCTTGGATTCCAAAATGTTTGATCAAATGCTTCTGTATCTCATCATGATATTTGTGGATTCCCAAAATGCTTTCTTTAACAGTGGGGAGTGCGGCTTTGATCGTCGGGCTCGCTTCATTCCGTCTCTACGCCGGAAGAAAACAGAGCTAATTCTTGGTTGAAGAAAGATCCAGACCTGCAAATTCCATTGTAATTCTTGAGGTTTGAATGAAGAGATTGTGTTTTAAGTTGTTTATTTCATATAGATGCCTTGTTCAATAAGTAAAGAATTGTTTTCAATTGATCTTACTCTTTCTCTCTCAATAATTTATCGGAAGAAGACATAAGTTTGAAAAACAAAATGAAGAAAAGAACATTTCAGCATTGCCTTTTTTCTTTTCCTATCAAAATCTACACAACTTTGTACCCCACCAATAAACGAATTGTATAAAAAGATCGACCAAAAAACTAACTCTGAAATGATAATTTCACCCACTTGAACAAGAAACAGAGTTAGAGCCATAGCTAATAGCTTGCAAGTTCGTATGAGTCATATTCGTCATCCATCTCCTTGGAACTCCCTTTGATTCTCCAGCCAGATTATAAGCATACGATCTCCACTCGTTTTCACCATCTTCACAAGAACTCATAAACCCTAACCTTCTCGCCTTCTGCGTCCTCTCAAGAACAATGAGACTAGAGAAAGTCGAATAGCTATTACCAACAAAAACATCTGCTCTTAAACACACCTCGTAATCTATAGCAGACTGAATCAAATACGAATACTTGCCGTAAATCTCCTCTTTAACCCCAAGCTTCTTCTTCTCAAAAGGTATTAAACCGTCTCTCCAACCCGTTAAAACCGATGAATCCTCTTCTTTTTCTTCCAAGAGACTATCCGCTACCGCAAGGTAAAGAACCGTTGGAGTCTTTAAACCGGAAATGTTCCCTACTCTCTCCATAATCTCTCTTTTACTGCTACAAATCTCTGAAACCTTTTTTCTTTGCTCTAGTTTCTTACAATGTATCATCCAATCTATCTCTATCCGCATGTGAACCGCAACAAAAAGAATAGGACTCTGGATTCCGGTTCTGAGTTCTAGTGCTTCTCTGATTTTCATCACAACTATATCTGCTTCTCTTGCGATTTCATCAACCACAACCATACACTCAAAGACCTTAGCATAGTCCTTTACAGGCCAATGATCGTGCCACAAGAACGGGTTTTTCCCTATGATACGGATCACTTCAAACTCATCGATTGATCCGTTACCTGCGGATTGTTTCAACTGTTTCAAGTCTCTCTCCACTGTCCATCTTCTTCCACTACCTTTCTCGAGATCAAACACTTGTGTTCTGTTTCTAACATCAGAGAACCTAGCAAGCCGCACAAACCCGCTGCACATAGAGTTGAATCTTTCGAACTGAAACACTTTATCAAACGGAATCGGACGAAGCTTATCGACTTCCTTGTAGAACAAGGAAGCACTTAGACTAGGCATGAGAAGCGTTCTGTTCATCATTCTCGCCGTCAAGCAAGCTCTGGCAAAAGCTATCTTCTGGTTGTTTAATCCCCACACGATCTGAGGAACCTCGAGAAACTTATCAGTCCGGATTCCACCGGTTGAGGAGGAATCTGTCATGTAACGGGCTAGAATCAATGAGCTACTGTTCAGAGCGTTTCTTGGGGAGTAAGAGAGCATCAGAGCTCTGTAGAACAGAGCTATAGCAACAAGAACAAGACATTTGCAAGCAATCGATTTTGAAAAGAGTCTCAGAGTCTTGCAACTCAACGGAGAATTCATCCGATAGAGAGAGAGAGAGAGAGAGAGAGAGAGAGAGAAAGGCAGCTGTTACTGATCGCTTCAGATTCACCTTCTTCTCCAACACAGAAATCCAAAACTCCTGATAAAATCAAAATCTGGGTCGATAGTGTCAGAAACCTGCATGAATCGAAGAAATCAGAGCAATAAAATACAGTAATCAGACCCCAAAAGTAACATGCATGCAATTGCAAGAGGTAAAGAAGAACCCAGAAGGCATAAAAAAAAAAAAAAAAACTGAAACTTTATACGAAATCTGGGTCGGAGAAGAGAGATTTATCAATCGTAGAAAATGACATGCAAATCGACTGCAGAAGAGAGATAAATAAGAACCCTGGAGAAGAAACCCAGATGTGCAGAAATTCGAATCTCTTATCGATCGGAACTCTAATCTAAATCGCAACTTTTTAAGTCGACGTTGCAGGCGAAAAATCAGAAGGAATAAAGCCTAAAAAGGGAGATTTTAGAAAGAAGCAAACTAAAAACCCAGAGAAAGAAAGACGACGCCAAAATTACAAGGTCACCTTTATTTTAATTTCTGGTTTTGTTTTCCCTAATCTGGCAAAATCGTGAAGAAGAGACAAATGAGACCCATAAGCCCAGAATAGAAAATAAAGGAAAATTGACGATCAAATCGCTCGAATCACGGATTAGACACGGATTATATGTGTTTTTATTAATTTTGGAGAAAGCTTTAAAGTAAAGCAAAGCAAAGAGAGAATCAAAAAGAATAATAATTAATAAAATAAATAAATAAACCTCAGCCATCGTAGTCACTGCAAGTGACAAAGTGACAACTTGCAAACCACAAAGGAAGGGAAGATTTGAAGAGAGAAATCGTGTGACTAAAATAAAGACTGGTATAGATTTGAATTTAATATTTCGATAATCTGGTGAGGGTTTGTTGGACTCTATAATTTTTTAAGTTCACGCGTTCAGTCTAATTATTAGTTCCTAGTAGGCTAATATTGAAACGCTTATCATTAAAAAAAATGTTTCTTTTTTGTCGACCATTAGAGGAAATAAATTACTGATTTCTTTCTTATTTTGATAATCGCATCGAACAAGCCGCTATATTCGTTTCTTTATCGATTTCACAACTCATTCAACTAACCTTTTTTTTAATATCAATATTTTTACTGTTAGATTCCCTAGATTTAACAAGGACCTTAAAATCTTTAAAATGAGATCTCGTCATACATAAAAACGTTTAAAAATGCTATAACATAAGAATCTAACAATTCAATAATAAAGTTTCAAATTTACGAGATCACAACATTACTCATTCACAAGAGATGGTTTCACACAATCACACTGACAACATATAGAAGCTACTGAAATTGATCAACCGGTTCCATTTTGATTATATTCAGGATCACATGGACAGGATTCACAGGAACAACCATTACACAGTAATGAAATTATCATAATACGACATCGTTTAGACGCTTTCCATTTGCTCCTTCCCCTTTTATTTGCTCTTTTTTCCCGTTATCATCGCAAGTCAACACAATAAGATGGAATTATTACATTGCCGAAAGTCAACAAAGCTGCTTTACAAATTACAGTAATATTTTTTTTGAATTAATGTCGATTTTAGTTATTAGATTCATAGTGGCCACCGTACCACTAACCAAAGGAGCTGAAAATGAAATACCCATGTGCATGCAGCTAAGAGAAAAAAAAGAGTTGAATACTGCGCAAGTATTTTAATTTTGGTTGAGAGAAAGAGTATCTTCATTAATGCGTTGCAACATGGCACCAACGAGGAAACTCAAATGCAATTAAATTCTAAAACCCAACACATATATATATACGTATATATATATACTTATATATTAGAGAAGTTGGTCACAAACCCAACCTTACCATGGTCACCTTTTTATGCTTCAGTATATGTATCCAATAATGTAGTTAGAGCCAATTTTTTCTGAGCATGAAATCCGACATTCAGGTTGGACCTGATCGGCTTTGGTTTTTCTTTAGACCACTTCTAATTGGATTTTGAACGATTTGACGGGGTTCTTGTTTATCAATTTGTGTGGTAATCGCTGACGATTTTTGCGTAAGGTTTGGGCTAACCATAACTCAGGCCCAAACGTAGTAGCCCGAATTTAGTCCGACCATCCGAATGGATCAAGATTGCTCTTTCAATTTTTTTTGGTTAGCTTTTGAGGTTCAATGAAGAGATTGTTTAACTGATACTGCAGATGTGACTTGTTTAACAAGAAAAGAATGGTTTTGATCTCAAAACGTAATTAGATTTTAGTTCCTGTTCGTTTCTTTTTATTGCTTTGTTTTTTTTTTTCAAATAATCATGTGAAAACTCTAGTTTAAAAACAAAGTGAAGAAAAGAAGATGTAAGCAATGATTTTTTTTTCCTGGGTTTTGTTTTATTAAATCGCTTGGCAGCTACAAGCTATCTCTCCAAGAACTGTTCTAAGTTTTCTTGAATCACAAGGCACATTTTCTCTCTGCAACATGAGACAGTATTTCTCAAACATCTCCGGTGTAATATTTAGCCTGAAATCAAGATCGAACAAGAACGTTCTCTCCAGCCTATTCATCTCTTCAGTGCTCACACCTCCGATTTTTGCGTAATACGCATTGTTATAACACCTAAATTCAAGGAAAAAAAAAAACAAGATAACAAACTCTTGTTATAATAATTAAATAGAGATGATGAAATTTTAGGTCTAATTAAGAAGATACTAACTTGCGGTCCAAGAATTTGGCTGCGACCAAGATACTGGTGATGAGAAGGCGATGAACGTTGAGTAATGTGAGACGACGAGTCATTCTTGTAGCCACTGGTCTTTGTAGATACCTCAGGATGTAAGCAAAGGCCGCAACGAAGCACGCAGGGCTACACCGAGCGTACCTGTGGACTCTCTCTGTGTAACGATGAATGGTCATTGATGGTTCTCTTGAGCCATGGAACATACTGATCTCTTCGTCCCTGTCGTTCGCCAGGAGATTCAAACATGAGATCGGAGAATAGAGAAACGATATAAGAGAAATCTCATCAATTTTACATATTGACAAACGGAATTCACGTTTTGTGTCTTGCGTAGAATGGCTTTTCGTTCTTTTGAATCATCTTTTCAAGAACTGAAGCGAGAAGAGTGATGACTCTAGGAGGGGTAGAGCTAGAAGGCTGATCAGAATCTTCTACAAGACCTAACCATTGGAAGAGCGATGAGTTGGTGATGTTTCTAGAAGTTTCCATCAATGTGTTGAAGACGATTTGAGAGGGCTTTAATAATCTTCCAGGTTGTATTGTTGGCTTGAGGTAGCACAAGAGAGTGGAAATGGAAGGGGAGAAGCAAAGTCCAAGCTTTTTGTTAAAGTTTTGCAACTTTAGATTCTTTGCTTTGAGGGAAAGTAACGTGTCGTGTATTGCTCCAATAAGTGTATTATTGTGTGGAGGGTTTTCGTGGGCCCCGCGATTGTTTTCTTATGGACAATTAGCCATAGTTTGTCCATAGAACCATGTAGTCAAGCTAAGCCTAATTGCTTAATTGATAGCCAAATTTTATGGAATTGGTGATGTTGCCTACTGGCTTTAGATAGCACTCGAAAAGTGCCATGGAAAGTTTTTTTATCTTGTTTTTTTTGGGGTCAATTTTTCCATGGAAAGTAATTAACTATAATTTTTTCATAATGATTTTATGGTGTTGATGTGGTGTCATAACTCAATTTGTAACTAAGAATGGGCTTGTTTGATTTGTGAAAGAGAAGAAAAAGAACGTATTTCATATTTAAATTACAGATAAATTTTTGTTTTTAAATACTAAAATCTTATTTCAATTTCAAACTCTCTCTTATTAGACTCTCCCCATCGAGAATCTCTTAGGAACTAAAACTGGACGCTGTTTCAATCCAGCCACCATCTCATCATCTTCATCACACTTCCCAACACTTTTCCTGTTCTTCAATGGAGACACCAACCTCATCGCTAATCTTGATGGCGAAAATGACCTCCTGAGCTTTGCTGCAGTTGATAGCTTCTGCGTCTTCTTGCCCACCCTAGTCGGAGAGATCGAAGGTTTGGGTGACTTCTTTCCCAAGTTACCATTTCTTGCCGGAGAGATAAATGCTTGAAGCGTGACTCTTTTCGGAGAAATGGACGACTTACGGGCCAAGCTACTTCCATTTCTCGTAGGAGTAAATGATCTTCTGAGCTTCGCAGCGGTTGATAGCTTTGGGGACTTCTTGCCCAAATTTTTAATAGGAGAAATCGATGCTGTAGGCGACTTCTTTCCCAAGCTAACGCTTCTTGTAGGAGACCTGGATCCTCTAGGCGACCTCCGAGCCATGTTGCTTCCGTTTCTGGTAGGAGAAACCGAGACTTTAGGTGGGCTCTTCTTGATCTTGACCTGAAACTTCGATGCTGATGTGGAAGGAGATTTGATCAAGAACTTGTGCGGCGTTTCCTTATTGTTCTTGCTACTGGTTATGTCATTTCTGGCTATGACCGGAGACATTGTTCTACTGAACTTAGCTTGCTGTGTGGAGGAACCGGAAATAAACAGAGGGTTCGGAAAAAGAACCGCCTTTTTAACCCAAGGTTTGTGCTTTGGCGAAACCCTGTTAGCCAAATGCCGAAAACTATTCTCACCATTGCCCTTTACTTGATGAACCTTCTTCTCTGCTGTTGTCTGTGGAGAGACGACTTTGAACACAATTCTTGAACGAGCTCTTTGTATAGACGGAGAAGAATCTGACTCTGATCGCTTGTTCTGCTTCTCTTTCTTCCTTCTCGCTTTGATATTGCTGCTGACAGTTTCAGGGTTCGGTTCCCGAGTTTTCTGTTGGATCTCAGGTGTTTTAGGGCCATCGCCTTCTTCTGGCATTGTTGATCTCCTGGACTTTCTATTCTTCTTTGGTGCAAGGGCATCTACAATGTCTCTTGTGACTTGTGAGGCTTGTAAGATTTCATTTACGGTCTCTCCTAGTAGCATTGCTGGGAGTGACATTTTCCTCCAGTCTCCTGGATTACACAAAAAAAGATTAACCATTGAACAATCTACGGAAATTAAGACTAACTTGGCGAAACACAGAGGCTTTGAATACGAGAATCTACAGTTGAATAGAAATCTAGCGAAAATTCTCCAACATTACCAAACATAATCAACTATCTTTTACAGCCTGTGGTATGATCTCTTATGCCTAATGCTTGTGTGTGTGTGTGTGTGAGAAAGAGAGAGGGAGTGAGATTCACCTGGTGAGGAAGCTGGAAACTTTCCTATTGGAGATCTCTTATTAGTAGCATTCTTGATCCTACAAAAATGATTATCAGTTTGGGAGTTTAAAAACCCGAGAAGACATTTCTGAATTTGGATCAACACCGATATTAGTGTAAGTAACAGTTTGGGTTTTGTATCTTCTGGATTTACCTTAAAGTTTCTTGCTTGCATCTAAGGCTGGTCTTCAAATAAGTTCTGGTACTTCGAGGGCTGAGGTTCACACCAGAGACAACTTTGTTTCCTCCTGCTATTGTGAATTGTAGCTCTTGCAGTCTTTCCATACATTTGTCAACCTTCACATTTCATAGCAAAATTTTTTATTTCAAAAATCAGCTAAAAAGCCCTCCAATGTTAGATTCCCAAAATCTAACTCAAGGCCTAAATTGACCCACGAAATTGTCCTTCTAGCTGAGAGAGATAAAGCTATAAAGTTAAAAAATATAATTCAGCTCAATCGCCGTCCGGTGTTAATTCCCAAAAATCTAAGTCATAGCCTAAATTGTCTTGTAGCTGAGAGAATGAAGATAAAATTGTATGTTCCTCAGGTATCAAGAAGATCCCATCAATGGTGGAAACTAAAATAAGATCCTTTAGAAATGAAAGCCCATTACTTATAATCAATTTAAAGAAACATCTTTTCAACTTGGGGCCAGACAATAGACAATTTTATTGGCAGTGGGTACAATTATTGGTCTAATTAAGTAAAGTTTCAAACATAATGGGAAGGAGCCTGAGAATTGGAGCGTTTGCAAATTCTGGTAAGATCTATTTATATAAAAAAGGTGTAAACTTTATGCTACTTAAGTAATTAAATTGGACTAATACCTTGCTGATTGTTTCCCTGAGAAGATCTGAGTTGAGAGGAGGCGCCACAATCGCCACTTTCCTCTGCTTTTGTGGGGTTCTTGCAACCATCTTTCTCCTAAACTCTCACTAAATTACCCAAAATTTCTCTATGGCTTCACAATTAGAAACTGGGTTGAGCTCAAACTTTTGTAGCAAAACCCATGAGATTCTCACAAGAGTTTTCAGAAACCCAGATCTCTCTCTTGTTCTCTCTGACTTTCAGACAAGAATCTTCAGCTTCGAATTGGTATTCTGTCTAATTGGTGGATGAATGTCTGAACGAAAAGTCAAACAGGCACGAGACATGAGAGAAGGAGAGCGGATAAAGGGGTTTATTTTCGTAACGGATCTTTCGTTATTATTTTTTATTTATTTAATTTTTTTCGTTCTTTGGTCCCAACGGTCTATTTACACATAACGGCTACCTTTTATTTGTATGCCAATTCTACCTCTTTAATCTTCAAACTAAATTGAGGGGAAATTAGTGGCATGTGGGGCTACATAAGCCGTTTTAGAGTGTTTGATTACGCAAAAAGTGATTAATTATCAGTTTTAAATCGATATTGAAAAAGTAAAAAATATCAATCAATACTCAATAATAATTTGGATTCATTATTGGGCCCGGGCTTAGGTTCTTAGATCTTTTAGCTTTGGGCCTTCTTAACATTTAAGATATTTAATAAAAACCTACAGTCATAGTTAGTTCCTTGCACTTGGGTCCACCCATGTGAATCTTGACTATGATGAAGAAAAGCGCTGAATTTGATTCAATGTTCGTTCATTAGTTTCCTCAATTCAGAACTTTTCTTAAAAAAAATCTTTTTGTGAAAATGGATTATGAGGAAGTCTTAACTTTTTTTTTGGCTACTGATGACCAGAAGAGATCATATAGTTTCTTCAGCTTCAACTCTATAGCTTTCAGATTTTCAGTGTGAGAGTATTGGTCAGGCTAGCCTCTTCATACACATTGATCGCTTCTGTTTTCATTTTTCAGTTGGAAGGAGCTGTTACAGATTCAGGTCAATAATGCATTTTGCCTAAGAAAGAAAAACCTAATTCGCTCAGTTTGTAGGTGGAGCTCTTAGAACCGTAACAGCAGTTACTAGAAAATAGGCGGGAACTATAACTTCAGAACCACTCTACATTTTTGCTAGAAGATTTAGGTTGCTTCTTCTTTGGCTTCCGATTGTTCTCAAACTGGGCTTTGACTATAAGAGCATACAGCAACTCTGCCTCCGCGGAACAATCATAAGGTTTGTCCAAAACACTGCAATTTGAACAATACGTAGACTAGTGAGTGACCCATTCACAAGCACAGAGAAAATCCCAAGGAGGTAGAGAGAAGCAGATATACCTGTCTAGTAACTCTTCTAGAACAATTCTCTGTGAAGGTGTGACGTAATGTATGCAGTTTCTCGGGCACTGGTTAACTGCAGACTGTAAGCGGTAATCTTCCCCATGGCCTGGTCATATACATACCAGTTAAATTATTAAAAGAAATGGAGCTATGTAGAAGGCTAATATGGAGGAAGCAGAATCATTCAGACCTTGAGACATTGCTCGAGCTGTTCCATTTGAAGCACATGAGAAGACTTGCGGAGCTGTTTTAAAACATGGGTACGAACACCCTGCAGTTGGAGAGAAACGTGTCTACATATCAACACAAGTGTTCCGAACTTCTTCGAAAAGATGGTCAAGGAGAAATGGCAACTGAAAGAGATAACTAAATCCAAGGAAGAGAAAGAAAGTTTGGTACTTTTTCCAACACAGAGGACCTCATTCACAAACACATCAAGTGCCTCGCACTCTGGATGGTCAAAAGGGTCTAAGCATTCTCTGCCAATGCGATCCACGGAAAAAAACATTAATTGGTTGTTCTGAGTCACATTCCAAAACCATTACTATTTTGTAGAATTTTCTGAAAGAGTATTATGAGTAAAAACCCTTCAATTATCTCTGATCGGCTATAGTTTGTTAACATCTGCAAACGAAAGTATTATTGAGATATTGTTAATGATGACCAAATCTTTACACAATTGTAGAACAAGATTTAGTACCTCATATGCCTGGATTATGCGACGGATCATAATATCAGAATTGCCTCCCTCTCTGTTAACATCTGGATGATATTGTTTCACCTTTACAGAAGGCAAAGTAGTTAATAAAACCGAGACATATGGAATTCCAAAAAATAAAAAATAAAAATAAGGCAATAAGTAGAGAAGAAGACAACAACGCAGAACCAATTTACGAATACAATCAAAACGAATTTACTTTGCAGAAAGAAAAGTAAAGACTTTTATTCTTTGATTCATACTTTGGCACGAAAAGCTGCCTTAAGCTCGGAAGATGAGCAGCTTGGATCTACGCCGAGTACAGAGTACGGTGAAGAGCTGGAGAGTGAATCTTCTCTACTTCTCTCTCTGCAACTGGGGATGAATCGCGTGGGAGCTGGAACGTTTCTTGAATCGGAGAAGAAAGAGATTTTAGGTATCGAAGCAAATACGCGAAGACATTCCATTGTATCTATTAACTTCTCTCTTCCTCGAAGTTTGTCCTTTTGAGGCGTTAACTGATGACCAGACAATTGTCAAAATATTAAGGAAAAGAGAGAAGACATAAAGCTTCTGTCTCAGCTAGAGAGTCTTCAACTACCGAAATCAACCGTCACAGACTCGATGGAATTTTTGGATTCTTGAGTTATGTATTCATGTAGAGAGAAGGTATTAAGGAGCTCTAATAGCTGTATCCATTTTGGCTTCCTCTGTATAATGTAGAATAGACCTCTTATCAGGTCTGTAACCTTCATCTACCACAACAGGAAACAATTCAGACAGAACATCGTATATAGCCTCTGCTTGTGGATGCAATTTGTCTTCAACAACGAAGCTGTGTATATTATTCTCGATTTCAATCCAACTTACGCCTGTTTCTTTAGTCACTCCCATTGCTTTCATTCTCTTGATCGTCTTTGCCCTCTCCTTCCACTTTCCTCTTGATGAGTATATGTTGGCCATCAAAATATGAGCGGCTGGGCTATTCGGTGCTGTCTCAAACAACTGTTCAGCTGCATATTTTCCTATTTCCGTGTCACCATGGAAACTACAGGCACCAAGCAATGCCTGCCAAATCAGACGGTCAGGTTTCATAGGCAATGATTCTATAAAGCTCTTTGCTTCTTTTAGACAACCAGCTCGACCGAACATGTCAACGATACAGGCATAATGCTCTGTCCTGGGCTCGATTCCATGGGCATCTTGCATTGTCTTCAAGAGTTCTTGGCCTTTATTGATCAACCCTACATGACTACAAGCATGAAGTAGTGACAAAAAGGTAACATCTGTGGGCTTCACGTCTTGCATCATCATTTCTTCGTATAGTTTCAAGGCAGCTAACCCGTGACCATGGCGGGCAAATGATGCAATCATCGAGTTCCATGAAACGTAGTTCCTTTTTGACATTCTTCTAAAGACGCTGAGTGAATCAGTCAGATCTCCGCATTTCGAGTACATGTTAATGAGTCCATTATTAACAAAGGTGTTATCGGAGAATCTTCGTTTGATAACCAAAGAATGCAGCTGCTTGCCTAGACCCAAAGAATTATCGACAAACGAAACGCCAAGAACAGCTGAGACTACATTTGCATCAATCTCTACACCAGCTTGAAGCATTCTAGTGAAGAAATGTATGGCTTCTTCCTCTAACCCATTTTGTGCTAAACCAACCAACATGACAGTCATTGAAACTTCATCAATTTCTTCTGTGGACTTAAAAATCTTCCACGCATCTTCAATGATTCCAGATTTAGAGTACATATCCATTAGCTCACTCTCAATGCACAACTCTGATCCAATCCCAAGTTTCCACAAAAGAGCATGAATCTGTTGCCCTTCCATTATCCTCTGTGAACTTGAACAAGCAGATAGAGCACTCAAAAAAGTTACTGAGTTTGGATGAATCAATCCTCTACGCATCAAACTAAACAATCTTAGACTATCTTCATGTAACTCATTCTGTATGAGACCCGAGATCACAGCCGTCCAAGTGATGACATTCCTTTGTACCATCTCATCAAAAACCTGTCTCCCAGAAACCGAACATCCACATTTGAAGTAGGATGTGATCAATGTGTTCCCCACGGAAATTTCCTTGTCATAACCGCTTAAAATAGCCAAAGCGTGAATCATCTTGGTCACCAAACAGAATTCTGGTAAATCACAGACTGATAAAACAATCGTCAAGGTTGCTTGATCAAACCCACCCGACCTAAGCATTCGTTTAAGAAGTACAAACCCAGACGCGATATCTCTGTTCCTCAGAAACCCACTAAAAACTGTATTCTGCGAAATATTATCTATTATGGGCATTTCGTCGAACAACTTGAGCGCATCAACTAACTTTCCACGTCTGACATACAAAGCGAGCAAAGAGTTCCAAACAACTAGAGCGTTTCGATGGATATCAGCATCTACGGGCTCGAAAAACTCAGGATTCTTGACGATGGAGGCGTGGATACAAGGACCCAGATGAGGAAAGCAGCCTTCTTTCCCGCAGATGGATAACAGACGACTAATATCGACATGGTTGAGGAGAAAAGTCGAGACTTGGCAATTTGGGCTCTGCCGGATTAAGATTTTCGAAGGGCACAAAACGGTAGACAAGAAAGAAGGAAGGTGAGAGGTCAGTTTCTGAATCATCCATCTGGAATTCATTCACCAAAACTCCGTATGCAAACGCTACTTTGCAGTTTGCGACAGAAGTTAATTTCCTCTCCACGAAGAGACAGAGACTAACTACGAAGCAGAGTCGAGTACTCGACTGTGAATTTTGAAGTAACACAAAGTTAAGGTTTTGAATTGTAGCTCAACTGCTCAAGAGATCTTTGTGTTTGAATTTTAGCCTTTGGAGAAGATGTACTTGTGTTAATTCGAGAACATTAGTAAAAGTGGGGGGACTTTTTTGTATAATTATCGGAAAATATTACATTTTGTAATTACACACACGATCAAATAAAAAGAGCAGATTTTTGTTTCTAATTCCTTAAGGATAAAGTCTAAGCTTGCAAGTGGGGAATAACACTTGGTAGGTTATCATGGTTTGGCTAACGGACGAGTGTTGTTCCAGAGCCATTGCTGAGTAGGACCTTCTAGCAAAGGTGAAACCTGCCAGGGGGAAACATAAAATGGTTAAGAACTGCAGCAGTATGTATAGACCTTTGATCTATTGCACTATGTGTGGAGAAGATAATAGTGTAAGTCAAAAGATTTTATGTGGACTAACCTTTTCCCAGACTTCTGCGTGATAATTATTAAGCCAGTCAATCTCAGCATGAGAGAGTAAAGAAATATCAACCATTTTTGTCTGCATGGTTTTGGCAAGAGGCAAGTATGTGAGATAAAAAGAAAAGAAAATCGACAAGCTAGAAGAATACCGGAAGGCGCCTCTGACCAGAAGAATGAGAGTTAGGTCAGAAACGAATGGATTTATCAAGTGGTACCTGAATGGGGAAAAATGTAAGCTTCTCAAATCCAAGGTATGTAGCACCACCAAAGCGGTTCGGTGTTTCAGCATCTTTTACATGAAGAAGATTCTGCAAAAGCAAGTCATATAATTGTTAGCTGATCTGATGTATTTTATAACGACTATCATGGACTGGTGACCAAGCCGCACCTCAATTCTGATCCCAAATGCATGGTCTTCATAATATCCCGGTTCATTGCTTACTATCATGCCATTCTGAAGAGGGTTCATGTTTCCATACCGAAAGCTAATACTTTGAGGACCTTCATGCACATTGAGTGCAGCACCTACACCGTGTCCTGTCCCTGTTAAGCAGAAACATGGTCAACATGGGTTCCTTAAAAAAAATTGTTCTGTGACGAAATGCCAGAAAAAGCTAGAATAGAGTACCATGGCGGTAATCAAGTCCAATTTTCCATAAAGACGAGCGTGCAAACCCATCCAATACAAAACCAGGAGTACCTTCTGGGAACACAGCTTGATCAAGAGCTATATGACCCTACAAAAAAAAAAAAAAAAACAATCAGATGAAAGCATCTTACCAGATTTGTTTGTTCAAGATAGGTAATCACGAAAGATGTGGAAAAGAAGAGCCAAATCCTCACCTGCAAAACTCGGGTGAAACATTCTTTCTCTCGTGCAGAAGGTTCAGTAAAATGTACTGTTCTTGTGATATCTGTAGTTCCATCGACATACTGAGCTCCACTATCGAGCAAGAAAAGTTTTTGAGGGTCTACACGACTGCAGCTCTCTGGCTCTGGTTTATAATGTATAATAGCACCATTTGCACCGGAACCTGCATGAGTAATTTGAGAGGAAAAGAATGCATCACTCACAGAATCTATATGGATTCTGTAATATGATGACAGGTATGGCATTATAATCGATAATCAAGCTCCAAAAGACAGGAAGGAAATAACCATACCGCTTATAGTATCAAAGCTTGTATCCATAAAACCATCTTGCATTGAACGAAATTCAAGGAGCCTGTCAGCCACATCTACCTCTGTTAGGTTCACATTCTTGTGCACTTCCTCTTCCAACCAAGCCCAGAAATGAGCAAGAGCAGCAGCATCTCTGCATAATAATAAATGAGGTCAACTGAAGAGATTTACCAAACTTTCGAGATAGGAAACTTTTATTGTATCCTCTAAAGGGGGAGAATGTAATCAATTTCTTACCTCAAGTGAGAATTCTTCATCCCATGTAACTCCGCATCGTTTTTGATGGCCTTCGCCCATGAAATAGGAGACGGCCTGTAAATCCCAGAGGGTTTTACGGAGTAACCGCTAGAGCCAATACTTAACTTTGTCTTAGCTTTGTCTGGGTTTTCAGACTTGCTTGAATATTTCTCACATGCAGATTTGTAGGTGCTAATGATAGCTACGTTGAGGGTTGATGGATCCATCAAGAGCTGGGCTCCTCGTGCTGCCAAACTGGGAAAACTCAGAGAGAGGGTAGAGTATAACGATGAGCAGAGCAGAAAGTAAATTTCTTTTCCGAAGCTTCTTATGGACCGAAAAAATCATGTTTACCTATCTATTTCTGAAAGAATGGAATCATAAGGTCTGAGTTCGATCCCAGCATTTGTCAAATGATCTTTCACTTCCGCAGTTACTTTAGAATTGTCCACAAAGAGTTTGGCTTGGTCCACCTCTACAATCAAATATGCGTACATAACAGGTGAATGTGGAACATCACTCCCTCTCTGCAATCAGAAAAAGGCGCATTAAAACATCAATGCGTTAGGAGCTTCAAACCGAAGAATAAGTTGAAAAATCACAAAGATAATACTAAGATGTTGATCCGGAGTATTTACCAAATTAAGCACCCATGCAATCTCATCAAGCATGGATATCACAATGGAAGATGCGCCGGCATCCATAATTTCGTTTCTCAGAGCGGCCAATTTTGATGCCACATCTACACCAGCATACTTCAAGTCATGTACCCTTATTTGTTTGCTAGGAGGCTTTGGCCTTGAGTCCTTCCATATTTCATCCACAAGATTTGCATTGTACAAGTAAACCAACTCATGATTCTTCTTCGCTATAGCTTCTTTCAATTCCTCAGCAGCATCGGCGGAAAAAAGGAACTGCTCCCTTCATGAATTCCAAAGTATTGTAAATACAAATTACAACTAAAATACTAAGGACATAAAGAGAGACAATTTGTAGAAGGTTTGATAGTAGCTTACAGGGTCAATGCCAACTCTTCCACCAGGAGCCAAAACATCAGCTACCCATTCACTTGCCGTGGGGACTCCTGGATTACCAGCACGCATGAGAACCCAACTAGCGTTTAATTGCTTCTCCGCCTTTGACACAATAAAATGTAGCGAATGTAGATAAGAAACCACAAGTTTCCTTTTTCAAATGTATGTACAAAGATGGCAATCAAAACACGTTTGAAAATGGATGGAATATGATCCAAAACCTGGAGAAAATAGCGACCATCTGTCCACAGAGCTGCCTTATCCTTGGTGACAACAGCAGTTCCAGCACTTCCAGTAAATCCTGATATAAAAGCCCTTCTCGCATAACAATCAGCGATGAATTCGCTCTAGCACCAAATATGAAGAAGAATCACACAGGCAAGTATCAATATAACATCGTTAACCCCAATTTATCAGATATACATGTACGATCAGGTTAAAAGGTAAAGTACCTGATGGGCATCTTGTGAAGGTATGATATAAGCATCGATTCCAACACCCGGCTCGGAAAACTGTTTCCGGAGAGCGATAAGCTTCTCGTCGAGAACTACTTCGGTTCGAGACTTCCGAATCTCTTTGGAAGGCTTTGCGGTGAAGGAGGAAGAACCGCTGCTACTAGCATGACACCTTACGCCGAGAAGGTGGTTGTACGGTAATGACCGGTGGAACAAAGGGAGCGATTTGAAATTGCGGAGAAATGGAGAGTGAGAGTAACGAGAGGTGAACAAAACGAGGCGATTTAGAGACGGCGAGGAAAGGGTGAGAGGAGTCATCGCCGGCGATAGTAAGAGAATCACACAAGACGAAAAGATAAAATGTGTGTATACAAATTAGTAATGAGAATTGCAAAACAGCCCCCATAGTATTGTTAAATCTTATGAAATGTGCATAACTAGTGATTATAACATAACAACCCCATTTAATAAACCAATATTGACTCATTCCTTCAACCTTGACTTTAATAATGCATCACACTCTCTTAATTATCAGTATTACATGACTTCCTCAATTCATCATCAAAGCAAAGTCTCTACTTGTTTCAACTTCAGTTTTCATCCTGAAATTGAATTTAAGTACCTCTTGAGTTGATATCAGTATTATGTTTAAAGAGATCAACAGTTTTTTCAAAGCCAATTCCTTTTCTCTCAATGTCTCTATTTCTTTTTCTTCCATATCACATCACCGAGGAAGAGCACAGCTAAAGCTGAAGCTTGAAACGATTGAATTGGTGAAAACCCAATTGCAATACAAAACAATGCGTAGCTTCGATACAAACTCTATCAAACTCTCTCTCTCTCGTCTTCGCGCTATACCCAGACAACAATGGCACAAGCTCATTTCCCTCTCTGCGTAACCTCAGAAACTATTTTACACCCTTCTTTAGGCTGGTTCGAGCTAACGAAACTTCCATGTACGCCGGAGAAACCAATACAGCCTCTAATCGGCGAAATGAAAGCCGACCAGTTTCGAAGCGAAAAAAAAAGGAGAAAAGAAAAAAAAAAAGCAAAACGGCAAGGGATAACAAGCAAAACGCATATACTGTGATATAATTGATGTTAATTTGACGGACAGTGTCATATAGGAACATGTCTCCTAATTGCTAAAAAATGATCAAAATCGAGCCCAAAACGACAGCATGATAACACGCAAAACGCAGTACACTCGCTCATTTTTGACTCAATATCGCGTGTATGTCCAAAATGAACAAAATCGATAGCTTATAACCTTTCGATTTTGGCGACACGCGGGCAACGCGCACCTGCTGCGACTGGGATGTTTCTTGCGCGTGACTTTTTCTTTTATTTACATTCGCACGAGAACATCACGTGACCTCTCTCTTTATCAATATAAATAAAAAAATTCAATCCATCTTTTGTCAAGGCTTCTTTTTCTACGGCCTTTTTTTTGTTAAGGGCCTTAAGGGGCCTTCCATAAAATAAATTTCACCCCGTTGACCAAATAAAAAAAAAGGAAAATCCGGTCGATTCTTTTCCTATTGACTATGGGCTTGTCGTTGTCCAAAAAAAAGACTATGGGCTTGTATGACTAGAATTTTTACTTGGGCTTCGTAGTTGGGCCAGTGAAAATCAATTATTCCCAAACCTGTTATATCTGAACTTTGTAGCACCAGGCCACCACCATCAGTCAAGTGATATACATAATTGGAATTTGATCTTTTACATGTAATTGCATGAATTGTGGAGTAGATTATCAACAATCTGATCTTTACACATTTTTAGCGATTACGAAACTATATTTATTGATAGATGCTTAGAAAAATGTTAAATAACCATGTTATGTTAATCAAGTTAATTTTTTTTTTTTAAATGAGGTGATGATGTCAGTTCTCACATTATTTTATTATTCGATTTTAAATATGATCATCTGCTACGGATACCACAATTCCACAAGTTGAACCAAAACATCGAACGGTGTATACATCCTTGTGATCCACGTGGGCGTTCACGATCACACATGGAGTAGCTACTGATATTTAAGAGTGAATGAAACAAAATAATCGAAATATTTTATTTGGAAAAATGACAAATCGGGAAAGCTTATTGGCTGAAGCCGTCCTTTCTATTCAAGTTTCGCGGCAACACCTCTCTCTACTCATTTCATTCCCTAATTCTATCTCTCTCTCCTCTCTTATCTTTTTTTTTTCCTCTTTTGTTTTCTTTTGTTTTGTTTTCTTTTGTTTTGTTTTAAAACCCTCGTTCAAATTTCTCATCGATCTCTCTTTTTGAAAGAAAGGCTCGTGCTTTCTCTCTCTCCTCCTACCCCAAACCTGCGTTTCGATTTCTATGTGGTTGGGCGACTCTGTTCCCTCTTCAAACTCACGTAATTGGTGAGTGAGTCGTCTGTGGATCTGCTTCGATTAGGGTTTTTAAAAGGGATTTCCTTTTTCCGTTTGAATTTTCTCTGTTGTGTTGGACTTTGAAATTTCCCCAGGATTTTTTTGTTTTTGAATTCTCTACACTTAGTTGTGTAGTTCTAAAGGGGCGTGGTTTTAAATCTATTATTTCTCAACTGGGTTTGAATGGGATTTTTTATCTACTTTTTAAGTTCACTCTATTGAAGTTTTTTTCCAATTTTTTTTTTCTGTGAGAATCGGTTTCAGATTTGTGGAGTCTGCGTTTTATTTGATATCTTCAAGCTAGGCAAATGGGAGGTTCGCTTCGATTTTGTGTTTCTGCTTGAATTTTAACAATATCTTAACACATTTCCTCGAAATTTGGCTTCGGACTCCTGATTTTCGTGTCTCGTCACAATGGATGTTGATTTCCTAAATTTGGGGTTTTTCTGGTACTCTTAGGTTTTTGAATACCCAAACTTCAATCTGATTCTGATTTTCGTTATTCTTACCTTCTCGATACTGCAGATATTTATCTTCCCCAACAGTGCTTTTTGTCTGATCCAAGAATGGGTTATATAGTTGTTTTTTTAGTACATTTTTGAAATCTCTAACTGTTTTAGTAAAATTGTAATTTGGAACTTGTACACGCTTTAGAGGAAGCCAAACTATTTGAAATTTGCACATTCTTACAATGTCATTTTAGTGTCCTAACTATTTGAAATTTCTTGGGCAGAGAAACCTGCAAATGGCACCGGTTAGGAAGTCGCGGAGTGTGAACAAGCGTTTCACCAATGAAACTTCCCCAAGGAAAGATGGTGGGAGCTCGAGAAAAAACAAACAGCGTGTGAGTAATCGATCTTCAATTTCTAGAAAGTTGAATGAGATGTTACTCAGAAGCATTTAACTATGCTTTGCTTTGCTCATCGTAGAAGAAGAAATTGTCTGACAAGCTAGGACCTCAGTGGACCCGAGTAGAGCTTCAGCGTTTCTATGACGCTTACCGGAAGTACGGCCAGGACTGGAGAAAGGTGATAACTTTTTTCTACTCACATTCGTTATTGTGAGTTTCAATGGCTTCAGAGTTCTTGAAGACTATTTTTTTGGTCCAGGTGGCTGCTGCGATTCGGCATAGCAGGTCTGTTGACATGGTGGATGCCCTTTTTAATATGAATCGGGTACGAGTATTAGACATCTTGTATTTCAGTTTTATAATTAGTATTTGATATGCCAATTTTCTTTGTCAGGCTTTAACTTGAATCTTGTATAATTTTGCATTTATAAGATTTGCTTGTTCTTCCAGGCATATTTATCTCTTCCGGAGGGAACTGCCTCCGTAGCTGGCCTTATTGCTATGATGACCGATCATTACAGTGTCATGGTGAGAATTCTATTTAACAACGTCTGGCACACCAATGACAATGCATGAAGTGACCTGCCAGTAGATGAGAAAATGAAATTTCATGGTTGAAAATGTGGGTGGTTGGTGAATAAACCTCTAATCATTAACGTGAATAAACAGTCAAAAACCGTTTTCATTATAAACCATTGAATTTTGTGTTACCCTATGTGGCCAATCTATTGGGTCAGTTTGTATATTTGATAAAGTTATGTAGACTGGTTTGTATCCCATTCTTATGGTATATCTTCTAGGAAGGGAGTGGCAGCGAAGGAGAAGCCCATGATGCTTCAGAAGTACCGAGGAAACAGCAAAAGCGAAAACGTGCAAAACCTCAGCTTAGTGATTCTCGAGAAGAAGTTGATATACAACATTCAGCTGCGTCAACAGATGGATGTCTCACGTTTTTGAAGCAAGCACGAGCTAATGGTAAAGTGCCTAAATATTACTGTCGTCTAAAGAACCTAAATCAAATGGTTACTATGTGATTTTCCCATTATATCATATAAGCAGGTGAGGAAGTTGATTACTTGGGTCTGCATTTGTTATTGAGTTTTGTACTCCAGCATTTACAAGTTGTCCATCTGTCTAGTAACTGTAAATCAATTCATTTAACAATGTGTAAATTTGATTCTTAATTCATGTAGGAACTCAGCGACGTGCCACTGGAAAACGTACACCTAGGGTTCCTGTACAAACTTCACTCATGAGGGATGAAGGCTCTACCCCACCGAATAAAAGAGCCAGAAAGCAACTTGATGCCAATGATGATGTTGCACATTTTTTAGCATTAGCATTAACAGACGCATCAAGAAGAGGAGGGTCTCCAAAAGTTTCTGAAACACCAAATAGAAGAACAGAAATTAGCGATAGCTCGCCAATAAAGAGCTGGGGGAAAATGGTAACTCTCGAGCTCTATAAATATTATTATCCTTTTTTTTATTATCTGTGTAATATTGATTTACTGAAAAACATGATTCAACATTGTGCTTTGACCAGTCACGAATGAGAAAAGCTCAAGCTAAGCACCGTGACAGTTCCATGTCCGAGGAGTGGGTGGGAAGCAGCCGAGAAAGGAAGCATGAATCTGATAGAGATGCTGCATTGTTGATGGATATGGAAGAAGTAGGTGAAATGGAGGTTCCACGGAAGGGGAAAAGGTTCTACAAGAAAAAAGTGAAAGTCGAAGAAGCAGAGGGTAATTATTCTGATGACAATGGAAGTGCTACTGAGGGGCTCAGAATTAAATCACAGAGGCGAAAGGCAGATGTTGAAGCCTCAAGAGGGAAATATTCACTGGGCAGCCCAAAGAAAAGAGATAACAAACTTACTTCCGGAGGTAAAAACCAGTTGTAATTTAGCTTGAGGCCTGAGTACAATTTCCAAGAATATGTTCCAATGTTAGCCCTTTCTGCCAGGAAAGCTAGAGTTATTTATCATCTCTTATAGGCTCTAACATAATTTCGTTTACAAGCTAAAATTTTTGTGAGATCTGATTATGTATTTCTCCTGCATTGCCTATTTGAACCTTGTGCTGAAAACATATGGGATTCTGAAACTTATTGCCTGTCTTTTCCTGCGTAGATGAATTTGATGCTCTGCAAGCCTTGGCTGAATTGTCAGCTCTAATGCATCCGGCTGCACTGATGGAAACAGGTGAGCTTTGTGTGGTTTTGCTTGTAATTTAATCGATGACGCCTCAGTATACCTGAAATTTGTGTTTTTTTTTATCTAGAATTTCTCATTGAGTATGTAGATTGGGTTAAAAAGAAGAGTCTGCCACTACTCCAATTCTGCAGTTTTTCACTATTTTCATTAGGTCATGTCTGTATTTTAATTTTTAGAATATCGTGTTGGATCCAGAATCATCTGCTAAGGTGAAGGAAGAAAGAATAGAAAATGACATGGACGAAAAATCTAGCTCACCGGAAGCTACATCCTCAAGCAGTCATGGGGAAAAATCAAATGCAGAACCAGATGATAATCTCCTTGAGAATGCTTACGATAGAAAACCAAGGTCTTCAAGTCAGGCGTCCACTGAGTGTAATGCTGTTTCCACAGGGAAGCTACAGTCACAACCTACTAGTGGTAGTTTAAGAAGAAAACGTAAACTAAAGGTTTGCAAGATAGTACTCTTAATTTCTATGCACTTTCTTCTAGGCATATTTTTAGCTATATTTGAATTGTGTTTGTTTTTCAGGTGCTAGGGGATGAAGCTCCAACAGATTCCAGTCTGAACAAATTCATAAACAAGAAGGTATTCGCTGTGTATGTTTAACTAGTTGAACTTGTATGTTGAATTAGTTGAAACCCGTCTTGACTCTTATATTGCTTCGTTTGTACATTAAATTTTAATCTTAGTTTGACTCTGTGATCTGTGATTACTATCTTTTGAAGCAAGTTTGAGATCCTTGACAAAGATCTCGATTAAAAATGCATATCGAGTATTCAAGTTTGTGCTTTTGAAGAAACGTTCCTCATATAATTTTGTTTGTTTTGTTTCAGGAATTGGCTCAAGAAGAGCACAATATGAAGTCTTTGGTTAGAACAAAGCGCGCTGGTCAAGGTCCTCCGCAGTCAAGACAGTTGAAAACTGTTAAGATGTTGGATGAATCTACTACAATCAGCGATAAGAAAAGATCTGTGATGGATGTAATAGTGTCAACTAAACAAGATTCTGATTCGGGCCCCGCCAGTTTTCTGCAGAAACCTCTAAGCAGGCGTAAGATGAGTCTGAAAAAAAGCTTACAAGAAAGGGCTAAATCTTCTGAAATTATTCATAAAGCTTCACGTAGTTCGAGATCTCTTTCAGAACAAGAGTTGGTATTAAAGGTGGAGCCTCTAACTTCACTTCTCTTATGCACATTCAAAATCTGGTTCTTATGTTATGTTTATCCCTATGCAGGATAAGCTTTCAACTTCTTTGTTGTATCCCTTGGCACGTCGAAGGTGCATATTTGAATGGTTTTATAGTGCTATCGACCATCCCTGGTTTGCAAAGATGGAGTTTGTCGATTACCTAAATCACGTGGGACTTGGTCATATTCCAAGACTTACTCGTCTTGAATGGAGCGTCATTAAAAGGTTTGTTCAAGTTTTGTTATTGGAAATGCTCCCAGAGAATATATGTTGATTTTAAATGGTTGCTCTTTTTTTTTTTTTTTTTGCAGTTCTCTTGGTAGACCCCGAAGGTTCTCTGAGAGATTTTTGCAGGAAGAGCGAGAGAAACTCAAACAGTACCGTGAATCTGTGAGAAAGCATTATACAGAGCTTAGAACAGGTGCTAGGGAAGGGCTTCCTACGGATTTGGCTCGGCCATTATCAGTTGGGAATAGAGTCATTGCCATCCATCCCAAAACGCGAGAGATACATGATGGGAAAATTCTCACTGTTGACCATAACAAATGCAATGTTCTGTTCGACGACTTGGGCGTAGAGTTACTTTCGGTAATTCGAATACTACACCAGTTCCTTTCACACAATCCAATCTTTTTATGATTTGTAGACATAAGGTCTCAGTCGTTTGATCGTCTCCTATTTCGACAGGACATTGATTGCATGCCTTCAAATCCATTGGAGTACATGCCAGAGGGTCTAAGGAGGCAAATTGATAAGTGCTTGTCCATGAAGAAAGAAGCACAGCTAAGCGGGAATTCAAACCTTGGTGTGTCTGTTATATTCCCGCCATGCGGACTTGAAAATATCGACTTTTCCATGAACCCGTCTCTGAATCAGGTAGAGAAAAATGGATTTGACTAGTCCTGTCAGAGCCTTTAAACTTCTTAGGTCTTCCCGTACATATTTAGTAAATATTTGGCCTAACCCATTAATTCTCTACAGGGTGATATGATTGCTCCCATTCTGCCTGGAAAAGTATTAACCAACACTAGTAGTCCACATCAGACTAATCAGTCATATATCATGAATTATAGTAACGCAAGAGAAGCTGAGATTCAACGAGCACTTGTGCTACAGCATGCTTTAGATGAAAAGGTAATGGACTGCTGATGTCTTTCTTATTATTTATATTGGTAAATATTGTGTTTTGGAAACCGAATGTGATCAAATAAATGGACCATTGATTGCCCACTGAAACTCTGCCTTCTGATTAACTTAAAAGAAGCTTATATATGTGCTGTGTGACAGGAAATGGAGCCAGAGATGCTAGAAATTTTCAAGGGCTCAAAGACAAGAGCGCAAGCAATGGTGGATGCAGCTATTAAGGTATCGATTCAGCCGCTTTCCTATATTCTCTTGCAAGATACATATGTTTTGCTGTGTTGTAATCGCCCTACGGTTCTAGGCTGCATCATCTGTGAAGGAAGGAGAAGATGTGAGCAAAATGATCCAAGAAGCCTTGGATTTGATTGGCAAACATCAGCCATTACATGGCTCTAGGATCAAACATCGCGAGCATGCAAATGGCAGCATAGACCATCATCACAATTCAACTCCCTCAGACGCATCAAAGCCTATGGCTAACAGCGATTTCATCTCACAAGATGGTTCGGAGAAAAATGAGGCTCAAATGCCTTCAGAGCTAATCACCTCCTGTGTAGCCACTTGGCTCATGATTCAGGTAATCAGGAAGTTGCTTGGAAGGGTCGCATACCCAGTGAGATCATCTGGAAGCGTTCATATATCAGACTGCATCCACTGAACTTTGCTTTCTCTATAACTTGCAGATGTGCACGGAGAGACAATATCCTCCAGCTGATGTGGCACAGCTTATAGACGCAGCAGTCACGAGCTTGCAGCCTCGATGCGCCCAGAACCTACCTATCTACAGAGAAATACAAATGTGCATGGGACGAATCAAGACTCAAATCCTGGCTCTAGTACCAACTTAAAAGGCCAACTCATTTGGGTTTGTGTTTTGTTTTTAATCTCCTTTAGGTAAGTCCAGTCTCCTTTTAGCTTAGAGTAGATAAAGACATCTATACCTGAGAAAATGGTGTTAGAATGGGTTCAAGATAACAGCTTGACCAGAGGTAATTTAGTTATTGAACAAGCTTTTGGCTAATATAGGGGTTTCTGGTAGTGAACCATTGGTTCTGTAATCTGAGCTAATGTTTATGGTTTTCATTATAATTCTCCATCAATGTCGTTAAGAAAATACCTAAAATGCCCAGTTTTCTCCTTTTTTGCCAGTTTCAAGATCAGGTATATATAAAGCCTTGAATTTAGTTATCGAGCTGAAAATCCTCAACTATAATAAAGTGAAACAGAGCTGGAAAATCTCTAATTGTTTTCTAGTTAAAACAAATATTAGACAACCAAATGAGTAAGAATGTCTGATACAAATGTATAAGCTCAAACTTTTGTATTGTCTTCTTTAAATTGCACGAGGTGGTTTCTCAAGCAATGCAGAGAGATAAACCTCATCCTTGGACTTAGGTGAAATAGCCCACTTGTGTTTCTTGTACCTAAACTGCAGGAACATGTACATATAGTCATCAAGATCCTTCTTTTTGCAGAAAAATCTATCAATCCACAGTAACCCACCCGGTCTCAGCACTCGATCCCAATCATATAACACGAAATCCATCAGAAGAAGATCTATCCAACCATCCATTAACCCAGCAGTATGAATCATATCCATAGTATTGTCGAAGAAAGGCAGCCTCTGGTTCACAGAGATGTACAACGGGATCAATCCTCGCAACGCAATCATCTCGTTGAAAGGGGCTCCTAAATTCAAAGCAGTTGTGACAAAAGTCGCATTCTTTTCTCTCATTCTTGCTGCAAATGTTCCTGTCCCAACACCATAATCCAATCCAATCCTAATCTCACCTTGCTTCACTCTCAAAACATCATCAATCGTGAAATCAACCAACAAAGAACTGTTCTTGACCCATTTACCAATCTCTTTCTCCATTTCAAAACATCCGCTGCATTTCGTGTATCCCCTTTTAGGGTTCTTACTTGACAAGCAAGCGAAATTCCTGCACTGGTAATTTCCCCACCTTACATTTCTATCATCAGGAAGCTTCCATAATGACTCGTTGATCGGATAAGGTTTCTGGTAAGTCATGGATGCTCTTGTTAAGCATCGTCTTCTAGGCAACGGGTCACACCCATTTACTATAAGCCTCTGTGCTAAATTCCAATCATCATCACAATACGCTCCAACATCATAATCCATGTACTTTTCTAGCTCCATCTTCATCAACACACAAGCATGACCTATTGTGTTGTAAACTCTCTCTGTTCCAAACATGTTTATCTTCCCAACTCGATTCTCCTTTGGGGTAATATATTGCTTTATCTCCTCAATGAGAAACTTGTTGATCAAAGGCTCTTCCTTTTCCGTTGAGTTTCTGATTCCTTCGGGTTTTGGTAACCGGATTTGCCTTAAACCGATATGAGCAGAGTAAAATGGCTTCATCACTTCGTCTTCAAGAAACTTCTTCATCTCTTTTTTGCTTCCGTCTTTGCTCTTCTCCATCTCTTTAACCGTCTTCTCTAGCTTCTCGTACAAGTTATCCATCTTTTCGAGGACTTCACCAACGCGATCGTGCAGTGCCTTTAGGTCGAATCCTTGGTGGTTGACGTCTTTGATTGTGTAGATATTGCGGCAAATGTCTTCGTTATGCAAGAAGTAGCCAGAAGAATGGAATCTATAGAGACATGATAGGCTCACAGTGATCACTAGTAACCCTAAGATTACTTGTAATCCTGCCATTACTCTTCCTAATCGCCATCTCGGCAAACATGATCTCCCCATTACTTCTTCTTCTTCTAATACTAAATTTCTTTAATTGAATGGTTCTAATCCTGACCTGAGAAAACAGAGTAAAGTGTGAATCTATCTAGCTCTACATCGATTTTTCCTTTATTTTCTCGGGAATCAAACAGAGAAGCCTAAGGACACGTTTATATCCAAGAACATGAGGAAGAATGTGCATAAATAAAAAAACTGATTATTACCAGATAAGTAGAGATATTCCTCGATGTTTTGATGGAAACCTTTCCACTCTGGTTTCTCCAAGAAAAGTAGAAGAGATTTCATGAGTTTGTTTTTCAACCTCAAAGTTAAAACGCTACTTGAATTAGAGATCCGAGAGCTGCGGGGAAAAAAGTGTGTTTTAATTTGTGTCTGCTTGAAGAATTAAAGAGCTGGAGATACTTAAAGCTGAAGCTTAAAGCTGACTTATTATGACTAAGTATTTTTAGGACAAAATCCACTAACTCGTGATGAGTCTCTCTCTCTTTCACCAACGTGCCTAATCCCTTAAGCTCCGGTGTTCCCACCTCTTTGAATATTGTTAAAAAAGTCAACTATATATTACTATATATGGCCTATGTATGTACACATATCTCGATTCTTGAAATCTTGACCAATATAGCACTTTTAATGTTTGTGAGAGAAAAGTAAAACGAAGATATGAAATAGAGCACGAATCTCGTAGAATTGTTAATTATCAAAAGTGAACTCCGAGGCCGCCAGGCCGCGCGATTGCCTATCACACACAGCTCTATCAGAATTTTACTTTCGAAGTATTTCGTTTCCATCTCAAATGTATTTGATTATTTAGCCTTGTGCTATCGTGAGGGTTAGTTGATTAACTAAGAAATTTGGCTTTGCTATAATTGAGAACAATATAATATTGAGCGATGCAAACGCAAACGTCGCTTTTACGGCTGTTTATGACCGATTTATTTCTTACAAAGAAATTTGGTCTTGTGGGACCGGATCAAATGTATTGAAGGTCTCGGACTTTTTCTGCTAATAATGCTATGCTAAATTGCAAACCAGTGCGCCGAAATCTATTTTCTTGGTCAAACTTGACCTAAACCCTCTAATTAACCTTAATAAAATCACAACGTTTATTGATGTAACAATTTGGTGCAAGTTCATTTACGTTTCTGCGTTTCATCTTAAGTTTTGATAGAAACGTTTCTTGTTTTTTTGCGTCTTGGTTCAGTGAATCAACCATCTTAGAACTACGCATTAAATTTCTACATCTCATTCAATGTAAAATTTGGGCTAAATTCTAACCACGTTTGATCGATTTGTTTGAGTTATTATTCAACCGATCGAATCGAAGTCATCATCATTGCTAATTAATAGTTACATATATATCGATATACGACTTGGTTTCGTGAGTATCTCAAACTGTATACGATTAAGTAACTTGTTGGTTCTTCTCTCCTTTTTAGTCTTCTTCACGGATCTCTTAGCATTTTCTCTGTTCCACTTGTACGGTCTCGTTTCTCGTCTTATCGTCCATAAATTCAAACAACGAAAACGGTAACTTGAGGCCTCAATTAGGCTAACGGTCTATTATGGGGCAACATTATTCTAAAATTCTATTTATAGATGGTATAATATCCAAAGCAAACCAGAGCCTTAGACCAGAAAATAACCAAAAAAAAGTAAACAAACCGTGTGCTGGTTATTGGTTAATTACAACAAATGAACATGAACCTAGACACAATGTTTGGTAGGTACGTCTGCATCACAACATAGCATGATATTTTCCATCTTTGATTCTTGGTGGTTAACCAATACTAGCTAAGTCTATATATATATCGTAAAAGAAAAGGGTAGAAAACATTCCTCTTCACAAAAATTCTTGCTCTATTTTTTTCCCCACACGAAATTTTGTTTCTTGTTCTCGTTCTAAGGCTTTTGAGTGAAGAAAATGGAGGGAGAGAATAATATGGAGAAAGGATTATTATTGGTAAATAGGGAAGAGACTGCTAATACAACTCTGCTTCTTGTCTTCTCCACTTTCATCATTGTCTCCGCCTCCTTCACATTTGGTGTCGCCGTATGTTCCCATTTCTCTCTCTCTCTCTCTTTCTAAAATATTTAACCGAAGTTTGAGCGGCGTGTTAACATTATTTAACTGTTAGTGGGGGTAGATCAGGACAGTAAAAGTAAAGATATGTGGATCAATTTTTATCTTTTGCAAATAAAATTTTTAAAATAATTAATTTTCACAGGCAGGTTATACTGCAGATACAATGTCCTCCATTATGACAGACTTGGATCTTTCTCTCGCACAAGTAAGCCCCTGTTTCATTATAAAAGAATAATATCTAGCTATCGAAAGTAACCTTTGATATAGATTTTGTCAGCTAATTGTTCCAATTTTACGTACCAATCGAAAACAAATTATATACAAGTGAATATACACAATTATATTTTGATATTTACTAGCTACGTGAAATATATTAAAATGGTAAATATTTTATTTCATTTATAAAAAGAACATGAATTAAGTACTGCAAGTGGTGAAAATATACAGTTTTCGCTGTTTGGTTCGCTCTCGACGTTTGGAGGAATGATCGGTGCAATATTCAGCGCCAAAGCTGCATCTGCCTTCGGTAATAAAATGGTTAAGTATCTATTTTTTTCTTAAAATCATCCTTACATTTTTTAATATTTTAATATATATGACCGTATCTATCGTAACGTAAATACTAAACCCTCATGGTTTCTACAATAGTAAATGCTAACCTCTCATATGGTTTCTTTTCCAAAATTTTCTTAGACGTTGTGGCTCGCTGATATATTCTGCATAACTGGTTGGTTTGCAATTGCACTAGCCAAGGTTTCCTCTTAACCCATCTAATATTCTTACTTACTTTTGCAAGTTATATAGTAATATTAATATATTTATTATACCGGTTTATTTGTTTGGGTACAGAATATTATTTGGCTCGACTTGGGACGATTTTTTGTGGGAATTGGAATTGGTCTCATTAGCTACGTGGTAAAAGAGATTCTCTAAATGCTGATAAAGGATCTCTAGCCCTAGGCTACTAAATATTCCTAATTTTCTTTAGTTGAATATTCTTTAGGTACCTGTATATGTTGCAGAGATAACACCCAAGCACGTGAGAGGCGCTTTTACGTTTAGCAATCAGGTGACATACAAATTCAAAGCTCGAAATTAGATATAATTAATCACATATGTGTATTTGAGTTGTAAATCCAAAATTAATACTTTTCAGTTGTTGCAAAACTGTGGAGTTGCAATCGCATATTACTTTGGAAATTTCTTGTCATGGAGATCTCTAGCCTTTATCGGTGATTTATTCCTAACTAATATTATTCATTCTTCTTCGAGTTAAATACAGTATATTTATTTTCCAAATTTATTTAACTAAAATTCATTTCCATAACCAGGTATTATTCCATGTGGGATACAAGTTATTGGTTTGTTCTTCATACCTGAGTCTCCAAGATGGCTGGTTAGTCATATAAATTAAATATATGCTACATGTTAAATATAGATTAATTTGAACATGATTTTATAGGCGAAAAAAGGTCGCGATAAAGAAGTCGAAGATGCTCTTCAAAAGTTAAGAGGAAAAAGATATGATATTGTGCTCGAAACTCGTGAAATCAAGGTACCCACACATTTAAATCATTCCAATAATCATATGTTCAAGAAACATTGAGAATCATTTATAGATCACTTTCAGTTGAACAAAGTTTTTTTCTTTATCTTCATGTGAAAATTCCTACTCGTCATTTCAAAATCTTGTAGATTTCGGTTGAAGTTTCGAAGCAAAATTCGAATATGGGCATTCGTAGTCTTTTCAGAAAGAGATATGCTCATCAACTTACAGTAAGATAAAATTGTTCATTTATTGGAAAATATATTTGAAATGTGATATGGATTTGAAAACTCAAAAAAAAAAAGATATTTATGTTTTCTTGTATATGTTAATTGTGTTTAGATAGGCATAGGTTTGATGCTTCTGCAACAGTTATGTGGAACTGCAGGAATAGGCTCTTACGGAAGTACTCTGTTTAAACTTGGCGGTAAAAATATAATCTATTATGCTCTCAGATATTATGTCTTATTTTTCATTAATAATATACACGTAATTTTCTTTTGAATTTATTTTTAAAAAATTTAACACTTTTGTTTTCAGGATTTCCTGCTCGGATTGGGATGACGGTGTTGTCTCTTATCGTCGTACGTATAATTATGAATAAATCGCAATTTCTATTTTAGTTGCACTTTGGCCTCTAAATATACCCATCCTTACAATGACAATGATTGCGTCAATTTATTAATTCTGATATCATCGTAACCCAAATATCTTATCAATGATTATGCATAGGTACCAAAATCTTTCATGGGTTTAATCCTCGTAGATCGATGGGGAAGACGACCACTTCTTATGGTAATAACTTTTTTATTTGAACTTTTGTTGAGTGTATAGCTTTGTTTTTATTAATTGGATGCTAGAGGCTGCGTAGCAGATAAAACTGATTAGGCCAAGACTTCTCTCCGATTAGTTGCTAGTTTTCCTATATTAGATTTTAGGTATTTAGATGCAGTTCCAAACAGAAAAGATTTTAGATAGTTATATCTGTTGAAGAAAAATAGCCCATTATAGTGGATGACAAAACCTCATGCACAATTGAAACAAGGTTGAAAAACCTTATGGCACCATTGTGATGCTTTCCAAGTACCAAGTATTGTATCTTAGGCTCAAGTAGTCCAGTGATCGTATAGCTCGTAAACGGTGACATAAACGGCTAATTAATCAGTTAATTTTTATCGGTTTACATATATATTAAATAGATTAATGTGTGGTATTTGCAGACTTCAGCATTTGGGTTATGTTTAAGTTGTATTTTATTGGCGGTAGCTTTTGGAGTTAAAGATGTCCCCGATATTGAAAAAATTTCTCCCATTTTCACTTTCATTGGAATATTGGTAAGTTCTGCAAAATTTGATTTTCGGTTTAATTGGTATATATACTATCATATTATATCACTAATCACTTTATAACACTTTTTTTTTCAAACAGTCATTCACGATGATGTTTGCAGTTGGAATGGGGGCGTTGCCATGGATTATAATGTCTGAGGTATACATATGATCAAACATGTTATTTTATTTTTCGTTTTTTGGATTATATTCCTTTTATCCAAATCAATTACCGTATGTTTTCCTCTACTGGAGGAGTATTATTTAGGTAAATTTTTCTTTTGGCAGATATTTCCAATGGATATAAAGGTATTAGCTGGGAGTTTAGTGACCATAGCCAATTGGTTCACTGGTTGGATCGCAAACTATTGTTTCAATTTTATGTTGGTGTGGAGCCCGACCGGTACGTAACCTAAACTACATACTTTTAAATAAGCTGAATCTATATTTTGTTTGATTTCTATATCAAAAAATGAAGTAACTAGACTAAATTTTAGGGAATTTCTCTAAAATTGTTTAATGGTGTCTTTATGAAAATAACTTGCAGGGACTTTTATTCTATCCGGTATAATCTGTGGAGTAGCAATTGTATTCACATGGTGCTTGGTGCCAGAGACTCGAGGATTAACGCTAGAAGAAATCCAACTTTCGTTTGCCAATTAATGCTTAATTAGGGTTCATCATTAATATTCCGTACATAAAAGGTCGATCGATACATATATATATATATATATATATAATTCGGCGCTTAGTGCATGTCCATAGATTGTTCGATTCTTTTCCACGTAAAGTTTTTGAGTGTTTGATTGAATTCATTATATATTTTCCTGTATGCAGCATGATTATACTATGATATTTCTTTCTATTTCCTTCAAATTTCCTTATTTATCATATAACATCACTGAATCTTAAAATGTATGTTGTGTGGTACATGGCATCACCAAATGGAACATTTTTTAGCTAACCTTCTTACTATCGAAGAGAGAAAATTTCCCTTCTTAAACGTCTCGCAAGTCGCAATGCACTTTGAATACAAACGCCGTCGTTTAGTTGGATTCTAAAACGACGTCGTTCGCAATTGTAACTAAGACGCTGTCGTTTAGTTTCTAGCTCTGCAAGTGATAAGAGTGAGTCGACGGCAACACTCGATGACCTCACTTCAAATAAGGGACGAGAAATGTCTCTGAAACTTTACTTCTCTCTACACTCATCACCCAAAAATGCAAAAATCTCCAACATTTTTATCGCTCAGCAATCCTCCGGTGATCGGAAACCTTCCCCGGCCGAGGAGTTTTCTCCGCTGGCTGAGAAATTCAACAGGCGGCTTCTTCTGGGCGTAGGATCGTCATCTGTGCTTGCGATCGGTGCTAATTTCGGAGGAATCACGAGTTTAATACTCGGTTTTTCGCCGGAATTCGGCCGGAATTTGAAACTCGACGTCGTATATCCGATCAGAGGTTATAGGAGATGTATCGACACGGTTGAAGGATTCGGTTAGTAAGTCCACTCTCTTAACTCATCAAATTTAACAATCTTTACTTTAAATCGATGAATGATTGCCAATTTTGTAAGAAAGAATTTGATATAAATCTATAATCCGCAGAGTTTATATATCCGGCTTCGTGGGTTGGAGACCAGACGCTTTTGTATAGAGCGGCTCGGAAAACAGAGCGGGAGATTTCGCTAGACCTTCCTCCGGCTAGAAACAGTCGCCGGAAAAACGTCAATGAACCGGTTGTTGCATTTGGACCGCCCGGTTCGACCGGCGAGCTCAATGTCAGTGTTATCGTCTCTCCTGTCTCACCTAGTTTCTCGTAAGTTAAAAAAAAAACATCATTACTAAATATATTGTTATAGTCTTATAGATCATGAACATACACATGTTTTACAAGATTTTGCCAAAAAAAGAAAAAAAATGGTAAGAGCAAAAAACAATTGACATTATGTTCTTACATGAAGGGAATCTGTTTTAATAAAATGCGTATTGTTTATGATATATAGAATCGAAGCGTTTGGAGGGCCTAAAGAAGTAGGTGAAGCAATAGTAAGAACAGTGACAGGATCTGGTCAAAGAACAGATTTAAAGGGAACTTTGCTGGAATCAAATCTCAGGCAAGATTCAGAGAGAAAGTTGAAGTACTATGAGTTGGAGTTTAAAGTCGAATCACCTCTTTTCCGGCGGCATAACGTGGCCGTTTGTTGCGCTAACGGTGGCCGGCTTTATACTCTGAACGCTCAGGCTCCAGAGTCAGCTTGGTCGGAGTTGCGATCGGAGTTTTTCACTATTGCTAAATCATTCAATATCATTTCTTGAAATGTGAAGGAAAACAAACTTTAGTTTCGCAAAAGAAACAAGACACTACAAAAGCAAGGCTTATTTTCTTTTCTTCATAATCGGTATTGGGATAGAGTTACTTTGGTCAATAACAAAGAGAATAATTCTGTTCATATTCACCTTTTCTTTTTGTAATTAAATTCATATTAAGATGTTTCACTGTGCTAAACTGAACTTAACTATTGACATACATTGTCATTTGGATTATGCTTTACTAGAAATTTTTAATCAAAGAGACCATGTTCAAACCAACTAAATCGTCATGTTTTGTGAAGATTAAGGAGAATAGTGACAAATAAAAAGAGAGTTTTTTTTTTTTGGTCGAAACAAATAAAAAGAGAGTTAAATTCATATTTATAGCATCTTGTCGTCTTAATCGTGCCGCTATATAAACACTGCATGTAGCGATTATGATTTTTAATTAATTAATAAATGATGAGAAAACTAATTTTTAATTGATTGAAAATATTTTTAAGTCATCTCCTAAAATTGAATCTTTTAACAATAAACGAAACTAGAAAACGCCTATCTCTCTGCTCCTCGGCTTCTCCATCTCCGATCAAATCCGCGGTCGAAGTCAGAGAGTGAGATAAATGGCTATGGCTAGGGCAACATCTGGCCCCGCCTACCCGGAGAGGTTCTACGCTGCTGCATCTTACGTCGGCCTCGACGGATCTGATTCGTCAGCGAAACACGTCAGCTCGAAATTCTCCAATGATACTGCTCTGATTCTCTATGCGCTCTACCAGCAGGTCAGGAACTTCCATTTTTCTTATCTCTTCCATTGCTAACTTCGCGATTGTGGATTTTGGTTTCGAATTTCACGAGATCTGGTGGTCTGGATTTCGATTTAATTTGTTTTATTCAGCGATCGTATCCGCCTCGTCGAATTCTTATAAGATTTTTGAAATGACGCACTGTGCCTGTCTGACTTATCTTGATCGTCATTTTCGATCCTGGTTAGCATTTTCGGGTATTAGCATAAAGAGTACGAGTTGAGAGAAATTTAACGTATAGATCCATTGGTGACCGTGTAACTGCTTAGTAAAATGTTTCCGGAGATTTGATAATCGTTTTGATTGGAAACGTGATTAAGGTAGTTTCTGTTAATCAGATCGCACTGATCGCCCGTCCTTCAATCGTAGTTTACGTAGATCTATATATGCTCTGTAACTTGACATGTGACTCCAATGACAGAAAATTAGCGTTATCGCAACACATGTGTTTTTTGTTTTGCATCTTTTGGTCATGATAGTTCGCTATTGGTACTAAGTCAAGACTCAAGATTAGTATTGTCGTAGCTAAATTGGTTGTTCTTTCCCATAGAGAGAAACTTTCTCTTTCAGTAATTAAGTTTTGAGACAACTAATTTTCATCGCTGGGATAGATAGGCTCAGTGCTGATAATCTCTTTGATTTAACATGTAAACAGGCTACCGTAGGACCATGCAACACTCCGAAACCTAGTGCATGGAGACCAGTTGAGCAAAGCAAGTGGAAAAGGTTAGATTCGGTGCTGTGTTAGCTAATACTTATATAAAATCAACATTCATGCATTCATCTCACGCTCTTTTACGTGTCTATCCTTGAATTTGGGAACCATACTTGTAAGAAGAAGCATTGTGGTGGATATAATTAGGAAATCCCTTAGATTTCATTGATTACTAGCGTAGGAGAGTCCAGAGGCCTCATGAATCAGGGTAACGGGAAAGAAGTATTCTAGATGTAAGCTGCTAAAGAAAAATAGAAATGCAGGATTTTTATTTGCATCCATGGGGAAAAGCTAAATGCTTACATATGATTTGGTGTACATTTGAAAATCGTCTGACAAGTTGATAAAAGTGACTGCGGATAATGTTACTATGCAAATACAATCCTACGTCGCTGAGCTTGTTACTGCTTAGGATCTGTTTTATGGAAAATAAGCCTTTAACGTTGTTCTTGTGAAATTTTGCTAATGTTCTGAATATTTTCATATTTAGTTGGCAGGGGCTCGGAACCATGCCGTCCATCGAGGCAATGCGTCTCTTTGTGAAAATTCTGGAGGTAAACGACAAAGAGGTCTATGGCTATTTTTTTAGACTTGACTAGAACATAGGCTTGATTTTCACCTAATTCTCACTTTTTTATCAGGAAGAAGATCCTGGTTGGTATTCGAGGGCATCTAATGATATTCCAGATCCTGTCGTAGATGTCCAAATCAATGTGAGTTTGTATCCCATGGGATTCTATGTCCAAAACATGGAAATAATACCACTTTTTTATTTGTCCGGAGAAGGGTATTTGAGCCTTTCAGTGCATTTATTCATTGTAGCAGACAGCAAAAGAGGAGCCTGTTGTTGAGAATGGGAACTCATTTGGCGAGACAAAGACAATTTCTACTGAAAATGGAAGCCTGGCAGAAACCCAAGATAAGGATGTAGTCTCGGAAGATCCAAATACTGTTTCTGTATATAACCAGTGGACTGCACCCCAAACGTCAGGTCAGCGGCCAAAAGCCCGTTATGAGGTAATATCTTTTCTCTGTTTTGATAAGTAAATGGTCCTGTCATTCATATATCATCTCTATTTTCTAAGTCTTGTTTATTATATTTTTTTCAGCATGGGGCAGCAGTTATTCAAGATAAGATGTATATATATGGTGGAAATCACAATGGCCGTTACCTTGGTGATCTTCATGTAAGCAATTTGTATGATTCATAAGCACAAGTCGATGATGTAATTGTAGTATTCAGTTCCATTTAAACCTAATTGGTGATACCAGCCCCGCAGACAATTCTTAAGCATGTCTTCTGTGGAATGCATACAGGTTCTAGATTTAAAAAATTGGACTTGGTCAAGAGTTGAAACCAAGGTTGCAACTGAACCACAGGAAACATCAGCTCAAACACTACTATCTCCTTGTGCTGGTCATTCTTTGGTTCGTTTTTTTAACTTCTTGAGCTTTGTTTTTCTTTCTCCCTTTTGGCTTTCCGGCCTAGAATTATTTAGAGCTAAAGGAAAGTAGGCTCTTTATGAACTCCACTTGCTATATTAGTTGGTAAAAGAGAAGCGTCTAGCAATACAGTTTTGTCACTTGCCTTCTTTGTTTGTTATGTAGATACCATGGGACAACAAATTGCTGTCTATCGGTGGTCATACTAAGGATCCTTCAGAATCTATGCAAGGTAAGCGTTTATATACCTTCGAAGACGGTTATTTGCAAATATCTTAAAGGAGCTTTCTGGAATCTTAATAATTACAATCAATTTTGTACTGTTTTCCTGTCGCAGTGAAGGTCTTTGATCCCCATACTTGTACATGGTCAATGCTAAAGACATATGGAAAACCACCGGTACATCTTCACTTCTCTCATGTTATTTCATTTGTTATCCGTCACCTTTGCATGGAGAAATTCGAGTCTTGTGAACAATTATTTATTCGGCCATCAAAGACTAAAAAGTAAAGCTGTTTTCAGGGTTATGTAGGCAGTTTGGTTACTTAAACGGAGACTTTGCTTGCCATAATCTCTTGCTTTCAGGTTTCACGTGGAGGCCAGTCAGTCACACTTGTGGGTAAAACATTGGTGATATTTGGCGGGCAAGATGCAAAGAAATCACTTCTGAACGATTTGCATGAACTTGACCTAGAAACTATGACCTGGGATGAGATAAATGCCGTGTAAGAATTGATGACATTTCTGCATATTTTTTTTCTCTTTTCGAAAAGTCAAACCCATATAAGATTAGATATATAACCAGAATACGAATAATTTTAGAAAGCCACCAACCCTCTCCTTTAATATTGTTAATGAAAGATTTTCAATCAGGGTTTAAACTGTTGTCAACTTGCAGAGGTGTATCTCCATCTCCGAGGTCTGATCATGCTGCTGCAGTGCATGCAGAACGTTACCTTCTTATCTTTGGTGGGGGCTCACATGCTACCTGTTTCGATGATTTGCATGTCCTTGATTTGCAGACTGTAAGTTAAGCTAAGTGTATATTGTTTCAGCTGCCTTTCAAATGTTCTTCGTCTGCGTCTGATATAACTGTCACATATAGATGGCGTGGTCAAGACCTGCACAGCAAGGTGAGGCACCAACTCCCCGAGCTGGACATGCTGGCGTGACAATTGGGGAGAACTGGTTTATTGTTGGTGGCGGTGATAACAAGAGTGGTACGTTTATCCATTTTTCCTTGGAAATCTCTTTTCTACCCTGCCATTTTTGTTGATCACCCCTCTAAGCATTTCTGGGAAAGAAATGATATTTCCTTCGCTTTTTCTTGTTCGTGTTGGCTGATTGTGCTGCACCCTGATAAATTACTGCAGGGGCATCTGAGAGTGTTGTACTAAACATGTCAACTCTTACATGGTCGGTAGTCGCTTCAGTTAAAGGACGTGTACCTCTCGCTAGCGAGGTACATAAATGAACAAAGTTTATCCATATTAATTTCCAGATAACTATAAAAATATATAGTAATATCACCTCATCTTTCCCGAAACAGGGTGGTAGCCTTTTCAAGGCTTCTATATCGTTTTAATCTTGCAGAATTAAGCGCAAATCTTCCTTTTTCTTTTCTACTGACAGGGGTTAAGTTTAGTTGTGAGTTCGTACAATGGAGAAGATGTACTAGTTGCTTTTGGTGGATACAACGGACGCTACAACAACGAGGTAGGGACTATGTTGTAAAATCCGTAAATACTATTCTCATGATTTTGCATTCAGTTCTGCTTCTAATTATTTCTGGGCGTTAGATTAATCTGCTTAAACCAAGCCACAAATCAACACTGCAAACAAAGACTCTAGAAGCGCCTTTGCCAGGTAGTCTTTCTGCTGTTAACAATGCCACAACCAGAGACATGGAGTCGGAGGTTGAGGTAGGCCACGAAGGCAGAGTACGGGAAATTGTCATGGACAATGTTAACCCGGGATCAAAGGTATATATATTCTTGTCAGAATTTCCCTTGTTAATCTGTTTGAATAGCTGCATCGTTTGATTTGTCGGGATAGTTAAATCATTTTATCCTGGTATTACCGACATAGGATATAGTTACCAAAGTCGAGGTCATCACCATCTCTTTCTCTTATTATGATTTTGGGTAATGACACCCCCAGGTTGAAGGAAACAGCGAACGCATTATCGCGGCTCTTAAATCCGAGAAGGAAGAACTGGAGGCATCACTAAACAAGGAGAAGATGCAGACTCTCCAACTAAGGCAAGAGCTAGCAGAAGGAGAATCACGAAATACAGATTTGTACAAGGTAATATCATCTATTTCATCTTCTTGGAACAAAAGTCGACATGAACTAAATTGGTGAATCAAATCAAGTGTTCATAAAGACTTGCTGCAAAGTCTTGCAATTGCAATCAAATTTGGAGAAATCTCGGAAAAATACTCTGATACGATATACCTGACTATGTACTGACATTTTATAGGAACTTCAGTCTGTTCGTGGTCAACTTGCAGCCGAACAATCAAGGTGTTTCAAACTCGAGGTATCAAACCCGTAGCCACACTTCTTTTCATTACATCGTTAAAACTAAAAATATGAGGCAAATCTGATTGGGTGTCCTTGAATGAAATGTGCAGGTTGATGTTGCAGAGCTAAGACAAAAGCTTCAAACATTGGAAACACTCCAAAAGGAACTGGAGCTCCTCCAGCGTCAAAAGGCTGCCTCTGAACAAGCCGCAATGAACGCTAAACGTCAGAGCTCGGGTGGTGTCTGGGGCTGGCTCGCTGGAAGCCCTCAGGAGAAGGATGATTCGCCTTGATTAACTTTTTTACGGTATTCCCATTTTTATCAGTCGATATTTGCTTTCAGTAAAGAAAATATACATATATGTATTTTTTTGTTTTTTCGTTTTTGGCCTGAGTCCCTCTCGCATGGTTTCTTCTTCCAATAAGATCCCGTCCATTTGAGATTTAAATTACTATCGATGTTTTTAGCTTTGCTGTTATACAAGTTATCACCAGAATATTTGTTAACTTTTTTGAAATATTGGTTTTGGGGGTGTTAAACTAAATCAGATTTATGAATCTTAGAAACTTTGACATCACCACCAATCATAATATTCTTATGTTTACGACTCTATGTTTGTTTTTATCAAACATTTAATTTCCCTCTTTTCGTAAGATCCCGTTTAAGAGGGTGAAAAATCCCGTTTCCCGGCGACAAAAAAAAAAAAAAGTTCACGTTTTCCCGTCTTATGGCGTGGCAGCCTGGTATTCGTTCTGGCGGTTCGACGGCTCATTCATGGCGCTATGAAGTTCCCGAAATGCCCTCTAAGCGAAGTGAACGTTTTTTTTTTTCATCTTCTCCAGCTTTTCTTTCTTTCTTTTTTGGGTTTTGGGGGCGAAATTCATTTCTCCAGCTTTCCTAGCAAATCTACGCACTATGGAGCTCGATTATGTGGCTACTGACATGGGAAGTGACGGTGATGATAATGAAAATGGCGACGGAGGAGGTGATCGGGTTCCTAACAGTGAGGAATCGAATGAGCTTGGGCCTGGGAAGCTCATAGGCAGTAAGGACGACTGGGATAGTGAAACGAAACCTAGGTATTCTAAAATGAAAAGAGAGAATAGTTCCCAGGTTAAAGACGAAGACCTCGGTGACCAATTTTATGAGGTCTACAACAAAGCTGACGAGAAGAATATGGGTATGGCTTCCAAGGAGTTACACCGAGTTTCGAGCTACAAATCTTTCTTATCCGAGTTCGACGGTTATGTTACAAGCGAGAAATTGGGTTCTGGAGTTTCTAGAGCATTGAGCTATGGGTTTGAAATGGGTGATATGGTATGGGGAAAGGTGAAGTCACATCCATGGTGGCCAGGTCATATATACAACGAAGCTTTTGTGTCGCCTTCTGTTCGTCGTATGAAGAAGATGGGTTACGTTCTGGTCGCTTTCTACGGAGACAGTAGTTATGGTTGGTTCGATCCTGCTCAGCTTATTCCTTTTGAACCTCATTTTGCAGAGAAATCAGAGCAAACTAATTCGAGTAACTTTGCAAAAGCTGTGGAAGAAGCTATTGTTGAAGCAGGTAAAAGGTCAGCTCTTGGGTTGGTTTGTAAATGTCGGAATCCTTTTAACTTTAGGCGCAGTAATGTTCAAGGTTACTTTGTGGTTGATGTGCCTGATTACGAGCTCCAAGCTGTTTACTCTTCTAAGCAGATTAAGAAAGCTAGGGATAGTTTTTCATCTGCTCAGACTCTCTCGTTTGTGAAGCGATGTGCTTTAGCCCCTCAAGAGTGTGGCTCAGATAGCTTAAAGTTTTACCAGAGGAAAGCAGCGGTTTATGCTTTCCGCAGGGTAGTGTTTGAGGAGTTTGATGAAACATATGAACAGGCCTTCGGGGCAAGATCTGAATACACTTCAGTGAAGTCACAGGATCCACTTAATAGAGCATCCCCACGAGGTAGCGTCACCTTTCAGCGACCCTGGCACTGTTTAGAATATGTTTGTAATTTTTCTGCCTTTTTACGGATTTTATGCAGTTATGTTGGACCTCGATTTTATTTATCACAGAGATGTGGTACTCTTTGCTTCTTTATTCATATAGGCTACTAGTATCTAAAATTTAGCGTTTTCGATATCCTTAAAAATCGAGACTCCTTGGCCTTTTTAAGTTTGTTACTGTAGGATTTATAGATTTGAAGTTGTATTCTTAGAGTGCTTCAAAAAGCCATTGCATATCTTTGATCTTGAATTCTGCATTGTAAAAGCCAATACTTCACAATGTGGAGTGTCAGTTAACCTTTATTGTTTGCTTTGCTTTCATTGCTTCGGTGGTTGGCATAGATTTCACCTTTCCTCATGCACTGCTTCTGTTTACAGTCCCCTTGAGAGGCTCACTGGTTATTGCAGAAACTCTGGGAGACCCGAAGACCTCGAAAAACGCTATGAATGTAAAGGATTCTACTAAACACGACAATTATCTTCCCAAAATGAGAGAGGAAGCTGATAATATGACAGTTCAATTTGGCCAGGTCCAAGCATCTTCTCAGCTTCAGGGCATCAATGGATCGTCAGCAGGGAATCATGTAGTGCAGAGAAAGACTCCTCCCATGAAACATGAGCGGACTGGGCTTCTCAGCATGGACTTGAGCACTTTAAGCGGTGATAGTCCTGGAAAGGAATCTTCTGTTTCAAAGCTCTCTCGTGATGCTGACAAGGGTTCAGGTCAAGAATCAAAGGTGATAATGAGAGACAAAGCTGCTCTATTTCCAGATCATGAGAAATTTGAAGCAATGACCAGCCTTAAACAAGATAAGACTAGCGCCACGCATTCTAGATCAAACAACTTTATGAAGGGGAAAGTTTCTGCACGGGGTGCGATCAAGATCGTCAATGCCCTGAAACGGTCTTCTGGAGAAATGGATTCTGAGCATACTCCTTCAGGGCTGAAGAAGAAAAAGAAAGAGTCTGGGTCAGAGCTGAACCGTGACAATCCAGACAAGAGGGAAGCTTTATCATCTGGGGAAACTTGGGCCAAGAAATCATCAGAATTAGGTTCAGCAGAAAGACACTCCAATATGTTGACTGTGAGAGACTCTAAACTCGATGCTCTGCAGCTGTTGAGCAATTTGCAAGCTCTCTCGCTTGACCCTTTCTTTGTATCCTCGGATAGAAGTTCGATAAGAGCTGTAAGGCAATTCTTTTTGTGTTTCCGGTCTCTTGTTTACCAGAAAAGCTTGGCCAAATCTCCTCAATCAACAAAACCGTCAAAATTTCCAAAGACTTTGACAAGGACCCACGAACCATCTAAGGCCGAGATAAAACGCCAGTCGTCTGGCAATCATCAAGAGATCCTATCAACTAAGAAGCTAAAGAAAAGTAGTCAGTCCAAAACAATGCCTTGTGACAAGAAAACCAACCAAGAAGAAGAGAAGAGACCAAATCTTGCACCTATAAATCCAGTAAATGGTCCAGTCCCCATCAATGCCAAAGCTCAAGCAGGAAAGAAGATGGTTCCGTCCGCAAAGAAAATTGAGCCCACAATGCTGGTCATCAAGTTTCCTCGTGGTACATCTCTCCCTTCGACCGCTCAGCTTAAGGCAAGGTTCGGTCGCTTTGGACAGTTGGATCAATCAGCCATTAGAGTTTTATGGAAATCCTCGATCTGCCGTGTTGTCTTCCTGTATAAACTCGATGCGCAGACAGCTTTAAGATATGCATCAGGAAGCCACTCTCTCTTTGGCAACGTCAATGTGACCTACTTTCTGCGTGACGTGGAAGCTCCTTATGCATCCGAGGGCCATGAACCGAAGAAGGCCAAGACAGGTGAACCAATCCTTGAACCACTGAGCCAGTGGATAGACCGAGCACAGCCGCCGGTTCACCAATCGTTTAACATCCAGCCCAAGTCCTGTTTGAAGAAGCCAGGCAATAACGGTAATGGTAACCGCGGGAAAGCACGAGTGAGATTCATGTTGGGTGGGAAAGAAACAGGGACACCATTTCTTGATTCGAGTAAAAACAATGGAAATCACTCCTCGTCATCATCATCTGTTGCAATAGAATTTGTTACTAACAACACTCAAAACATGGTTCCACCAAATTTGCATCCGATCCCTTGGAAAAACTCAAAAAGGAAGCCTGTTAACAATAAAGTGGACCACCTCGAGCCACCACTAAAGCCGTCGGAGTGTAGGGTGGACATCTCGGAGCAGATAATGGAGCTGTTATTATGGTGTAACGATGTTGTGTCTAACGTCACGGGCTTTTTGGGTTACGTCCCATATCATCCCTTGTGAATACAACTGATATTAGACAAAGAGAACATAGCTTTAAAAAAGCAAAGTCTGTGGAGAGATAAGGTGACATTTTGGCGATATATGCCGTGGGTATAATATTATTACGGTCCCTTTTTACAGCTTATATTATATCAAAAAAGGATTAAAATTCGAAGTTATCAACGCTCTCTCTCTCCGTGGAGATTAAAATTCGAATTTATCAACGCTCTCTTTCTCCCTTCCTCTAAAGATTTGGAGAGATAACATGTAAACCTAATTGAACCAAAATGTTTAAATTGGTAATTCTATATTGGTTTCCCTATTTGAAAACCCAAATCAAACTGATAAAAACCACACCAACTCACCAAGCCTAACTTGTATCAAATCAAATTAAAAAATGGTTTTAGTTACTTTTGAAATAGTTGAAACCAGCAGAAATCAAATTCTTGACAGGATGGTTAGTTATTAATCCCCATTCTAGATATCACGTTCCTTCTATGTTTGACATGTGGCTTAGGTTATATCCATAAAATAAGATTAACAGTCCGTTCTTAATTAATTTTTAATTATTTTATTTAAAATAGACATTACTGGACCCTAAGCAAATATATATTGTTTTTTTCTCTGTGCACTAAACAGCCAACAAAGTAGCCAGTTTTCGGTACTGTTCAGAAACTAACAAAATTCGGTCAAGAATTTGATTTCAAGATCGTCAGGTCAAGATAATACAGATAACAAACCATTCAAAACAAACCGTACCAGAAGTTATGATTCGGATGATGCAGCCCGATCCAAAGGGGTGGGCAGACCATGGGTCTGAATCTTTTTTAAAATTTTTTCTTATAAAATGGGCTTATGTATTGAAAAAAATATCTTTAGAAAATCCATATTTATAAAAAGTTTTATCATCCGATGTTAGGGCTCACGACCTGTAAATAGGACTTTGGAGAATTATTAGACATGAGCCATCAACTCCTTATGAAAATGATATCTATGCCTAAGAAATCAATTATTTCGAATCATTTTGTATTTATTTCATCCTAGTTAACTCAAGTTAGAAGTCAATCAATTTTAAACAAGCTGAAAGGCTAAAAGGATAGATCTCGGGTTTTACCCTACGTGTTGTTCCAAATCCAGGTCCATTGGTAAATCATATTATCTATTAGGTTATAGTACTATCGGATTAAATAGATAAGATTTAGTAGGTTAATAGATCGATACTTTTTTTGTTTATATTTAGGGTATTTTCAATTATAAGATTATAAAACTGTATACGCATGCATGAGGTCATTTTAATTTTGCCTGACATACTTTTTCAATATTAATATAATAAAATGTTCAAACATCTAGTGATCATACAATTACACAGTAACTTTTTTTCCTCCTGAATGTACTTCGATCGGAAATGGTATTTTAAAAGTTAAGGCAGCTTGAATCTTAAACATTCGTAACTAAACCTTGTACCAGACCAACCGGCAACTGGTAATAATGCAACCCGAATATGCAGTTCATTTTCCAGAAAAAGCTAACGTAAGAAGTATGTAGATACAGAAAAACATTTATATATTTTGGTCCAAAAAAAGACATTTATATTCAAATCACATAGATGAAAACTTACTGGAAAGAGTCCAGCTAATTAACGAGACAATGAAACAATTAATCGTTGCAGCAAAACAAACAAATCTTACTTAACTTAAACAGTTAAACTGTTTAATCGTAACTGATCTTGTTATTATACCTAAGACTAGAAACCCGATCGAAATGGTTTGGACTTTGAAAGTATTTTGGAATTGAGACCTCCTAACATATTTAGAAGGTTTATCAAGATTCAATCAATTTACTTATTGAAAAAGGACACTAAAAAATCAATTTTTTTGTTTTCTACAGGAAAAAAAATTATTTTGACATTGTGTTAACCATTATTGTGTTATTTAAACTTAATTGCTTCTAATGTTTAAGGCGTACCGGCGTAGCAGTGAAAGACAAATTACTCCCACTTTTCTTATAATGATATGATGGTTTGCATAATTAATAAAGTACTTTTTGGCAGACCCCACTTAGGTTATCACTTTCTAGTGAGAGGAAGAAGTAGAAATCTCCTTTATTAAAAACAACGCAGAATCATATATACGCAGAATTGCATCTATAGAATTACATATGTAAACAATTTACACATTATTTGGAAATGGATAATGAACATTTGTATGATTGTATCCAAATTGTGAATATCATAATTATTGTTGTCTGATAGAAATACGAGATTTTATCGAAAAAAACATTTGTACCCAATTCTAGTTAAAATTACGTCTTTAATTATCTGAATTTTATATAGTTTATATTTTACAATACATTAAGCGAGATTAAACAGAGCTTTCCCAAATTACTTCGAATCAAGAAATTAAGAATGCAAACCCTTTCTCAAAGAATAAAAATAAAAAGAAATTAAGAATGCTTATAAAATCAAATTAAAGACCAAATTCTATTCAGAAAATTAATAAAGCACTCTTTGGTTCCATTTAAAAAAAAAAAAAACAAATTGGATAGAATTTGGCATTGTCCAAAATAAATGTTATTTGAAAGAGTAAAACTTACACAGCTGTTGGTTTTCGACTTTCGAAGTCCAAAGCCTTTGAAGAAAGGGTTTTGGAGCAAGAACAAAAGGTGCGATTTTTGTTTTCTTTTGTTCTTCTCCATTTCTTCATTTTATAGGTGTTCTTATGTGAAAGGTTTAAACTTTATACAAAAGACTCCACATTTCTTCTTCATAACAAAGAAAACCCTAGATTGTGTTTGCGTTTTGCAAGAAAAGAGGTTTTCATTATTTGTCTTGAAATTTCATTATCTCTTCAGTATCTGAAGCTTTTTGGGGGAAAAAGGTGCGACTTCTGTTGTTTTTTTTTTGGTGATATGATTTAAAGCTAAGAAATTTTTACCAAAGACCCTACCTTTCTTTTTCAAAACAAAGAAAACCCTAGATTGTGTTTGCGTTTTGCAAGAAAAGAGGAGCTTTCATTATTTGTCTTGAAATTTCACTATTTCTTCAGTTTCTGAAGCCTTTTGGGGGAAAAAGGCGCATATTTTGTTGTTTGTTTTTGGTGATATGATGTTAAAGCTAAGAAACTTTTACCAAAGACTCTACCTTTCTTTTTCATAACCAAAAAAAAAAACCCTAGAAAAGATGTGCATTCATCATTCTTGAAATTTTATGGGTTTTGGATGTTAAAGGTGAGACCTTTTTGGGACAAAGTCTGTTTTTCCATCTTCGTTTATTTGGGTTCCACATTCTTTTCATTTTCTGTAATCTTAAGGGTTTTTGGGATGTCTAGGATAGGAAATTCTTAGTGAAAGTGCAAGATTATTATAACAAAAGCATTTCTTAGTTCATTTTCTCTTTTCTTTCTCTCAGGCTCAGAGCTAACAGAACGCGATTTCCTTTCGTACGCTCGTCTAATCGAAGTTCTTCGACAAGGTAATTTCTTCAATTTCATCTGTTTTCTTTCTAATTTCCCACTTGCTATCTCAGATTCTTTTCGATTGTGTTCGTATTGATCTCTGTTGATGATAGATTTATATCTACGTAATGTTACTGCATTGGAACCGAATATTCTCGCGACTTAGTCTTATTTGCCTCCGATTTCCTCAGTTTTCTTGTTGACATCCGAGCATCAGTGACTATTTTATTTATATGTTGAACAAGATGGATGGAGCCAAACTTGGAGCCAAACGGAATAAGCAAAACGCCCAGGCACAAGCTAAAGAACAGGCAATGAAAAAAGCTGCTGAAGCTGGATCATCGTCTAACATTACCAATGAACTAACTTTCCAGCAGGTATAGCCATAATTTACTCTGATTTCTATAAGTCGGTGAATAAGACATTAATCATTCTAAGTTGTACATGTGTTTTGATTTTCGTTTTTGATAGATATTCGGCATTGAAACCATAAGGAAAGATTGGAGCTCAGGAGTTAGGCAAATTATTGGAATCGTTATGGACCAAGGTTTAAGAGGTAATTTGCAACAATAACAATATCATTATTGAAATAGGTAGATAATTTGTTTTAACATAAACTAACTAATGTTTAATTTTAATGTAGATATTTGCTGGGCCATTTGTTTTGCTCGCCTTGTACAGGCTCTCTACAACATGGAACATCCAAATGATCCAAATGAGTTCTCAATCAATGATCTGATTGGTTACATAAAGCCCAATGAAGCAAAAGGTTTGGGACTTGCCAATTTAAAGAAGGCTTTCAAGCATATCAAAGTGACAGGAATGCTTAAGATGTCTACAAAAGGCCATGAAAAGGTAAACAATTATTAGTGTGAGATTGAAATCATATGCCAGCTTCTGTTTTGTTTTTTTTATAATCTATCTAACTAAAGTGTTTTTATGTATTTGAATTTTTACTTTTTTAAGGCAGGGGATAAGGGGAAAAGAGTTAAAGAAACATTTGACCTCTACGAGGATGTGGATGCTTCATATATCCGACAGAAGTTGGATAGGTTTCCTGTTGCATTGCGACTACAGATTGACGTGCCACTTTCAGATAATAGTGGACAGGTTAGTAAAAAAGTGATAAATAACGATATATATTATATTTTACAATTACAACTTTGGAGTCTTTGAATAAATTAATTAGTAATCTTACCTCGTTTTTTCTTCTCTCTTTTGTACACTATTTTGCCAAATAATTCACACAATATTTTTCTTTCTCTTTTTCAACAGATTTACTATTTGCCGAAGAAGAAAATCATCACAGAAGATTCTCGTATGCATTGCTTACTGCTTATTGGCTATGGAATTACCAGAGACGGAAAGTTATATTTCAGTGGGCAAAATTCTTGGGGTGTCAACTGGGGATGCAAGGGTTATATCCGAATCATCATCGAAGAAAAATGTGACATAATTTGCCGCAAAGAGTAAGCTATTTAGACTTTTGTGAGAGTTTATAGGTACTGGGAAATTGAGTGTTTTGGTTTTTGTATTGATGAACTTTGCTTATTTTGTAAGAAACACCTGATTTTTTATTATTCTGGATTGGACATATATATAATCGAGGGTTTATTAGACCATGATAAAGAGCACAAGTATCATGTCCTTTATCTTTTACAACCAAATATGTTTCTCTTTTATAGTCCTGACTTTGTAACCATTCATGAGCGAAGTTGAACCAGGCACCAATTAAACACATGCTAGTAAAAAAGGTTTTTCATAATTTTGGCTTTTCGGTTACTTTCAGATTAGTCAGTTTTTTTGGGTTTTTGGTTTATTGTGTAATTTCGGTTAATATGAATCAGGTAGTTAATTTTTCTTTTGGGGTTCTATCACACCTATAAAAGCATTGAGTGAGCTCTTGTATGAAACTAACAAACAAAACCCATTTAATCAATCCATTATCGAGAGATGCTATCTCTCTTTGTTGGCTTCGTCAGCCTTTTAAAGCGGAGGTGATGAGATGATACTATGTTCCGTCAGTGGGAGATGCAAAACACAGGATCAAAGTAGTATAGGGATCTTGGGTTAAATTAAACCGATCAGATATTGTGTGCCGAACCAACTATTTCAAACCTGGCAGATCGGTTTAACATTGAAAAAACTATTTTGAAACCGAGAAATCCTCGATTCGATCGGTTTGGTTTTTTCGATTTCAATCGAATGCTCAGGACACTAATATGGAATAAGTCTTTAATCTATGAGGGAAGATAGTTAAGTGCCTAATAACTTGGTCTACAAGATTACAAAGTAAGGATTAAGGAGTAACAAGAATCCTTGCGAAACTCTTGAATAAACACACGTCAAGCCATATTCGATCAAACATAGTGCAAATTCCACCTAATTTGTCTATAAGATTCATTACAATACGGAGAAACAACCTTATGGAAACTCTTCAATGATAACTTGGCCACCTTTTCCAACCGACCTCTTCAGTCAACTTCAGCTACTACATTGAAAGAGAAACAAACAGATGCCAATTGTATTATCTCTTATTGTTAACAATTGATACATATATATATATATAAGCGTATATAAGCACTAAGCAGTGAAAAGACAAAGACTTTATTTCTAAAGAGAAAAGGTATAGAAGTATAGGTACCCTTATTTTGGAGGAGGACTTGGTCTGCAAAGGATGGGATAAGTCTTGCCTGCACAGCGTGCAACCTTAGCTTGATACTCCACTAAAGGTGCATCAGGAGAATCAGACTCTCTTGCAGCAAAGGTGATGTAGTATTTTGTCCTGCCCCCTGGGATAAAATTGGCCCTCAAGAAATGGTCGAATTTCACATTCTTATTATTGCGTTTGTTGTATTTTTCAACACATTCAGATGCCATGTTCCCCATGAACTCACGACCGGTTACGCCTTTCTTAACTTCTTTTTCCAGATCATCACTAGTGACTGAAACAATTATACCCCAACGGTAAGGCGGGTACTTGTTCGATGGCTCAAAGAAACCCTAAATCATCATCAAAGACCAAACCAGTACTGTACTCTGTGATTATCATCATCTACATATATATATATATATATATATATATGCTCAAAAACGAAACTTTCGTTACCTTGGTTTCGATGACGGTGCGATTGTAGTAACGGCATTTTTCATTCAATTCCTCGTCGGAATACACATTGTTATCAGAGGAATGATATTCCAGGCCATCGAAGCTATCCTTATCCCAACCGGAATCACTGTCCTCTTCATCTCCGTCGCCTTCAATTTCTTTCGGATCCTCCGCCTCGGTGGTTTCCGCCTCCTTGCGCTTCCCCAGCAAAGAACCGCTGGTTGTTTCCATGGGCTCCGTCGGTTGGGGCTCGCTTGAAGATCCATCCTTTGTCAACATGTCCTAAACCCTAGATTTCCTCTGAATCCAATTTGGGGGTTTTTTTATTTTAAAGAAGAAGAAGAAGCTAACGCACAGATAAGAAGTATGAACCCTTTATCAAAGTAATTTTTATCCCCTCCGTGATACTTATTTACGCTAATGCCCTCGCCCATTGGCCCATCACTTCACATATCTCAATAATGATTTGGCAAAAGATTCTTATTATCTGATTTAAGAACGAAGATAAAAAGTTCTTAAATCATCTTCACTTTTGGTTATATAGGCAAATCTAGCCGACGCACTTTATCATCATTTGATAGGCTTTACATAGTTTTTGTAACTGTTACTTCATAATATTTCTAGAGTAATGTTTTTAGTTGTGAGTTAAGCGGATTATGGTTTGGGCTCAAAATTTTCTTATGATGAAACATATATTTCTAAACGTTTATTGAATCCCATCTATTTTTGAAACAAGAAACACAATAGCTCCATTGAGCCAACAAGCTCGATGTGATCTGTTTGATTTATCAAATAATGATTGTAAGTCTACATCTGTCTTATATACGTAGGCTGCTATTGCCTATTGGTGGTAAGTACAATTTTCTTCTTTTACGAAAGAGTTGTCTATATTCTGTATATGTGTGACTGTGAACCAACTCTTCATATGAAGTGACATTACTAAACCTAAGCCCTAACACATATATTTTATTTTACGAGTGGTCACATTCAAACTCATACAAAATTGCTTAGCTGTTTTCCAACATTGTGATACGGGTGGATAAAAGGATGGTCGTGAATTGGAATTAACAGAGTAAATAAACATAACTATATCATTCGTTGTGAATTCTAAGAATTGGAGTTGACATGTAAACCGAAATGTTTAAATTGGTCTGAAACTAACTTTTTTATAACTCTATCGGTTACCCTTTTTTTTTTGTTCAAACTTGGTCACCCTATTTTAGTACCCAAATCAAACTGAGAAAGACCACCAACTCACCAAGCCTAGCTTGTATCAAATCAAATTAAATAAAATGGTTTTTGTTTAGTTTTTTTTTTTTTTTTTTTTTTTAATAGTTGAAACTAGCAGAATTCAAATTCTTAACGAGATTGTTAGTTTTTAACCCCTATTATGGATATCACGTTCCTTCTGTGTGTGACATGTAGGTTAGGTGATGTCCATATAATAAGTTTACAGCCCGTTCCTAATATATATTGCTAGACCCTTAGGGCATGTTTATAGGAGAATCCATGATTGTTTCTTAATTAATATTTAACTAATAAATTGATCTTAAGAATCACACTAAGAAATGAAAGGTTTGAGGCATGTTTATAGGAGAACCCATGATTGAGGTCTTAAGATCTCAAAAACCCAGATTCGAGCGTTCTTCTTGGAGAGAGGAACATGTTGGCGAGGCGAGGAATCGCAAGTGGATCTCGGAAAATGCGTATGTGGCTTCGATGGAGCTTCTGGTGGGATACATGTTTTCGGCGTTTGGAGAATCATAATCACCATAATCGCTGTTCCGATGATGATGAAGACCATCGAAACTCTGTTCAGCATTTTCTCGACGTTTCTCTCCATCGTCGCCGATCAACCCAGTCCAATCGAGTTTTGAATTGGCCGATCAAACTCCATTGCCGATCACAGACTCCATTGCCGATCATAAATTTTTTTTTCGCCGATAACGTTTGCAGAGAAGAAGTTTGGCCGCAAAAATTTTGGTAACGATTGGTTTTGGTCGAAAACGTGTTTTGCCCAATTAAAACACACCACCTATCCCGCAAGAAGCGATTCTCCAGCTTCCCAAATAAGGACCGATCTCACCATTTTATTTCGTTTTTCTTTTTTTTTGGGCTTTAAAAACACAAGAATCAGCCTAAGATACCCTTATAAACGTGCCCTTAGCAAATATATATCTTCCCTTGTGCAACTTTTTTTTTCAACAAAGTAGCCCGTTTTCGGTATTGTTGAGAAACTTTTTAAGAACAAAAAATCATTTCATTTGTTTTTTTTGTTAAAAAAGGAAAAAATCATTTCATTTAGTTCGATTCAGCTTTATTGAACTATATGTACATTATATTGGTATGTATATTAGATGTCGACAACAACAAAAAAAGAACTATGAATATTAGATGTAGGTGAGACTATTCCCGGTTTTGTTTCAGTTCGGTTCAAATACAAACTCTTAATATTGCACTATAATTTTATGTTACAGATTGGTATGACTAAAGAGACTGATGATTTAACTCTTTTAGAAAAAAAATTGTATATAAACCATGGCTTAATATATAAAATATTATTGGAAAACTATCTATATATACCCCATAATCTAAACAATAAAGTATACCAATGATTTGACCCAACATAATTTTTACACCAAAAACTTTTCGATGTGGATGCAAATCCTCGAAACGATATATATATAAGATTATCCTTTATTTAAGGATACGATAATTCCTAATCCATTAGAGAATCAAAACAACCGTTTTAACAAATTATATAAATATTCGTCAAATCTCCTCTTGTTAACTATTGTATTTCTCTTTTCTCTTCTTCTTCTACTACTGATTCCTCACACTAATTATAATGGATTACTATCAACCGGTGGAGATTAACGTTCTCTCTGCTCAAGATCTCGACTCCGTAAACCTTTTGTTCAGACCAACAGTCTACGTTTCCGTCTCGGTCACCTGCGGTTCACGTGACCAGCAAGCCACTCCAGCTGCCGTGTGCTGTAAGAAACTCTTACGTTGGAATTACCGCATGAGATTCTATATAGAAGATGACAAGGTTCAAAGGAATGAGTCAGTGTTTGTGTTTCAAATCAAGTGTAAGAGATTTTTGGGGTCAGAGCAAGTCGTCGGAAAGCTTTTCGTACCGGTTAAGCAATTGCTTCACTTGAATAAGGAGAAGACGATAACCGAGCATACCAATATAAACTATCAGGTCATAACCGAGTCCGGTAAACCAAAAGGTTATCTATGTTTAGGGTTCAGATTTGGGAGTGTTTTTAGGGGCCAAATCAAAGGCCGTGATTCCAATGATGCTAGAGTCCGTGAGCATTTTACATTAGGAGTTTGGGGAATTATAAGACATGAGCCATCAGCTCCTTTTGAAGACGATATCTATATTTGAGAAATCAATTGAATATTTCCGATCTCTTCTTATTATAGTATTGTGTATGTTATTTTATACTATGTCAATTTCATTGTCAACTCAAGTTAAAAGTTAAAGAACATATAAAATTGTAGGTTAATAGATAAATATATATTAATTTCCTGGCTCTCTCTCTTCTCTCATCTACATCTTTCAGAGAAAGACTTCATATTTTTTTCGTCGTAAATTTCTCAATAAAGTAAAATCTCTCCTCGAGTTATGTCCTGTTTTAGTTAGTGTTTTGTCTCCGACTCGTTCTTCTTTTTATGTTTGCCAAAGAACTTGCATAGTGATTTTTTCTAGATCTTTACTATTTGCCAAAGAAAAATATCATTTTCGTCTACACTGCTTGCTTCTCAATTTTTTAATAACAAGCATATTTTACTAATTCAGGATCGAGACCTAAATTAAATTTATTATATGAGATGGATTTTTTGAATCATGAATAAGGGCATGGCAGATCAGGATGGGGGAAATTCTGTCATTATAGAAAATATAGAAAGCTTATACTGTAATTCTCAAATTCCTAACATTTTTTTTGGGGGCAATTATATTTATAGGACAAAAAAACTGTAGTATTATTCTCTTAATACTTTTTTAAACTTGACCACTTTTGAACAAAAATATCATTTATTTATAATTACGAAAATTAAAAAAAATACTTTTATAATCTAAAATTTTTTGGAAAATTCTGAAAAGGAAAGACAAAGACATTTCATAACATCATTTTGCCAAAACAAATTTTAAAACAATTTTTTACAAATGTTCTATGAATTAGTAGAAAACGCATTCTATAAATCTATAAATTTATAGAATAGATTATCTACTATTTCATGAATTTTCTACTAAATATATAGAATTAGTTATTTACAGTTCTTCTATGTTCTACAAACTTATGAAACCATATTCTATAACTTTTTCATTGTTATACAATTTAGTAGAATTATTCTACAGTTTAGTAGAATTATCTTTCTAGAGTTACCTCTTTGTTCTACATTTTAGTAGAATTGTATTTCAACGAAAACTTTTTGTTCTATAATTATAGAATACTTATTCTACAACTCGGTTAATTGAATCTCCGAGAATCTAATATCAGATCTAGAAAATATATTTTTTTCCTTTTTGAATTATTTATTTTCCTATTTATTTTTTTTTTAATTATTTCTTTCCTAATCAGATCTAGAGAATATATTTTTTTTTTTTCGAATATATTTTTTCTTTTTCGAATAAATTTTATATCATAAACTTTAATTAATATGGATAAATTCGAATTAAAAATGTAGAAGAGGTTAAATTATTAGTAGAAGTATTAGAGCATGTACATCTGAGGATCAAGAGGGGTTCATGGCACAGTTTTTGAGACAAAAGATTTTAATATTAAAGAGACAATATCATCCCGATGAACCTGAAGAGACAGTATCATCCCAAATAAAGTATTCTGATTGGTCGAAAATTATAATTTTCGAATTAAGAAAAATAAAAAAAAACTAAAACAAAAAGAAATATTATTATATTCTGGTGAACCCCTTTCTTAGGGGTTCACTGATGTACATGCTCTTAAGCAGACAAAATTTACTATATAAATAATAAGGGGACAATAGTTAGATTTATTTGTCTTATATTTTTAATTCTTTCTTTTTTTTTTGACATTACCTGAGATCAATCTATTTTGTTAATTGGCATGTGTAAATCGGAAGAATATTTTTATAGAGAGGAAAATGTTTATAAATCGGAAGAACTTTATTGGGTCGAACAGGTGGTCCGATTTATAAGTCTCTACAATCGGTCAAACCATAAAATTTTCGGTCAAACCATAAAATTGGTTTAAGTCTTGGTTTGTTCGGTTTATTTAAAATGGTTTTTTTTTTTTTTTTTTTTTGAATCGGACTTTTTCTAAAATATCCCACCCACACACAAATCATTTTATAAGGGTGCATTGTTCAAATTTTCTCTTAGACACAGACCAGAAAATGGAGACGAAGCTCTTTGATGCTTCTCAGGTTTCTGGTTTTTCTCCTTGGAAGATGCTCAATGATGGAATTGCTTGCGATAACGATTATCCGAAAATTTGCTTTGGAGTTATACTTTTCTCTGTCTCAGATTTCTACTCTCTGTTCGAATGTTGTTTCTATGGCTCGCCGGCGCGGAAATCGAAAATCCTTGTTGTTGCAGTAACGATTTCGCTCTGGAGTTACTTTTGTCTGTCTCAGACTTGTATTCTCTGTTAGAACTTTTGATTATGATGCTCGCCGGCGCGGGAATCGCAAATCCTCGATGTTACTGTAGCGATTTTTGCTTTGGATCTACTTTTCTATGTCTCAGATTTCGAAACTCCTAGATCTTCAATGTTTATAGTAGGGACTCTGGTTTGGATCTACATTTCTCTGTCTCAGATTCTATTTCTCTGTCTCAGATCCAAGTTTCTTCGTTTTGTCGAAACCTTGTGCAGTTGGTTGGCCCTTTCACACTTGGAATGGTTCACGTTATGCAAATCGAATTACTACATTTAGTCTCTTTGATGGTTATAGTGATGTTTCTGATACTCAAGTTGGAACAACATAGCGAAACAGTCTTCGGAGAAGTAATTCAGACTAGTATACCATGCTTTTTTTTAAGCCTTGGGATGGTATAATTGAGCAAATTTGGTCTGAATTACTGTTCCGCAGACCGCTCGTTCTGTTCTTAGGACTCCTCTGGCGAGCATTGATCATACGAGTGTGCAATTGTCAGATCTTGATGCATCCCCTAAGAGGAAATGTTACAGTGGTATATATAGTCATCTTCCCTTGTTCTTAGTTCTTACACATCCCCTAACCTTCTCTTGTCTGCCCAAAAAAAAAAAAGGATCCTCGACTGAATTTGGTAAACTGTTCTCTGTTTCTGCAGGCAAAGTTGAGCCGGATGTACAGCATCTGTTGCATGATATGACAAAATTTCTAAGTGGCTTAGTAGAGCAGCCTCCAAATTTGTACGAGTTGCTTGAAAACTTCCAATCATCTCTCCAAATTTCTTTTCCATCTGATGCTGCAAGTGAAAGAGGCAGAAAAGCTGTTGGTTTTAGGAGCTGTGTGGATCCGACCAAAGGTTGGTTGATGCTACGACCAGATTTGTTCCTATATAGGTTTCTTGAGTAACACTCTAACCGATTATCTATTCCGGAATGCAGATAATGACTCTTCGTCGCATACTGACCAGTTTTGCATAGATCCATCAAAAGGTTTTCTGCAGTATAATAACATAGTTGAACATGTTAAAATGACATATTCAGTGGAAGAACTAAAGGTAATAGCATTCCTCTATCATCATTAAGCATTGGTTTGTCTTTGACCCACGTTTGTTTTATGAACCTGGAGAATCGAATTTCTTAACAGGAACTTCTTGCATTCTGCAAGGCCTGTGAAGCTGACCTTCATCTTTTTTCCGAAAGACCAGGAGAGTAAGATTCACTTCTTAACCATCATGTGTATTTTATATGATATTTGAACATGCTCAAATTACGTTGGTTCTTGTCTATAAAGGATGTAATATTACCAGCTCAAACACCACCCCCATAGTTGGTAAATCCCTAGCTATCTGATCTGTTTCTAAATATAATGACAGGCCAATGCTGATGGCTCCAAATTACTACTTTCATGATGGGTCAGTCTCAAATTTTGACGCCATGCTTCTTCTAGCAAAACAGCTACTTCTTTGCTCTCAAAATTCGGGTAGTAATCAAATGTCTGTGATTTTCCAGGTTTCTTGTCTGAGGGGCTAACACGTTTTCTTTGTAACAGATGCTAAGGTCGGAGGTAAACCCAAGAAACAGAACCGACAAGCTCAATCTAAGAAGGACATCCATGCTAGAGATAAAGCTAAAACTCAACAACAATCTCAAAGTAGCAAAGAAGAAGAGAGCATCCATGAGGTAGAAAAGGTTTTCAATTTTTCCTTAAAACCCATACTTATATCTTACGATTTCTTAAATGTGATTGATTAATTTTATGCTAGATATTCAGCCGTTATGATACAATTACGAAAGATTGGACTTTGGAAAAGGGGTTCGTTATTGGCCCTGTTTCTGACCAAAAGAAAGGTAGTTTTATATTCTCTGAAATAAAATCATAGTTACATAGTAGGAACATAAAGGATATAATGTTATAATGATCATATATATATGCAGATAATATATGCTGGGCCATAGTCTTAGTCCGCATATTACAAGCCATATACAACTTCGGCCTTTCTGAAGATCAACAACATGAGTTTTCGGTTTACGAGCTTGTAGATCAAATCAAACCGGGTGAAGACAAAGATTTGAAACTTTCAAATTTAAACCTAGCATTCAACCACATTGAAGATCATGGGGTAATGAAAAAACCTGTCACTAAAAAGGGAAGTGAAAAGGTAAGAAGTTCATTTAAGTAGATTTCTTTTATATAATAGTTCATTTAAGTTCATTGAAGGCACCTCAATCTATAAGCTTTACTAGGCTGGAGCAGAGGGATTCAGAGTAAAGGAGAAACTCAAGCTCTGTAAAGATGTCAATGCTTCGTTTATTCAAGAAATATTGGATGAATACCCCGTTGGCTTAAGTCTTGAGATCACTAAAAGTTTTGACAACCTCGCAAATGTTAGTGAGAATCTTATGTCAATAATAACAAGTAATTGAGCTCTTGCATTATTCGATCAAAATGAAAACTACTAACATCGTCAATCTAATTTTCAGGAAAAGTTCTACATGGTGCCAAAGAAACCAAAGATTATTGGACCTAAAACACGTCTACATATCGTTCTGATTGTGGGATATGGATTCACAAAGGATAGACAGCTCTATTTCATCATTCAGAATTCTTGGGGAGAGGCATGGGGGGTAAGAGGTTTCGCACGGATCATCATCCCCCACAAATGCGATGTCATATGCCTTGATGAATAGGTAATTGGATATATCACATATCTTGAAAGCTGGAACTATATTTTGATTAGAAAACTTTATATAGCTGAGAGATTTAACATTCATTAACTCGGTTGCAATAAAAAAAAAAAAACAGAAATTATCTTGATGTTTAAATAAGAATAACAGATAAAAACTTATTCATGCTAAAAGTGAAAATCCCGGATATATATATAGAGGCTTCGTCTTCACTCTATATCTGAAACTCCTAAGCTTTGTTCCTCTTTGCCTTGGTAAGGCTACTTCAATTTCAACTTCTCCCTCATCCTTGAATCAGAACATTGGAAAAAAGAAAAAACCAAGACCAAAATTAAAATCAGTCATTATAAGTAGCACATCTCACTGAACAAAATGCAGCTCTCCAAACTATATATAAAGTCTACCAAAACATCCCTATACAATTAGAGAGATACTTACTAAAAAGACCTGCATTAAGACTACCACAAGACATCTCGAGAGTGAAGTGGCAGTAACTGCTCTTAATTGTAGCCAGGATACATAACCAGTTATTTTAAAACGGTTCTTTGAGGGTCATATACATGATTAAAGAAGATATTAAAGGTTGATAAATATATACCATGTTGGGTTAGGGCTTGGCCTGCAAAGGATGGGATAAGTCTTTCCAATAGTATGTCTCAACACCTTAGCTTGATACTCTACAAGAGGTGCATCAGGAGACTCAAACTCCTTGGCCACAAAGGTTATGTAAAAATACTGTCTAGACCCTCCGAAATAGTTCACCCACAACACTTGCTCCATCTGAACACTTGAACCCTAGAAAAGAAGAAAAAAAAAATCGATGATGATGAATCAGATGTATTATTTAAATACAAAACAGAGTCATATGAGTGTACCCTCACCTGATGTTGGTTGAATTTGTCGAGACATAGAATTGCCAAATCAGCACAGAATTCACGTGTGGTAGGGCCCTCATCATCCAAAAATGGATCGTCAAGATCAACGAGCGGAAGGATTCCCATGGAAAAATAAGGTGGCTTATTCTCGGGGTCTACAAAAAAACCCTAGACCCAAAAAAAAATCAAGTCATATATATTTTCAGTTTTAAAAAATTGAAAAGATCAGTATTCAAAAAGATTATTACTTTGGTCTCAATGAGCTGGCGCTTGTAACGACGCCATTTTAAATCAGCCTCCTCGTCGGTGTCCTCTTTCTCAGCAGAGTGATACTCGCGACCATCGTAGCTATCTTTATCCCATTCCGGCTCACTACTGTCCTTTTCCTCCTCACCGCTTTGGCTATCCTCCTCTTCTTCGCTTTGGCTATCGCTATTACCAGAATCTTCCTCAGGGCCGAATCTTCTGGCATCGCTGTTTCCCATAGACCAACATTCAACGGAGACTTCTGCATCGGAGAGTATACACATATTTAGTTATCAGAAGTTAATCTTTGTGTATATTTTCTATTAACTAAATATATAGATTCGCATTATCAAATATGTAAAGAATTTGTTAGTCAAGTTATATTTTTGTATAAATTAGTCTATTGACTAATCAATAAAATTGAAAGAAAATAGAAATAAATAAAAAGGAAATTAATAGTTGTGTATATTCTTTATTAACTAAATAGCTAGATTCTAATTATCAAATATGTAAAGACTTGTTAGTCAAGTTGTATCTTTATATAAATAAGTTTATTGACTAATCAAATATAATTGAGAGAAACTATTAACTTCCTTTTTCATTGCCAAAAAGAAAAAGAAGAGAAAAAAACAAAAACACTTTTTATAATCATGGTTATTGGGATTTATACTGCACTTTAAAAATGACAAATTTAAAGTGCTCACTTTTTTTTTGAACTTGATTCCTCATCATCTTAATAAAAACCTCACAAAAACGACAAAATAGCTGCGAGAAACAGAGGATCCTCTGGTTTGGAAGGAAGTATCCACAAACACTGAATTTAGTTCTATGAAAAAGAAAGGAAAAGACACAGAATATAAAGTTCCAGATTATCCATAAAAATATTCTTGTGTGTGACGATCTTTACCATATGATACATATACAAATCCATACATATCTATCAATCTTCACATAACTCTCCATAGACTCAAAGTCTCAAAGACTGAATCCTTTTTCAGCTCTAGTCCACAGTGAACCCCAACACAACTCAGAAACCTCATAAAAATTCCCTACAGAACTCAAACAACCAAACCTCTGTTCATAGTCAACAATGCTCATCGAAACGGAGCCAAAGGGCTAGGGCTATTGGGAACCCTAACACACCTCAGTTCTCTACAAACATGATCCAACATCCCAAGAAAATCCCTAACAATCACAAATATTCTCAATGGGTTCTTCTCATCTCCTCTCACATCCCCATGAAAATACTCTGCGATCTCTCCAACCCTCTCCATTATTCTCTTCTCGTATTCTCTCAACTCTTCCAAGCTCTTCTCTCCGTATCTCAAGAACGAGCTCATCGAACTAACGAATGCTCTGTTTTCTTCATCCCCTTTTAGCTTCTCACTCGCTAGAAACCTCAGTTGCCCTAACCCGTCTCTCAGATTCGACACGGAGCTAACGAGTCCTTCCAGATCAATTGTTGCCGTTTTCTTCACGTTTCGTAGCTCTGTGTTTAGACCCGAGACGAGATCGAGCCCCATCCTTCTGTAATCTTCCTCTCTCTCCTCAGGGGTTCTGTTCGTGTTTGATCTCTGGTTCATGATCCGTCCCATGATGCTGTCTGAAACTCTGATTCCTTCAGACCTAGAGATCTCTTGTACGACGAAATGAAGCAGAGTTGTCTTTCCATCTGTGCCCTTCACATCAGAGAGTTTGAGCAGAGCATCAAGCTTGAAGGCCTTTGCTCCACCGCGTATGGTTCCTATATTCATCCTATTTCCAGTCTTAAGCACAGCTTCTAGAAGTTTCAAGAATAACCTGCTTGACTTAAGCTCCTTGCAAGCTTCCTAGTTTAAGTACTTTGTGTTACACACGATAGCTTGTAATGCAAGCAAACAGGTAAATGAAAAATAATAATAATCAAACATTGTACTACCTCAAGCATTGAGAAGGAGTTTCTGAGATGAACAACTTCATCTTCAAACGTTTCTCTATAAAGCATTGCTTCAGCTCTTTGAAACGCAAATGGAACTCCGACAAGAGCTCTGAGAAATTTCTCAGCCGAGCCTAGCTCGTCCACAGCTCCTTTGTAGCTACACAGCTTCAGTTCTTCTTCTTTAGTCGGCACCATCTTCACCAACGCTTCTAGTTGCTGTAAACACAAGCCTTCCCCTGCAACAAACAAAGAAAGAAAAAAAAGGTTTTAAAATCAGATCAGGTCAACAAGCAATGGATCGATTTGAGCTGATCTTAGTTTACCTTTCCCCAAAGCAGAGCAGATTTGGTCGGCGGTTGCGTTGAGTGCTTTCAAGAGAATGGTAAAGTTCTGAAGCCTTTTAGGTTCAAGAAGGTGTTTTCCTGGTGAAGGGGTCTTGCTCTTCCCTTCCTCATTCTTTGTTGAGCTTTGCATCGAATATCCAAACAGCGACTCAATCATCTCTTCGTCTAATCTGTGTACCCACAAGACAACACATAACATAATCATACATTCTTAAAAAAAAAAGTTTTGTTGATTGTGGCTAAACCCTAAAAGCAAGTTGTAAACTTACTCGAAAGAGCTTGTTCTGAGCTTATCCCAGACCATAGTCCGGTCCGGTGTAGCCCTGACCTTATCCCAGTGAAGCGGCTTTAGTTTAGGCAATGGAGCTCCGTCTTTGCCCAACGGTTTACGCTGAGAAAAATCAAGAGACAGTGGCGGTGGAGGCGTTTTGTTCGTTCCTCCAGCTTGAAGTTGTTGTGGCGGTAGCGGTGGCGGTGGAGGCGGTACACTGATGGGAAGACTTGGTTTCGAGGGAGAAGCACAAACTTTCTCACATAACTGTGACGAAAGCGTCTGCGGATTAGTTTCTTGCAAAGACCGAGAGTGGAGACGTGTGTTTGAGAATTGCGGTGGCGGTGGAGGCGGTGGCGGTGGAGGAGGAGGAGGAGGAGTAGAGATTCCAAAACCTTTTGTAGAACATTCTGGAATCTCCAATTCTCGTTCTGAGAACCGTTGTGAGGATCCAACGTTAACGCTACCAGAAACAGAAGAAGAAGCATTCGAAAGCCTTGGATTTGAATACTGAGAGCCTCCACCAACGGAATGAAAAGACTCATCATCGTCTGAAGAATCGCATCCAACAGGAGCAGAAACAGAGTTTACTGTTGGTTCATCTTCATTTTCGTGCACCGACACAATCTCTTTCGTTGAATCTGACAAAATCTCTGTTTCTAGGCTTCTCTTTACCTCTTCTTCAAGCAATGCACCATTGTTATCGTTCAAATCCTTATCGGTTTCTCGTATTTCTTTAACGGAAACAGAGCTTTGCCTCTCTAAATCGACTCCTAGTGAGTTTAGGTACAAGAAATCGAGAGTAGGGTTTATACTGACCTTCCTCGTCGAGCTCTGAGATTTGCCCTTTTTCCATTTTAACGACGCCGTTTTACCATTCTTCTTCCTTTTCCTGATTCTCGCGCAGAGACAGAACACTCCCACTACACAAACCACGAAACCGATTCCAGAAGCTGTAGAAACGACAACTGGTAGAAGAATCTTCTTAAACGTTCCTCCTTTCTCGTGTTTTCGCTTCTGAATCTCCGGTTGTCTCGATGGATGGGTCCGTTGAGGCAACGGACGACGAAGATGCGGAGGGATTGGCCGTTGAGGAGCTGGAGAATACGCCGGAGACTCGATTGGACCACCGCTTGGAAACGGAGACGGTGACGGCGCCGGCCAAGGAGAGAAAGGAGCAGGAGTCAAGAGATTTCTTCGCCGGGAAGTAGAGGGTTTTATCAAATCGAGTAAAGCTCGGAACTTTTCCAAAACACGAAGCTTTTTCTTCTCGCCTCCGTCTTCTCCGACGAGTTTCCCGATCTGGGTCTGATATCTCTCACCGTTTTCCACCACTAACACTTTCCAATCATCAAGCTCTTTAGCATCAGCAAAAACGCTTAAGAAACTAACTTTGCAGCATTGTGATGATATCACCACTACAATGATCATGAGAAAAATCTGACGAAAATAAACCATCTTTTTGCTTCAGATCTTTTCTCTGTAAAAACAAAATCATCACCTCTATAAATCACAAAAAGACACCATTTATTACAAAAAAAAACACTCTAGCTTTTATCTTTTTGTTTATGTTTTTTTTAATCTCCTTCAGACTTTAATGCTACTCCAAGGAACCCCTGAACTCTGCAACTGTAGTTGTACTGGTAATGGTAACACCCTCTTTCTCCATTAACTCTCCTTGCAGAACAACACTGCTAATTTTGCCAATTTATACCCATCATTTTAGGTAATCTTTTAAATAAAAATATCTACTTTTGCTATTAAAAAAAAGGAATTACGGAACAAATGTCAATTTCAAGTTCTGCAGTGTGTTAATGCAGAATTTCTTGGAACTAATGTGGTGACGTTCTGAACCTTTTTAGTTTAAGTTGAAAACAGCTTTATTGTTTAAGGAGGTGATTTAAAAAAAAAAAACAGTTTAAAAAGAGAATCTAGTAAGCAAAGAAGATAAAAAGAAGCATGTAGGTGTTGGTGTGAAGTGGGTCCGGCTATTGTTGGCACATTTGGCTTGTACAGACATTTGGTAATTTACTGTTCAAGCTTTCTTTGTTCCTCTCAACCCACTATTATTTTAAGAGGCAAATACAATAAAATAAAATAAAAACTGTATTTATTGTACAGAATTTATTCTTGTGTGTTGAATGAATGTGTTATACACATACCCAACTATACATACATATGATTCCCTTTCATATGTTTTTTTTTTCATGAGCTATTTAAGGATCTCTTCAAATTGCAAAAAAAAAACATTTCGAAAACGTTTTGTCATAATAGTTTAATGACAAAATGTGTAACTAGGCCTTGCAGATAATATAACAATAAAAGGTAATGTTGCAAATATGTTACATACTCAAATTAAAACAAAAATTTTTTGTATAGAAACAAAAAAAAAAAGTAATCATTAAATATACTATAAGATATTATTTTATCTCGTTTCGTCAGATATCCCTTCATAGTCCTATATGAAAGCTTGATATAATCTTTTACTCAAAATATGTTGTCATATTGGGATGAATCTTAACTATAATATGATCTTACGTACGTTATTCTTACATTTTTTTTCTTCCAGACTTCTGATGAATATTCAATTAAAAAATCCTATGAACTTTAATTGGATTCTGGTAAATCAGACCAATAGGTGGGTGGTGGCGAAATATAATTGAATTAGGCAAACTTCTATATCTTTAGTCCCATTTTAAAGTTTATCAGAGTTAGATGGTTATATCTTCATGGTTTCACAATGTTAGTGTCAAAGATTGTTTGGTAGGAGATGATGTTGATATGTTTGGGAAGTTCTAATTAGATTTTCTTTCTTTAATATGATGAATGGCTTTTAGAAAACTATATTTTCGCTTTTGATTGCGCTATCAAGAAGAATTATAGGTATCCAACAAATTGTATGACATGTCTTTACAAGGAGATAAACATTGGAATTGTGAGAGATCAGATTAAAAACATAGCGTATTTCATTTATTTATTTTAACATGGTATCTGAGCAGAGGTTGAAATTGTGTTTTCAAACAAATCTCTCATAGACGATTAGACGTGGGGATTAGCAGTAGATCTAAATATTTACCATTGAAATCTCGATACGTTGGATTGAGTAGGAAAAAAGATCATTAGAATTCTGCACCATTTGCTTGTTAGTTCTTTTCACTTTTACTATTTGTTCATTTAACTACTCAGTGCCAGCAACCTTGACTTATGTGGGGCCAAGTCTGTATGGACTGACTTGTCTTCAACAATGTTCAACGTATTATATTATGATTTGTTGTTATATTGTAAATTTGTAATAGTTTACATCTTCTTTCTTTCCGATGAATACTATACATACTTTGTTTCTCTTTGATTCAACATTTCTATATACAAACACAAATACAACATCAACTTCTTATACTTTTTTACTATATATTCTAAAGTACATCGAACTCACATTATTAATGAGATTAACGGATCAATATTTTAACTGTCGTCTGAGAAATAATCAAAGTGTATAGTTTATTCAAGATTAAGAAGAAAAAAAAAAAGATAAACATAATGGGATAAATAACTGAAAACACTTACATAAGTCAAACCCCAAATATAACATCAATCTAACATCCTGAGTATTATGAAACGAGAAAGTTAAGCACGAGCAAAAATTATTATGTAAATGCGTCTGACAATATTACTCATATACGCATTTGTGACTGTTGTAATTTTTTATTTGAGCGCTTAATAATATAATTTCACTAACTTTTATTAAAAAGATATTTCTGACAAGCATAATAAGTAAAGTTATAGTAGCTATTATGTAGCATGTTACATATTTTTCTAAATTATACGTCTATGTAGAACAAGAATTAAATTGAAGACACTGTTTGGTATAAATATGACTATTTTAACATATAGATGGAGTGGCCAAGATCATTGTTTCCACCTTCGTTATTGTTGGAAACTTAGGTCACGTAATGGTAACGTGTATGATTGTTTTTTTGTTTCTGTAAAATTTGGGTGTTACTTATCAATCAAATAATTAAACGAGTTTAGAAGTCAAGGATTATATAAGTCAACGTATCGAGAAGACCAATGAAAGTATGAAACCATGATTTAGGGATGATTTTGCAAAAGTATCTAACTTTTGTCATATTAAAAAGTTGATTGCAGAAAGTTACGACTGTTGTCTGCATTTCTGGGAGTCATTTCAAAATTTGTTCTGTCTACATTTAGCATAAAGAAAGGAATCCATATTTACAGAGAGTTGTTTGTACCTACTTTGTCTTGAGAATAAAGTAAAGAAATATTTCGGCGAAACAAACAAAAATTTAAATACAAATATCCTAGCCCATGAATTGTCGGATATATCACATGGTAGCTCTAGCCTCTAGAGGTTATTGGAAAATTGTAGATTCCATTTGCGAGAAATTAAAAAGGAATAAAAAAATATTCAGTTTTTGTGTTTTTACAGAAATTGAAATGAAATAACTGCCGATTTGAGATACGTGGTTCGGTAAAGGAAAATAGTACAATTGCGAGATTTGTCTCTGTCACGCGACAAAAAAAAAAATTATTTCGTAATTTATAAACTCTGTCCCTTGAATTCCATAAATGCTAATTAAGAATACCACCGAACAATTTTACCTAGTCAATGGCGGCACCATCGAGATAAAATGGGCCTAATTAAAATGTTGTCCTTATAAGCCCATTAAGTATCAGGCCCATTACGAGAAACTACACTCTGACTGACTATGAAAATTCTCGCGCGGCTTCCATTGCAATCCCGCCAATCGGCACCATTACAAATCAGTGACCAAAATTGTTTTTAGGTTTTTAAATTGGGCAATTTGAATTTTGAATTTTCTTCACGGTGTGAGAGATGGAGTTCAGTATTAGCGGCAATGCTCTCAAGACCTTCGCTAGGTCCATAATCTGCCTCGCACGCGTCGGCAACGAGCTCGTCGTCCAAGCTTCTCAGACACAGGTTCTCTCCTATTCGTTTTATTGGCTTCTCGGTCTCTAGCAGCCCTAGTTTTGACGATTGGATAGTAATTGGTGAGGAGCTTGCTATTTGATTGACTAGAAGTTGATTTCGTCAGTTAGTACAGACGATTAGGGTTTTACACGATTGGGATAAGAGATCCCAGGTTTGCTATTTCTCTGTTTTACCTGAGAATCCGTGTGCATGAACCTGGGATTTGGTTCAAATTCTATGGAAAAGTATCAGCAAGCGATGATGTTTGATGAGTGTTTTTAGCCAAAACAGTATGAGTTCGGTCGATTTCAAGTAATCAGTACGATTAGATGTTATTGCAGAACAGAAACGATTCTGGGTTTATAGAGTAATTGTTTTGATAGGCTTGGGAACGATTTGCTGATTGAATTTGTAAGTGTTAGCTAAATAATTCTTCACATGTCTCTCCTTTTATTTCTCTACAATGCTCTATTTCTATTTTCTGCATTAATCGAAATGATTAGGGAGAAGGAAAATAGAGTTAAGCGGAATTGGTTGATTATTTGTATTTCTCAGATTGTAACTAATTTCTTTTGTTTCAACAAAACCTTTCTGCAGCTGGGATTGCACACTTTAAATGCTTCACGTTCTGCCTATCAGTCTATTACATTTCAGTCAAGTTTCTTTGATGCTTATACTGTTTCTGGTCCTCAAGCTCATTTCAGTGTTCTTTTGAAGGTATTTGCTTATTATCTTAAAAATTTTGAATAGAGCCGAAAGAATTCATTGTTCAAAGAAATTGTCGCTGATATTGCTTTTCCAGGCCGTTTGTTCTGTTCTTAGGACCCCTGTCGCGAGCATTGATCATATGAGTGTGCAGTTGCCAGATCATGACGCATCAAAGGTCAAATGGGCATTGGAATGTTACAGTGGTAAAGTCATGCCTTTATTCTTACACATTGTTTGCTTTTCTCTGCAAAGATCATACTCTCTAGTCATTCTGTGTGCAATCATTCGTAAAACCTAGATTGATGCAGTTTTTAGACCTGATAATAATAGCATTAACTGATTTTCAACTATTTTTTGAGACCTCTAATTCTTAAATAACTTTGAGCAGTAAGGCTACGACTATTATGTTTATTTGTGTGGAGCCTGGTTTGAATTCGTTTGATTGTTTCATTTATACGTACAGGTATGAAGAAAACATATTGGATTACTTGCAATGTGGAACCAGATATACAGCATCTGTCGCTTGATAGGGGTAGATTTCCGAGTAGTATGGTTGTGCATCCTCGGAATCTGAGCAAGCTGCTTGGAAACTTCCAATCATCGCTCCAAGAGATTACAATAATTGCTACAGACCAAACTTCTTTTCCATCTGATGCTGCAAGTGAGATAGGTGGAAAAGCTGTTGAATTTCGGAGCTATGTGGATCCGACCAAAGGTTAGGACTCTGTAATAATGCGAAGATTGGATTAAGCAGTCTCCTTGTGTAAGGCTGCTAACAATTTTCTTTTCCAAACGCAGATGGTGACTCTTTATTACATACTCAGCTATGGATAGATCCATCAGAAGAATTTTTGCAGTATACTCACGCAGGTGATCCTATTGACATCACATTTTCCTTGAAGGAACTAAAGGTATAACATCCTTCCACCTGAAACCTGGTTTGACTTGTATCCACCTTCCTTTGTGTTAATCAAAAGTCTTCATAAAATTTCAGGCATTTCTTTCATTTTGTGAGGGCTGTGAAGCCGACATTCATCTTTTTTTCGAAAAAGCTGGCGAGTAAGAACCATTTCTTTTCCATCCTGTGCATCTCGCCTTAATAAATCCATCTTTCTACAAAATCAAGTGCTTCTCAAATATGCTAGCTAAATCTCTCATTTAAACACCTTAATTTGTTGCCAGGCCAATACTGATGGCTCCAAAATTTGGCTTGGGTGATGGGTCAAGCTCAAGTTTTGATGCCACACTCGTTCTTGCGACAATGCTTGTATCTCAGCTTCAGGAAGGAGTTATGCCAGAACCTCCAGTAGCAGCGAACTCCACAGATGGCCATGCTGCCGAGCAGGTAGGATCAGAGCCTCAAGAACGGTCTAGGCAGAGCGCCTCCGAGCACCCATCCGATCACACACGAGTTTGGTCTGAACTTTCAGGTAGTAACTAAGCTAATTGTTTGTGAAATGTATTCATCATTTTGTCTGATAACTAAAACCTTAGTAACATCAATGTTGGCCAGCAGGAACTGCCACTAAGAGCGTTAACGGTTCTGAGGAGAGGCCGCAGGCTCAGGGACAACCAGATGTGAATATCCAAAGAATTAGAGATATGGAAATATCAAAAGGTGGACCAGCTGGAGACAATGCTCCTGGACCTTCTAACTCGTATCCTTCACGTTACATCTCTCACAATCACTATATCACCATACCCTTCTTGGCCTGTTTAGCTGTTAATCATACCCCATAATCGATTAGAAATTTCAAATTGTGTAGTTACAAACTTACAACTAGCTTCTAAAGTGCATTTCTTAGCCTGTTAATCATTTCAGAATGCTCCGTAACCCAAAATCGCATATCTGCAGTGACTGTTCTTCTTTCTATATATGCTTTGTTATCTTTGACATTTTGTCAGCCAACGTCCAACACAGATGGATCACGCCGAAGGATCCCGAGGTACCTGCGAAACCAATTCTACGGCAGTTTCTGTATCTTGTCTTGTTGGATAATTCTAAATTGTTTTTCAGTACGGGTTGAGAACAACCAAAGCTTCTCCCAGCGTCATCCTAGTAATTGGGTAGATGCAAGTGAGGATGAAGATGAAGACGATGGTGTTGACGCGACCCCACCTCATAATGAAGATTATTAACTCAAGTCCTTTAGGGTAAGATGTCTCTCTCTATCTTAAATATAAGGAAAAGTTGTTCAGTATATGCATATATGCCTAGTGTTAGGTGCTTCATCCACTAAAATCAAAATTGATCCTTTTTTTGGCATAACTTCTGGATCGCGTGCTGTGTTGTTCAGTCATGTTTGTTTGTTATCTGTTTGCTTTTCTTTCTAACTTAACATTAAAACAAAATAGAATGCCAACACACCTTGAACCTCTGTCTCTTTTTGCCTTTCCACCAAAACACTACTAAAAAACTGACAATAAATGTATTTCAAACGCATTATCATATCTTCTTACTATGCCGCCCATAATAATTGTTTTCAATTCAAACGCAAAACACGAACCTTTGCTTTCTCCGTTTGTTAAAAGCACAAAAACAATAATGAGAGAAGGTTCTACATAAATCCCCTATAAAAGCAATGAGACATAATGAAATGAGTCATAATAATTTAATGTTCTTCGTAAGGTACTAACCACTCTATACCTCTCTTTATACGTTTTATATATAAGTAAAAGATGGCGAATAAGTCCAAAGAAACAAAAAGAATAGGACAATTTTAAAATTCTGTTTCTTTCTCGTTTTTATAATCTTATAGAAACAGAAAACTTTAGAAATTGGCTATGTTCTTCATTTTTAATTTAAAGAGACTTCTGTCTTTAAAAAAGGTTCGTCTACTTGATAAAGAATGTAGGATATGAAAGAGGTTCTCCATAACGTGGAATTTTGTGTTCTTCTTTTTGATATCCTCATTATTGGTATCTTATTCGTGATGGCCTCATAGGAAAAGTAAAGACCTTTAACTTTGCATTACAATTTCGTGTTAGTAGGATTGAAAAAAAATAAAATAAATAAATAAATAACGTGTTATGTATCTTCTTTTGTGCGCCTTTTTATTTTTTTCGCTTCCATCAATTATTTCGTATTCAGGAAAAAAAATTAAGCGTTTATTGTCGTCTTTCTAATCATTATTACTACTTTTTAAAAATACTAACTATCATATGATTGTTAGTAATCTATCAAATATTTGAAAAATGCAATCGAATAAAGCAAATGTTGATTGTCAAACTAAACATTAGATTATAATTTGGGAAGAATACATACAGATTAGTTTATAGGGACCAGCTGGCTCTTGGGATAACTTGGTAATGCGCAAACGCCGTCCTTGCTGATCTGTGATTTGGGGCCCACTTTGTTCTTAACGGTTTGGTCGCACGTTACGCGCCTTCTCTCGCTCTAACACCGTCAAAATGTCGACGTTATCCCGAAGGAAAAAAAGGATAAGTAAATACAAAGACAAACTAGCCGTTGCTCTCTCTTAAAAAATAATGAGTTTGGGAATTGGGTAAAGATCATCCAAAGCATTATCACTTTCTTAAATAAGTTTATAAATGTTTGTGATAAGGATGCTGAACAAAAGATTCTGTAAAAAGGATGAGAATTTTAAATCACTTAACAGTCTTTGAATTGGATCTACACACATACATAAAATGGATTATTGAATACACATGGATTATCATCTCTAATCTACATACATATGCAGATAGTCAAACTAACTTATTTCATTTTGATATCATTTTAATTCTATAAAAAAATGATCAACCGGGAGATAGTGCTGCTACCTATGAATGGTAGTGACAAATACTAACAATGTTAGGAGAGTGGTTTACATGTCTTCACAATGGCATTTCCACATGAATGTAATGACATCAAATGTTTTTGGAGTACCAAGCATGAGGCTATATCTAGAACTTCGTTAGTGTACATTTTGCGGAGCTACCACAACTAAGCAAACGTTTGACTATGCAACTAATCTTTAAGAATATGGAGTTATGGTTGCTTTTACATATTGTTTTTGGAGTGCCAAGCATGAGATGAATGTTTTATAAGTTTTAATGAAATCGTGCTGTGGGCGTAACATTACAAAATGGAAAATCATGATTTTTAAGTTTTCGCATATGCTATCAACATACTCAAAAATTTACATTATCCAAATAGTAGCAGCACCAAAAGAATAAAAAATTACATTTATTTTCTTTAAAACGCTGATCACGGACCTGAAACCATAAGGACCGAAAAAAAATTGAAAAACTACTCCGAACAGGCACGGGAAAAAAATCATTAACGGAAAGAGGAGAAAACGTGCGTTGACGTTAACGGAACGGTGGATGGATTTGATATTGCCGTCTAACCAGAGTTCATACCATTTGGCCGATAATGAAAAAAGACAAACCGGTCAACCAGCTGCTGCCTAACGATGCCCATGGTTTCACGTGTTAATTACGTATGTATGCCATTATATGTGTAGCCTTTAGAGAACTTAAATACAAATTAAACATTTGTGAGAGCTACTTAACAAGGTAATAATTATATAACAATTTTTTTTGTTAATGATACAGAAATATTCAAGACACGAAAGCATGCTCTTAAATGTTGCAATGTAACCTAATTGCAATTTAAGTTTTTTATGTTGAAGCCGTCCTTTGTTAAAAATACAAGTCGTGGGTGCACGAAAACATAAATAAAACTTGAGAATAACCCAACGAATATTTCAAAAATTAGAAACAGTGATTTTATGATTAAATTATAAGAACGAATATGCGTTAGTTGCGTTATTAAATCAATTTCATAAGAAAAAATAGTTAAAAAAAGAAAGAGAATGGCACTTCCGTTAATAGGACCACAAAGAAGCCCGTTCTAATAATTTAATCAGGTTATAAGAAGCTAGACAACCAATGCTTAACTTGTTGTCTTCAGCTGTGTACAGATTCAAGTTTCAGAGATAGAGAGAGAAAGTGAGAACACATTCACAAAGACGGACCCAAAAAAATACAAGAAGCCTCTGATTCAGCCAGAAGGTTTTGGTAAAAGAAAGACGATGAAGTCTCGCGCGATCTACGCCGTCATCGCGATCCTCGCGATCGTAATCTCAGCCGTTGACGCAAGCGTCGGCGACTTTGGAGGTTCGCTTGATTTCGTACGGACAGGATCTTCTTCGCTCTTCTCTGGATGCAAAGGATCGATCGCAGAGTGTATCGCGGAAGAAGAGGAGATGGAGTTCGATTCGGAGATCAGCAGGCGCATTTTAGCACAGAAGAAGTACGTTAGCTACGGTGCGATGAGGAAGAACAGTGTGCCTTGCTCACGCCGTGGAGCTTCTTACTACAACTGCCGGCGTGGCGCTCAGGCGAATCCTTACCGCCGTGGATGCAGCACCATCACGAGGTGCAGGCGTTGAAGAAGGAAGATGACTTCTTTAAAATTCCTATTTTGCCCTTGTCTTTCGATTTTTATTTTTTCTCTTAATTTATTTTCCGGGATATATGGGTTTGATTTACACATTGAAAACTATAGTCTTTGCTTTCAAACAAAAATGCGTTATTGTTTTTTTTTTTTGGTTGTTGTTCATATATATAAATACATAAATAATTCAAAGTTGCCTAGATTAAAAATACTAGTTCTTAGTCCGAGAGGTGAATTGAGATCTGTGCATAGTTTTGTGTTATATGACAATTTTAAATTATTAACCAAAATTTTAATTACCGTTATTTTAACTGAGTGAATCTGAGTTCTGGAATAGAGTTGTATATAATCGACCGTATAATTAATTTAAGTATCAACTACACAGCAGAATTGAATTCCTTTATTAGCTGTTGGTGGCATGTTGGCTTAATAAGGTAATGATGGGACCATCACAGCCTAACACGTTAAATTCAAAACATTTTCTTCATAATAATTAATTTATCTTTGTGGAAACTTCGTTCCGGCTTTAATTGTATCTTTTTCCGAATACTCCATATAATTATTATGGAATAGTTTGGATATTTTATAGGCTATATTGTTAAGGCTTTCAATACGCAGAATAGTAATCACATTTCAAATGCAGATTAAATATGAAAATGTGAGACACATGAATAAGTGAGTCATGAGTAAACTTACAAATTACTCGACATACTTGTATTACACAGCGTTAAGATGAACAACCCGTTTAAACATAGAAAAAGAAGAAGATGTGTACTTAGATGACGGCAGGTGCAAATTAAAACGCGTCAAATGAACGAATAAGTAATAACTTAAAATCATATTCGCCGATGATTTATTTTTAAAAAGCCATTGAATTTTGTTTTTTGTTTTTACACCTTTTGAAACTGTTATTATTTTCCACGACTAAATCTGCCATATATTACAAATGTCAAGTACTAACAACGAACTAAAACAACAACAATAACTCAAATAGAGATGAATGGATAAACGGGAGCTCACAAGCTCAACCGAAGTAGCATCAAAATAAAGATAGCGGAAAAGAAGACTCCTATTAGGCATGAAATTGTATTTTGGTTTCTTCCGGTTATTGGTTATGTCAATACCGGTTTCTAATCCTCGTATATAAGAGGCTCTCTGTAACAAACTCTAAGATGAACAACAGAATTTCTTTTCCCAATCTTGTTTCTATTATGGTATCAGAGCCAGGTTTTTGCTTGATGTAGACACATAACCAAGGCATCCAAACACACGTAGACCATTGTATTCTGGACGTTTTGAAGTGAGGACCTGATATGGAGTTTTATCTTGCAAAACTGGAGTTGGCAAACGGTTGATCAGAAAGACCGCAGTGAGAATGCAATCACCCCAGTATTCCAATGGAACTTGAGCTTGAAACATGAGAGCTCGAGCCACATTTAAAATGTGTTGATGTTTCCTCTCAACCACTGAGTTCTGTTCAGGAGTTTCAGGACAAGAATGGTAGGGAAGAATACCTTTCTGTTTGAATAACTCTGCAAATTTCAATTCAGGAGCATTATCTGATCTAACTCCTTTTACCACTTTTCCATACTGAGTTTCAATCATCTTGAGGAAGTCTGGGAAAATCTTTAGAACTTCGTCCTTAGTTCGCATCAGATAAACCCATGTGACTCGTGTATGGTCATCAACTATGGTGAGAAAGTACCTGTACCCTTCAGTAGTGGGCACTGAGAAAGGACCCCAAGTGTCCATGTGAATGAGATCAAAGGCATTCTCAACCATATTACTTCGTGAAACAAAGGGGAGGTGCTTTTGTTTTGCAAGGGGACAAATTGCACAATGAATTGGACCTTTATTCCTTTGTTTAACACCAAGTACATCTGTTATAAACTCAGTTTTACAAGCAGATGGATGACCTAACCTATTGTGCCAAATTGTTGAATCTACTACAACATTTGAACAAAAGTAAGTGTTTGAAACTCCAGAAGGATCTCTTAAGGAAGCAGCATCCAGAACATACAGATTCGATACCTCATCACCCTGACCAATCATCAACCCCTTGATAGGATCCTGTATGATGCAAGAATCTTTGTCAAAAATAACTCTGTATCCTAAATCCTTTGTCAACTGGCTGATGCTTAAGAGGTTTAGTCTGAAGTCTGGTATATACAAGACATTGTTTAGTACCAGATGATCATTCAATCTTACTGTACCAATTCCAGCTATTCCGATGTCTATTCCAGTGGGGAGAGTCACCGATCTATTCAAGGAATTAGACAAATTCTCGAACAAATTTCTATCATGTGCCACATGATGATTTGACTTCTGATAACGGCATAAATTTCAACCACGATCAAGACCTTGTGTGTTTTTGGGATATCCTGCAAGATATAAGGGATACAAGATGCTAGATTTGGAGACCAACAATGTTCACATCTCTCGCAATGTGACCTTTCATGAGGAGATATTTCCATTTGCTACAGGTCAGTGTGTATCTAATGCTGATTTCTTCTCTTATTCGCAAGAATCTGTAGATCATCATAACTTTAGCACGGTTGATAGAGGAATTCCTGCAGTAGATACTTTGAATCCTGTAGTTGTGAATAATGATCCTATTACCGATGTCTCTAGTTCTACAGATACTTGTGATAAGGATCAAACTGATGGGAACAGAAGAAAGTCCAAACAGCCAGCATACTTACAGGATTATTACTGTAATCTGACTACCACAACTATTCCTTATCCACTGGCTGCATATATGTCTTATGCTCAACTTTCAGATGAATATAAGGCATACATCTGTGCTCTTAATGTCCTGTCTGAACCTGATTCATTCAAAAAGGCCAAAAATTTCCCAGAATGGATAGCCGCTATGAATGAAGAACTTCGGACTTTGGAAAGTACTAACACTTGGGAAATATGTTCTTTACCTTTGGACAAACACGCAATAGGCTGTAAATGGGTATATAAGCTCAAGCTTAATGCGGATGGGAGTCTAGAACGTTACAAAGCTAGACTCGTAGCTAAGGGCTACACTCAAAGAGAAGGAGTTGATTTTGCGGAAACCTTCTCTCCAGTCGCAAAGATGACAACGGTTAAGACTCTTCTTGCAGTTTCTGCAGCAAAGAATTGGAGTTTAACACAACTGGACATCTCCAATGCATTCTTAAACGGAGATCTTGATGAGGAAATATATATGACACTTCCTCCTGGATATACACCTCCTGATGGTACTAATTTGCCTCCTAATGCAGTTTGCAGATTGAAGAAATCATTGTATGGTTTAAAGCAAGCTTCAAGGCAATGGTTCATCAAGTTTAGTACCACCCTCACAAATCTTGGTTTTCAGAAATCCCATGCAGATCATACTTTGTTTATCCGTAATGTTGATGGAAGATATGTGGCTATACTAGTCTATGTCGATGATATCATCATAGCTAGTAATAGAAATGAGGAGGTTACTAGATTGAAATCTGATTTAGCAAAAGCATTTAAGCTCAGAGATTTGGGAGATTTGAAGTTTTTTCTAGGACTGGAAATAGCTCGTTCAAGCAAAGGCATTACAATTTGTCAGAGAAAATATACTCTCGAGCTCCTAGAGGAAACTGGTATGTTAGCTTGCAAACCATCTACTATACCAATGGATCCTTGCGTTAAGCTACGACAACATTCAGATGAGCCTGTCCTTGAAGATATCACTCCATACAGACGGTTAGTAGGGAAGCTAATGTATCTGACCATAACACGGCCTGATATTACATATGCAGTGAACCGGTTATGTCAGTTTACCTCTGCTCCGAAGAAATCACACCTTCAGGCTGCTTACAGAGTTATGCGATATCTAAAAGGCACAGTTGGTTTGGAAATCTTTTACTCAGTGGAATCTGATTTGTTGCTGAAAGCATTTACTGATGCTGATTGGGCTTCTTGTGCTGACACTAGAAGATCAACATCTGGTTTTTGTATGTTTCTTGGAGGGTCTCTCATTTCCTGGAAATCCAAGAAACAACAAACGGTTTCCCATTCTTCTGCAGAGTCGGAATATAGAGCAATGGAGTTTGCAGTCCGAGAAGTTGAATGGTTAGTAAATCTTCTCAAGGAGTTTGATGTTCATCAACCTCATGCTGTGGCTTTCTATTGTGATGCAACTGCAGCAATACATATTGCGAATAATGCAGTCTTCCATGAACGCACGAAACACATAGACTAGATTGTCATATGGTTCGTGATCGCATTGTAAGTGGTCTCATCAAAACACTACACATTCGAACAGAGTACCAATTAGCAGATGTGTTCACTAAAGCTTTGCTTCCTGGACAGTTCTTATCTCTTATTGACAAGATGGCTTTGAAGTCCATATACGTGCCATCTTGAGGGGGGATATTAGGCATGAAATTGTATTTTGGTTTCTTCCGGTTATTGGTTATGTCAATACCGGTTTCTAATCCTCGTATATAAGAGGCTCTCTGTAACAAACTCTAAGATGAACAACAGAATTTCTTTTCCCAATCTTGTTTCTATTAACTCCTTTTGCTTGGCCGTCTTGATCGAAACCACAAAAAGAAGGAATCAAAACCTCCGGAGTTGTTAAGGCCAAACCATCAGCAATATCAATAGGACTGCGATCTCCATATCTCCATTATCTATCGACATAATAATGGTGTTTCTGTATTTGTAGGAACAGTGATTGAGCAATATGTTTGCAAAATAGAGTTTACTCTCTTTCTCTAAAGTTAATAAGTTATTGATACCAATCATTAGTATCTATTTTGTATTCAAAAAGATTCAATAAAGATCGGATTAAGCCAGGAATTGTCATCTAATATGGTTTTAACATTCACTATATGTTATTCCGTTTTCATGATTTCATCTAGTAGTTATTGGTCTATCCACTAACTTTCAGGCCAGTGAGATGCACCAAGTGCTGTTGCGGAGAAACAAAAACATTGGATCGTGATTTTTTGTTTTTTTCAGAAAATAGTATAGCATTCTTAAGAAAAAAGAGAATAAACACACAAAAATACTACTCGCAGATAGCTGGCCCAGATTAGTATTGTTCACTTTGGTTTAGTGTGGTTTAGGATCTATTCGTTCATCATTTATATAGGAGTTGAATTTTTAAACCTCTTAGTATCTTCCAAAAAACATCAACGTCAGTGCTTACAATTTTTTTTTTTTTTGCGTTAAATGCTTACAAAATTTTGACCATTTGTTGTTTCGTTCGTGTAGATTCGTATGCTCTTCGCTACTATTTCTATCATTTTAGAGAAAGACAATTTTCCCCAATAATAATGTTCTACAATTTTGTGTGTTGATGCATCTTGTACATTTGTGGTTACACTGAGTAACATGACCAAGAGATCCTACACGATTGTGTAATTTAGCATCTAATATAAATTCATCCAATGACTCTCAAGCCTCATATTTATATATCTCTTGTTTTCTAACATATTATATTTATCTCATATATACAACAATCTCTCTATCTGACACTTCTAGAATCTTCTTGTAATTAATTTGTTTTCTGTTTTTATTTTGGTCAAGTATAAAAACACCTTTTTTATTTCCTTTTCTTAGCTAAGTTCGTTTACTTAACCCACACGCCGTAACGGCCCATAGAATATGGATGGTTTGCGAAAGGAAAAAGACACGCTCCAAACCGACCCAATTAAAACACACGCTTGCACGCGTAGTCTCCAACTCTCACACGTGCCAAATCCTTATTATATAAATAAAATCTAGGGTACGTCGATAATTCCGCATCACCATTACTTTGTTTTGTTCGCCAAATCAATTTGAAAATTCTCTCAAAGAATCCATCTTCGATAATCTCTTACACCGATTCGTCTAGCGATCATGGCCCAAACGGATCTCAATCTGCCGAAATCGGATATGGTAATCCCTTTTAACATCGATCTATATACTTCTTATTGATTGTCGTCTCAAATCTTTTGATTCATCGTCTCAAAGATATTATTTTTGGATTGAACTTTTTCATTTTCTTCAAATTGAATTGGGTATTTTGGTATACCCGTCATATTATGCAAGTAGCATAGGAAGAATCTGTAGTTTAATTCGCTCATCATGGAATTATTGTTTGGAGATTAAGAGGCTGTTTGTTGGTACAGAACGTAGTTCATATTGTTTATCATCTCATGCAGAAGATCAGGAGTAAGGAATTGATAAAAAAAAATGAAAAATTGTTCGTTGGCTAATGAAGTGTTGCCCTTTTTGAATTCCATTTTACAGACAAAGGAGGAGAAAGAAAGATTGAAGTACCTGGAATTCGTGCAAGCTGCAGCTGTGGAAGCAGTGCTTCGCTTTGCTCTCATTTACGCAAAGGCAAAGGACAAGTCTGGTCCTTTGAAACCAGGTGTTGAATCCGTTGAAGGAGCTGTCAAGACTGTGGTCGGTCCTGTCTACCACAAATACCACGATGTCCCTGTCGAGGTCCTTAAATACATGGACCAGAAGGTAATTTGACTTTTCCCTATTTCTTCTTGATGAATGATGAAGCTGCTGCGAAATGGTTTTGTTAAAGATGAATGAGAGCCACCAGTCTTCCATTTTACTTTATCGAACTTTTTCTCACGGACTTGTCCAATTGATGAGTCTGTATTTAGCGTAGCTATACTTCTTTGAACATATGCGATTGGAATTCGGGAACTAGACACACAGTAAAACTTGTGATGATTTCAAACTATCCGTTTTGTGCTTTTGAGGTCAAGCCCACACACTAGGTAGAATTTCGTTAACCGGGTCAGAGTATTATTACCTTTAAAGCTTACAATATCTAGTTTTACCGTTTTGTGTCATTGCAGGTTGACATGTCTGTGACTGAGTTTGACCGCCGTGTCCCACCAGTGGTCAAACAAGTGTCTGCACAAGCCATCTCAGCTGCTCAGATAGCACCCATTGTGGCCCGAGCTTTCGCCTCAGAGATTCGACGTGCTGGCGTTGTGGAGACCGCTTCTGGGATGGCTAAATCCGTCTACTCCAAGTACGAGCCTGCCGCTAAGGAGTTGTATGCAAGCTATGAGCCAAAAGCAGAGCAATGTGCTGTTTCGGCTTGGAAGAAGCTGAACCAGCTGCCTCTTTTCCCAAGGCTGGCTCAAGTCGCTGTACCAACAGCTGCTTTCTGCTCTGAGAAGTACAATGACACTGTGGTGAAGGCTGCAGAGAAAGGCTACAGGGTCTCATCTTACATGCCGTTGGTTCCAACAGAGAGGATCTCAAAGATCTTCGCCGAGGAGAATACTGAGACCGAGCGTTTGGAGTTCCATCCACTTGATTGATGATTTCAGTGTTTGGCAGTGTGCTTTTTGGTTTGGTTGGAATTGAGGTGAACGGGATCTTGGTTAGCGAGAGGTCCCTGGTTATGGTTCTTTTGCTTTTTCGTTTTTTAATTTCTTTTGGTTTCTTCGAATTTTCGTTTCATCAGAAAAAAATGTACAATTTATGTTGGGATTATTGTATAAAATCTTTCTTTTATTTGTTAATACTATTATGGATCACGTAAAACCGAAAAAACACCAGAGTTATTTATAGGCTTGATTGATAAGAGACACTACTTTCGAAAGTTTATTATTCCATAATTTATAAAAAATTGATTTATTCGTAACTATAATGTTCCAATTTATTGGTGATTTGAGTTGATACGGTTATGATTTTTTATTTGGATTCTATTTATTAAAAATTATCATCAAGCTGAAAGATTTCAAAATAATGCAGAGTTATTCTACAATAATTTGTAGAATCCGAAAGTTGCAAATATAAACACAAACAAAGTAAGTAGCTGATGATTAAAAAGCTAACTTAAACAATGATAAAAAAGCTAACTTAAACAATCCCACCAATTCTCAAAAGCTAATACATGATTTACAAGTTTCTCTGCAGCAAGCTTATGAGGTAAATCCCATTGATTATCATCTGATAAGAGACATTAAACTTAATCTCGCTCAGGCTTACCGTATGGAGGAAGAGTACTGGCGCATTAAAAGTAGAACTCTGTGGTTGCAAGCAGGTGATAAAAACACTAAGTTTTATCATGCTAAGGCTAAGCAAAGAAGATCATTAAATCGAATTACTTCCCTTGAAGATGGAAATGGAAATATTTGCTTTAAGCCTAATGAGATTGAGAGAATTATCACTAACTATTTTTCTCATCTATACCAATCTCAGAGTAATCACCAACAGGTTGATTTCCTTCATTATATGGAGCCGAGAGTGACAGAAGAAATGAACCTTCACCTTACTAAGCCAGTAACAGAAGATGAAGTTTATCAAGCTCTTAAACAGATGAATATCGATAAATCTCCAGGGCCTGACGGACTAACTGCAGGGTTCTACAAGGATCATTGGTCCACCATCAAAAACAGTATGGTTAGTTTTATTCAGAACTTCCTTGATAGTTCTGAATTTGATCTGGACTTGAATAAAACTTTCATATGATTGATTCCTAAAGTACAATCACCTACGGAGGTCAAGGATTACAGGCCTATTAGTTTAAGTAACGTTGCTTATAAGCTTTTATCAAAGGTGCTTGCAGAAAGACTTAAGCCCATTTTGCATCACATTATCTCTGAGAATCAAACAGCATTTATCCTATGCCGACTCATTACAGATAATGTGTTAATCTCTCATGAACTTTTACATTCTATGAATACCAGAAAACGAGTTTATCCATATATGGCTTTAAAATTGGACATTACAAAAGCTTTTGATAAACTTGAGTGGACTTTCATAGAGCAGGAGGTAATGAAGAGAATGGGTTTTGCAGAGCGTTGGTGAAACTGGATTATGAAGTGCATCACAATTGTTTCCTATGCTGTTCTTATCAATGGAAGCCCTTCTAAATACTTTTTTCCTTCTCGAGGTATTAGGCAAGGTGACCCAATATCTCCTTATATATATTTGCTCTGTACAGAAGGTTTATCTTGCCTAATCCAACATGCATCTAACATGGGTACAATTTCGGGTTTCCAAGCAAGTCGAGGTGGACCAGCCATTACTCATATGCTTTTTGCGGATGACTCACTTCTTTTTTGCAAAGCAACAGCTCAAGAATATGATGCTATAATGGAAATTCTCCATCGATATGAAATAGCATCTGGACAAGCTGTTAATTTTCAAAAATCTGCCATTAAGTTTACTAAAGGTATGTCACCAGCCCTTAAAGATTATATTCTGCAGACTACTCATATTACTAAAGTAGATGAATTCGGAAAATATCTAGGTCTTCCAGAGTATATAGGGCGTAATAGGGCAGATACTTTTTCTTATCTTGTTCAGCGAGTGACTAAAAAGATGGAGAATTGGTACACAAAACTATTATCACCTGCGGGTAAAGAAGTCTTGATCAAATCTATTGTTACTGCTTTACCTACTTACTGTATGACGTGTTTTCTACTTCCGATAAAGATAATAAAACAGATGGAAGCAGTAACCGAAGGTTTTGGTGGTCTTCTCAGCAAGAGAGAGGAAAAGTCAATTGGATTTCATGGGATAAATTGACTGACCCCAAAGATCTAGGAGGTATGGGATTGAGAAAATTTTAGAGATTTCAATATTGCACTTCTGGCTAAACAAAGTTGGCGCCTGTTGCAGAGCCCAAAATCTTTGCTTGCAAGGGTGTATAAATCAAAATATTATCCAAAATCTACTTTGCTTGAAGCAAAACAAAGTTGGGCTGCAAGTCATGCTTGGCGAAGCATACTGAAAGGTAACAAGCTGCTTAGGCAGGGTATCAAATGGATTGTAGGTAATGGTAAAGAGATTAATACTTGGAAAGATCCTTGGTTGCCTATAAATCCTTCTAACCCGCCTATGGGTCCAGGTGCTAACATTTTCCCTAACCTCAAAGTATGTGATTTGTTCAAAGAAGGATCACATGATTGGGATGATGATAAACTACGTGAATTATGTGATCCTTTGGATATCCCGCTCATCAAGTTGATAAGACCGTCTTTGACTGGAGCTTCAGATGGTATTACTTGGATGCATACTCGGCAAAAGAGGTCAGTTTTCTTCAGTTCCAACTCAGGCTTTTAAAACTATCTGGAAGCAGGATATTCCACCAAAAATTAAACATTTTTGGTGGAGAGCTTTTCATCACTCACTGCCTGTAGCAATGCAGTTGAAGCAGAAACATATTCTTCAAGATAGTACTTGCCAAGTTTGTGGAGAAAAAACAGAATCAGTGGAACATCTCATTTTCAACTGTAGAGTAAGCAAGGAAATATGGGATTTGGCTCCGGTAATCAAACCATCTTCCTTTCAACTTAATCATCAGAACATTAATGAAATTTATATGTCCTTTGTGGAAGCTAATCATCATGAAAAAGATCACATCCTCTTTTTCCACATGCTAGGATGGCGAATCTGGAAGCAAAGAAATGATGTCATTTTTAACAATACTAGATGGCCAATTCCGCAAATAATTCATAAGACGATGGTGGATTTTAAGTTGTGGAAGGATGCAATGATGGCAAATGATCAGCAAATTCATCAAGCAGAACGTAGTAGAAATTATGAGCAAAGAAACGAGAATTCTATTGTAGCTGAGGATGTTCATCACAATTCACAAGCAGCTAATCGTTTCTTTTGTTGTGTAGATGCATCAGGCATAGGATGGATCTTATATAACAGTGGCGGTCAACGTTTGCTTTGCGGGTCTTCTGCAATAGAACCAACACAGTCATCCATAGAATCAGAGGCTGAAGCTCTCAGAATGGCGGTAATTAACCTTCGCAGACTTGGGTACAAAGGAGTAACAATATGTGGCGACTTACAAGGACTTTATGTTCCTCTTCAACAGACCCAAAGTCTACTCAGCTCACATGAAGGCCATCATCTACCATGGGCGACGTTTCTATATGATATTCAGAAACTGGCTACTCCATGTGACTTCACATTTAGGAAGGTTAATCGTGCATCAAACAGAGATGCTGATGATTTAGCAAAAAAAGCTAGGATAACATTGCAAAATCATGTAATTAAATGGCTGTTGTAAGGTTCTTTTATGAAATGAACAAATTGACGACAAAAAAAAAACAATCTCATTTGCAAAACAATTTAGGTACTTCGATTATACTTCTTTGTTCATATCTCTCTTCGGGTTCAATGATTGGCTTCAGACAACTGCCTATGAATCTGAAACATTATAATTGCACAGATAAATTTGTTAGTTTTCGAATCCTGAAGCGCAAACCCGTAAAAAGCTTGGAATAAAAAAATTCATGTAAAATTCTAGCTCATGTGGGTGAACCTCATCTTACGAAGCCCAAAACAAAGCGTAGAAACTTTTGGAATCTGATACGTTTACGGCCCAACATCCGCCTATTCTCTATCAGTACACACGAAAAGGGAAAGCCCATTAAGCTTGAAGAATGATCCACTCTGAGGTAGAGGCACGTGGACTCAGAAGGAGTGCAGTTAACTATAGTACTAAGGAATAAACCACGGTTAAGTTTGTTATCATTCTCGTCCTTTGCCCATGAGCTGTGACAGGTCACGTGGGAGGAGTAGGATTAAGGATTCGCAGTAGTATAAGTTGGTTATTTGGGGATTCGGGAAAGTAGCAAGTAATTGGTGAAAAGCTTGTTCAGGGGGAGGAGAGAGACTCCCATATACCTTTCTCTCATCTGTACAATCGTTCATCAATCGAATATCTATTTTCTTCTCTGTTCTTTTCTCTGTTTCTATCAAGATACAAATCACACGTATCAGAATCTAAACAAAAATCAGTGTACCTCTTCATTTTCTTTAATAATACGTCGAGCCCGGCGTTTGAATTCTTCTTCTATTTCCGACTCCCTCTTCTGATTTCGACGAAGTTCCTTCAATTCTGAGGTAGCAACAGGGAACGATTATTGATAATCAGTAGTATTAACAAAGAAAAAAAAAGCAAAATCTTCATACTTTTAATAGTCTTTTTGATAAAATCAAACGATCCAGATGCACTTACCCCAAAACATGTAGCCAAAAAATCCAAAAACACCTGGTAAGGGATATCCGATATGACCCTGCGCATATCGACGATTCTGCAGTTTTCGATGTCGACCACATCAGATAAAAAGCAAATGAAAATAGAAGAAGAATTAAATATGAAGAATCGTCTCGATTACCCGGAAGATCCAGAGAGCCCGGCTCAACATTTTTCCTCAGATGTGTTTGGCTCTTCGCTCTCCGATTCTAAAATTTTAGGGTTTTTTTTTTCTCTTCTTTCGACCTTCGTCGCCTCCGACAGAACTGTGTCCTTCTTAATATCGAACCGAGGGCCTAAACTTTGACTCTGGGCCTGTCTTGTTGGGCTCTGCTCCGAATTGTCTCAAAAGTCCACTCATGAAGCTTTAATTATCTCTTTAGTTATCGTAAATGCCGTAAACAAAGACAACAACAAAACTGAAAAAAAAATAATAATACGACAACAACCAAAAAAATGCCGCTGTAAAAACAAAGAAGTTATCTTAAATGCTTCTATAACGAGTATAGAGAGTAGATACACACACATGATGACATGACACATCACACATGTTTATGTTCTCTATAGCGGTGTTCAGGTGCTAATATATTAATTAGCTGATAATTATTACTTAATACTAGTATATACTCCAGGTGCTAATCTTCAATCAAGAAGGGCTCTGAAAGGAACGATTGAGGATGAAACGAAGGATGCACTTTTGATGCTTGCTTAACTTGTTTCTTAAAACGACTGTGGTTGAGCATATGCTCGTATTTATCATATAATAATCGATTAGTTATTTGTTTAAAATAATTTAATTTAGAGTTTTTTTTTTAGAAATCAAAACGTTCTTAAGAATTTTTTTTTAATTTACTAAATTTGCTATAATGTTAGGTTTAGTTAATTTTGAATTTAGTAAATAATGTCCATCAGATCTTTTTAAAAAATTGTAAATAATAAATAACCATATGGTAAGAGCATATACCTGGTTTCCTAAATTAAATTCTTTCATTGATATATTAAACTATAAACTAGCGCGATACATGATTCATTGATTCTAATATAGTGTATGAAGTATGATGAGATGTAGGTAGATTTTTCTTTGCTTGGAATGGTGGATAAAACGATAAACCAATTTGACAAATTTTGTTATGAACTATACCGTTTTATTAGGTGGAGGAATGAATATCTGTTACATAAAAACTCATTTTACGGTTTAGGTGGACAACAATTTGGTATATTGACTGCTGAATCCGTAGCAGAAACAATTGAGAATTTGTAAACACTTAAAAGGAAAATTTGTTGTCACCATATCATTCATTCCAAATAGAATTTCCAATCCTTAGTAGATTGTTAATGTCTATTTTTGTGAAACCCTTGACAGATGAATAAAAAATAAAAGATTGGTTCAATTCAGAACAAAGCCCAACAATAACGGGCCTAGAGGCAGAGGTTAAGAAAAAGGGGGAAACGAAAGAACGTCGAGAGAAGATTGAAGAAGAAAAGGGAATCGACAAGAAACCCTAGAAAAAAATTGTCGATGATGCGGGCTGTTAGAAGCTTCATTGCGCAGGTAGTGGAAATTGACCGATTATTCTGTATTTTCGATTTTTCTTGTTCGATCAATTAAAAAAATTTCCCCTCCAAAATTGCAGTATTATCGTCGAGGAAAATCTTGCGATCCCACTTCCTCGCGTAGTCATTACAGTGGTATATCTCTTTCTCAAATCTTCATCATCAAATATCGTAACGTTCTTGTATCGAAAATTTCCTCTGAATAAAGAGATTTATAGGATCTTGTAGAGACGGATTCGAAAACGTTTTCATTTTTTTTTTTTTTGGCAGATGTTGATCCCATTAAGTCGGGCCACCCGGACGCAGGGAACTTGCTGCTTACGGGTTATCTTCTTGATATCGGCATCGGACTGGCCTCCGGATGTGGTATCGGTATGCTGAGAGACGATTTATGATTTTTCTTTTTGTTTCGTAATTCATTTCATTTTTTTTTTTTGTTTCTCTCTCTCTGTCTCTCTTAATTCATTTCACTTGTTATCATCATTCATTTCCACAGCTGCTCTTATGTTTGGCAACCAAGCAGGAGAGTCTAAGCGGATTGAAGAGGTAAGCAAGCACTTGCCTCGTCTGAAATGATACCTCATCGATTGTGTAACCTCATAATAATTCATAACCGTGTTGTTGTGTTTTAGGATTGGAAGAACCAGCAGCTCAAGCTAGATGGATATGAAAAGAGGATGGATTTATGGAAATACTTTTGCAAGACCCACCTAATAATATATTTTGTGTTTTCTTCCTTTCTGTGTTTTAGACTTTGCTGAAAGAATACATCCTTTGATGTTTGTTGTTGTTTATAACCAAAAACTAAATTATTAAATCAGTTAAATGAACTAGAAAATCTCAGTTTGACCGATTGACTTCGATACTTCACGATTTAGGAGACTTCTTTCTCTTTTGTATCTGCTCTAGAGCTTACGAATCATAGACACAAATTCTGTTTCTTTTTATAAATCTTTATTTAAAATGGGAACCCAATTGGTCGCTGCAGCCAAACTCTCTGTGGATGGTTCTAAAATATAAAATGCCGAGACTAAGCTCTCCTCTGCTTACCAACTGTGACCCCAGCTCTTGATGGATCCATGAATCCTCAACTTAGCTTATCACTAGCACCTACAAATATATGCATGTGAGAGATATTCAAGAAAGTCTGAAAGCCAAGAAAAAGCTAACACAAAGTTAACTTGTCCATGAGTTCTCATATTTAGCCGGTACACTGCAAAACCCTCTGGGATTTACATGAAGATTTCTCACTTGGGGTAAGAAAATCAATTGCAGTATCTTCTTCTCCTAATCTAACCTTTTTTAGAGGATACAAGTTTCCCATCTCGAAAAGTTTGCTTTCTTTTTGGTAATTTTCTTCAGTTGACCACATATTTTAGTATTTGCTTATATGCTGCTGCTCTAGCTCATTTCCGAGCCTGGCTCAAAGAGGAAGTGCACAAGAATAATGCAAGATGGTTTTCTGGTTACAAGCTTCGATACCATAAGCGGTATGGTTATTTCCATCCTTGCAACTTGAGCGTGATTCTCGATTATAATACCATACCTGTCATAAGACAAGACACTCTGTGAGTGGTTTTCATTATTTTCCTCTCAAATTACTCATGCAGGTTCCGGAGCAAATGGTGCTATTATTATACATTATAAACCAGAGCCAGAGAGCTGCAGTCGTGTAGACCCTCAAAAACTTTTCTTGCTCCATAGTGGAGCTCACTATGTCGATGGAACTACAGATATCACAAGAACAGTACATATTACTGAACCTTCTGCCTTAGAAGAAGAATGTTTCACCCGAGTTTTGCAGGTGAGGATTTGGCTCTTCTTTTCCCCATCTTTCTTGATCACATATCTTGACCAAACAAAGCTGTGTAGGATGCTTTTATCTCATAAACTTCTCGCTCACCAAACCATCCAGACAAAAAATGGTTGATGTCTCGTTCTCTTTGATGCTGAGATAGACCGATTCTATAATTACCACGCTGAAGTCTGGGAAAAGATAAGTCCACCAAACCACTTCTGAATTTCACCATTATCTTCTCCAAAAGGCAAGTAGATGAGTCTAACACACAAGGCCTGCACGTAAGTGCCTTGAAAGCAAGCCAGATCAGATCAACACATAACGGACACATGGCTTTGCTTTTCCTCTTAGTGTAATAATAGATCAAAGGTCTTTACATACAGCTGCAATTGTTTGACCAAGGTATTTTATAATAGGTGTGTGATATACCACAGTTGATATACTTACGCCGATCAAGTTCTTCCATCACTTTAACTTCAGTGGCAGCTAATTTACGTTCAAATTCTTCTTGCAAGACACCACATCTGAGCTGTAGTGTTTCTTCCAAAGCAATTTTCGCTTTCTTCTTCTCTTTATCCTTTTGTCTTTTTTCCAAAAACATCTCTGATGCCTTGTAGATAGCTGCAGCAGCAATTGGTAAAAGAACACGAGCAATTGCATAAGCTCCAGAAGCACCTGAGTAGGTCTTCTTCACACAATACACAGAAGCTTCTCCAATAAGCATTGAAGCCCCATTGCAACACAATGTTGAGTCTTTGTAGCTATGTTAGCAAAGAGCCTCTCACAAAAGCTGTTTTGATAGGCCACATACTCCAGCGTCCTGAAGATTTTCTGACTTCCTGCTGTGACAAGCCCATCATATACTATCCACAGTGGCATTTGTGGATTAGATGGACTAAACTGAGGATTTTTTTCAAAAGACAGATGTCTCACACGTGTGATAAACCTAATATAATCCAAAAAATGCTCCTCTTTCCTCCTAGTCAGATCCAATCTTCTGATGCTGCTGGCGAAATCCAACCCACGGAGTGTGTTTGTAATCGTATTTGGAGAATTGTGCAACATTATCACACATAAACAATCTCTCCCTGAAATAAAAAAAGATTGCAAAACAAGCATCAGAAGAGATGTTTTTGGAAAAATGACTTTTTACAACAAATGCAACTAAAATTACCTAAAGAATTTTTGAGTACATGTGTGAGCTTGGAATCGGTGTATGGAATATGAGGCAATTCCAACGAGAGAGCAGACAGAACATCCTCCAGTGTAGATAGATTCCTGTCAATTTCAATCCTGCCTCTCTGCTCGCTATAGGCTAAATCAACTAGCCACAGATAGCTATTTGTTGTGCCATTGACGGTACTCTTTCTCACTGTGACACGCACAAGGCTAAAAAAACACAAAAGTTAAATCATTGTATTTAAACAAGGAATTAAATAGTGTATTTTGCTTACCAATTAGAGTTTCTGGGATCGTTCCTCGCAGAGTACCCAATAGTGAGAACATCCAAGGCTTCATCTCTATTGCGAACCCGTCTTTCAACAGGTTAACTGTCTTCAATTCCTCTTGATCTCCTAACACATGTAACAACCTCTTAATACAGTAACCATGTCCTGGCTACAAATTTATCAAATCTACTGTTTTAGATTAAAAAAAATAGCAGAAACTCACCTAAGGAGCTCGCTCTTGGAAGAAACATATTCCGGTAAGAGGTATCTTATTTCATCTTGGCCAATGAGCTCCATCATGCTAATGGAGGTATTTAAGTTTTGGTCGATTCCAAAAAGCTCTTCTAATGCCAAGTAGGAGAGTCCTCTGGTTTCATGCTCGGGCAATCTTCCAGCCAGAGTACATGTTTTCCCAGATGCATATGGCCCATATGAAAATAGGCAAACATTTTGACCATCTAATAGGGACCTAATCGCAGGTTTTGTAGCTGCAAAAATTTTATCTGCGTCGGAGAAAATTATCATATAAACGACTGTTCAACTTACAATATGATGAAATGGAACGGAAAAACGATTCAGCGATCAGCAGTAAGGAATATTAAGCGAACAGCAGTAAAGAATGTTAAGCGAACATCAGTAAGGAATGTTCAACATTTCTTAATCAGCCTTTCGAAACAAAACCACAAAGACTATTAAGTTGCACGAATGTTAAGCGAACAGCAGTAAGGAATTCAATCAATCACGGCCAATGTTCTGCCTCAAAAGATAAATGTCCGATGAATATGGAGAAATTTTTACCTTGCCCATCCTCGTAGCTGAAGACTTTGTCGAATAGGTATGATCTGTTGCTGGAAAATGGGTACACCAACTCAATCTCCCTTCCATGGCTTTCTTTCACTCTTATATTCTCATTTGTAGAGTAAACGAAGAAGATTTTGCATCTTTTTGCGAAATCAGAACCAGAACCTAAAGAATCAATTCGTTGAGTGCTTTTCTGAGCCATAGAAGATTGATTCGCGAACATCAGTGATGAAGCACTATTAGGGTTTAAGAGAATGAACAGCCCGTGTTATGGTGAATCTGATACCGGTATCGTAAGAATTAATTCTGGTTTCGATGACACCAAATCCGGTTCAGCGAAACAATACCACGTTTTGACGACGTTGGTAATTCGCACGGTGTACCGTGCTCTCAGGCAAATGAACCGGACTCGGCATTACTTGGAAGGAACATAAAAAATGGGTTGGGAGGACATGGGCCATAAATTAACATAGATATGTGGGTTCACACGTGGGCCATAATTTCACAAAGAAAATATGTGTTGGGACAGTTTTTAATTTATTGAATAAAAAACATGATATTTAGACAAAGAAATAGAGCTAGCTATATAATTAATTACGATAAATATAATATTCAACAGGATCATAAACATCATATAAATGTAGATCTATGTATGTTGAGAAATAAACTTATAAAAAGATTTATGTATATTCTAAAAATGTTTCGGTAAATAAACAAGATCATACATATCATAAACCCGAAAATAATGATTCAGAAACATCACAACCTTCTGGATATATGAACGAGAAAAAAACCTGTCAGAACGGCGATGAAAAGTCTCCTCCTGAAACACTATGGTACTTCACCTCCATTCTGTCTAAACTCGTGCTACTTTTCCTTCATTCTCTCTGCATTCGTACTACTTTTCCCTTTTTATGATAAAATAGATAGTATAGTCATATTTATCATCTATATTTGCAAAATTAAATTTATAGTACTATACAATATGACATATACAGTTCTTTTGTTAATAATAAAAAATCACGAGATTCATAAAAATCCTGAATTTCATTGTCACTACTTAGTAATATTCTATACGATTCATATCTACTAATTAACATAAATTGTACTCAAGATTGAATAAAATAAAAAAACTTATTAAAATTCAGTACTGTTTATAAATATTAATTTACACCACGCAAAAAATACTTCCAATTTTACGATAAAAAATTCTAGGTAAACACCTTAAACTATATGCGTAACCAATTAACCAGGATATTTCAAAAAGCCTCGAAAAAGATTCAGAGAAGCAAAAAAACTATGAGAATATATAATTAACCAAACAAAAAAAACTACGAGTATATAAAATTTTTAAAAGTATTATAAAGCCTGAGAAAGAAAAATTATTCTGATAGATCTAAATTGATGAGATCTATGAAAAATTATTCTGGTAGATCTATTATACAAAAAAAACATAGTTTTAAACCAGAAAACAAAAAACATAAACTGCAACAGTTGAGAAAGAAATTTCGTGGAAAAAGCAAAAGTTATGACGTGAAACAAAAAGAGACCGTGGATGTATCTGGATCTTTGGGTTACACGGAAAACTAAGGAGACGGCACCTATATGTAGAAATCAGATAAGGTGATGGTTAGAGTTTCCGTGCGACATAAATGGGCTAGGCTTTGTGTTGGGCTTCTATAATGTCAAAGTAAATAGTATTAAATAATTTTAAGGTAATTGCTATGACAATATTATCCCTAATTGGAATATCTGAGCATCCTACAAAGAAAAATTATAGGGTCAAACATATAAGCCCCGCTCATCTATTTTGAATTGATGATCAGTTTATGAAGACCTAAAAAAAAAAAATTTCAAATAAACACTCTATTATTCCTCTTTCAAAATCTTTTTTATAAATTTTAAAATGTGTAATCGTTATGATTACATACAAGCTTTATACCTGTCCAAAAAGATTAATCATTAGACTCAAACACTTCCATTTAGTAAAATAGGCCACTTTACATGATTTAGATTTGTTATGTGAAGCGAAAAATAATCGTCTTTTATATTCGGCACAAGTGGCAAGCGATATGTTTGTGTTCAATGTTAAGAAACCAGTCTGACTTTCTACATTTTGCATGTTCATTACTACATGATATGTTCATTGCTATGCAACTTATGGCGAATTCAGAAGTTATTGTTCTTTTGTTCTTTATATTCTTTATACACAATTTCGAAGTAATTGCCAATAGTGATGTTTTTGGGAGTTATCATTTCACTCCGATTTTGGTTGTTTATCACTAACATTGTTTTTAAAAATTCACAAAGACTTCTATTATAGTTTATATACTAGGATTTCAACTGCACTAGCTATAGCAAGGATAGTGATTTAAGACAAATAATTGTTTTTTAAGAAAACCTATGTTTAGTTTTAAGTATAAATATTTTTAACTGAATTTTATAAAATACATAACTAATGATTATATATATAGAGCTGTAACTAACTTGTCTATCTAACCCGTTGTACAGTTTCACGAAAACATTAAAATCCAAGTGTTTGTCCATATTATTCCAAGCCTTTTTTGTATTTGAATGAACAGTTTGGTTGTTAAGATTTGCAACTGAAATTGGAGTCAATTGTTTTCAGGTTTTTTTTTTCAACCTATATTTCTAATAGATGTTGTATACTAGTTTGTCGATGCATGTCTCCAAATGAGTTTTGAAAAGCTAATAGTGTTGAGTTTGATGAATTTCATGGCATAAGTATGAGGCTTCTTGTAATCCTTTCAAAAATTGGAAAGATTGAAGGCATTATCATTACTTTGGTGACAACTGCAGATTAACTGTCATAGGTACAAGTTTTGTGCACACTTATTTTTGGATTTGTATACATGGACATCAAGTGTGAAGACACTCGAAAATGACAAGTAATCTTATATATGTTGAAACTCTTTCAGTCTCTATTTGACATTTCAACCTTAGTAAGAGGCTTATAATTGTTAAAAAATTTACTGATATAATGGATTTTTTTTCAAAAATGATTTTTAATATATTACTAGTCACATTCGTGATCTCTTTTGGAAATTCTGCAAGTTTCTAGAACAAAGAATCGGAGACTTAGATTTATATTTGGTATTAAAACCTTAACAATTATTAATTAGCCACTAAATCAAAATTTATAGTAAAAACAATCCTTCACGATATTAGAAACAATTAAGAGATTCGAAAGCTAGAAATGACTAGAAAAATTAGTTACATACTGTATATGGGCTTATGTCTCACTAATCCATAATTTCGAAAACTTAACTCACTTGCTATTGTGTCCGAATTTCACTGCCATTTATAAAACTATTTGTACCTTCGATAAGGTTCTTTACCAAAAGTATTTACACAAAAGGTTTCTGCAGATCTTACAAAATTATTATTAAATAGTATTATGACTTAATCGGTGCTGTAGATTTATTATTTCTTAAATTTTGCTCTGATTTAAAAAATTTGTATCTATTTTTTATGAAATTTGTAATATGCCTACCTATAATAATTATCATATTAGTTGCTAACTCGTTAACCCATTTACATAACATATTTCACCATGAACAAGGTCATTATTCAAGATAACTCACAAATAACCAAAAGCTTGAAACAACAATATTATTAAAATGAACGTTTGATGACTCCGAGTTTTCTAAGTCAGTCCATGAGTTCTTAATAAATATTTTTTTGTATGTCTAATTTTTTTCTAAAAATAGTAAAATATGTATAAACTTTTGTTTTGATATATTTTCAAATAAAATAATTCAAATTATAGTGAAAATATTGTAAGATATAGAATAATTAATCTAAAATAATATAAATATAGAAAAATACGTATGGTACAAAGGATAAAAAATGGGGGATCGAACACTGCTTCACTTGATGATGACTATAGACATGTTAAACCAACTGATCCAAGAGAGAAACACTGAGTATTCAAGTTTAAAGTATTTATAAAAAGTATCAAATACGTACCCCATCTACTAACGCACCGCCCCTGGGTTCGTCAATAATCCTCAGTCATGTTCCAATTTGAATCACAAGTGTTAACCTTTCGCGAAACCAGTACTCAGAATGGGAATTCAATGGTTTGATAAGGCGGATCTATGGAAGAGTGTACTGTTGTTGAAGCTCCAGCTCCGTGATCGATTTCGAATCGCCGTCGACGATCACCGTGGTCGGGCGGTGGTTTTCTCAACCGACGGCTACTTCTCTTCCACTATCCACCGCTTGGTGGCTCGATTACGGAACTTCCGCAGGGAGTCTCTCCCATCTTCCCCAGCTTTTTTATCGCAGACGAGGTTCGAATCATCGCCTCTTTTTTTCTTAAACTCAATGATGGGTCTTTGTATCTGCGTATTTTGAGATTTGTGTTTCAACTTCGTCCTTGGTTGTTCGTTTCGTGGTTCTTTGAGAGATTGTTAGTTTTAGTTGTCTTCTTAAGCTGCTTATATTTCTCGGATTATTTTGAAGATTGTTTCTTTGCTATATTCTTTGGTTTTGGTTTTGTCAACGCCTATTTTGGATTGTGGGAGTTATGATAGAGTAACGCTTTGTTCTTGCAGTTTCTAAAGATTTGATGGCAGAAGAAGAGTCTGCACTCTTCCGGATGCTTCAAGCTCTGGCTGTTCCCCTTATTGGAAATGCTTGTCATGTTTTCATGAATGGTCTTAACCGTGTTCAGGTTTGACATCTACGATTGCTGCTTCTTCAATTACATTCTTATATTCCCTCGTTCGTGTTGTCAGTTCTTATTGTGTTTTCTTTTCCAGGTGTATGGTTTAGAGAAATTGCACGATGCTTTGCTCAACAGACCAAAGAAGAAGCCTCTTGTAACGGTATGAGGTGAACTAGCTTGTGAAATGTTGTATCTTTGTGGTTAAGAATTTCATATGAACCTGATGTTTTCCCCATGAACTTCTATAATACTCTTCAGGTTAGCAATCATGTCGCATCTGTGGATGATCCATTTGTCATTGCTTCGTTACTTCCGCCTAAACTACTACTTGATGCCCGTAATCTGAGGTGGACGCTTTGTGCTACCGATAGATGCTTTAAAAACCCTGTAACTTCAGCTTTCTTTCGGTCTGTCAAAGTCTTGCCAGTTTCTCGTGGTGAAGGAATATATCAGCAGGTATCACCAGGCTGCTCTTTATAGCTTTATCTTCATACTTCAGTGTCAAACTTTTAAGTTTACTGGAACTTCTGATGGGGAAATTAGTGTCATTTGTTAACTACTCGACAGGGCATGGACATGGCAATTTCGAAATTGAACAGTGGCGGGTGGGTTCACATCTTTCCCGAAGGCAGTCGCTCCCGGGATGGTGGCAAGACTATGGGCTCAGCAAAAAGAGGTATTGGAAGGTAATTGTACTTTGAGTTCAGTTACTCTCTTTACTATCTATCACTTTATAAGGTAAGTAAAAATACTTTTTTTTTTTTTCAATTTACTTCTTTTGCAGGTTGATTTTGGACACAGACACTCTGCCTATGGTTGTACCATTTGTGCATACTGGTATGCAGGATATAATGCCGGTGGGAGCCAATGTTCCCCGGATTGGCAAGACTGTGAGTATTCTTTGAATTTCCCTATTCCTCTCTCTTAGATCATGTTTATCAATCTTTTATCACAATACTAACGTTTAAAATTTGCAGGTGACAGTGATCATTGGTGACCCGATTGGCTTTGACGACCTTCTCGGGATTGAAGGATCCGAAAATGTTTCAAGGAAACACTTGTACGATGCTGTTTCTTTGAGAATTGGACAGACACTGTACGAGTTGAAAGCTAAAGTCGATAGAGTATCTCTGGAACAAAAATCTAATATGTCACACACATCCTCAGATCGCGCTGCTGATATCTTTCACCGGATTGATTGGGACTCATTTGGGATGGGGGCACACTTCTCAGAAGAATCATCAACCATTGATAAACAGTTCTCACGAACCGATGATCGTGTTGTCTCTAGTTGTTCAGACCGTCAGATCCCCAAAAGGGGAGTTTCATCTGAAGGAGGGATCAGTCTGAAGATTAAGAAGTTCATGGACTCTACAGAGATCATGGGTTTTGCAGCTAGAGGGTTGCTGGTGAACGATTATAAGAGTAGGGGTGAATCTGCCAACTCTGGTAAAAGATGGCCTTTAAATGCATGGAGAAAGTATTTGGATGTAAAATCATGTGATCCATGGATTACACCACTCGATTACACTTGCTAGTTCGCATTAGGATCACTAGTTTTGTAACGAGGCCTACTTGGCACAAATGTTTTTACTAGTCTAATTTAGTTTTAGATCTATATTTTTCTTTCACCATAGATGTGTTGCATCTCCTTTTCTTGTTTAGCATAGCTCTACTCTCAGAAAAGAAACATTGTAATTTTATATCCATAGAAAAATGAAGAGTATATCAACTTATATTTTGTCTAATGTGTAAATTTAGACTTCTAGCCAGGGTAGGGTGAAAACGTGAGATTACAATTTGTTGGAAAACTTATTCATGATGTAAAAGTAAACCGGAAATTGGTTTATTCATGTGATCGTATGGGATCGACAAGTGTATACATATGTTTCAAACGACGCCGTTCGCTAGTAATGTCCATTCACATGCGAACGACGCCGTTATGAGTACCATAACAACAAACCACGTTAATCTCGGACCCACACGCGTAAAGTGCAATGACGAATTTAACCCCTTTTAAGAGTACCGACGGCGACAACAAACTTGTCTCTCCTCCGTCTTCCTTTCCTAGAGTGATAGAGAAAGCAATGGCCGACGAAGAAGATGAGTTACCGGAGACGGAATTAAGTTACGACCAGAAGAAGGAAATCGCAAAATGGTTTCTCCTCAACGCCCCCGCCGGCGAAATCAATTACGTCGCCAAAGGTACTCTCACTCATACACATTTACATTGAGGCGAATGTGTTTTTTCTTTGGTGCAACCGAGATGTGACTCTGTATGAGAAGGCGCAATCGTTGATTGTTCCAGTCCGTTTTCATTTTGAGATTCATTGTTGCGTGATTTGACATTTTATTTCAATTTTCTGTTTGGATTACTGGCAGATTTAAAGGCGGTTTTGAGAGATGAGGAAGTCTACAGCGAGGCAGCCATGGAGGCATTTCCAGTGTACAACAAGTCTCACTTGATTTGCCTCGAAATGCCCAGTAGGGCTGGTGATGTGAGTTTTTTCTTCTTAATCTGTGTCGAAACTTTTCGTACTGCCTTCTGCCTCTATTATAGAGTGTGTTGGATTAGGTCTGCTCATGTTTTAGTTTTAGGAGTAGTCTCTAAATTGGCATATGAAAGGCTGAGAAATTGTGACATATTGGATCACTCGAACAGAGATAACTCGGGCAGAGTTTGAGATATAACTCTCTCTTTGAGGCCTGATGCTTTGCTATGGTTATTCTTCTTTAGCTTCAGAAAAAACTGGAGATTAGTGATCGTCGAAATAAATGCTATTAAATCTCGCAGGTGTTCTGAATATCATTCAGCAGTGAGATTTACTACCATTTTTATTTCGTTTTGTCTCAGGTGATTGTTTCATCTTACAGTGAAATTACTGTCAATGAGTACCTCGATCCAAGAACTGCCCAGGTTGCCATAGTTGATCATGTTAAACAGGTACATTATTGATTGTATTTTTTCTTCGCTATAGCCTGCCGTGATTTGTGAATCCAATTCTAATCTTACATCTCTTTTCTTTTGACAAGATTTGTACAAAAGTACGGCCTGCAAATGATGAAGAACTTCCGTCTTCGTATATTGAGGAATACAGGTATGATTTAAGACCATTTAATTCGGAATGTTCATATAGTCTTAGCTTAACTTCTTATTGCAGCAAAGGCAAACATTAGCAGCACTTTGAGAATTAATGTAAAGGTCTTCTGTCTTTCCGCTGAATAAACATAATGAAAAAATTGTTTTGTCCATTACAGATATGCTCTTGATGCTGAAGTCCAGAGATACGTTAGTGAAGCTTACCCAAAGGGTGTGTCTGCAGTTAACTGTGTAAAGGGGAAAGATGCCGATGGTCCAGGGACTGACTTTGAGCTTGTCGTTATAATTTCTGCCACGAAACTTAGTCCCCAAAACTTCTGGTATGTACAAAATAACCCTCTTCTACTTGTTATCCATTCTCTTAGGATCAGCTATGGTTTATGTAGCTGTTCGATTTCGGTTGGTCAGAGAGTTTCTCCCCAACAACAAACCTTTGCCTGAAATGATTTCGAGTGACCAAAACCGGTGTGATGTGCAGTAATGGAAGTTGGAGATCTGTATGGAATATCGATTTCCAGGATGAATCCCAGGTGCTTGACATAAAAGGGAAATTGCAGGTAACTGTGCATGATCTGTGACCCATTTTTTCTTTCTGTAAGCTTACTGTGATGTTATTCGAAACCAATGGAAGATCAATGAGCATGTTCCAACTATATCTCTTTCTCTTCAGGTAGGAGCTCATTATTTTGAAGAGGGAAATGTGGAATTAGACGCAAAAAATGAGTTCCATGATTCGACAATATTTCAGGTACTTTTACATCCAATATCCGCATACTCAAGATTATCTACAATGCATGTATTATACACCAAGAGAAACAAATAAATGTAGTCTCTGATAAAACCTTATCGCTGATTTGTTGTTTCCCATTTCAGTCCGCGGATGATTGCGCGATTGCCATTGCCAATATTATCCGGCACCATGAGACCGAATATCTTGCAGCTCTAGAGGTCCCCAAATAGCAATTCATTTATTTATTCGTTTACCAGTTCATTGATTATCAATATTGTTTCTGATAGTCTCTGCATCATCAGGTAGCGTATTCGAAGTTGCCCGACAACACTTTCAAGGTAAATTTCTCTTCGATATAAAGATTTCAATGGCTTATCACTCTCATCCGGAAAAATCCTCGCGATAGGGACTTCCAGATGTATTTATAGAATTCTCAGCTATGATTTTGGGATTTTGCAGGATCTGAGGAGGAAACTTCCGGTTACGCGAACTCTTTTCCCATGGCAAAACACCTTGCAGTTCAGCTTAACCAGAGAGGTCGAGAAAGAGCTTGGACTTGGCAAGTGATGATCATCAATTCCAGTTTTTAAAAGTCTAATTATCTTCTCCATTTGTTGTGAAGTTGCTGTTATTTAATCTCGATGCAAGTGAAGGAGAAAAATATAATCGATATCATTTGTTTATGTTGTATCGTATCTTCGTTCCTCCTGGCTTTTCCGGAGAATTAGTGTCCAAACGGCTCATCCTTTAGTTCTTAAATGCTGATTCGTCTCAATTATCTTTGGTGGATCGAGGAAAAAATTGCAAAAACTCCGATGCCGGGAATCGAACCCGGGTCTCCTGGGTGAAAGCCAGATATCCTAACCGCTGGACGACATCGGATTTATTGTTAGTTCATCAACTTTAAAATTTAAATACCATTAATTAAAATTTTCCTTTATTAAATAATCATCAAACATAAAAACCCTTCTTCTGCCAGAGAAAAAAAGAAAGTACAAAGTTGGTAATCAGAGTTCGAACTTCACACCCACCGTCGTCTTCAATCCCTTCTTTTTTTTTTTTTTGGTCTTCTCGAAATTTTCTACGATCTCTCTGGTAGAGGAAGTCAGACTTCTGAATATCTACTCAGGTAATAAATTTTCTCCCTTCGTTCCTCCTCAATCAACGAGTTTTCTGAGCCAAACATCGAACTATTGCTACCACGGTTTTTCTCTGCCTTCCTTCTATCGGACATCTACTCTCCTTCTAAAATGTCTACTCTTGGGTCTTTGCAGATTGTGTTGGAATCTCCAAATATCCTGATTCGAGAAGATGGTAAAGTGCTCGAAGGGTTTATTTTTTTCTAGGGTTTTCTTTTTTTTCTGTGTTGATTCCGTCGTTTATTTTCTGTCTAATTGCTGAATTCTCTTCTAATTCCAGCTTCCTCTTTCGCTGCTTAAGACTGCTCAAGGGCATCCCATGGTAAGAGACTTCTACGGATCTCGGATATCTATATCTTCTGCAATCTTAAAGTTGTGTGCATATGAATATGCTTACTGGATTAACATGATACTGTGAAAGGATCGAAGTGAAATTGATACTGTTCTCGGGTTTTGCAAAGTCTCAGCTTCTGTGTCATAATAATAGATTTGGGGGTTTTAGTTAATATTGGTGTATGAGTATATTAATTAGACATTTTATCGGCCTTATGATATTTGTTCTTCCTTGTTTCTGTCGGTTTGGTAGCTTGTAGAGCTCAAGAATGGGGAGACATATAATGGGCACTTGGTGAATTGTGATACATGGATGAACATTCATCTGCGTGAAGTCATCTGTACATCAAAGGTTATACTGCTGCTCTCTCCTTTGTTGAAGGAATTGCCAGTTTTGTTTCTATTACATATGACTGACACTTAAATATGCCGTCACTTTTCTGTAGGATGGAGATAGGTTTTGGCGAATGCCTGAATGTTATATCCGAGGCAACACAATCAAGTATCTCCGAGTTCCAGATGAGGTATTTTTTTATTAATTTGTTTTAGTATATCATGTACATATATAGCTTAATAAGCTTTTTCCTCTTTGCTTTTTTTGTTTTTATCTTCTTTTTCTGGAGTGATGATTCTTAGCCAAATCAGATACGTGCTCCAAGAGGCACTTTGCTGGGTTTCTTGAGTTGAGTCACCATAATGATCTCCTTTGGAACCCTAATAGCTAATAGTGTGCCTCTTGTTGTAGTATGTCTTGGATGATACCACAGAGATGGGTAAAAGTCTGACCAGAATGTCGTTACACTTGTAAAAACTTCTCAGTGTCATGTACCTAAAGCATGAATCGCATAACATGGAATATTCTCTTTTCTTTCTCATTTCCTTTCGACCTTTATACTCAAATAGATTCTTTCCAACTTTTTACTCTAGGTGTCGAGAAGTGACTGTTAATTGGTGTCTCTAGTTTTGTGTCTCTTGCAATTTGAGAATCTTGATCACTTATGCTGCATCTGGAGGTGCTTCGAAATAGATTGAGCTAACATACATTGTTTTCTTCTCTCTTCAGGTGATTGATAAAGTACAGGAGGAGAAGACCCGCACAGGTATAGTTTTCTTATATCTTTATCATGAATTTGAAAGTCCCTCCTGTTCCTTTTGCTGATTTATGTTTTGAGATGTTAGTACTTAACAAGAATGCCTGAACTGTGGACTTGCTAAAAGACACTTAGGAGCCTTACATATCCCTGATAGATGATAATTGTAGTATCGAAAGCCTTTTTCTTCTGATCAATCCATGGGAACAATTTGAAGGGTATCTAATGGAATCATGTGAAAATCTTGGTCGTTGGTCTTCCTGAGTAGTATGAGGTTCAGGGATTATACAAAATAATGGAACTTTGTGGTGTTGTTTGGGATTATAGTTTAAAATTCAAGATGCTTCTGTTAAGTCTCAGAGCAATTCTTGAATATGTGCAGATAGAAAACCACCAGGGGTTGGAAGAGGAAGAGGGCGAGAAGGTCCAAAGGGTATGGGACGTGGTGGTATGGACGATGGAGCTGCCAGGGGCCGAGGCCGAGGAGGATCAATTGGAAAGATGGGTGGCAACAAAGGTAAATCTGTGCCAATACTTAATAGCTTGTAAGAAAAATCTCTATGTATATTGATTGTGGTTAAACTAAATTAGTATCTTGTGAATCAACAGTGGGAGGTCGAGGCCGTGGTTGATACCAACTATTTTAGATGTCTCTACTGGACTGAAGCTGCCGAGAATTTACCTTCCATGTCGCTGCACTCTTTATCGTTTTTATTACTTTGGGTTTGGGGTCTTCTATATATGTTTAAGGGGCTCTTGAGAGTGTTTTTCGATTCTCTCTAGTTTGTGCAATATTTGAATTTTATAATTTCTTGCAATTTGATGGTTGCTCTTTTCTTGTTGCCTTTCGTGCAACAAGAAATTTATCTGACACTAGGTTTCATAAACTTTTTACCCTTTTAGGGTAGCTGTGTTACGCATCTTCCGAATTCTGATGAAGAAAAACTGTAAAAATTATTATGTCCTTAGAAAAACGAGGAATCGCAGTGTTTCTCTTATACTGTATTTCAGTCTTTTCAGACACCAAAATTTCTCGGAAAAATTTAGTACTGTACATGGGTTTAAAAGTAAATCTGGAAAAAAAAATAGCAGGCCTCCTCAATTTGGAGCAAATTATGTAATTAACTTCTAAGATTTTTGCAATTTGCATTTCGAGAGGGTGTAAAAGACTCCTATTCGTTCAGATTTCTTTGAAGACAAGTTTTCTTAAGAATATGTATATTTTTTATATATATTAGATTTTTATCATTTTCTTTTGTTATTTATTTTCTATCGTCTTCTCCCCTTTTCACATAATCGCTCTGCTGAAACCCTTAAAATCTCCTCCTCTCTTCCCGGCGATCCCTCTCCGATTCGGCTAATTAAATGGCAACTCCGATGGTTGAAGACACCACAAGCTTCGAAGAGGATCAGCTCGCCTCTATGTCCACTGAAGATATCACTCGAGCTACTCGTCTCCTCGACAACGAGATTCGAATCCTCAAGGTTGGACCCATAACTCTCTCGATCTCCCTTTTGCTTGTTTCGCTTCTTCCTAACTACGCGATTGGCTCTTAGTACATAATTTTTGACGATTGCTTAAAATTCGAATAGCGTCCTGCTGAAATCTGAATTTGGCTTGTCGCGGTTACGGGTTTAGGGTTTGAGTTTAGTGCAATCTGAGACTGTGGGAGATGTAGTATACCGTTAATTTGATGTATCCCTTGTTGTGAATTTCTTGTGGTTAATCATCTCAAAGTTTAGATTTCTAGTACAGCAGTAATTGATTACATCGAAAGCTACTTCTATAGGCTGTGTTTGAAATCCGTTCTTTACTCTCTTTTGCTCATTGCTGATACTGTGTTTTTCTTTTGTGGGTTTAAAGGAAGACGCACAAAGAACAAATCTAGAATGCGATTCTTACAAGGAGAAGATAAAGGAGAATCAGGAGAAGATTAAACTCAACAAGCAGCTTCCTTACTTGGTTGGCAACATTGTGGAGGTATTCAACAACTCTTGATTCTAGCTTCTGTTATTTCCCTGGAGGGTTATTGTGCTTGTTTCGGATTTGGTTTGCTTTTGGATTTTGGTTCTTTCCTATAGAGTTTTCCCTATTGAGACTGTTCCTTGCGTTATGCCCTGTAATCTTTTTTGTTATTTATATCAGCTGAACTGTAACTGTTATGACATCATCTTATGATATTAGATCTTGGAGATGAATCCTGAAGATGATGCGGAGGAAGATGGCGCAAATATTGACCTTGACTCGCAACGGAAGGGAAAATGTGTTGTGTTGAAAACGTCTACACGACAGGTGAGCCTTCCATGTCCATTCTCCATATATATAATTTATACATGTTATTGTTCCTTTTCCCGTTTCATGTCTGAGCAAATCCTTTTGCTTCTTGATGTTGAGTGCAGACCATCTTTCTACCAGTTGTCGGCCTTGTGGATCCTGATAGTTTAAAACCCGGTGACTTGGTCGGAGTCAACAAAGATAGTTACCTCATTTTGGATACCTTGCCATCTGAGTATGACTCTAGGGTCAAAGCCATGGAGGTCGACGAAAAACCTACCGAAGATTACAATGACATAGGAGGACTGGAGAAGCAGGTAAGTTTCAACACTGTGTTTTATCTAGCGTATATTGGCCTTGCTTCTGTGTGTTGCGTAGCGAATATGATTATGTGTATTATCGAAACAGATCCAAGAGCTTGTAGAGGCAATTGTGCTCCCCATGACGCACAAGGAGCGTTTCGAAAAGCTAGGTGTTCGTCCACCAAAAGGAGTGCTCTTGTATGGTCCTCCAGGGACTGGTAAAACTCTAATGGCTCGTGCTTGTGCAGCACAGACCAATGCCACGTTCCTCAAATTGGCTGGCCCTCAGTTGGTCCAGGTATATACGAGTGTTATATTCAATCGCTTTTCCTTGAAAATTCATTACCTTATCTGAATAAAATATCTTAGTTCAATATATTTGGGGAGTTTCAAAATTCTTGAATTGAACAGAAACAGAATACTTAATTCAGCATAATAGTAATGATTTTGTGACATACGTGACTGTAAACAGATGTTCATTGGAGACGGAGCAAAACTTGTCCGTGATGCCTTTCAACTAGCAAAAGAGAAAGCTCCATGCATCATCTTCATAGATGAAATCGATGCAATTGGTACCAAGCGTTTTGACAGGTACAAATCTTTTGCTAATTCCAGCTATTTCTGCATTTCATCAGCAGCTCACTAATCACATTCTTTGGGTGAGAGTGCAGTGAAGTAAGCGGAGACAGGGAAGTGCAGAGAACTATGTTGGAGTTGCTCAATCAGCTTGATGGATTCAGTAGCGATGAACGTATTAAGGTGAGCGTCTTTATCTATTCTAGGCACGAGTTATACTCATCTGTTTATCGTTCCGCAAAGAAACAGTAACAACCTCTCAAAATTTTCAGGTGATTGCAGCCACTAACCGTGCAGATATTCTGGACCCAGCACTCATGCGTTCTGGTCGACTAGACCGAAAGATTGAGTTCCCACACCCAACTGAAGAAGCCAGAGCCAGAATCTTGCAGGTTTGTCTCTCACATTTTCCGAAAATGACCCTTGTTAACTAAAAAGCTCACATAACACAGCTAATTTAAACTGAATGAATCCAGATTCACTCGAGGAAGATGAATGTTCACCCAGACGTCAACTTTGAGGAGCTTGCCAGATCAACAGATGATTTCAATGGAGCTCAGCTGAAAGCAGTGTGTGTGGAGGCAGGCATGTTAGCTCTTCGCCGCGATGCCACAGAGGTAAGAAGATACAATTCTCTTAATGGTATTAAGCCTTATGATTGGTGCTTTGTCTGGATTCTAAAGGTTGGGTTCTCTGTTATTGTTGTTGTGTTTTCTCAGGTAAACCATGAGGACTTCAATGAAGGAATTATCCAAGTCCAGGCCAAGAAGAAAGCAAGCTTGAACTACTACGCCTAATATCTCCCCATCATTTATATTTCTCTTTGCCTTTTATCTTTGAATGTAGTTTTACTTTTACCTCCATTTCGTTTTGGATCTTTTCATATTTTCGAATCGAAAAACATTTAATTGTGCGTCTTGTTTTCCTTCTGGAAAAAAAATATGGAATTTAATATGATGTTGTTATAGTTCATGGTTTATTAATTATAATTTTCCTATCGTGTAGTTGTGTAACTTATGTTTGTTAGATTTTTTTAAAAGTATATTATAATCAATTTCTGTCCAATAAACGTATGATTCATTCATGAAAGTAATGTGTTATAAATTCTAAAACACTAGTTATGAGAACAATCTTTTGAATTCATGGGAGAAAATATGAAATTTTCTCTTTCCACAATTCAGGAGCATGTTGCATTTTTTGTTTGTTTGTCAGCAGAAGAAGTTGCATTAAAGTTGGTCAACCCTTATCAAAAATTAAAGCCTCCAAAATACTGTAGCTTTGAAGAAGATAAAAAAAAAAAACGAGAGAAATAGTCAGCACTTGATCTCCTTCAAGCCGTAGGCTAAGTAGAGAAAAGTAGGATCAGTGGCTCCCTCCTTGTAGTAAGCAAACACTAAGCTCCCTTCTTCCCCCATGCTCTCTCCCACAAAGCTGTCACATTCGTTTTACAAAATTCTCCAATTTAGAGAAAAAAAAATAGACATTTTTGACAAAACTAAGAAATTTGAAAAAGAAAAAGAAAAAAAGGAAAATAGAAGAGCTTACAATTGGAAGTCTTTGAGCTTTGACATCAAAAACTTGGTAGCACTCTCGATGTGTTTTTTGAACAGCTCTTGTTTTTCTGAGTCCAGCTTAGGGTTTAGTTGCTTTATGTATCTCTTCATGAACATCACAAACTGTTTCTTTTCGAACGATGGTTGCTCCTGCCAATCAATACCCAAAAGGTTATAAATCTCAAATCTACCCCAAGACTGTAATCGTAATTTTCTTATTTTTCTTGCGCAAAAAGAAAAGGAAGTTTTTAAAGAGGATAGTGATTTTTTTACCTGAAGCCTAAAAGTATCGATGATATCGACAACCTTCACAGCTTGATCATCGACTCCTTCGTCTTCTCCACCTTCTTCAGCTGATGGATTCGCACCAATGTCGAAATTCATCGCTCCTTTCACAACCCACTTGATGAACAAAAAACAATATAAATCAGTTTAATTTCAACGAAATTGATTGATAATAAAGATCAAAGCTATAGTCCAGAAATAGTACCTTTCCTTCAACTTCCCATAACATGCCGTTCTCGTTTCCTTGTAAGGGAAGGAATCAGACAGAAGCTCATCGCCTGTTTTTGTTCAAAACGACAGACAAAGTTTAGCTTCTTGCACAAGCAACATATACAAATCAAGTAATATGTTAAGTGACTACGAATGAGGTTTGATGATTACATGACTCAGGTGAAACCTAGAACCTAAACGCAAAATCAAAATCATGGATACTCATTGCGTATGCGATTCCCACACACACAAACTGAAAAACGAGAAACATCGTGTTATTTACCTGTAAGAAGATCCTGGTAAACCTACATGTTAGAAGAGAAAGAGAGAGAGAGAGAGAGAGAGAGAGAGAGAGAGAGAGAGAGAGAGAGAGAGAGAGAGAGAGAGAGAGAGAGAGAGAGAGAGATTTCTTATAGCTTGTTTTCTTTTTGGCTGATTTGATCAGTAAACTTAGAGATAGATTGAGATTTTTCTTGTTGGCGTCTATTTATAGAATTTATGGTGAGACGGTGTATTGACATTATCTGAGGCAAGTAGGATTCTTCTTTCCTTTTCTTTCTCGGCTTATGTCTTCTTTTTCCTTCAACAAAAAGGATATACAGTATTTTTGTTAATCAAAGAACAAAAAAGAAATTTTCCATTTTCGAATCAGAGCCGTTCCATACTTGCGGTTGCGGGTTTTGAAATCTTAACCGTTGATTTTTCTTAGTTAAATTCATCTCATTATTTCATTTTAACTTTTCGACAAAAAAAAAACATCGGAACGTTTGAAATTTGCGGTAGCATACATGTGACAAATTTAGTTCCTCAAGATGCTTTAATATTTAACTTGAAGACACTGACAGTTTAATTTTTTACTGCCTGTGTAATTGATAGCTTTTAACTTAGTTTTATGGCAGCAGAAGAATTTTATAGATCGCATAAACATCTTATATGTAGAACCTGTTTTATAGGAAAAGATTATCCAAAATCCTTTAAAAAAAAAAAGATTATCCGAACTATGTTAGTGGAATCGACAAAAACCAACTTTTTAGAAACAAAATTCCATAATCAGCTAGCTATAGAAAGAAAAACTGTTTCGGGTTAAAACGATTAAGTGTTAGTTTTACTGTCAAAAGGTAAAGAAAAGAGCGAAATTGGTAATTACCACGGGGAGCAGAGCTGCAAAAGTCGGCGCGAATAAACTTTTGGCATGTGGACGCAATAATTTGCTTGGGAACATCGTTGGACTCGCTAAAAACTTTGACCACTATTGACCCTTTTATGTATTTTAATAATTACTCACCGTAAAATTCCATGTAGAGATAGTACTAATTTTGACGACACTTAACAAAAATCTTTTTTTTTTGTATATGATATTACTACAATTTGAAGAAGAAAAATGATAACTACATTTCGTTACTAGTAGCAAAGGAAATTAAAAGTAGCAGAAAATGCGTTCATATCATAGTTTAAGATCTTGAAGTAGATATTGAACCCACAATATCTTTGCTATTAGCTGCACATAAATTGCCTAATGAGTAATGACGCATGGAATTATTTATTTACTGAAGATTTTAGAGATCATTGTTATTTACGAATTATCACGTCTACGAATACACGTCGTATTTGGTTTGCAAATTTCAGTACGTTTTAATTCACATCATCGCATGCAAGAGCGAGAAATAAAAAGTAAAATAGAAGACTTTCATTTATATGAAAACTGAATACACTGATAAATCAAAACGGTAAACGTGAACCGAACTGAATCGAACCGGACCTATGATAGAGTAATATCGAGTTTCAAGTAAGCGAGATAGTCGTTTGTGTGTAGTTTTAAAAATTCCAAAAAGTTGAAAATAAGTTATTAACCAATTAAGCCGCACACAATAGCGTTCAAACTAATTGAGCCGTATGAAATACATATAGTGTTTTTATGGCATAAAAATGGTTATATCTCTTACATGCCATATATAAGTCAAGGGAAAAGCTTATATATGAATTTGATTTGTTCATTTATTGTTTTTCATTTTCCTGCTATTCTTCATAATTTTGTTCTTTCTCTAGGAACAAAGAACTCGAACCTTTTTTTTTCAACAGCCTTAGTATCTAGAATTTGAACTTGTTTCTCCTTTAATTATTTTTATGTTTGTGAAAAATGTATTCTATATTATCAATATTCCTAAGCCCAGACAGAAAACCGAAATTTATAAAACAAAATCGAACATGAACAAAACCTACAGTCTGGTAGTTTTGTATTAATGTCTCCGTTATGGCGTTATTAGGATTTAAATCCAATAGAAAACATAGAAAATTAAAACAAGTCTTACATAATAACATATTATATTCAGATTTAAACTTAAGAACGTACAAATCGATTGAATTCAAGTTGATATTTGATAGTTATTCATTCTAACAATCGGAACAGAACCAAATCGAAATGAATCCCACAGTAAATTAAATTAAGAGAGCCAAAAATAGAAAGTGAAAGTACCAAGGTAGTAATTAATAAATGCAAAGGTGATCCAAAGAATTGTAATAAGAGAAATGAAAAAGGAAAGAAAGCTCGGGGAAGCAGCTGATGTCAAGTAGACAAATCCGTCAGAATAAATCTGAGCCGTCCATTATAAAAAAGTTTGGAGTCTTTGGACATCGGTCATTGCTTCTACCCGCAACCCAATCTTTTCTCACACAAAACATAACGCGAGAAAAGAAAAACAAATCTTCAGCGAGCGATTTTTTTCTTCTTCTTCTTCTTCTGGGTCTCTTGGTGGTGACGACGATCGGAGAGCGTTCACGGATTCAAGGGTTAAATTTATTCTGCTAAATTAATCGAATCGAAGCGTAAGGAATTGGGGGGAAGAGGGATTTCTGCTGTGATTATTCAACTCGAAAAAGGGGTTTTTGAGATTTGGGTTGTTTTGATTGGATTCTGGTTATGGGTTTAGGCAACAAGGTTAACAAATTCAATTTCGGTGATAATGATCTCGCCGACGAGGGTAGTGGCGCCGATGGCGATTCTCGCGACGAGGGAGATGGGTTTGGCTCGGTTGCGTGTTCGATTTGTCTCGAGACGGTGGCTAAAGACGGCGATCGAGCTTGGGCTAACCTTCAATGCGGCCACCAGTTCCATCTTGGTATTTTTTTTTATTCCTTCTCTTTTACGGTTTCTGGATATTGAAACGGTTGGATATGCTCTTTTGATTCGATTGAATGTGGTCTTGATTGTCTGAAAACTAAAGAATTTGCTCTAGATTTCGATTTGAATCATCCAGATCTACCATTGTTTTCATTCGATTTTTGAATTATGGACCTGTTATATTCTGGTTTGCGGCTACCATTGTTTGTAAAGATCATTGATGTGTATCGAGCTCTGAAACTATCGGTTCATGCTTGATTTACTCATGATCTGTTACGGAAATAGCATCAATGAGCTAAGAGCCTCATAATATTCGTCCCATTCGTGTTTCAACAGTAAATGCATTATGTACTCTTTACTAGTTAATATCGTTTACGAGGGAAGGATTAGCTCGCAAGTACATATGAGCCTTTTTCTTCTTAATCTTTGTTCACTGTATGACAATCTTGGATGTGTAGATAGGAGTATGTGTGTGTTTGTAATATTATTAGCCGACCAAATTTTCCTGGTAGATTAGGGATTATCCATATGAATTGATGCTAGAGAGCTTTCTAGCGAAATTTTGAGATATCCTCCAATATTTGGCGGTGTTAAATGCTTTACATTTGGTTTCTTATGTTGTTTCACAGAGCCATCTAACTTCACATCTGCTTCCTTTGTTCTTTTTAGATTGTATTGGTTCAGCTTTCAATGCAAAGGGCGTGATGCAATGCCCGAACTGCCGCAAAGTAGAAAAAGGCCAGTGGCTTTACGCAAACGGTTGCCGTTCATACCCTGAATTTAATGTCGAGGATTGGGTTCATGACGAAGATATTTATGATATCGGAGGATACTCTGAAATGGTAAGAAACTGGTAACCCTATCCGTCACAAGTCCTGTTGCTCAGCACATTACTTTACACTTTTCTGCCTCCCACGCTGAGTTTTTACTAGTAGAAGATTATTGTTCAATTTATTTAATTGCTTGAATTATGTTCCATGTCGAAAATGCTTGTGTTTATGTATCTTTGCAGTCTTTTGGAGTTCACTGGTGCCCATTTGGAAGCACAGCGCGTCTTCCTTCTTTCGAGTAAGTAATTACATCATATCCTTGTTCTGCTACTTTTGGCAGTCAAAAGTGGGATTTTCTTCCCTAAGTTACTGATGAAATCTCTCTTAAACTTTGTAGGGATGGAGAGTTTTCGCCGAGTTCATGTAAGTCATTTTTCTTCCCTGTACCTTATTAATACTCACTTTTTCTGGCATCTGGGTTTATTGACCTATTGAGTCTGACATCTTGGTACAGATCACGATCTCTTGGGCCAGCAAGGTTACTTCACAGAACCAGCAGCGCCAACAGCAGGTCACCCATGTCCATATGTAACCTACTTTGGTCCTGTTCATTCGTCCTCCTCAAGCACTGGCGGTGCTGCAGGCGTTTCAGACAGTTCAAGTTTCAGTAGTCACTGGAACACTGGCTCATCGGTGTCCAGTGAAGTCCCAACTCCTTATGGTTTCCCTGTGGACGCACACTATCACGGTTGGGATTATCACTCGCCTCCACCACCACCGCCACAGCACTTCTCTGCTTCTGGCGCTCACGTGGGCAGTCCAACTCAGCCCACGCCTCCACCAGCTGCTGCGAGGACTTCCCGAGCCAATGGCTCAGATGTAATCAGACCCAGACCGCCGCATTTCATGCGTCCATTTCATGGTCACAGGTACATATTTTCTGTCTTGACTTCAAAATTGAATTACCAAAGTGTTATATATATATATATATATATATGCTTGCTCTGATTTGTGAAAATTTGTGCAATGGCATAGATAAATATCCTGTGATTCTGCAGATTCCTTACCAATAAGACCTTCTACTAAGTATAAATGTTTTGTTTTGTTGGGGTTAAAGAAAATAAATGTATTGGTTTGGTTTTTGCAGTTCCAGTGGTAGAGCGGGGAGCTCGGTGGCATCTGTACCGAGGACACCGCCTTTTCCGGGAAGCAACGCTCGGACCAGAGACAGAATGCAAGCTCTTCAAGCCTATTACCAACAGTCTTCTGCACAGTCACACCAACCCGATTCGCCGATAGTCTCTCGTGGGCCTGTATTCTCTTCTGGCCGGAGGCCTGGTAGAGGACTAGCTTCTGGCATGGGATCAACCTCATCTTCTTCTTCGGAGCAGCCTGGCGGGAGCGGGTTTATCCGGTTTAACATATGGGAGAGAGATCCTTACATGCAATCGCAACAAGCCTACCCGGTTAACCAGATGGACAGAGAACCATCCATTTGGGCTTCTTCCTTCAATGAAGGTTCTGGAAGCTTCCATCAGAGGCATGGCGCCGGAGGATCTTCGTAAGAGTTGAGAGTCAGTAGCCGGCGTGATTCTCACCGGTCAGGCCCAGAGCCTAATGATACATTTTGGGGTCAAGTGACACCCCTTATTACATTTTTAATATTTTACATTTTTAATATTTATGTTTAAACATTTTGGAAAATATCGAAATGGTAGTATAAAGATTTATCTCACAAAGACTAAATTTTAAACCCCTAAGCTGCAATGGTGGTGGATGCTTGCTTGTTCTGTTTGCTGCTAGTGAGACTTTTTGTAGACATTTTTAGCCAGAATTTTTATGTATTGATGATAAACGCAGTTTGTGTATTCTATCATTCTTTTGAAGCTTGCACACGAGATGCTAATTGATAAGAGAGACGCACAAAAAAAATAAATCAATGGGGATTAATTGAACAACTAGCATTTGTTGGTGGTTACAAGAAAAATGAAAAATCTCACTTGTTGGTTACGGATGGGAAAATTTTATTATGATATGAAGTTTTGGGGCTGATTTGAGATTCAAGAAAAATATGGGGATGTTTGGATTAATTAGAGAAATATAAAGTAGGGCTACACGACCACTTTAAATGGGCAGAAACCCTAGACATTTGCTTCCGTCTTCTCTCGTTCAAGAGCCTAAAAGACGCCGCTCGTCTCTTCAGACAGTTCCACCTTCTAGGATTTGTTCAAGGTACGCTGTTTACTATCTCTCTTCTTCAGTGTGTTGCTCTTCAATTTATGATATAGATTCGATAGAGATATGTTCGCGAGATATGAAGATTGAATAGGAGCACGAATTTGTAGTTTCGCCTTTCTCTTGGTTCACCTCTTGTTTTGTCTGTTGATGAGAGTGTGTAATTGACGAAGTTAGATTAGAAAAAGTCTCCATTCTCATTTGCGATGCCGATTTCAACTGTGAATTTCTTAGGTTTTGAGTTAGTCTTTATCATTTCGAAAATGGCTTAAAATGTATGTAAATCAAAATAGGATTTTTGTTTACATGGTCAATTGATGGATTTGTTTTTGTTTGGATATGTAGAGAGAAGGGTTGAGAAATGAGTCGTGGAAGTGCAGCCGTTGCCAAGGGAAAGAAGAAGGGAGTTGCCTTCACCATTGATTGCTCCAAGCCTGTCGATGACAAGATCATGGAGATTGCTTCCCTCGAGAAGTTCCTTCAGGAGAGGATCAAAGTCGGTGGTAAAGCCGGTGCCCTCGGTGATTCCGTCACAATCACCCGTGACAAGAACAAGATCACCGTCACTGCTGATGGCCAATTCTCCAAGAGGTATTCCCATCAAATTCTCACTCGATAAGCTATTTTCACCAATCACCTTTCTACAATCCTGAAAGAAAGAAAGTGATTGTAGGATCAAAACTTATCTCAGATAGATTCTCTCACAAGTAGCAAGAGTGTTGATCGATTTGTGAGTTCAAGCAATCTTTAAGTATATAACTCTGTTCACTACTGTCTTCTTGTGTGTGTCTATCTTTCAGGTATCTGAAGTACTTGACAAAGAAGTACCTGAAGAAGCACAATGTGAGGGATTGGCTCAGAGTGATTGCAGCGAACAAGGACCGTAACCTCTATGAGTTGAGGTACTTCAACATCGCTGAGAACGAGGGAGAGGAAGAAGACTAGAAAAACCCTTTAAACCGGTTTTGCTTAGGACGATACTTCCTATTCCCTGTTTCTGTTGTTTTGGTTTCTGCTCTCTGTTCGAATACAATTTATTATCTTCGCCCTTCCGTTGTTTTTGACAGATCTTATTTAGTTTGGTTGAAGTTAACTCTTCTTCTTGGTTTCAGACAATTGTTTAAGGAAAATATATTTTGGTAAAAATCGTATGATTCTAGAATGTGTTAATGAAAGCCTTTATCGTAAATATATTTCTTGTTGATCAAAATCATCAAATATATTTCAGGTATGAGTATTCCCAAAATTGAGAGGATTTTAAATGTCGGTTACAATTTCCGTGTCTTTGAAATTGAAAACAAAAACCTTATTTTGTTATGAATAATTATTATTTGTAAAAAAAAAAGAACTCCCTTTCCTACTTAAACTGTGAAAAAAAACCTTCTTGGTTTCAGACAATTGTTTAAGAAAAATATATTTTGGTTAAAATCGTATGATTCTAGAATGTGTTAATATTGGTGAGGTAAATAATTCTTGTTGATCAAAATCATCAAAGATATTTCAGATATGATTCCCAAAACTGAGAGGATTTTAAATGTCGGTGAAAAAAAAGAACTTATTTTGTTATGTATTATTATTATTTCGTTTTTTTTAAAAAAAAAAGTCCCTTTCCTACGTAAACTGTGAAAATAATTCGCCCTGTTCGAGTTGAATTAGGAGCATGGAGATTTTTCTTATATATACCTGAACATATAACTCAATTTTATCATTGTTAAACTTTGGAAATACTAACAAAGGAAGAAGAATGGTGTACACAGAAAACTCTCGTCCTTCGTCTTCAACAACGCCACGCACTCTCGATCTCTTTCCCACCCAACCTGGAGATTTGGCACGTGTGGTTTCTTCTGCCGACGATAGAGTGGTCTCCCTCGCGCACTTGAGAAACAACTTAACGGAAGCAGCTGCAAGAAACATATTGACTCTGTCCACAATACCAAGATGGGTAATCAAGAAAACACTTACAAGAAGCGACGTCGCAAAGAGCCAAACACGCCTTCTTATACCAATGCAATCCGTGAATGAGCATATTCGGAAATACCTCATGAACGACAAGATCGGAATGATCGAAGACGAAGATAGTAAAGGCTGGATAGTCAATGTGTACGACACTGACACTCATTCTACTCATACGTTGTGCCTCAAGAAGTGGAATTCAACTGGAAGCTATGTGTTGAAGAAGAATTGGAGAAAAGATTTCGTTATAAGAAGGAATCTTCAAGAAGGCCATGAAATTGGAATCTTGTGGAATCCTACCGAGGAAAGGCTCAACTTTTGTGTGTTTCCTCCTCCTGACCATTGATTCCATGATTTTTTTTTTCCATAGATATCAATCATATAGTTTTCCTCCTAACCATTGATTCGATGATTTTGTTTTTCATAGATATCAATCATATAGTTTTCCTTTTTTTTCATTTATGTTTTCTTTTTAATTAGTCGAAACTCATATTATCAGAAGATTTTCTTGGCTCTTACGTTATTTTACTTTCTTACTTTTTTTTATTAACCGTCGATCAATCTATAACATTATTATATCTTCTTCTTTCCGATGCTGAAAATCCAAATAGCGAAATTTGCATAATTATTATTCTCGCCCAACATTTTTTTGAGTAGTTATCCACCAATAACTAATCGAGTTTTCATCTTAGATTTATTTATTATCGTAAACGTAATAAATGGGCCTAACCCATAAACAAACATTGGTAAACCAAAAGTAAACCGAACTAAGATCCTGTTATAGGGTTGATTCAATCATTCCGGTTTCTCTAATCCAAGACTGTTGTCTGAAGAGGCAAATAACTCTCGACTCCTTTAGCTTCAGCTTCCTGCTTATCAGCAACAGCCTTTGATAATCCAAACATCTGGACAAACCAAAGTAACAAGCTAGTATTAGCCAAAATTAGATTGATTTTATCTTACCAGATCGCTGAGGCTCAAGTGATGTGTTTAGGTACTAATCAATGAAGAAAGAGAGAACCTTCTTGATGGTCTTGTTGAAACAATTCTTGTGATCATCCATGGAGGCATTGATGAATTCATCGATGTGATCTTTCACGTCTTCTAGGAAATTGGCATCATCCTTTGCCTTCTTTCTACATGAAGACATGACCGGTTTTGGCGGGTTTTCAGCTTGAGTTTTCTGCGTCTCCATTTGTGTTGGTCCTTTAAAAGAAACATGAAAACTCTCTTAGAATAAAGATAGAATCCAAAAGCATAGAGCTCAAGAAGAGGCAATGAATAGATAATTCTCTAAGTATTCAGCTCTCAAACGGCCAAACAGAATTATACGAAGAATCCTGCACTTAACTGGTAAACAAAACTAACAGAAAAAAACAAACAATCCACACCAGATTAACGGTTCTAAAGTCTCTAATTTCAGAGATTCCTAATTGAAACCACGAATCCTCCAGCAATAGGCTATTCAATGTCAACTTTCTCAGCAATTGAACACACAACATTGCTACAAATTCTCCAACTTCCTTACTATATATCCAATTACATATCATTCCAAGGAACCGAACATTAAGTGAGATCATGAAACCCAGCAAACACAGAGGAACTATGCAATCACAATTCACATACATAAATGGTAACACATGTTATGTAAGCGAACGCGGATCGAGACAGCGAAAAAAAGTATCTAGAAACGCAGAAATCAAGCAAGCTTTAAGAGCTGAGACATAAACCCAGGTCGAGAAATGAGATTGAAAGACGGAAACAAGGAATAATCTGAGATTCAGAAATGGGAGAATCGGGAACACTCACCGACGACGGATGATTACGACGAAGTCTCGCTTGGCTCTCTCTCTCTCTCTGCTAAAACGTTTGCAACTGTTGGATTACTAAAGTGCCCCTAATGTTCTTCAAAACCCTAACAAACCCAAAAATGATCTCTTTTTTTTTCTCCTGCGAATTGTTCGTCACGGAGAAGCGGGTTTATCGACTCGTTCGTCTCTCTTCACTTTTGAAATTTAGCTTCGTAAGTGAAATAGATTGCAGTATCTTCTCCTCCTCTGCTATTCGCATTGTCTTGTCATGTCTTCTCTGATACTCCATGGGAAAAGGTGTAACTTGAGAATTATTTCAGTGAAGCTTATGCAAAATGCATCTGCTTTTTGCAATTCCTTCTCATCTGCGAGTGTTGTTGAATCATTGGGTTTAACTACGAAGCCTGCAGTATCGATCACAACCAAGGGAAATCCGGATCCCGTTCTGAGTCTGCTTACAAGCTATGGGTTCACAGATTCTCAGATCTCCAGGATTATTAGCACTTACCCACGATTGCTTACATTGGATGCTGAAAAATCCCTTCTTCCCAAGCTTCAAGCTTTGCAGTCAAGAGGAGCTTCAAGCTCCGAGCTGACAGAGATTGTTTCAAAGGTTCCGAAAATCTTGGGAAAGAGAGGGGCAAAATCTACTGGCTTATACTATGATTTCATCAAAGACATTATACACAACGACAAAGATGAAGAAGAAGAAGAAGAAGAAGAGGGTTATAAGAGTTCCAAGTGTGAAAAGATATGTTATTCTTTGCCAGTGGGTAAGAAGGGGAATAAAATCCGAAACGTATCGGCTTTGAGAGAATTGGGAGTGCCTCAACGGTTTTTATTCACATTGCTCATCTCCAAGAGCCAACCTGTGTGGGGGAAAGAAAAGTTTGAAGAATCCGTCAAGAAAGTGGTTGACATGGGTTTTGATCCGACCACCTCAAAGTTTGTCCAAGCTCTACACGTTGTCTACGAGATGAGTGAGAAAACGATACAAGACAAAGTCAATGTCTATAAAAGTTTAGGCTTTGCTGAGGAGGAAGTATGGGAAATATTCAACAAGTGGCCTTACTCTCTCAAGTTCTCGGAGAGGAAGATAACTCAGACGTTTGAAACCCTGAAGAAGTGTGGTCTGGTAGAAGAAGAGGTGCTATCAGTGTTGAAGAAGCGTCCAGAATGCATGCGTGCTTCAGAGGAGAAGATAGTAAACTGTGTCGAAACATTTCTCGGGCTCGGATTTAGCGGAGATGAGGTTGTGGCGATGGTCAAGTGTTTTCCTACTTGCTTCGGGTTATCTGCAGAGACGGTGAAGAAGAAGACTGAGTTTCTGGTGAAAGAGATGAATTGGTCACTAAAGGATGTGGCTGCGATTCCACCGGTGCTTGGATACAGCTTGGAGAAGAGGATTGTTCCGAGGTGTAATGTAATCAAAGCTCTCTTGTCGAAAGGACTGATCAGAGGAGGAAAAAGAAACCTTCCAATGTCGTCTGTTTTGACGAGTAGCAATAAGGTGTTTGTAAACAGGTTCGTGATGAAACATGGCAACTTGGTTCCTGAATTGATGGCTATCTTCACCGGAGACAAAAAGGGCACACACCACACCTCAACAACAATGAAGAACGTTGCGGCTTGAGTTGATTCTGGAATTGTTTCGTTTTTTCTGATCGTCGAACAGATTTGTGAAACTTTGTATGAGACTTTTAGGATGAAAGAAACCAAAAAGATTTTCATCTCTTTCTCTTTCCCTCCCATCATCCAGTTCCCTTTTAACCGATTGATGTTTGCTTTGGAATTTTATAACTCAGGTGACGTTATCAGCAGCAGATGCTAGTTATGATCGAGAGGGATGCGAGAAGATTGATTAGGGACATGAATTCAAACTCTTGAGCTTTGGTGACGCAACAATTGTAAATCAAACAGTTTTTACTGTACAGACGATTCAGAAAAGTAAGAGCCAAAACATGAAAGTCAATTCAATATGGAAAGATTAAGAAATGTGGTAATTTGATGATACAAGAAAACAAAAAGCAAAAGAGGAGAGACACTATAACTTAAACTAGGATGTAAAAAGAATAACCATAGATTAAAAAAAAAAACAGACCAAAAGGAGATGAAAATCTGCAGAAGCAAGGAATAGAGACGTTTCTGCAACTATACACAGAATATTTGGGTAATAACTTTTGTTTGCTCTGTCTCTCTTTTGTTTTTTTTTTTTTTTTTTACAAATGCTTCTTCGTTGATGCCCTAAGTAAAGTCGCCTTTGATCCATTGCAGTTTACCTACATCTGAAGAAATGCACAGGCCTAACTTGAGCTTTTGAAACGAAACTCAAGGGAAAGCTTTATTGAGTTTCAAGACTTCCCCATTTTCGGTACCTGGTAAAACAGAAAACGTGAAGAAATCCATGTGTTAAGTTATGCCGGAAACTTGCGAAAAGAAGAAAAGCTTGTCATTTCTCTAGCCACGTAATGTTCCTAGCTAACCAATTATATTATCAGAACAAGGGCCTCTTGGTCTTATATTCATTGGTGGAAACAAACCTTTTTGAGAGGATTACTGCTTGAAGCTGGGGCCGGTTTCAGAATCTCAAAAGAGCAAACAAGAGACTGGTCTACGCTCAATAATGCACCGGCATTGTCAAACTCTCCACCATAGTTTGGAGCAGAGAATATCGTGACTAATCTCCGTTTTGCGAAAAACTCGTACCCATCTTCCACTACCTGCAATTACATCCCTCGCTGATCAATATCTTGAGAGGTTCTAGCTCATAAAAGTACCTCAACTAATGTCTCTAAAGAACGAAAAATGAAGCAGAGAATTGGTTCTAAATTTGATCATTCTGTCTACCTGATGGCCTCGGCAAATGAGGTCAAGATCATTCTTATCCAAAAACTCAGCGACTACATCGGCTCCAAACGTGCAGGAGATACCTCGATCGCTATCAGACCATCCTTCACTCTTCTGGTCAGGATCAGACCAAAGTAAGTCACAAAGAAGACCATTGTCTGGAATCTCTGTAGGCCTCTGAATCTCTCGAATCTGATTCAGATTGTCCAATTCTGGTGACAAGCCGCCGTGCATACATAAGATCTTGTCGTCAATGAGAGCAGCCACAGGCAAACAATTGAAGCAGTCGGTGAAGATCTTCCAAAGCCGAACATTGAATCTCCGTTTGCATTCGTCATAGAAGCCGTAAATCCTGTTGATCTTAGCGTCTTCGTGGTTTCCTCTCAGGAGAAATACCTTGGATGGGTACCGGATCTTGTAAGCCAAGAGTAAACATATCGTTTCAAGACTTTGCTTGCCTCTATCGACGTAATCGCCGAGGAAGAGATAGTTTGCTGAAGGAGGATAGCCTCCGTATTCGAATAACCTTAAAAGGTCTTGGTACTGTCCATGAATATCACCTGTGATTACAGTTTCAAAAGCAAACCGTAAGCAACTCCACGAATAAGGCATCAACAGATTTACGAACCTTAACCCACATCAATAAATAAAAAAATCAAAACTTTTTCGAGGGTTATGCATTGGAAACAATATTACAGACAACAACAAAAAAAAAGTAAAAAATCAAAGTCCCCAATTACGCAGATGCTAAAATCTTCAAACACACGTTTTGACATGAAAATTAGAATAAATTTTCCCCCAATCTTTTATCATCAATCTAATCTTACATGCAAAATTCGTCAACTTTTAATCCCGATCGTGCAAACGACTCAAACCCAAATCACAACATTTTCACATCATCATCGTCCCTAAAAGAAGAGAGAGAGAGAGAGGGAGAGGAGAGAGAGACCGCAGATGCGAACGGGGGCATGGAGCTCGAGAAGATTGGGCTGAGAAAGGAAGATTTGTCTGGCGTTAACGCAGAGTTGACGGATCTCGATCTCCGAAAGCTGAACCTGTTTCCCTCCTTTGCCTTCCAACAATCTCCTTATTATATCATCCAACACACCCATCTCCATCATCCCTTCCATTGTCGTCATCATTCTTTCTCTGATCCCAAATTAACACACAAGGGTTTGCGCCAAATCAGGCCAGAAACAACGAGCCGTGTATGGTTTAAACGATTGATAGAGAGAATCAGAAAATCACAAGCTTTTTTCTTCCCGAGAAAATGCGGGAAACACAAAAGGGGGGGGGAGAGAAAGAAAGAGGCAAAATAGAGGGTCAAACAATGGAGGGAACCAGAAGAAATCTTCTCAGAGGAGGAGGGAAGTGGATCAAATGGGCAAGATTAGTATAGAACAAATCCGATTTAAAGATTGTAATTTTTTTTTTTAATTCAGAAGAGCAAAACAAAACTTTCGGCTTTAGAATATTGAGGGGAGAAAAAAAAAAACAGATGGTGCAGATAGGTCGTATTCTTCTCTCTCCTCCTGCCAGAAAATCGGAAATTTCCAACTCAGTTTTTTTTTTTTTAATAAGTAGTATTGAACTATTGATTAGGGTCCGTATTGATTATATATATATATAAGAATGAAGAAGACGGTCAATGTGTAGTAGGCATAGTTGGAACTAGAGATGCAACAAGTTTAAATTGGAACCATATCATAATAAGGTTACAGATGATAATCATATAAGATAAAAAAGAGAATGAAAACTATTAAAACACGGCTATGTTTTGGTTTATAAAATTATAAATGTAACCTCAAACACTTTCTACCAAATTACCAATATAAGCAAATAATGGATATTAGGTAGTCTTCTTGTATGTATCGAATGATAATTAATGGATCCAATGAACTTACACAAAAAAATATGATTGGATAGAAAGAACTACTACTGCAAATGATTTTCTTTTGTCCAGAGAGCTTAAAATGATTAGAAAGGCAAAAAATGGCTAGAAGACAGAGTAATTAGTGAAACCTTCAAAGGCAAGACTAAGGGTAGTGGGCGGTGATGGAAGAAGAATCCAGCCCAAATAAATCGAGACGTGGAGGATTCCCATTGGAACTGGTCAAAGTCAGTACAATAGTCTCCTCACATTTACATTCCTGTATTTGTTTTATGTATTTTAATATAGGTGATGCTTTGTTTAATTATTCAGGTAATTTGTTGTCGGGCAAAGAAACCGCGTCTTTTGAAAAGTTCGGTTTTATGGTTAGATAAGCACTTCTGTACGTGTGTGTGTACACATGTGAGATTAATACTCGGATTCGTGACATGGCTGCCCATAATCATAATAACTAAATGAAAAAAATCATTGTTTTCATTTTGATGAAGTAAATAGTAAGCTGGAGTAAATTCTCAAGTCTTAAGTAACCAGAGAAATAAAAGGGCCTCTTTCTTCCTCAAGCCTCAAGTCTGAACGTTTAAAATTCGATTGGGCTTTAGAGTTTTGGCCCGAAGTGGAAAAAAGAAACCCTAAAATTGAAGCGCGTTGTCACTAACTCACTATAAACCTTATATTCTTCTCAACTTCTCTTGAAGAAGCTTCGACGGCGGCACCACATCCCCGGACGCTACAATGGTACTTCCCGCTTTCTCTGTCTCTCCATCTTTGTTTCTGAATGTCTCTCCTGTTAAAATTTTCTCCATTTTTGAGTATTGTGTTGGATATTTATTATTCTGGATTGGGTTATTCTTTGTGACATTTTGAGTCTCGGGTTAGATTGTGAAACATCTCTTTATTCGTATTTTTTAGGTTGAATTTTGCTTCCAATGTTGGTTCTGAGATCAATTCGTCGTGTTTTGCAGGGTATTGATCTGATCGCTGGAGGTAAGAGCAAGAAGACCAAAAGGACAGCTCCAAAGTCCGATGATGTGTACCTTAAGCTTACTGTCAAGGTCAAATTTTTTAACAACGATCTTCTTCGTGCTTTGTTCTATTTCAATCGAAGAAGAGTGGTGATTCATACTGAATATGAGTTTTGGACCATTGTTTTGGATTTTTTCAGCTTTACCGGTTTTTGTTTAGGAGAACAAACAGCAAGTTCAACGGAGTGATATTGAAGAGGCTTTTCATGAGCAAAGTCAACAAAGCTCCACTTTCTCTATCTAGGCTCGTGGAATTCATGACGGGCAAGGTGCCATTTCGTTAAAACCCTCTCGCTCTCTGTACCTTTTTATTCAGTCCTAGATCATCATGATGAATCTGTTCCATTTCATTAGAACCAGTTTTTCAATCTGGGAAACTAAAGTGGTTACTGCTTATCCGAACTTAGTCCGCAACATTGAGCTGTCCGATGTTTGATAGGAGTTCTTTTTTCATGTTTTGCTACTATAGGAAGATAAGATTGCGGTCTTAGTTGGAACTATAACCGATGATTTGAGGGTACACGAGATTCCAGCTATCAAAGTTACTGCCCTGAGGTTCACAGAGAGAGCCAGAGCTCGCATTGAGAAAGCTGGTGGTGAATGCTTAACCTTCGACCAACTCGCTCTCAGAGCTCCATTGGGCCAAAACACGGTATTTCTCTTGACCAAATCGTTCTTCTTCATCTTTAACTTCGTGGGATAAAATGCATAAACTTTGCTTGTTCATATGTTATAGGTTCTTCTTAGAGGACCTAAGAACTCTCGTGAAGCTGTGAAGCATTTCGGTCCTGCTCCTGGTGTGCCACACAGTCACTCGAAGCCATATGTTCGGTCCACGGGAAGGAAATTCGAGAAAGCCAGAGGAAAGAGGAAGAGTCGTGGATTCAAGGTTTAAGATCATTGTCAGCGTCTTTGAACTTGATTTTGGAGTATTGTTGCTTCTTAATCCCTTTCGCGTAATTGGATATTTTGTTAGAGAATTGTGGTTTTTCGTTGCTTGGTTCAGACATAATGTTAAGTTTTGTTTTCTTCCTACTGAATTCATGGTGTGCTTTTTACGCATTGAGCTACACCATGATAAAAACATGATTCATATCTATTTTTATGTTTTTGTCATTGTGTGCTTTTCTTCGAAAAAGAACACGAGCTCCAAATTGATATACAGATACTGCAACGTGTTCAAGAAAATTCTTAATATGTCAAGATCAATTCTCCATCACATTCATTGTGTGTTTATTTATATAATCAAAATTTATTCATAATCTCGTCGGAACAACACATGCAAGAACCAGAATGTTTTTGATAGACAAACAAATCAGACAAAACCAAAAACCCTAAAAGCTTCTGTTGTTGTCCTTGTCCTGAAGCTTTTTGAAAAAGTCATTGATGTGAGCAGTGACCTCTTGAGGTTTCTCTTGGTTGGCGAAGTGACCAGCATCTTCAATCACAACTATCTCTTGAAGATTTGGAACATCTGCAGCAAACCCACCACCGTGAATGTACTCTTTAATCCCCGGTGTAGTGTAAACCATGTCGAAGTCACCAGTCATGAACTTTACCGGAACATGAATCTTAGCTCCAGTCCACGGTGCAGTGAGTTCCCAATTCCTGATATAAACCGATAACCAATGAACATAAACCCTAAAAGTACACATTGATATATACACAGTAAGAACTTACAGATCCATGGCTCTGTAGTAGTTTAATCCACCGGTAAATCCTGTCTTCTCGAATTTGGAGACGTAGAAATCAAGATCTTCCTTCGAAAACCATTTGGGAAATTCAACGTTTTCGCAGTTAGGGTTAGGATTTGCCCCAAAGGGATTATCCTTTGGTAAAATCGACGGACCGAGTTTCCTCCCTGTGAAAATGTTCCTCAGAACTCTTCTTGGATCTGCACATGCAATCTCTTCTTCAATTTTCCCCGGTTCCTGCAATTTCACATTTGTTAGAACAAATCAAAAGTCACATTGTGTCACATAATCAGACTGTTTCAGTCCAATGATCATTTTATTATACTGATCGTCTTTACTTGATTAAGTGCGTGTTTGGAGATAAAAAGAATAAGGTAAAGAAAGATCAAAATACAGAACCTGAAATCTACAAATGTAGTAATCATCTCCAAACACAGCCTTAAACCCTGCAACAGGCTTGACCTTAGGGTTTCTTGGTCTATACGGCACACTCAAACACACAAAGCCCTTGATCTTCTCCGGTCGAAACAAGCAGAGGAACCACCCGATAATGGCTCCCCAATCATGACCGACCAGAAAAACCTTCTCTTGATCTCCAGCAACACTGTCCAGAAGAGCCACGAGGTCACCAACGACGTTAAGACACGTGTACTCGGAGAAAGACTCCGGAGACTCTGAGTCTCCGTAGCCTCGGAGGTCTGGAGCTACGGCATGGTAACTTAGAG